TTTTTTTTTTTTTCGGGAAGACGTGACATGCGCCCCAGCGACTGCAATCGAGCTTGGCTTAGCTCGAGCTTTCTTCCAGGGCTTTTACTTGCAGCTCTTTTGTCCGTCGGTCGGTCGGTCGGTCTAGCTGCCCACCGCCTTCATCCCCGCTAAGCTCGATCTGTCATTGTGCGCACGTCAACACGCCCTGCATCGCACTCTCTCGATGGAGGAATTGCAAGTTGTAGGCATCGAGCCCAGTTGAACGGGGGGGCTGAGCTGCGCGACCGACGCTCCAATGTGTCCACGTGTGGCCAAGCTAGAGAGAGAGAGAGCCCCACGCACGAAAAAGGGGGCTCGATCGGGAAGGTAAGAATAGCTGGCTGGACGTGCGTGCGTGTTGGAGTGTGAGTGATGAGTTGGTGACAGCTAGGAAAACCCGCTTCATTTGCGTCCAGCGTTCAGTCGAGGGAGGGAATGTGTGTGGCTTTTGAAACGCGGACTCGATCGACTTGGACTCGGACTGACGGACTGACTGACGTTCTCGACGCTGCTGCTGCTGCTGCAAGCTTGCACGTCGAAGGTGCAGGCCGCGGCAGGCATGCAGGTGTTGCTGCTGCCCGTCGCGTGTCTGTGGGGAGCGGGAGCGGGAGCGGCGAGGAGGTTAATTGCGGAGCTTTGTTTTCGGATCGAGGCGCACGTCCCCGTCCCCCTTGCGCCTAGGCATAGGCTTTCGGGAAAGAAAGCATTTGATTCACAATTCGTGATTTGAATTTGGACATGCTTCGCTTGGAATCTTGAATGCATGCTTGATGGATGTGCGTGCGCAAGTTGCAACGCAACACCCACGACTCGTGACTCGTGACTCTTCAGGCTTAGCGATGCACCACCACCCTCACCCACACCCACACCCAAACCCGTAACTCTTGCGGCTCACAGCAACGCCTTTGAGGAAAAGGCCGCACGCACCTCATCCACCTCGCCACGCTCACCACTCACGCTCCAGATCACACAACTCGACGAATTGCGATTCATCCGCTTCATCCCACATTCACAATTGCAGATAGATAGCATTCATTTCCTGCGCTTACTTGCCTCCCTTGTCTTCCTCCATTGTGCATCGCTCATACACGCAGCTCTCGCAGGATCTGTGCAGCTACAAAGATGTCGGCAGGAGACGCAGCAGCGGCAGCGGCAGCGGCATCGACCGGCCAAGTGATTCCAGCATCTCAGCGTACGCATCCTCGAGTGCTCTGTCTCTTCGACGTGGATGGTACGCTGTCCCTTGCTCGTCAATCCGCCACTCCAGCGATGATCCTTTTGCTCTCCTCCTTGCGCAAACACGTCGTCACTGGGTTTTTGGGCGGATCGAATTTGGCAAAGATTATGGAACAGTTGAGATCAAACGCTTCGCCTGATCCTCTGCAAGCTTTCGATTGGGGTTTTGCGGAGAATGGCTTGACTGCTTTTAGGGATGGGAAGGCGTTGGCTAGTCAGAGCTTCATCGAGTGGCTGGGAGAGGAAAAGTACAAGAAATTGGTCAGGTTTGTGTTGAGGTACATTGCGGAGCTTGATATTCCCATCATGAGGTGAGTGGGAGCTGAAGGGGAAGGGGGAGAGAGAGGGAGAAGGATGCAGTGGTGTGGGGGGGAGGGGGCAGGAGAGAGTCTGGTGAAAGTAGCTCGAGAGATTGAGCCATGAGCCAGCTGCGGGCTGGTGTGTGTTGACAAGACGCTCCTTTTGACCGCACTCGCCCCGCATCGCTCACAGAGGCACATTCATCGAGTTCCGCAACGGCATGATCAACGTCAGTCCAATCGGTCGAGACTGTTCGTGAGTGGCTTGGGTGGTGGTGGTGGTGGTGGTGGTGTCTGATTGTATGCGCTGTGCGCTGTGCGCTGTGCTCGCTCAATGCGAGGGAAGAAGAAGTTCTGGTGACGCGAGCCGCGCGCACCACTTGTCGCTTCTATACCAGACTACCCGAACGTCTAGCCTTTCAAACGTACGACGATGAGCATCAGATTCGCTCAAAGTTTGTCGAGGTGCTGCAAAAGGAATTTGCAGATTACGGATTGACATTTGCGATTGGGGGACAGATATCCTTTGATATCTTCCCAAACGGCTGGGACAAGACTTATGCGCTCAGACACATCGACCCGAAAGAGTACGACGAGATTCATTTCTTTGGCGATAAGACGCACAAGGTGAGTCTGGCCGTTTGGGTCTCCCTTTTGTTTGCGCTGGCGCTGAGAAGGCGGGGACGAGGAAGAGCAGAGCGGCGCAACGCATGTGAAGGTCTGACTGACTATCCATCTTGATCCCCCCATACCGCGCCCTTGCCTTTTGCTGCAAAAGGGCGGTAATGATCACGAAATTTTTGAGGATGCTAGGACTATCGGACATACGGTCAAGAACCCAGAGGATACGATGAGGCAGCTCAAGGAGCTGTTCGATGTTTAGATCGCGCTCGTTTTGCCTCTTACAAATTTCCATGCGATGGCTCGTTCGTTGGGTAGCATAGCATACCTGACTGCGCATGGTCGATCAGGCGCACACTTGCTGCCGCATTCAACTCTTGCCATGTGCTGCATTACACGCTGACACGCTGACACGCTGGATCGGGTACGTTGTAGGTAGGGTACGGTACAGCGGAGGGACGAGAGAAACTTGCAGCTAGACTAAACTTGTCCTCAGCTATAGGCTGGCTGAGCTTTTGGACTTGGACTTGGGTCTTGGACTTGGACTTGGCCCGTCTGCGCCCGGGCCCGGATGATTCGCGCAAGTGGCACGTCATTCGTCTTGAACAGCTTGCTGGGCCATCAGACTGCCTCGACCACCACCACCACTGATCCGATTCTGAAAGTCACGAGTGTTTGATGATGTGGGTGCATGCCATGGTGACTCGACTTGTCCATTCAAATTGACAAAGCCGCGCGTGTGATGTTGTGTGGGGGTAAAGACCGTAAAGGCATCCTTGAATTGTCCCCCGTCGGGGTGGATATCACGTGAGAGGTCTCATCAGGTGCGTGGCATGGCATACCGCGCATGCCTTCCTTGCACGGTACGGTCCGGTTCATACTGGTGAATGCATGCATGCATGTGGCCTCACCCGCGCTCCACGATCCACATTCGTGACTGCGATGCGCTCACTGCACACATTCACATTCCACATCCATCCATCCCGCTCCCACCCTTTACTCCGAACCGCGGCACATCCCTTGCCATTACCCAACTTGCGAGAGCGACGAGACACTTGCGGCACCGCCTTGCACGCTATGGACGCGCTCAAGGCTGAGATTCGAAAGCGCAAAGCGGAGGCGAGAAGTGGGGAGGGTGGGGGTGGAGGAGGTGATTATGCGGCTTTGAGCGATGTGCAAGGCGAATCGTCTTTGCAGGGGGGCGCTGGCGCTAGCAAGCATGCGGGGAGAGGGGGAGGCGCAGCGCAAGCGGTCGAGCAGGAGCGAGGTGGCAAGGAGAAGAGACGAGAAGAAGAGGTGGCGCAGGAGAAGAGGAGAGCTTTGAAAGAGGCTAGAGCTGAGAGGGATAGAAAGAGGGCTAAAAAGCTCAATGTGAACGCCAAGGTGGATGAATGCGGGGGTGCGAGGGATGATGGGAATGCCAGCGGCTCTGCGGATGCGACTGCTGCTGCTGCTTCGAAGGATGCTTCCCTCATTGATTCTCAAGATGCGACTGCAGCTGCAGCTGCTCACTCTCTCTCCGAGCTCAATTCGATACTAGAGACGCAAAGGGGTCTACGAGCCAAAGGCGAGCCTATCCAGTTGTTTGGAGAGAGCATCAAGGAAAGGAGGTTGAGATTGAGAGCTTTGGAACTGTTGGAGGAGAGAGGCGGTGGAGCTGGAAGGAGCGGTCAAAATGATTTCATGAGAGCAATGGCTGGTGCGGAAGCTAAAGATGCAGAGGTGGCTTTGGAAGCTGCTAGGAGGGCGGAACTGGGCATGTCGAGTTCTGCCGACAAATTCAACCTGGCAAAAGAAGGCAAGGACACGCAAGGCGATACGCAGGAGGGCGAGGAGGCGCAGAAGAAGGAAAAGGAAAGCGTGGAGGAAAAGGGAAGGGAAGGTGTGGGGATGAATAGCTTGTTGGATTTGGAATTGGTCAAGAAGGATATAGACAAGGTCTACCCCATCATCTACTACACGCTCAAGGGTCTCTTGAGGGACTGGGAAGAAGCTCTAGCTCAAAGGAGCCGTGAGTCATTTCGCTCTCTTGCGCACTCCGAATTTCGTACCGCACTTTTAAGGCGCTTCCCAGCGTGCGTGCCACTGGGAAAATCGAAGCTGACGCTCTCCAAACATCCCCCCCCCCTTGCGGTCCATTTCGCCCTCTACAGTCGAGGTGCGCCAAACCACGCAGGGAAAACTCATGGCAGCGACGCAAGTGCAATCTGCCGAGTATCTCAAGCCGCTCTTCAAGCAGCTACGTCAAAGAGTGAGCACAATCGATTCGAGCCATTCTATTTCGCATCTTCACCCCCCACCCCCCCACACTCCCCCTCTGCCCATTCTCTTCCAATCTCGGCACACCTTGCCTCCAAATCAAGCAATCTGACGTGCCCCCCATTCCTCATTCCTCCCCTTTTGCTCTTACGCCGCGCCGCACCGCACCGCACCTTCCCTTCCCCCCCTTCGCCAATACAGGCAGTCTTGCCAGACGTGCTGATGCGTCTAGCCGAGATTGTTCACTACGTTCAAAAGAGACAGTACAGGTACGCCAACGATTCTTACCTTCAGCTATCCATCGGAAACGCTCCCTGGCCCATCGGCGTCACCATGGTGGGCATCCACGAACGTTCGGGCAGAGAAAAGATTTTCAGCTCAAATGTCGCTCATGGTACGTTTGCTCCACAAAAGTGGTGGGGGGTTTTTTTTTGGGGCGCGTGGCGGGGAAAAGGAAGCGCTGCGCTGGCAAGTCCAAAGGCAGACAGACGCTGATGCAGAACCAGCTAATGTCCGCACTTCCCCTTTTTCAGTACTGAACGACGAAGTCAGTCGAAAGTATATCCAATCGCTCAAAAGACTCATGACATTTGCACAGACAAAGGTGAGTTGAGCCCTGGAGTATAGCCTTTGCGTTTGGCTCGTCGCTCGCTGACGTGCTTTGTCCATACGCAGTATCCGCCCAAAGACGCTTCCTTCTTGATGGGTTAAAGCAATGCTTTTGCAGAGCACGCAAAATAATGCATGCTCTCGCCCCCAGATATGGCCAAAGTGACTGTTGAGGGGGAGCGACACAAACGGTGACTCTCCCTCGACGCGATCGCCGTAAACTTCGCAATCTTGGCGCTGCTGTGCGTCGGGGGCAACGTCTTGCGCTTGCGGGAGAAGGATATCTTCGATCACGTTGTCAAATCGCTCTGCGCCGTTTGCGAAAAGGCACAAGATGGTCTTGTAATGTCCAGGCTGTCTCTTCCCGAGCGACGAATAGGACTGCGGTGCTTGAGAAATCCGTCAAAACCGCGGCCTAGGAAGTGCGCCGCACCCGCTCTTGTTTTCGTCGGGCGCCAGTGATTGACGGGACCCGAATCAGTGGTTGAATCCTTGATGCTTATCGATCCAGATTCGCTGATATTGCCCCAGCAGCTATGTCGCCCTGCCGCGCTTGGGGAGAAGAGGAGATGGACTTGTGCGTCGAAACGAAAGAGAAAAGGCGCACCAGGCACAGAGGTATAAAGAAGAGGAAGAGGAAGGAATAAGATGTGGAAAACAAAAAGCGAGGGGAGGTGCGGCGAGAAGAAGGGAAGAAGAGGAAAGTGGATGGTGGCGGAGGTCGAGCGTGGATGGGGTGAGCGTAGGAAAGATGAATGAGGTGCAAGAGTTGAACGAGGTGAAGGCAGTCGAAGAAAACAACATCGACAAGGAAGCGAGAGAAGGCGCGGAGGAGGAGGAGGTTGAGGCAAATGGTAACGGCGAGAGGAGATATGAAAGGACGACAAAGATGATGAGGTAGACGTTGACGACGTTGACGATGACGTCGATGGGTAAGTGTGCGAAGGCGATGATGATGGCGAACGAAGAGGACGAGACGGTGGCGATGGTGATAGTCATCGGGATGTATGCGGGTGGTGAGGAGTATCTTAGGAGCGAGACGATAAGGAAGTGTGGCGAAGACGGTAACGACGATGGGGAAGACGATGACAATGATGGTGATGATGATCATCAGGTCGAAGGGGTCAGAGTCGAGGATGAAAATGGCGATGTTGGTCAGCCACTGCTGACCCACAGCATTGCGTCGGACGAGAATGAAAATGAGAAGACCAATTCATCACCCCATCCCAACCTACACATCCTCGCACATCTGTAACACATCGCTCCACCATGCGGGCGGCAGCAGACAGGAAGGTCTGGGCAAAATAAATCGACACAGTGGACCGTCTCGATGCCAAACTCTAGGCAGAACTACCCCCAACGTCGCACATAGGACATCGTGAAGACACTCGAACAAGCTGTGCCCACTCCTTCTTGAGCGACTCTTTTTGGACCGCACCTCGCACAGTTTGAAATTCCATCTGGCTTTGTAACTGTCCCCTCGACCGTCCCACTCTGGGCCAGCGGGGCGGCGTCCAGGGGAGAAAGAGACGCCGCCCTCACGTTTGCTACGGAGGAGCCCTGGAGGCAGGGCCGAGCTTCGTCAAAGGGTACCAACCGACTCTCGTCTCCTCTTCACACCCACAAAGGAAGAGAGAAGAGAAAGACTGATTGGCGATTCGTACCCCATATTGCCTCGCACCCAGAAGAGATGGGAGACTTCGCTGGCTGTTGAAGCCCGCTCGAGCTAGCTGGGCATTCGAAGGTAGATCCTTGCGCGCAACTTGGGCCGAGAGCTTCGTGCACACGATGACGCCTCGAGCACGCTATGGCTCCACCGGAGGGCGGTCTGTTCCGTCCATTGGCCTTATCACGCCGCTTTCGCCCATAAAAAATCGAGAACTGACCGATGCTTCTCGTACAAGAGACGAATCCACTCACATTCATCAAACATCCTTGGCGGTTTTTGCAGACGGGAGAGGGACGAGCGTCCAGACGGTGGTGTGAGCGCTTGAATCAGCGAGTCGCTCCATCAGTATCGTCGTTGTTTCTGCTCGTCGCATAGCGGAACATATCGGACGCCCATGAGCGCTTCTCTTGTCATATTGCCATCTTCGTCGCGGGTGATCTGTATGATCTGCCTGTGATTGCGGCGCACGTGAGGGTGAAGTGTGAGTGCGCTAAACTCTCGATTTGGATGCTCGAGTGCGCCATCGTGAAGGCAGACGCATCTCGACGACCGCACGTCGCTGCTTACTGGTCGCCGCTCAGATTCTGTACCGGACACACGATGCGGCCTGGCGAAGCGAGCTGGTCCAGCAAGGGTTGAGGCACATCACCGTCTGCTGCTGCGCCTACGTGGATGGCCGAGTAGGGGCCTAGAGCGGGATAGCCTAGTCATCGGCGGATGACCGGAAGCAGGAGGTGCGAGTGAGTCATTGTTCGCCAGAATGACGGCACACGATCGACATGACGAAGAAGCCGCTGCTCGCTCACCTAATCTGCCGTCGCCGCAGTGGACTTGTACGGTTGACCTGTCCAGATCATCAGCCAGTCCATCCCTACGGATGTTCGCCTTTGAGATGTCGACGAGCTCGGAGATGTGCTCGATGCCTATTGCCTGGGAAGCGCCAGCTCGGAAGAGGACACTGAGAAGGTAGCCAGATCCTGAGCCAATATCTAGCACCTTGCCGCATCCCGTGCCGAGCGAGGTGGGCGTTTTGTCCTTGGCTGTCGCATCCAGACCAGCAGGAGCACGATCGGCAGCGGATGGATTCAGAAAAGGGACAAGCAGATCTGCTAGCAATGCGTGCATATGAGGTGCGCTGATCGTTGCTCCGTATCCGATTCCTTGGGGAGAATCGTCGTACGCCTCTCGATGAGACGCGTTCGACTTGCCTAGGCTTTCCGAAGAGGTTCGAGGCATATAGTGAAGTCGATCCGTCTTGAGCATCGCTTCTTTGACGATGGGAGAGCGAATCAACTTGTTCGACACCAGATTGTTGATCAAACCGCTGTTGGTCGCTGATCCGCTGAGCCAGGCCATGGTGGAAGGGGCCAGCGCGGAGGGGGTGCGATGCGGTGCGGTGCGGTGCGGTGCAGTGAGATGTGAGAACGCGGGGAGTGAAGCGCAATAGCAAGGACAATGGAAGTAGCGTGTGGAGGAAAGCGGAGCTGTATGCGTCACACTTTGAATTGGCAGTTGGGGGATATGAGGAGGATGGGGCGCATGGCGGATGGAATGCGAGAAGAAGTGACGAAGGGGGCGATGGTGGATGATTGAGCGACGTAAGGTGACTTCAGCGCGCGCGCACACACACACACACACTCAAGGCCGTGTGCAAGCAAGCAAGCAGGCAAGCAAGCACATGCACCGCTGAAGTGCGCGCCTGGTGTTCGCGCGCGCGGTGCCGCGGCTCATCCATGCATGCTGCATGCACTCGATGCGCGCCTCCACAACCGCCGGCGTGCATTCGATCACGTGCGGCGATTCGCTTCCTCTCGTACGCGCGATTCGTAATTTGAATGGAAGGATGATGGTCGGATCTTGCGCTGCGCTCGACTTGAATTCAAAATTGCACTCGTGCTCGCTCCTGACTCTTGTCTCATAACTCGCATCCGACCAAGTGAGGGGCCCACGGAGAGGTACAAGCAGCCAATCGCGAAGCATTCAGCAAGCGCCTCATAAGAGGTGATGCGAAGAAAAGGATGGCCCTCGTCATTGTCTGCGGTCTGCCTTGCTCCGGCCGAACCACTCGAAGCGAGCAATTAAAGTCTTACTTCGAAGCGAGGATAAGCGGCCAAGTCAGCTCGCATGGTAAAACCAAGGCTGTCAGCGATGTCGAATGGAGCACTTTTTCTGCTTCACATGGCATCAAGCGCACCGCAATACTTTCCGACGCAACGCTATGCACCGAGCAGAAGTGTCGATCAGTCTATACGCTCCAAGCGACGGAGAAACCAGCTCGTGCCGCATACCTCTCACTGGTAGTGAGACATTTGACACGAGATACAATCGTCATTGCGGATGGAGGAGCTGGCACGAATATCAAGGGCTTCAGGTACCAGCTTTGGTGCGCTGCCAGAGAAGCTGGTGTGAGGTTCGCTTGCGTATTCGTCAGCGCCAAGAGGGATGAGTGCGAGGAGAGGAATCTGCAGCGAAGTGTAGGGAAGGAGCAGCAGGGTGCAGTTGGCGTTGCGTGTGCAGCTTGGCATACCGAAACGTGCGTTCAAAGTGGCTTTCTGCTTTTCGTCTCGGCCTAGCATGGCTGGCTGGCTGACATGGAAGCCTCACCCTTTCCGACGGAACTCTCAGCCTCAAAGAGCTGTGTAGTCGGTTTGAAGAACCGACGAGCATGTCTCGGTGGGACTCTCCACTCTTCGTGGTGCCTTCTTACGGCCTCCTCAACCATCGAAGGAGCAATGCGAGCCCCGCAGACCAGCAGCTATCCTCCATTTCGCTTGGCTGGGAAGAGCCGCCGTGCGCGGATATCTGGTCAGCTTGCGTCGAGGGAAAACAAGTCAAAGCTCCGAACGTCGTTGCGCCCGTGAGTGGGGTCCACGTTGCTCTAAAAGGCATCCGCTGATGATTCCACGCGTGTACCTTGACCCCTTTCGGCTACGCAGGTCAGAGCTACTACAAACTCCTACCTCTCCTTACTCGAATCCTCTACGCAGAAAATTCTAGCTGCGTATGCAGTGCAGCTCTCGAGCAATCTGGTACCACTGCACGGTGGCGACCTTCTCCTGCGTCTTTCTCCGAATTCCTCCGCAACTCAAGTCGAGACCACCTTCACTCTCTCCTTGCCAGCAGGCAGAAGACCGCCGACGTTGCCAGCTTTGCAGAGGCTGAGGAGGACCTTTGTGAGGCTGCACGCGAGCGGAAGTAGTGCTAACACGGTGCTCGGCAAAGCTGTGCAGAGCGAAGGGACTACGAGAAAACTTGAGACAGCCCACACCCGCAACGAGGGTCCTTCGGCTTTGCCCAGAAGACGAATCATAGGCAAAGCCAAGCTAGAGCCAGAGGCGGAGGAAAAGGATTGCGAGAGCGACCTTATTAGCGATACAACAGTAGCGGCAGCGCAAGCGATGAAAGAAGTTGCGCAGCTTCCTCTCGAGCGATTGAGCTTGGACGATGCGGCCTCGCCTGCACAAACGGATCCTCGATCATCACGCCCCGCTTCCGGTCAAACACCTTCCACGAGGACGGAAGAGCAAATCATCAAGCGCTTTGTTGCCTGGTTGCAAGAGGCCTTGTGCAGCGATTCTGCAGCTGGATGAGGTGTGACGGGGCAGCACTTTGGAGAAGGAGACTGCAGATTTCCCCCCCACCCCTCCTCAATCTTACCCGCTTCAAACGCCTGTCCACGCCGTTTGTGTGTTTGGGGGCGGGGGAGCGCACTAGCGTCACGAATGGCAAGTGCGAAATTCGACAATGAGCTGCCTCGGCTCCACATCGTCTGCTGCTCGTCAAGGCCATCTATCTGATGCGGACATTTTGAGCCTGACCTTGCAGCGCGAATGTTGGTGAATGGTGCGGAGTCCTTCGCAGCTCGCTTCTGGAATACGTACCGCTCGAGTCGATTCGCATTTCCCACGATGCCATGCATCCGCAGCGAGTCGCGGGGTGTGTGTGTGTGGGGTGGGGGAGAAGGTCGGTTCGGCTGGACAAAGGTGCGAATATGCGACCACTTCGCTTTTAAGCCCCATCAGCGCTCGATCGAGACTGTGGCTGTTGTGATCGTGTACAGATGAGATACTCTTGCAGCTCCGCCACTTGTCTCGGGACGAGGCGGAGTCGTCTTCGTGTTGCGTCCTAGCGCTGGGCTCTTGCTCAGTCCATGCAGCCTTGATTCACGACTCGGGCGAGGCATATCCGCCGCGGGACGGCTATGCGAAAGTGCTTGGGCGAGTGAGTGAGAAGTTACGGTTGGGCACGACCTTTGGATCAGTGGTTTCGCGTACGAGGGGCAAGTCTAAGCGCGTTGAATCAAGTTCGGTCGAGTATGGAACAACGTTGTATCCTCCTCTTCTATATACAGACTTGTGCCTTCGTCACTGTTGAGTTTGTTGTGAAGTCATGCACGCATGACTCTTGAACCTTGCATCGATGTACCGATCGAGCACATTCTGATGGTGCCGATCTTCCCCTTCTCTCCATGATGCTGCGCGCCCATCATATGTGCAACAGTTGCGTCTGGGGTCAGACAAGGCGGTCTCTCGGTACCGCGAAAGGAGCTCTCGGCTGATGAGAGGTACGATGTTGCGTGAGCAGTGCTATAGAACATTGGAATCACCGGGCTTCACAGCATGTGCGACACAATCAAGAATGCGCTGACCTACATGTATTTTTGTATAGATTTCCAAGCCCGGCGGGTGCTTCAAGGGTTATTTGATTGCGTACACTTGGAACCCGAATCAATGAATTCGGTCTCGATTTCGATGACTCACTCTTGACTCAAGATTCTGAAGGTCTTGAGCCAACTTGAATTGGTGAGGAATCATCAGTAAGCTTGAACGCGATCTATCTTGATTCTCGAGTCACTTTCGTTTTCATTCGATACAAGATTGTGATTTCAGATTCTGGTCTTGTGCATTCGCACCGCTCCTCGCGGCTCGATGTTTGAATCGTAATCGTGAGTGTTGGAATCAGAATGAGCGATCGAAAGGTTTTGATTTGAAATTGATTGCTTCAGGGTTCTTACTTTCTGGCGTTTGACTTGCCCGAAACAGCGATGTTTCAAATCCTTGGCCGCACTCCCCTTTCCACCTGCATGCCATCGAGCGAGCTCTTTACACTTGGCTTGGCCTCCCCCCCTCCCCACCTTGTCCAGCAGCTCATGCCGTTGGATTCGTGTTCACGCGCGCCGCTATCACCATGTATGTAGAGCTCAACATCAGGCGCAGTCGTGAGTCATGACCTGCGGGCCAAGACAAGCTGCGTGCCGAGAGCAAAGGAGGGAGACAAAGTCTCGCATGAAGACAGCGGCATGCAGCAGCAGGGTGCAGTGCCCGCGGCAGTCACACGTACTCGTTCGTCACTTTGCTGCTCACCAAAAGCGGCAGGGCAACAGACCCTGCCTTGCAACTCTTGACTATAATTTTTACTCTTGACTTTGAATTCTTCATTGTTGATTGCTGCACATGCATCATGCGCTCTGCTTCCTCGAGACTCGACGGCTATAGTATGTAGCTGCAGTAGGCGCGGCGCTAGAAGCTGCGCTGACTGGTCCTGCGCGATGCTAGCGCATACACAGTCAAGAGTGCTGCTTATATCCCCTGCAACTTGCGGCACTTTCCCATTCAAATCACTTGCTGCTGCTGCTGCTGCTGCTGCTGCTGCGATGCATGCGTCTTCAATCGTGCTCCGCACCGCCCCCGGCCAAGACAAGATTTCAAAGGGGAAACGGGCGGCGCAGTAGCGCGGCGGCCCCGAGGTGACGGTCGATCGATCTCAAGTGCTGCTGCTGCTGAGGTCGGAAGCGCGAAAAGGCAGGCAGGGCGGCGCGCTTGCGAAGGCCACACCGCGCGTCTGTATGCGGCCTCACGCTGGGCGGGCACCAGACCCACTTTTGAGTCGCGAGTTGCGAGTGTGCATCGAGCTACGTTTACATACATGGCGGCTCGCGCTTCCTTCATCACCCCTTTCCTCACACAGTCCTAATCGAGCGCTCACACTTGACCCTCACTGCTTGGTCGCGCTCCTCGAACATCGAACATCATTTTCAGCGTCAGCGTCCCTCGACTCACGATTCGCGCCTGCCCATCTAGCCCCCGACGAGCAAGCCAAATCTCACGGTTGCGGGCGCCCCCCTGTCCTCGCACTCCAACCTGACGTATTTGACTGTTTCAGGTGGCCTGCAGCATCCTGTCGATTTTTGGATCGCGCACACATTCCCAGACGGATTTCATCCGAAACGGCAGCCACAAGCTGCGAGGGAGCTCTGACCAAGTCTTGCATCGCCATCCGTGTCAGTCAACACTGACGTCGAGCGGCCAAGTAGCCAGCTTGCAGGAGAGCTGAAAAGGGTCTTTTTGGCGAAACGCATCTGAATTGCTCACGATGGCCAGAAACGGTGGCGGTGGTGGGTTTGACTTCAGGTGAGTCTACTGAGTCAGCTCTTGTTCTGAAGCATACATGCCTGTTCGTCGAAAGAGCAGTTGCGTGCAAGCTAACAAGCAGCATCGTACCAGGAGAACATGGTCGCTCTAGCGCGCGCAGCCCAGTCGCCGATTGCTGCTTCGCATTCGACTAACCTTGACAATCGCCATCTTTTTCGCTCAGTCTGCTAGCCAGCAATCTCATTCTAGGCGGCTCGATTGGCATTGCAGCCATCGGTTGGTTCGTAGCATTCATCGGTCAGATCGTGGCACAAGCAAGAACGAACGACAATGTGCCTCGCTCCTCAGGCCAACTGGGAGTCTTGTGGTTCGGCATATTTGTGGAGCTGTTCCTCTTGATCGGCGTTATCCTCACCATTGCTACGGATACGATTGCCATTTCCAGGCTGCAGATCAGCGCATGGACCGCAGTTGGATTAGTGTTTTCCGTCATTGGCATCGACAAGGGCATCTACAGCGATGTCGGCTCGCTCGAGGCCATGGCAGCAGGCTACTTCATCCTGACAGTAGTCAACGTGATCTGGCTACTCTTTTTCACGTCTGAAGAAGACTCTGCAGTCTATGCCGCACTCTCCTCGGTGGGATCTGGCGGCCTGTCCGGACCCGGTGCTAGGGGCGGAGCTGTCGGCGGAGGCAGACAAATGCGCATGGCTGGAGGATCCGGCGCAGTAGGAATGGGAAGCGGAAGCGGAGGGTTCGCCTCAGGTGGGGGCGCGTACCAACAAGCATACGTCAACAGCCCATCGACTGCGGATGTCACCTCGACTGGTAGAGGTCTGGGTACAAGTGCGGGCGTCAGCGGAGCTGGAGCTCCCAGCTCGCAGAGCGTCCGAAGCGGATCGGTCGCAAACAGAGGCGCTGGAGCCAACGCTGCTAGTGGACCTGGAAGCGAGTATGCCGGTAGCCAGGCTCACGCACCGGGCAGCCCGACTGGCTCTAAGAGTGCAGACGCAGACCCCAACTCTGGCTATGGCTACCGGGCAAGAGCATTGTACGCCTGTGAGTCACACGTTGCGGAAGAGCGGCTCATGATCATCACGAGCAATAGGCCAGGAATGGCGGCGCCAGCTCAGATCTGTCCTGCTTGCGCTATGCTGACTCCATGTCGCTTTTGTGATACAGACCAAGCGAACGCGGATGACCCCACCGAAATCTCATTCGCAAAGGGCGAGCTGCTGGACATTGTCGACAACTCGGGCAAGTGGTGGCAAGCGCGGAAGTCCACAGGCGAGACTGGTATCGTGCCGAGCAACGTGAGCAGACCGAGATTGTGTGGCTTTGATATGGCGGCGAAGAGCGACGTTTCTGACTCTCATCTGCTCTTCATCAACCCGAAGTACATGCAATTGCTCTGATCAACGATGCCTCTTCTCTCTTGGAGCCGCCCTGTTTCGGATTCTATCTGTCGTGCTACAAGTCTCGGGACGCTTCGCGACGGCATTCAAACGCTCATCGCTAAAGGTGCTCGCTGCGTTCTGAGCAGGAGTGCAGGGAGGGCCGCTGAGAGTGAAATGCTTGATCGGTCGAAAGGAGGCCACGCCGTTGTCGAGTCTTGCACTCGTCGCTTCGGGGAGGCCCGCAAGTCTTGCAGCGGCTGCTACTGCACTGCTCGATCAACGATACCCGATCTCTCGTTTTCGAGAAATCAGATGTGGCCGCGTTGCAGGAGGGGAGCGCAGTCTCGCTAGAGATGCACCCATTTAATCGAACTGCCTCCTTGCAAGCGCTACGCCCTGCTCTTCGTCCCACTCTCCCTGTTCCGTCTCTCCAAAGCTCGAGCTCGAGCTCTCCATCCATTCTTCGAAGCCCCGTCCCCTTCTCATCTTCCTCTTCAACCGCACTTCCATACACACGCTCCCTCTTACTGCACATTTCTTGATCCCCCTCCCCACCCCGCTACAATCTGCTCGATGCTAAATCGGAAGCTCAATGATTCGTCAAAGTCGCAACGTCTGATCGACTCTTGCTGTTCGGTCATGAGTGTGAGGCATGCGATCAGACTTGCCTCTGTGTTGGCAAGCAGAGCTGGAACAGGTCAGCTTGGCGCACATTGACGATCAGATCCGTCAAAGTCGTGAAGAGAGAGACCTGAATCGACAAATGTTGAAAGCAGGGCCGTGGGACGCATGCTTTGTCTGGAGTTGAGAAGCGATCCCCCCCCCGAAGCGGCTCATTCATGCTGCATCTGCCACGACGATCAGCTGCCATGCAGTCATCGCTCAAGAGTCGTCACCAGTCAGAGTGCCAGCACCTGCGAGAATCGCAACCTGTTGTGCTGTTTGTTCGGCTTGCCGATCCAACTGATTCGAGCGAGCGCGCAGCGGAGCGCAGCGCATGGCTTTGGAATAACGCCACGTCACGTGAGTCCGAATGACGAATGCCCGTGAAATCGTGAATCGTGAATGCGGGGAGCGGCGGGGCAAGTCAAGTCAAGCGATTCACGATTATTGAACGCTGCAGAACGCCTGCACACGACTTGGCTTGCCTTTGTGCTGCTCTGTCTGTGTCTTTCCACGCTCCTCGTCGCTTCCATCCCTCACACCACATGCGTGCTCTCTTGGATAGAGATACAAGGGTCACGAGTACCGAATGAGCTTGCAGAGGCCGTAGCATTCAGCTTGAAGGAGCTGCGCGCAGTGTCAAGACGGACGCTTTCACCACCAACGGCGAAAAGGCTTTCCAAACATCATGGCGGATGATGCTGGTCCACGGCCAAGCGCTGCTCGGCATGCGACATCTAGCGCAGGTGCAGGTGCAGGGACAGGGACAGCCGCAGAGCAAGGCTCATCATCGTCCTTGGAGCCATTCTGGAGCTCTGCATTATCTCGTGCCAGCCCATCCATCACCTCGCTACGCCATCGATTGCCAACGCTTCCCTCTCCGCCCCTTCGTATTCAAAGGGTTTCTCAACTAGACGCCGAATTGTTGGATAGCGAGTTGACAACGATGTTATTGGACCCTTTGATGTCTTCCCTGTCCCTCATCGCGCCTCGACTACCCGATTCTTTGGGTCCCGAAATCAGAGCGACGCTAGAATTGGCCCTCTGGAGATTCTCCATCTTGGCCCAGTCGGCAACGTATGGAGCCATGCTGCAAAACCTCAAGTACAGAAACGAGTGGGCGCATCGAGCTAGAGGATTGCAAAGCACCGCTAGAGATGCCCCGCTGGCTATGTGGCAGCTGCTGCTTCATCCGATCCTCACCATCGGTGTGCCGTATGCCCATGCCAGACTGGAAAGGGACATGACTGGAAGGAACTTTTCCGAAAGGTCAAGCGACGATTGGAGGAGAAAAATTTGGAACGGCATGGATGCATGGGGTAGACTTCATGCTGCTTTGGCTCTCGCAAATTTTGTCATCTTCCTCGGTGACGGCAAGTGAGTTGGCCGCTGGTGGGACTGTATGCGCTTCTCTCGACGTTGCTCAGGTGGTGCACATTTTGATCTACGTCTCCCTCGTGCACAGGTATCGGACGCTCACAGACAGGCTGCTGGGTATGCGACTCGTCTACGCCCAACGAACAATGTCGAGAGCAATCTCTTTCGAATTCTTGAATCGTCAGCTCGTGTGGCACGCTTTCACTGTGAGTTCAGACGCGCTGACGACGCCCCTGCAAACAGCTCATCTTAAACAACGTCCTGATCGATGTGATCGCACAGGAATTCCTTCTCTTCATCTTGCCCCTGCTCAAACCACGTCGCTTGCTCAAGAGGCTCATGCGGCTGCCCACGCATCCCTGGATCCTCCGTGTCTGGCTTCTCGTCCTACCTCGACGCGTCACGTCCTTCTTTGGCTTGACGCAAGATGCGCAGACGGGAAAGCCCATCCTGCGTCTTCCTGCCAGCCTCACGCGCAGTGGCAGCAAGTCGGGCAAAGACCAAAGCAAATTCGCAAGCGTGCCCAGACATGTCTGCGCTATATGCTACGAAAGGGAGGAAAAACGGCAGGGCGGGATCGGTGGAGTGGGGAGGGACGCGATCAGAGCTGGTATACCCAGCTCGGATCCTTTGGATCCAAGCGCCAATACGCTGGCCCCTTCGAGGGCATCAGCCAATCCCAATGCGAGCTCCTCGCAGGTCAGACCTGCCCTACCTCGATCCAGATCGTCCAATAGCACATCCACCGCAGCGCTTCGAGCAGACGAGCCGACAGTGAGCTCAACAGGTATCGCTTACTCTACATGCACAGCACATACGCCTTACGTCGTACCCTGCTGCGGAGCTTCTTACTGCTACATCTGCATAGCTTCCGTGTTGCTTTCCGAACAAGCAGGCGAAGAGTTGGAGGATAGCGCAGAAGATGCTATAGCAGCGACGACCGAAGCACGCTCCTCCTCCTCCTCCTCCCTTACGCCCACCTCTCCTCGTTCGCCCGGCGCATCCTCAGCTTCGGGAAGCAGATCACCTCCTTTTAATCAGAGCGCCGGCGGCGGCGGCGCATTTGGTGATTCGCAGGCGCACGCTTGGAGTTGCCTCAGGTGCGGCGAAGGCATCAGAAGCGCAAGAAGAAGAGACGGACGCGAACCCGTGTGGAGAGAAGCGAAGCCTTCTAATCCGACTCGCAGGAGCTTCTCCAGCTCTGCTGATGACGACGATGAGGAAGAGCTCGATTTGCTCAGATAAATCTTGTCATAATCTTACCTCGTATTCCACCACTGCCGCTGCTGCCCCTTCTGGCAATGCTCATTTCTGAATCGCGCTCGAAACGGATCAAAATCGACATGCTGCTCATGCTCACGACGTCCGTTTCTGAAATGCATTTGTTTCAAAAAGAGGCTTGGCAGAAGACACCCGAACTTCGTCACTTTAAGGGTACAATGGGTCGGTCGGCGCAGTAGCGGCTTGGCTTCCGAAATTTGAATCTTGCTTGCCCAATCTAGCTATTCGCAGCTTGAGCTTGCTCTGACGGGTTCCGAGACTGGGAAAACTTGGCTCGGAGCTGAGCGAGGCGCTCGTCCGAATGAGAAGAAACTCGCTGATGGCTCGAGGGGGAGGGGGGCGGTGCAATGTCGGATAGCAGCACGGATTTTCGTGTCAGGCTGTCATGTCGATCGGTGGGGAGAACAGGAGAGGCAAGGCTTGATCTCGCAGATGCTGTGGTAGGAGGTGGCACGGGCGAAGCAACGGCCGTTGCCTGTTCAGCTTCATTGACAGATTCGCCTCGAATTCTTGAAGCAGCGTCCGGATCCGCAGCCGCGTGATTTGCCAAGGCTCGCTTGATGTATCGTTGGAAATATTGTCCGGTGTTCTCCAGACCCCTTTCGATAGCACTTTCCTTCTGCGGGTATTTCTTCTGGAACAAGTACAAGTCGTGTATGCCCTCCCTGCTCTCGTCCTTTTTTGAAATCTTGGCAAAGATGGTCTTCAGCTCCATGTCTGCTGGGTCATCGTCCGCAGGTGCAGAAAGACGTGGGCCTCCGCTCCGGACACTGGGCGACATTGGGGGTGAGGTGACGTTGAGAGACTTCCTGGCAACAGCACTCGACCCGAATTCCGCTTCGGCTCGATCTGCTTCCTCGGTGACCGCTGCGTCCTCTGTTTGCGGCTGCGCATCTTTGTAGACGAGGCGATACAAGTAACTGTATACGTGACTCTCTTCGGGATCTTGGAGGTTTTCGAGCAACGAAAAGACGTTTTCTCCATACACTTCAACAAAGTGGCCGAGTATGGCCTTGATTGTCCGCAGAGGCAGCTGGCCGAGCGGCAAATTCTCACTGCCTCTTCTACGCCACTCTGAAGGTGGGATAGTCTGCAGGAATGTCTCCACTTCGGCTAGCAGCTCGGGTGCATCGAGCGCATCGCCTCGAAGCTCTTCCGGTAAGCGTCTTGCAATCTTCCAGAGACACTTCATGATGAGCTCTGCAAATTGTGTGCGACGCTTCAGCACCTCTCCTTGTAGCTCCGCCATGTCCTCCGCCGCTTGCACGAGCATCGATAGCGATCCGCCAAATAGCACGTTCAGACGGCAAGTGGAGAAGCTTCTCAGCACCACAATGTTGATGTATTTGCCCTCTTGCTGGAGGGTCTCACCGTCTCGTGAGCATTCTATGAGCCTTTGCAGCAGCTCAGTGAGCAACGAGACGAATGTGGTTCGTGTCACGAAGTTGCCAAGCGGGCGTCCCACAGGAGCGTCGCCCTCAGCCTGGGGGGATGCGTCGCTGTTCCATCCCCGTTCGAGGTCGAAGAAAGTGGTTGCGGCAATGAGTAGGTGCTTTTTGAGTCTGTCGATGCCTGGATCGGAAGGCGAGGCGAATACTCGATGCAGCTGCTTGGTGATGACAACACCAAATCGATCTGCATATTCTGGCATTGCCGGCTGCACTTCATGCATGAAACGCTCGATCGACTTGAGCGCCTCGACACTGCGCTCTGGATCGCTGCTGAGAACCTCGTTGACTGTTTGCTCGACAGTGTATGCGTCTACGTCTCCTTGCACGGAGCCCTCTTCATCATCTAGATCGTGTGTCCCGGAGGCAGACGTAGCTGGGGCGCCAGAATTACGCTTTGCGGATGTGCTTGGGGCATCTGAAGATGCGGGCGCAGCAAATGCACGACTTCCGGGCCGAGCGATGCCGCTGGGCATTCGCATCCTACTGGCCGCAGCGCCCGGTGGCACGATACCGCTGACTCCGGAAGCCGCGGAATTGGTCGAGGAGGGGCGTGCAAGCCTAGAAGGACCCGCAGGCTTGGCCGAGGCCGGCAGCATGCTTTGCCTATTCGAGGCGGAGGAAGGTTGGCGCACCGGCGGCGCTGCTGTGCGCTTGAGACGCTCCTCGAGAAGTGACTTTTCCTTTGGAGGAAGCGAGCCCACGTGTTTCCAGACCTCCTCTCCTACGATTTGGTAAGCTTCCCCTAGCGCTAGCAGTGCAGCATTGCGGACCGACGCGTCACGGTCTGAGATTTGTTTGGCAATGATGGGAAGGGTCTTCGCGGGAGTGCACACCTGCAGGCCATGCTTCGAGAACAGGAAGCCAAGCTCCGTGAGACACTCCATTCGTACCTTGGCGTTCTTGGACGGCAGACCATTCTCCACAAAGTGGCTCAAGATCTTGCTGGGAGGGAAGATGAAAGCAAGTCGGCGGAAGATGTCCCTGATGCGGTCTCGGAAGGCCACTTTGGGGTCGCCAAATTTGCCGACCAAGCAGGGTAAGATTGAATTCGCCTCGTAGTCGCTCATATGGTACTGCTGCTCGCGCAGAGCGTTGACCAGATGGTCCAAGACATCCAGGCACTTGAGGAAGATGCTGGTATTATTGTCGGTGAGCCGCAGAGCTACGTACTTGAACACGAGATCTGCGTTGGCGATGACACGCGCGGCCGTCTCTTCATCTGATAAACCGTATTCTTCCTGGACAAATTCAGGACTTGAGGTGAAGTCTGATATCAGAGTCAGTGCGGAGAGGAAGTCTCGTTCGGCATTGTGATCCTTCGAAAACAGTGAGTCGACGAGGCTGGCGCTTAGGTGCTGCTCGCAATGGGAGCGAAGTACCTCGGAAAGCTCGGGTCTTGGTGTAGCATCGGGGCCAATCCATTGCTGACCCCGCCCCTCTTTGCGTTCTCGAGCAGCCTTGTACTTGATGTCAGCACTGATGAACGGTAGTGATTTATCCACTGCTTTCTCCTGCACGGCAGAGGGCTTGCGTGAGGAAGGAGCACCGATCCTAGACTTGATGGCCGTCGATGGTGCGCGGTCTGTAAAGACGTCGTCACTGCTGAGGACGGACTGCGGCCGTGACGCGCTGGGCGCCTTCAGCGAACGTCCAACAGCGGTGGGTGGCTTGACTGACGACGGCCGGCTCAAAGCGCTGGCAGGGCGCGAGGCAGGCGCACTTGCACCGTTCAGCTTGCTCGAGGGAGAAGCAGCAGGTGAAACGGAAGTGGAAGCTCTTGCAAGCGCAGCGACACCAGATGCTCGAGCAGGAAGCGCCTTACTAGGCGGCTTTGCCGCTGGCGCTGCTGGAGGCGGAGCGGCTTTGGGTGCCTTAGCTGCAGCTTCGCTCTTGGCAGCGTCGATGAGAGGCAGCACACTACTCTTTTGCGCCGGCTTCAAAGAATTGGTTTGTTCAACGACAAATTTATAGCCGCATCGCATGATGATGTACGGCAGAACAGCTTGCGCCGCTTTGCGCACAGCTGCAAGCTTTTCGTCCAGCGTTTGGACCGCCGACAGGGCAAGTGGTTGCAGGTCCAAACCCTTCTCTGGCGGGTGAGCCTCGAACCAGGTGGCAAGCCACGTAAAGAGCTCCTGACGCAGCGCAGGATTAGCTGCCTTGGTTTCGAGCACTGAGCCAAATCCGGAGATGAGTGGCGCGACGCCCGAGGCCTCGGCCATAGCTTGCAAAGCGCTAGTCCCAGCTATTCTCATTGGTGCCTTAGCGTCACCCAGGATCGGTGTGACCGAGGCCGCAAATGCTCGCGCGATTGGCTCAAATTGCTTGCCCATCGCTGCAGCAATCTTGGAAATGATATCCAAAGCGGTCGTGCGGATGGCCATGTTGTTATCGGCGTATCGCAATTTCAGCGGACCGCTGAGCTCCGACATGTTGCCTTTGAGACGCGTGTTCGCGGCCACCACTCCTTGAATGGTGTCAAGGCCCTCCTTGCGCTCTTTCCAAATCGCGCTGCTCAGTAGAGCGATGGCGTCCGACGGAACGATCTTGTCGATATCCACCCTCGGGACGAGAGCCTCAAGAGCGTCCTCTTGATCATCTTCATCAGCAGCTGCTCCCGCCGCTTCACCGGCTCCAGAGTGTGAGGTTGCCCCTTGTGTCTTTACCTGCAGCTCGTCCGAGAAGCGCGTGGGCGCGGGCGGAGGATTGCCTCCAGCTTTGCCGATTTCGCCCTCTACGATGGTGCGGAGCTGTGGGCTCAGATCGCCCAAGAAGTTGTTGAGTGCAGCACCGACAAAGCGAGCAAGAGTGCCTGTGACCTGGGTTGCATTCGTTCGAACAGCTGCGTTGGCTGACTTCAGACAGGTGACAAGGAAGTCAATCAAGCTTCGAATGTCTACCCCCTGAGTCCCAAAATCCAACAAAGCCTGGTCAATCCAGAGGAGCGAATCGGCAATTGCTTTCGGAGCTTTCAGGTTCGAGAGTGGGCCCATGGCTTGAGCGAGGACAAAGCCGAAGCTCGTCTTTTCTGCGAACAAAGCCAACGTCTCTCCGGCCGGCCCTTTCAACTTGATGTCGCCCAGTTTGTCGCACAAGGGCTGAACGGAAAGGGCTATTGTTGATCGGCCAAAGGATGTCGCCTCATTAGCTAGCGTGCGTAGCGCTTTGAACACTTCTGCGTTGACTTGAAAGTTGCTCTCTTTCCATCCTGGCTTCTTGCCTAGTGCTCGAACAATCACCTCGCACTCGACTTCGGCAGCCTCCACACCCAGCCAAGTGTTGAAGTCTTCCATGCCTTGCAGTCTCTCTTTCCAATTCGAGCTGGCCAGCATACCACGAATTGCTTCCGGAATCAGGTCGGCAGCGCGAGTGTCGGCGTCGTCAGGATGTATGCGGAACTTGACTGGCTCAGTCGCGGACGCAGCTGCGCCTTTCGAGGCTGCCTTGCCCGGAGCTGCTTTTGGTGCTGCTTTGAGGGGCACAGCCGCAGCAGCGGGCTTCTTTGCCTGAGAAGTCCACACAAAGCGTCAGAGTATACTCAGCCATGCTGCTCAAATCGTCGTGCTTACCATGAGACGAGCCGGAGGCTTGGCGACTGGCGCAGTCGGGCCTCGCGAAGAGCTTGGAGCCGAAGCCTCGCTTCCTGCGGGAGGCATGTTCTCCTTGTTCGCAGGAGCGGGTTTCTGCAGAAACCATTGTTTGGTCAGGGCCACATATTTGAAGAACACGTCGTAACCTTGTCTTACCTTTGGAGGCGCTAGGCGTGGCTTCGGTGGCGCAGATGCAGATGCGGCTGGGGCCGCCCTAGCAGGGGCTGCTGCAGCCGGCTTGGAGGTCTTGACCTTGACAGTCGCAACCTTGAATTGATCTTGCACTTTGCCCTTCTTGATATCATCCAGAGCATCAATGAACTGATTCATCGGCCGCTCTCCGATGAGCTTCATTAGAGTTCCGAGACCTTGCGCGCCAGCGTCTCGTACATCCGGCGAACTGTCATCCATCGCGCCCATAAGAGCTTCTGCTATAGGTTTGAGATCGCCTTTGGCAGGCATTGAGCGCGTCTCAGCTAGGCAACGCGCCAAGAATCTGATGGCTTCAGTCTTGATAGCGGGATTCTTGTGCTTTGAGGCTGCCAAGGTATCTTCCAGGATATCGCTTAACGAGACCTGAGATACCGATAGGACGGACGTGGTCAAAGCGAGATCAGACCTAGCACAAGCCGTGGTCTACTCACGGTCAGGAACAAGGCATCCAGCGTCTCGGTGATGATCTTGACGCTGCTCTCCTTCTTCTCTTTGAGCTTCTCGAGCAAGGCTGGCAGGGCTCTGTCTTTGTATTTGGCAAAGTTCTCTCGCATTCCCTTGGCAAGCAGGGTGAGAGCCTGGCAAGAACCAAGCGCCACGTTGATGTTGACGTCTTTCTTGATCTTTTCGATCAACGCATCAATTGGGCCATCTAAAGAGGGTGTCGCGAGGACTTTCGGGATGCTTTGAAGTGCTTTGAGGAGACCATCGACTGCTTCCTTGCGCTCTTGCCACTTCTTGGACGCTAGTAATTCGTCAAAATTGCTGGGGAAATCTGCATGCTTGAGGGGATCTTGCGGCTCAGCAAACTCAAGAGGATCGACTGGCTCCGCTTCTGGGGCCTCGCCACCGCCGTCTGCTCCTTCGCCGTCACCGTTCCCACCATTCGCTGCCTCTGCCGCTGCTGCCGCCGCTGCTTTATTCGAGAGAAGATGCCGTTCCGGCGTCGTGTATGAGTCGCCTGCCGCTTCAAATTGTGCTTTGAGCTCTTTTGCTTGTATCTCTTTCAACTCATTCAGCGTCGGAGTCAGAGCCGCGCCGATCCATCGGTGCAGCTCGACGGCTAGCAAGCCGGCCTCTGAACGTACGCCTTTGTCCGAGTGCGCGAACAGATCCTTCAGCTTCGTCAAGATCGGCTTTGGCCGAACTTGCTTTGGTCCGAATAGCCTAAATCGAGTGAATCAAAAGACGTTCAAAATCTTGACTCGCGCGTGCAAAGGATTGTGGAGCGACGCACCGAATCGACTCTTTCAAAGCCGTCACTGCAGCAAGAACCACCTTTGGCTGCTTTGCTTCTGTGCCTTTGATGAGGTCGGCCTGTCCGATGTAGCGTGCGTAACCAATCAGCTGGTGAAACGCTGCCGCAGAGAAGAGAAGGACTTACAACGACGCCTTCGGAGCCAGCGACGTCCTCATTCTCGACGTAGAACAAAGTTGCTTCTAGAGCAGCCTTCTTTGTGCCCGCCCTCATCGAGCCCAGGCATTTTTCTACCAATGATGGCAAGACGGATTCACGAGTGCTGGAAACAGAATACAGCATTAACGTGATTTTCTAAATGCGGATTGTGCAAACCAAAGCAGCGCATCGTGCTCCACAGGATTCCGAGGCCGCAGCGCACACTCACGATCCAGCCTCCTTGCCGCCAAATTCAACGAATGTTCTGATAGCCTCCGTACCCTTTTCTTGCGCGACTGCGTTCGAGTCTGTGGCCATGGCTTTGACGACGTCAGGATTCCTTGTGTAAGGCCGAAACACTGCATCCTTCTCCGATGCCGAACGAGAGAATTGCCGATTCAAGTCTTCGTACGCCGACACGCGAGCTTTCCACAACTGTGAAAGATGAGACACGATTAGCATACATGCATTCAAAAGCCTTTCAAGGCCTCATCGTGAGACCAGTCAAAGGTCATTCTTGACTTCCAGATGCTTACCTTGCTTTTTAGCCGCTCTTCGATTGGCAATTTCGAGAAATCCTCCTCAGGCGGTGGTGCACCGCTCATTCCACCCATACCACCGCTTCCACCAACATTGAAGTCGTCCATCGTAAGAGTTGGGGTATCTTGACGCTGAGATCATGCGCAAATTGTGCTTCGCTCTTGAAATGAGTCGCGTGCTGTCCAAATCCTCTCAGGAAGCATGCAGTGTGCGTTGCCTTGAGTGCGCAGTCGAAGTCGTAGCCAGAGTCAAAGTTGCATGCCGATTCCGCTGGAGGTCTTCCTGATGTCAGCGTTGTCACACCGCTGGTAGTGTGCGTGCGATGACCTGAACGGAATTCGAAAGAGGGAGGGGGGGACAAGGGGGAGGCAACTGGAAGTCGACTGACGACTGTCCACCGCCCGCGAGAGAGCTCTCTTGCGTTGGTTCATCGTCTATCGACTTTCGACTATCCCATCGACCGCGAGCTATGCGCGCGTCTTGATCCACAACACCCCCGCGAGTCAGGCGCGCGCCGAATCAAGAATCCAGACGCGCTGTCACGTGACCTCACGCGCGCTCGAGAAGAGTGAGTCAAAGTTTGATCCAAGATCTCGACTTTGACTTATTATTCAGATCCCAAATTCAACTTGTGATTTGACTCGTTATCGAGTTGATTGATTTGTATAGCTCTGAACTGGAAGTGGGTCTTAACGCAGCTTGTAGCCCTATAGCGGGTATACGTGCATGGACAGTCACAGCCACGAGTCGATAATGATGTGGGCTCAAACGACGTCAGTCGCTGCTGCTTGAAATTTATGATTCTCAACTTGAAAATCGCGATTTGATTCAATTCTTGCTTTGAGCGACTCATCCTTGAGAGCCTGTATCCGACATCTGCACTCACGCGGGAGTGAGGGCTGCTGCGCGCGCACGCAAACGAGAACAATAATTTGATGAATCAATTCAAGATTTTGATTCTTGCGCCAACGACACATGTGACACGCGAGGCGGCGCAGCTCCGCCCCCTTCATGCAAGATGGGCTTCAAAATGAAGGGCGCCTCTCGCTCAACGTCTGATGAGTGGTGCGAACCACGTCTTGTATGCGTTTTGAGTGCCCGTGCCCGTCTCTAACCAAAATTTTGAGTTCATGCAACGCAGTACGCGGGCAACCGCGACGCCGAGCAGAAAGTCTTCTCGCACCAGCACATGCAAGCAGCCGGAAGGATCGCATACCACTGGGCGACAGCTTCATCCGTCACCCGGAGTACCAGTCGGGAGCGTCCTCGTCGCAAAGGTGATCGTGTACGCTCGGTACCCACACCTCGCTCTCTTACCAGCTCCAGTCATCCCTAGGCATATCTGTAGTTTGCGGGTGCACTTGACTACAGCATCTTCTTTAGGACACTTGCCCTGTATCCGCGCATGAAAGGCTTTGAAAGAAGGGCTCAGCACGACTTTCTCCCTCATCATTCGACCTCGCGATTTTCGCAACGTCATCCTCGATCCGCCCATCATTGATTTACCTTGTTGCCCTTCCGCCCGGCTAGCTATCTTTGGCATACCAGTGCCCCGTCGTCCAAGCGCTTTCGCTGCTCGACGCTCGGTCCCGAGTACTGATCCGCTCACCGTGACCCTGCCTCAACTCCAATCTCGAACTCATTCGAGCTGTTTAGAATAGCCATCATCTCAAAATGGCCGCAACAGAACACAATACCTCTTCCCCGCAGCCCGACGCCGCAGCAGCTGTTATCGCTAGCGAGGCCAATGCGAATGCAGTCAGCACCAACGGGAATGGCGGCGACGCCGCACCCGGTGCCGAAGGAGCCTCTTCGCCCAGCAAGGCCTCGGGTGGAGCAGCTGCTCCTCCCGATCCGAATGCTCCACTCACTGTGCGCGCTCTGGTCAGCACAAAAGAAGCTGGTGTCATCATCGGCAAAGGCGGTCAAAATGTTGCGGATCTGCGGGAACAGACGGGCGTCAAGGCGGGAGTTTCCAAAGTCGTCCAGGGAGTTCACGATCGTGTCTTGTCTGTGACTGGCACAGTGGAGGGTGTTGCAAAGGTGAGTATGACGTCTGCTTCCTGGGCAAGATCGAGCATTCACGCGCTTGGGACCTGCACTTGGAGGGCCGCCCAGCCGCGGTTGAGGGCTTGGGAAAGACAAGGGTCTGACCGCTATTCCCGCCCCTTCCGCTCTTCACAGGCATATGCGTTCATTGCCAAGACAATTCTTGATAATCCTGTCACGGCGGCCGCTGCACCCGGAGAAAGCACGACGCCTACCACGGGTACGCTTACTTCCATCCGGCTGCTGATCTCACATAATCTGATGGGTACGGTGATTGGTCGTCAAGGTCTCAAAATCAAGCACATACAAGATATCTCGGGAGCCAGAATGGTCGCTTCTAAAGAGATGCTACCTCAGTCCACTGAGCGCATTGTCGAAGTGCAGGGAACGACAGAGGCCATACGTGTCGCGATTCAAGAAATCAGCCAGTGCCTTCTGGAAGACTGGGAACGGGGCCAAGGTACTGTTTTGTACCATCCGGGACAGGCAGACGGCGCAGGTGTGCTCGCTGCGGGAGGTGCAGGTGGTCTGCAACCTCAGACTGGTGGCCGTAGAACCAGCGGAGCGTACCTCGCCGGGGCCATGTCGTCTATGACCCTTGGCGCCGGAGGCTCGCACATCTCGACATTCGGAGCTCCGACTGGCGGTAGACGCACTTCGCAAGGAGCAAATGGCGATGGTCGAAAGGCTGCGCCAGTAGCTTTAGACGCTGCTGCCATCGCGGCTGCCGGTGGTGCCGCAGTCACGCCTGGAGGAGGCCTGCTTACGGGAGCGCCAATCTCCTTGGCACCCGCGGTGACCGTGGACCCAGCCAACATGCGAACACAGAACATAAGCATACCTTCTGACATGGTCGGATGCATCATTGGCAAAGGCGGCTCCAAGATCACCGAGATCCGTCGCTTGAGTGGCTCTCGAATCTCGATCGCCAAAGTGCCCCACGACGACACCGGCGAGCGTATGTTCACCATCCAAGGCACTCCAGAGGCAAACGAAAAGGCGCTGTTCTTACTCTACAATGTGAGTGATAGAGCTTGAGCACACTCCGTCCCGATGGACCAATTCCGCTGATATTCATTACCTCGCAGCAACTTGAGAGCGAAAAGGAGCGAAGGACGCAGACTGTACCGGAGGAGGATATCGATGCGGCTAACGCTGCCAACAAAAAGGACGAGACCACCACGGCATGAACATTCATGAAGGTCGACTACGCAACACCGAACGAATTCGTGCAAAGCTTTGCATAGTCAGCACGAAGGAGGAACATCGTCACATCGACCTTGTGACAGACTAAAAGGGCGTGGTAGTGCAGTCTGCGAGCGTGTTCATTTTCCACTGGCTGCAAGCTATATCCTAGCATTCACTGCCGAGATAGCTAGCATTCACTGCCGAGATAGCAAGCTCTATCATTTCGAATCGTGCTTCACCTGACGACTGCGTTAATGCAGGAATGTCTGAGCGCACGATTTGGCGGTCACATGTTGTGCCATTCGGTAGTAGACTTCAGCGCTTGCGCTTACATCAACACAGATTTGGGTGATGGTTCTGACTCGAGCGCCTCATCCACCGCGGTCCGTCGCCTCGTTGGCTAGCATATACAGAGTGTCGACTGGTGTCAGGGTCCGTCTCGCACGGCCGGAGTTGATGTGGCAGTCTCGTGTTTGCCGATGCTCACCGTCGTGTCAACCTTTTAGAGCCCTCCAATGATCGCGGTTAGATGTGCCGCGACCCACCCTATGAAGCTCTGTGTCAGAATATCAGGAGCAGTGATCAGCTTGGACGAGCAGCAGATCAAACCTGTTCACCTCCGCGGTGTCTGTCTAGCTCTGCTCCAACTTAGACTCAGACTCCCTTTTGAACGCGCATGTCGATCGACGCGCGCGTAATCTCTCGCGTGCCCGTGCCGCGCAGCTGTTCGACACAGGGGCTCCACTATCACGACTGGCTCATCGTCGGCAGCAGCTCTAAGGGGCGGTGGTGCGCAGCCACGTCGCTCTGACACCGATGACTCTTGTTCAAATTAGATGAGGCGCTCATATCGCGCAGCAGCCTGGGCCGCTACACAACATTCGCAGTCGTGAGTATTCGTTGTCACTCGGTATAGGTACACATCATAAGCTGTATCGAGCGGAGTGCCGTGCCGTTCTTTGAGTCACGAGTCTCGACTCTCGAGTCTGATCACGATATGAGTACCGTGCTGCGTCCACACGCTGCACCGCTCCTTGTCCGAGCAGTTCCGGTTATAAGATGAGCGAGCCGTCGATTCAAATTTCACACAAAGCTTCGAGAAGTAAATTTGAGGGGGCGGCGCGTTAAGCCAGCAGTCAGGCACTGCATGACATGACCCTGCTGCTGCACGCGGTTATATAGCATGCAGCAGCTAATAATACAGTCAGAGTGCAGGCGGCTGCGCAAAGCCGCGTGGCGCTGCATCGCTTTGACTTTTTGCGCGGCGCAGTCACAGTGCATATGCTGTGACTGCTGGTGAAACCTGCAAATTATGCCCTCGATCGATCGCTCAGCGTGTACAAGAGGCGAGCCGAGGCGAAGCGAAGCAGGTTGCTCTCTGACGCTCACGCCCATGCCCGTCATCCAATCCAAGGCCATATCGCTGAGTATAGCTGCTTGCTTTTCACATGAGCAGCTAACTCGCGAGGGCCCTCAATCACCTCATTGGGGCTCATTGGCTCCTCTTCAAGTGCGCTCCTGGTTCTTGACGTCGACTTGTTGGCTTGCGTGAGAGCGCACTCTCCGCTACGCCAGCCATTACGCGTCATCCACTCGGGACATCTGACTTGAGGAGGTCACCCAGGCTTCAAGCCACGAGCTTGCTGCGCTCAGGCTTATCGCGCCACGAGAGCCAGAATTGCAGGTCACGACTTGAGGAGCTCCAATCAGGGACGCCTTCATTGGCAGCTCTCTGATCTCGGCAGCACACCTGCTTGCCCAGCAGGCGCGAAGCTTCTCTAGCATTCTCGGAACCTTTGTTACCGGGCTTGGTAGCCTGTGCTCTGGTCCCAGCACTCACGGCTCATCATGGCTTACACTCGCGCAGGTCACCACGACCTAAACGCATTGGGCAATCCTAATGGCCACACGCAAGGGCAACCTGCGCCTGGTCAGCACGCATACAGTCAGCATCCCGAGTATCAGGTCCAGCATGCATCAATCGCTGGACAAGGTGGATGGGGTAGCAGCCAGCATCAGCTCAGCGACCCCGCTCAGACTGTCGCTCATAGTGGAGTCACCATGTCCGGACAACCAGCAGCACAAATGCAAGATGGTGGTGTGGTCCTGATGGATTCTTTTGGCAACCAGACCGGCTACTGGCCCCCTCCTCAAGCACCGAGGCTGACCGCGGCTGCTCCACGAGGCGGTGCGCGCAACATGTGGAGCGCTGCCTGGCAGAATCATCCCTCGAACAGTGCTTACTTGCCCCAGCAGCGTCGGACACCGTGGGCTGCCGATTCGTGGAATCAAATGCACACAACGACCCATCCCAGTACGGCAGGGTACTACCAGAATCAAGGCGCTCAGTACCAGCATCAATCTCTACTTCACGAACAGCTTCGAAAGCTGCAACAGGATGCTGACGCCCAGCTGCCCCAGCAGCAGTCGTCCCATCTACCGCTTTCTGAGGCCTGGTCGCAAGCGCCCCACAACGTAGCCAATCCCGCTTATTCTCATATGCTCTCACAAAACCAACACCAGATACCCGCGGCTCACCAGTCCTATCCGACACAATCTCGGATCGCACCACAGAGCGCTCATCACCCATCCGTTGACGTCCATCTGAATAGCCTGACGCAGCCTCAGCATCTGCCTTACCACTACTCGGCGGATGGCAATGCGTATCCTGCGGGACACGCCCAATCTCATACAGCCCTGCAACCTGCGGCCATGGGCCACACTACCTCGACATATCCTGTGTCACAACATGCTCCAGCTTACCAATCGCAATGGCCATTAGCAGACGCGCAGATTTCAGGACCGCAGTCATATGCGCGCCCTGATGCTGATGGGTTCGGCACAGCCTACCAGCCCCAGCCATCGTCGCATCAAGGTACGATGTCCATGGAGCAGCTAAGCGCCATGGGCCCATCCACATGGAATCGACCTGCTCCGCCAAATTGGCAGGTGCAGCCTGAGCATGCGAGTCAAGCTCACTTCCCGCCTAGGCCCCATGACTGGAATGGCACGGCTCCCACAGACCCAAGGCGAGGTAGTGACCAACAAGTCATGAACGTGCCTGCGCCACCTCCTTCAGCCGAACAGGAGCGAATTGCTCCGCCCGCAGACGGTCCCGCTCCGCCCTCTCCCGCCACGCTGGATAAGTCAGCTTGCCCACTGTCTGCCATGGGCGCCGAGATCATTTGGGGAGCGAGTGCGGCACTCTTCGATCCTGTATTGATCTCTACCCAGTACGAGTTGCCGCAGCAGCGAGGGCGCGCAACAAGCTCCGCGCAAAGCAGTCCTCTGCTTGCAACGCCGCAGATGTCGCCAAATCTCTCATCCTTCGCATCTTGGACCAAAGCGGAGGCTACCAGCGGGCCAGCGCTAAAGGCCGCAGCGACGCATGAGCTAAGCAAATCGCCTCAGCACCGCAGTTGGAACACAGGACTAACAGGGGAGCTCAACACAGCGCCAGTCAGCTTGCTCCATCGTTTGGCTGTGGAAGGCGCTGGTGCTGCCAGTGCTGCACTTGCTGCGAGTCAGAAGCCTGGCGTTTATCACCGCGAGAGTGGTGACAGCTCGACAGGAAGCAATTCCAGCACCAGCGAGCCAGGAACGCCGCCATCCATCGACGAGTCCGACCTTGGCATTCGAGCTTCGCCCAAAAGTCGAATGGACATGTCTGTTGGGGCAGATGAAAGAGCTGCTCCACCTTCCTCCGAAGAATCTCTGAATGCCGGCGCCGCAAATACGAAGACAGGCTCGTCTGCTACGCCTTCCATGCGGCAACAAGGAGATAGATCGAAGCAAGCGATCCTTGCGGTTTTAGGCTTGGTTTCTCCGTATTGGAAGTGGAGCGTCAATGACGATAAGCTTTCCTCGGTCATTACCGCCAATGTATCCTCCAGGACCGGGACCAGGGACGGCTCACCCACTGCAGTGCCCATGACAGCCACGCGCACTCGTCGCAGCTCCAGCACATACAGCTCTCGTCACGCCGGGCATTCCGGAGCCATGCCTGGCGCTGACGTGAGTCCAGCATTTCGACGCTTTTGCCAGCAAGTCTTGGCACAGACGCTCCTCAGTCCAACCGCTTTCCTGCTCGCCATCCTGTACGCGGTGCGCGTCCCGTATCTGTTCAGGACGAGCGACGCTTTGCTCTGCGACGAAGGTCGCGAAATTTTTGCCAACCCACCTTCCGCTGCGCCCTTCAAGCTGTTCACCTTGGGGTTGATGTTATCCAACAGTGAGTGAAAATGGAAGCGCGTGTATCCGCGGCCGCTGACCACGTTTCGGCTCCCACTACAGAAGTCATCGAGGACAACACCTTCCTGAACAAGACCTGGTGTGATGTTACTGGGATTCCGCTCGCTGAGTTGAACCGCATGGAGAGCGTCTATCTGTCCAAATGCGGCTATGAAGTAGCGGTGCCCCACACGGTGTGGGTGGCTTACCTGAGGCGGATACGCGCCAGGGAAGAACAGAAGCTCAACGTGCTGCCCTTCCTTGGAGCTCGTCGTCTGTCGCGTGGACGGATGTCGGCTGGCAGTCCTGCGGGCCAGGACCAAGTTCTGTTGTCGCCTTCGGGTGGTGCAAGTACTCTTGAATCTTCGAGACGCTTCCTGGTTGCGATCGAGGATTGTCTTGGTGCCCTCGGTGAACTGCACGAGGCGCCCGTGGAGGAGCCTGGGATGATGGACGTCACACATCCAGCCGACGATAGCTCAGACGACAGGACTCCCCGGGACGGGCCTTCGGCTTCTTCGGACAGCTGGTTCACGACAAGATACGGCATAGACTCACGAACCGAAGCTGGGCGTATGCAGCGCCCCGTAGCTGCTCTGCAAGCTGCTCATCAGCACTGCCGCTCTGCTCCAGCAGCTGCTCTTCATTTCCGATCTCCTTCGCAAATCAGCCCAACGACTACTTCCCACGACTTCGATGACGTCTTTGATGATGACTGCTCGCCGATTCGCCCGCGCAACGCATCTTCGCGGGGTGCGTTGACGAGCACGAAAGTTGCGCATCCGTTGGCACACGCTGCTCGACCAAGTCTGGATGTAAATCTGACTAGATCGCATTCGGATTGGTCTGATGGGCTCGCTAGCTTTGCCAGAGTTGCTCCGGCGCACCTGACCATGGGCCCTAATCAGCAAGACCAAGGCGCCATTTCTCAAATCACCTCCCATGCAGAGGCTCCTTTGGCACCTGGCATTTTGCTCGCGATGCTCAATCAGTTGTAGGCGCAAAGATTGGGACTAGCCAGTCGTGCACAGGCCTCCGAGCCTTGAGGCCTTGCCGGGACAACTTGTTGCCATGACCTTGATGACTCCATCAGTGCGGCCGCGAGCATCTATGTGCGGGCGCTGGAGCGCGCAGCTTCGTCAAGAGACCGCTTTCCCGACGTCCTTCCTCGGCACCCGATCCGATCCGACTCCACCATTTCGGTTACCTTCTCGCTTCGCTTCGATTCGACTCGACCGGCTGACGACCCGCAAAATGAACCAGGGCCCAGCCACCTATTCCGAGTATCCGTGTCTCGTCGTCGCCATGGCTTTTCGTGGCGCAAGTTAGCCATGAGCGTAAAAGCGTCGTCATAACGTCGCTGCAAAAGCAATTTGCTTCTCGAGCATATTGCCTCCGCTCGTTGGTCTTCACCTCACCTTGCTGCGAATTCCCGCGTATCATCAAGGTGATGGCGCATCCAACTTACAGCGCCGGATGGGCCCTCTCATCCGGATGACATTCATTCGTGGACGGTGCATCTGTGGCTTGTCACGCCATCCGAGCTAAATTAGGGTTCAGCTTTTACCTAATTACAGCTCGCTTGAAGCAGCATCCTTACCCTCTTTTCCTACCGATCGCTATTAGCAGCACCCATCCGCTCTAGCACTTGCCGTCCTTCCTCATGTCCATATTTAACACCTCAGCCCAGGCCCGTTGCGTCGCAATTATGACAGAATAATCTAGCCGGCATCCAAAAGCTGACAAAGCTTTTGGTACGTGTGCAGACCGAAGGCTTGGCTGGGTCTCTCAACCCACCACCGTGCTCCCGAGAGACAAAGATGGCCCAATGTCGAGAGGGCCATGCGGACCGGTCTGTGTTTGTGCGCTTCCACCGTGTTGCCTTGGCTGATGACGCAATCAGCTCACGATTCAGACTGCTCAGCCAAGCAGAGCTGGCGCGTTACTCATCAGCAGGCACGCGCGCAGCACGCTTACCAGCAGGAGGGCCGGGGCTTGCAGCACGTTCGGCGCTACGTACAGTAAGCTGCATGTGCGGTCCGGTTTGGTTCGCACAGCGGTGCAGCCGGGTGCAGCTTACGGCCAGATCCATATGGCTGAACCCTGGACGGCACGGCACGTATTGGCTGGTGCTGTCGTCACTCGACTCGCTGTATAATTCACATTCACATTCACGATTCTGACTTGAAATTGTCGACGTTTCATGAATCTGGAAATCACACCGAGCTCTACTACTGCGACTCTTCGACTGCAACGTCGAATCTGAAATCATTCGTCACGATTGTGCTCGTCTGCTCAGTCAGATTTTACCGACCGGGTCTTCCTACGGAAGCGCGCCGCATACACCGACCAACCCCTCTCGCTCGCGAGTTCCGCCAGACCATATAGGCACGTTCACTGGTTCGTGAATTGATTGGACGAGCAAAGACGAACAGAGGCGAAGCATTCATGTCCGCCTCCGCAGCATCTCACGCTGCGGCCGAGCAGACGCAACCTTTGCTCGCACCCGGCGGAGAAGAGGAAGGTCTTCAATACCAACGACATTACGCGCGAGGTGGAGAGGATTTGTCAGGAGAGACGGAGGCGCAAGAGGAGGAGGAGAGAAGAAAAGTGTTGAGAGAGACGGATAGAGACTCTACACCTTGGCGAGTGTTCAGGAGCAACAACATGTCGGGATCTGCTTGGGTTGTCCAGGTGAGCAAAAGAGAGTGTGCATGTGAGGGCTTTATTGCATTGTGAGGCTCACACCGCACCAAACAATCACCTTTTCGCAGATCTTTGCAGCGGCCTTTGTGGCGCTCGTCTGGTCTTTGGTGTTCAGCAAAATGCCCTGGAACAACCTTCCGCTGTTTGGCTATCATCCGTTGTTGCAGGTGGGTGCTACTGTCGACGTTTCGTGGGGAGTGTCTTAGGCTGACGGGCACGGGGCGGGGCGCTCCATAGTCGCTGGGTCTCGTCTTCATCAGTCAATCCATCCTCGTCCTCCAGCCAACGACGACGAGCAGACCCAAATCCAAAGCTTCCGCCCTTCTGCTGCACCAACTCATCCATCTCGGAATCGTGCTGCCGCTCTTTACAGCTGGTGCCATCATCATGTGGTACCTTCATTCCAAACCCGGCACACAACATTTCATCAGCTGGCATGGTACCTTCGGTTTCGCCGCTGTCATTATCGCTTGGGCGCAGGCTGCTGTTGGTGCGGCTACTGTATGGGGAAATGGCAAGCTTCTCGGAGGACCAAATATAGCCAAAGGGCTGTGGAAGTGGCACAGGTGCGTAAATGAGCTCGGAGCAGCCCAAACCTTGTTCACGGATATCTGATCATGCCCCTTCATCGCAATACCGCGCCTCGACTGGCCACCACAGACTGTCTGGATACATCCTCCTCCCGCTGTTTCTCCTCACCTTCCTACTCGCCATCCTCGAGACAACTTGGGTGCAAGGTGCTACGAGCGGCAAGGAGAGAGCCGTCATCGTCTTGGCTCTCGTTGGCACTTTTCTGGGCGGCGCAGCGAGGGTGCAGACTAGCAAGCTTCCCAAGAAGACCGACTTTGTGCCGGCTGGACGTAGGTGAGGGGTACTGCGGGATTTCGATTGCAATCGTTTGCTTGTCGAATGAGTCAATATCTTTGTACACTGTGGGAAGCTCTCTGACGATAGTTTCGAGGTGTGATCATCCGTTGTGAAGAAGCGCCGTGTGTTTATGTTCTTGCTTCAAACCTTCGACGACTGTCTGCTGTCGATGCGGGAGTCCTTTCGCAGGATCTGCCAAATTGCCGGCCCGCCGGCGATTGCGTAGCCGTAGGCGCTACATCCAAGTATTAGGCATCGGGACTGAATTGCGCGATGAGGGGCCAAAGCATTGGCTATCTGCAGATGGAGGACGGCTGGGTCGATATGGAAAGTGTGACCTTGAGATTGATATTGAAATCACAGTCATAAGTTGAGTTCCACAGTTGAAACCGATTCAAGAACACTGAGACTTGAGTCGGTCACGTGACTTGCGCCAAGAATTGACCCAGCTGCACGAAAAGCCAAGCCCTGCAAGCTGCAGGACAGGGGCGAGTCGACTCTTCACGAGCAGGCCAGCAGCGCCGCACTGTATGCCACCTTCTCCTCTCACCTCCTCAACGCCAAGAACGAGGCTCTGGACGCTCGAGGTGAGCGTGGAGCGGAGCAAGAAAGCAGCAAGATGGTTGCATTCTGCTTAGGTGGCGCTTCTGAGATTTTCTTGGCACATCCTGGATGGAATCTCACTATGAACAGGACAAAGAGGACGAGACGTGCTGCACCTCGCGTGCACAATGCTCTGCGATGCACACTCTTTTGCTTGGCCCTTGGCATCCCTGAGCGACGCAAATCAGCGCACACAATGCCCGACAAGCGTTGCGTTCGGGTCACCCAGAGCGCGGCACGGTTGAGGATGGGCAAGCGCTCACCAGCACTGGGCGCTTGAACAGTCGCACGACCAAGTGTGAGACATCTCGAGCAAAGATGAAGTTGCTGAAGTTGCGGTGCAACTACTTCCGTCCGCAGAGTCGTCTGTTTGATGCTGGAATCACGGTGCGACTACTTGCCCCTATGGACCCGTCTGGCTCGGTGTCTCTTGCCCACGTCCGACGGGAGTCTGCGGCGATCGTGCATCGCCAAGCCACGCTCGCCGTCCCAGAAAATGCGCAAAGGTGGTGCTATTTCGGAACGAAGTCGACAGGGTCCTCTGCCTGACGTGACGATGAGCATGGTCAGGGCCATGTCGAAATGCCATAAATGCTCGTCCACCCCGGCGGTATTTGATACACACCCCCAACCTGTTTGACTTTGTCACCGCGGCATGCCCACGTTTACACGTTGCGCACGAACACGATGCCAACCATCAACCCTCACTACTCTCCATTGGTGCCCGGCGCCAATCTCAGTTCTGACCGCAACACAGAATCGTACGGTAGACCGAACGCAGCATTCAATCGACAACCCGCTTCTCCCTCTGCCCAAACTCCTTTGATGCATTCGTCTTCCCTTCGTCGGCCTAGCCCGACGGGATCCGCTCCCTCTTCGTCCCACTCGTCCGGTCACACTCCGGCTTCTAGCACTCGTCCACTAGCTCAACCCAGTAACTATGGAAGCTCCTCCTCATCGCTCAGCTCGGGTCGTCGGTATGCACCAGGCGGATTCACGGCTGTGGGACAATCTGGAGCGACAGCTATGGCTGCCGCTGCTCGGACGCAGCGAGATGCCAATGCTTCAGGCGTCAGTTCGTTAGGATCGAACGATTCCTTCGACAAACGCCTAAGTAGCGCTTCCGAAAAGTATTCCTACGCTGCTCCAGTAGCATTTACTTCCCTGCCCGACTCGTGGGGAAGGCCTGGTACTATTGAAGATGATGATTATCTCCACGATCCAAAGATTGGCAAATCGCCAAACAGTCGTGGTTCCATCTTTACCCTTCGTGGGCTAGTCAACATCGGAACGGTCGCGCTTCTCGCTGCTGGTCTGCTCATGCTGTTCGGTGGATACCCACTCATGTACCATATTCTCCAAGAGCAAGAAAGCAACAAGGGTGGTTTCGGTATGGGAGGAACCAACAGCAGCGGGCAGATTCCCGAAAACTTTCGCGGCCTCATCGACCCTGACACGCCACGGTCGGCATATCGCCGAAGAAGCATCGACGGTCAACGAAACATGAACCTTGTCTTTAGCGACGAATTCAACGTCGACGGTCGATCATTTTATCCGGGTGACGATCCCTTTTGGGAAGCAGTGGACCTTCATTACTGGGGAACAGGCGACTACGAATGGTGAGTTCAACAGCAGTGCGCGGTACCGTCATTTCTGATTGACTGAACGCAACGTTGCCCTTAAAGGTACGACCCTTCCGCTGTCACTACCGAGGGAGGTAACATGGTCATCACCATGATCGAGCATGCCCACAGAAATATGAACTTCCGAAGCGGCATGGTGCAGTCTTGGAACAAATTCTGCTTCACTGGAGGTCACATCGAATTCCGCGTCAGACTCCCAGGCGCTCACGACATTCCTGGTGGGTTCGACAATCTCGCACACGTGCTCTGCGCAAACGACGCCACCCAAGACTGATGTGATATATTCTTACCCTCACCGTGCAGGTCTTTGGCCCGCTGCGTGGACCATGGGTGCGTGTCTACAGAGTGCAGTGTGGGCCGAGCTGACGAGAAGGCTGTGGGCGTGGGGCTCGCCTGCTGCGCCATTCGATCCGACCTGAATCTTACTCTGACGTGCTCTGGCCCCTTCACCCACCACACTCGCACTCACATAGGCAATCTCGGACGCGCTGGTCACGGTGCGAGCACAGAAGGTGAGTTGCTCCAGCGTTCTCCGATGCTGCGCTCGTGCTGACACATGAGCACTTCTCCGCATTGGCAGGGTACGTCGCTTGATCTTGCCAGTCTCCTTCAGCTAAGCTTGGCTCATGCTAATACATTCTTTGCCTTGGAAAATTCAGTCTCTGGCCCTACACTTATGACGCGTGAGTGTGCCCGACGATGCGCGGCGTAGCTGTGTAGCAGAAGGGCGGTCTTTCAGCAGCGTGTCCCCGTTGTCGGACGCATGCCAGGCAAAAGTGGCTGGTCGCTCGACCATTGTCCTCGACGCGCGATATGGTGTGGCTCACACGTCTCTCTCGCCGTGATGCATCCAGATGCGACGTCGGCACTCTCGCGAATCAGACGTACCCTGAAGGTGGTCCCATCGCAGCTGCCACCACTGGCACATACCCTGAAGAGTACGGTGGTACGCTCAGTTACTTGCCTGGTCAACGACTCTCCAGATGCACATGTCCAGACTTCGAAGACCATCCAGGTCCTAAGCACCCAGATGGCACCTACGTGGGTCGAGCAGCCCCAGAGATCGACGCAATTGAGGCCGCTGCTGGTCAGCGCCCAGGCGTTTCTGGCGACGTCAGCATGAGCTTGCAGCTGGCACCGTTCGATGCCGGCATGAACATCACGCTCGACGGTGGCGCTGTCGAGTATCACTCGCAATTCTCCAATGGACAGAATAATTACAAGGGCGGCGTGTGGCAGCAATGCGCCAGTAGTCTCATCACCACTCCAGACAACAACTACGAGGACACGGGCGGAGAGTACGATCAGTATGGCTTCGAGTACCGACCTGGATACGAGAGCGATGGTGGGTTCATCACCTGGACTGCTCACGGTGGCAGACCGATGTGGACACTGCGCGCCCGCGCTCTCGGCGCCAACGCCGAAACAGAAATCGCCGCCCGGCCCATCCCCGTTGAGCCCATGTACATCATCATGAACCTGGGCATGTCCGAAGGCTTCTCTCCCGTCGACTTTGACAGACTTACCTTCCCTGCAAAGTACCTCATCGATTACGTCAGAGTCTGGCAAGACGAAGGAAGCGAAAATGTGGGATGCTCCCCCGAGAATATGCCCACGAAGGATTATATCGACAGGCACATCGATGTGTACACCAACCCCAACTTGACCACTTGGACCGCGACTGCTGCTCGCGGAGGCTACAACCGACCTTTTGCGCCGAACCGCCTTCTTGGACAATGTTAAAGACTCCCTGCAACATGTTACACTCATCTCGCGCTGCGGCTTCTGGACTTGCTCGGCCTTCCGCTCACCAGCCCCATCTGTTCGAGGACGCGGACACTTACTGCATTTTGCTTTTCTCGTCAATACATCAATCGATCTCTCGTGTTTAGGGGCGACTTCTGCGTGTTGATGGCTTGAGTTTTTAACTTGGGCGGCTCAATTTGCGATTGAGGCACAAAGAATGCGGTGGGAGTGCGGCCGAGCTAGCGAACACGTCGTCGGTGTGTGTGGTCTCGCGTGAGGATGTTCACAGGACGAACCGCGGTCAGACGCACCGTAATTGGGTACGTGGTCGCGTCAAGGCGATGCCGTCGCTGGCACGTGTCGCAGGACCACCTGTTTTCCCCTCCCACCTTCGTGCATTCTTCTTGTGGCATGGACACGCATGTCTGGCAGAGTCGTCGCTCGAGGTTGACTTGATGTGATCCCTTCAGCACCCGATTGGAGGGGACACGCGCGCCTTACTGTGAGCCTGTCTCGATTTGATTTTTCTCACTAGCCGACCAGAGCGGCCAACTGACGGTCACATCCTGATGTGTGACGAAACGATTGTACTTGCTCCTAGTCTGGTCATTCGACCACAGTTTTCGTCTGCGTGGGGCGCTGCGAGACGAGGCACGGCTGCCCAATCACAGATCGAGTGAAGCTGCGCAGGCCTGCAAATGATTCAGGGTGTTGCTATACTTTGAATCTACGCAAAGCCTACTAAATACAGCATGTCGTCTGCACCAATCTGGTTCGTGGTTCCGACTCCCCTTGGCTGGGATGGAATGGGCCGATGCGCATATTACATCGTGGGCATGGCTGAGCGTAACGTACGTATATATAGCGGTACCGCCACGGCATGTAGCAGCCAATCGTGAATGTCACTGCTAGTGCTCAGCCGCCATGCAGTTTCCCCCGCGCTCTTGATACTCACGACTCTGACTTGCCGTCGCGTGTCTGAAGTTCAATCATCCATCAAAAGCGCAATTTTGAGCCATGAGCCAAGCGTAGATTTGCGACCGCGCGGAGCCGGAAGCCAAATACATAGTAGATGGGAACAGACTCACGACTAGTGAATTCAAATTCTAGCCCCTTGGTGCCGCAGTCCGCCGCTCCGTTTTGTGCTTGTTTCTCCCTGCTGCTGCACAGCGCTCTTCGAGCCCGCTGATGCGGCGACTGCAACCGCAGTCACAAGTCGCGTGAGTGTGGCTTTGGACCGCGTTCAACACTCACATTCAATCACTTGAACTTCGACATGAACGCACTCACTCATCTCACGACTCGACTCAACTCGCTCGAGTCTTGTATTTTGGTCCGCGCACTACGTGCAATAAGCAAAATGGATGATGAAGACCACCCCTGTGCGAGTACAGCCTCTTCATTCACAGATTGCGCCATTTGCAGATTAGCACGCCTCGCGAGGGCACCCCTGTCTCTGAGACATTGTGATTGATACAGAACCTTGTTCGCGTCGGACCAGCTGCGAATTAGTAGTAGCGTTCATGGCTATACATACCTGAATACACGATACTTCAAATCGAAGAGTAGGCTTGTCATTTTCTAGCCTTTGAAATGTTCCAAACCTCACTCTGCGTAACCGAAGCAAATGCGCACCGATTTGGTACGCGGGGACAGTCCGTGAGTGACTCAAACTAAGTGCAGCGTCTTCGGGCGGGCGCGCTCCGCGCAACGACCATTTGGCGGTCAAAGGAGATACTTTGCGCACTAGATCACTTCCCACAAAACCTATACACGTTCGAGCTAATATACAGATCATGTAGACACAAGGCTATGGCATATGAGCAGACATTCAAGATGTCCACAAGACCGACAAAGCGCGCATCCATGCAAGCGCTGCTGAACGCAGATCCGTGTGCCAGCGTTCAATCGAGGATCACAAATGTCGAATATCCGAAGTGGTTAACATCCATCGATGAACACATTCAAATTACGTGACTTGAAAATCGAGCTCACTATCAACTGTCTAGTCCAACATTCCGCTCGCTCGTCAGAGACTGTCTCTGCTGACTGCATTTGCGAGTCAACGTTGATTGTGAATACCGAGAGGCGTAGCTCAAGGCGTGCAAGGTCGTCAAAGCGTTGCTGCCCTTATGGGCCCTGCTTCATCCCAGCTGCTGGCGCCGCTATTCTTGCAGAATCCTGTCACGTCGCCCATCCCTTCTCCTACTCCCTGCGCTCCCTACCCTCCCTTTGCCTCCCGCTGCAGCTCCTCTAACAACACAAGCTCAGCGACACCAACGCCAGCAGCATGTCGGACGATCACTACCTCAACTTTGCTTTCGCGTCGCCATGTCGCAAGTCGTCCGAGACGATGGAGATGCGAGCGAGGGGCTTACCAGCCTATCCTCCCGCAGCTCACACCTCTCCCAACTACGTCAATGGTCAGGAAGAAAAGTCTTACTTGGACATGAACGACGCCATCGAAGTGCCAGCGTACGGTGCAGCTGAGGGTAGTCGAATTCGGGCTGAAGGTGGCGAAGGTGCACTTCAAACGTCCCCCGCTGCAACGCCCAACAGCGTGTCCGGCACCTCTAGTCGGGCAGGACGTGCTGAATCTGATCAGAACAGACCCACAGCTTGCGTCGCTACAGCACCTTTGCCCTTCCTAGGAGCAGACAGTCGAGCGGACTATGGGACGCACGAGCTGCATAGAGAGTTTAAGCCTAGACACGTCACTTTTATATCGTGGGGACACGCTGTTGGGGTAGGAATCTGGCTCGGTACGGGCGGCATACTTGCCCATGCTGGACCTTTGGGTCTCTTGATCGGGTACATGATCATGAGCCTCACCGTTTGGCTTCTCATGAATTGCCTGTAGGTCTGACGTGTCGGAAAGCCTCGACTTTACAAGCTGAATCTTCTCTCCTTTGCGGCTTCGTCCTCAAAACTTGCAGCGGGGAGATGATCAGCTTCTTGCCTCTCAACGGAGGTCACATTCGATTGGCTGGCCGCTTCGTCGATCCTGCATTGTCTGCCGTAATCGGTTGGTGAGCATAACCTAACCCAGAAATATGACTCGTGATTGGGCGATTCTTGTTCCTCACACGATCTGGCCGTCCGTTGCCGCGCAGGAACATCATGCTCAATGCATGCTTCACGCTGGCAGCAGAGATCAACGCCTTGTCGGTCATCGTAGGATATTGGACGGATTTTGCACCTGCCCTCTTCATGATACTGGGCTTGGCCACCGTCCTGTCCATCAATTGTCTTCCCGCTAGGCTGTATGGAGAATGCGAGTGAGTGATATTGGCCTAAATGAAGCTCGACATGTAGTATTCAAGCAGTACGTCTTCCTCTTCTTTTTGCCAGGATGTGGTTCTCTCTTGGCAAGCTTTTCGCACTGTGAGTCGCAATATCTTGATCATGGACTCCAAGCGTTGACAAGCAAATGCTGAGCGTCGGATCTGGTCATGTTCAACAGCGTAGTCTGCTTCTTCATCTGCATCGCAATAGCAGCTGGAGCTGGTCCCAACGCCAAAGTGATTCGTTTTAAGTATTGGGAACCCCCATATGCGCCTATCCGAGACTACAAGATTGATGGTCCGCTCGGCAGGTTGGCCGGCGTGCTGAGCGCGACGATCCAAGCTGCGTTCAGCATGAGTGTGAGTAGGGGAAGTAGGACCTACAAGACGGCACCAATATCGCTCACACCCACTGCCCTTTACACTGGACCGTTCAGGGCATTGAGTGAGTTTACCGCCGGCTCAATGACGTCATCATCCTCTCTTCTCTGATCGTCCTCGATAGACTTTTGGCGCTAGCAGCAGCAGAGACGAGGAACCCTCGAAGGGTTCTTCCAAAGGCTCTAGGCATCGTCAAGATGAGGATCTGTTTCGTGTACATTGGAATAACGTGAGCTGAGTCGTGATTGCTCAAGCACGGATACTCGAAGAGTCGACTCACTGGCGCGACGCTTGTCCACAGCTTTGTGCTGGGCATGGTAGTTCCTGCGGACGACCCGGCTCTCGTGAAGGAGCATAAAGGTACCTCGGCCTTCATCATCGCTATGGAGCACGCGCGCATACACAGTAAGTATGCCCGGCCCCTTGGGAAGAGCGCTCGCTGATATTCAAAGCTTGTTTTCACCTTGGCACAACGAAGCATTCCCACACTTCGTAAGTTACATAGCCCTCCACTCCTGCTTCATGTTTCAAAGGGCTCGTAGCTCAGATCGAGACTTTTTGGCACTGGGAGATGAACGCGGCCATCGTTGCAGCAACCATATCGGCAGGCTGCGCCACTCTCTACGTCGCCTCTCGCTCGTTGTATAGCTTGGCCCAGAAAGGATATGCTCCAAAGCAGTTCAAGTATGTCACTCCGTATGGTCTGCCTTGGACTTGCGTCTTGGCGGCCTGCGTCCTTGCAAGTATATGTTTCCTTGGCGATATGTTCGGTGCCGTCGACTTTTTTACGTGAGTGCTAGCTGCAACTACGCGTCACAGCCAAGGGTGCAAAAGGCTGGGCCGCGCTCGCGGGCTAGAACAGCTAGAGTTTGCAGGCTGATGTACAAATTCTATCCTGTACTGACAGCTTCCTGCAACGACTTTCGGCCATCAGCGCGATGATGGGCTGGTGGGCGATTGCTTTTGCATACATCCGATTCAGAGCAGGAATGAAAGCCCAAGGCATGGCACATGACTCTTTGCCCTTCACGGCAGTCGGTGCGGTGAGTACGTAGAATCCATCCTTCCTTCCTATGGTCGGCGAGCTCACACTGTTGGGCATCCCTCCTCCCTCCTCGCTTGTGGCGCCTCTTGAAAGCTGACTGGCGCGTGGTTCGTGATGGGCATGACGACCACCTTGATCATCGTCTCTGGCTGGGAGGTGATTCACAAATTCGACGCTGGCATTTTGATCTCTAGCTACCTGCCACCTTTGCTCTGCGTTGCGTTCTATATCCTCTTTAGACTGAAGCTCAAGACCCGCATCATCCCAGCTGTAAGTTTCTGGTGCCTTCTGACAGATCCAGCTGTTGACGATGAGCCATCGCTTGATCATCTGATGCACAGGCAAACATCGATCTTGTCACTCACGTCGACGCCATTGCGGAGGATAACGTCCGGTACAACGAAGAGGAGCGTCTGGCGCGTGAAAAGCAGGATCAGCTAGCCAGGTTCTACTCCACCATCATGCTCTGAGCTTGCGTTAGCAGCCAGCACGAGCGTCTAGCATGCTTCCCTCTACTCGTGAAGATCCCAAGCTTGTATAGCACGTAGAAAGGTAGAGTGCCGCTGACTTCCGTCGACACCCTCAAGCTTGGTGCTGGTCTTGTACGCAACACTCGTTGCATGATGGGACGAGTGCCGAGACTGCACAAACACACTTATCTCTGATCTCTCGCCCTCTCCAAAGTTTCTAAATCGTTCGCGAATCCTGTGTACTTTTGTCGATATCTCGAGCTTCTAGAACGAGTCCCAACTGCATACAATCATCCAGTCTCGCTCCAGGCAATGATTCGGATTGTGATGGTGGCATTTTGAATCTATCTGTGATCGCCTCATTGACTTTTGTGAGTGAGCGATGACAATATGCACCGCCTATGATCCGCCATCTCCCAGCTCCCTCAGGTATAGGACGTTATTGCACCTGTCGCGAAGGGTGCAGATAAGATGTTCAGCGATGCCGAGCCCTTCGGACTGAACCGCATCCACTGAACGCAAATGAGGATATCCGTCCCCATGAGAGATGCAGCGAGATGTAGAAGCAGATCCTATGGCTGCAGCGGAGACAAGAGCAGCCCAGCTCACCTGATGAAGACCTCACCCAGCATTCCATTCGACCTTCCATCCTGGAACTCTTCCGTATTTTGAAGCTGAGGACGAGCAAGCAAAGGGAGCGGTGATCTCAACCGATCAGCTCTCAACAGACCGCGTAAACCAGAGCTAGCGCAGAGCGAGCGGGAACCCACTTGGAAATTCATATAGTTATCCGTAGATACCAAGAACCCTTTGTACTCCATGCCCCACTTCAAACGAACCAGCACGGGCTTGCCCATCTGTTGCTGCAGAAAAGGCTTTGGATTGACGGGCTGCGCGCACGAAGGAAGCGCGTGTGAGTGTCAGCATGGGATGTAGCATCATGGAGGTACTGAGCGGAAAATGTTGCTCACAGCTGACATCCTTGTCCAACACTTGCAGGTCGTTTGTAGATGAAGTTGGACTTTGCACCGCGCGTGAGTCGGACAATCGCTTCTCTTGAGACCTGACCGAGGGGTACGTTGCGATCTAAGAAACGCTTGCAATGAGCGAGGACGTATAAAGCTGCTGTGGATGCTGCCTTGGATGGTCGTGGTATTGGTGGTGGGTGGAAGAGAGTTATGAGGACTCCAGACTGTTGTTGTGAAGGCGCAGCAGACTCATCACCTTGAGAAGGTGGGAAGAATGCATGCATGCAGCAGGTGAGTGAGTGGGACGCGTACACACTGCCCTGCTGCATGTGCGTCGAATGCAGCTCAGTCATGATTTCACAGCAGCCTAGGGCCCCTCACTCGATCGTGACTCTGACTGTTCAGCGCTGAGCTGCGAATCAAGAATGCAAAATCTCCATCCCTAAGACCAGCTTACAGCACGATCACCACATCATCGATGATCACGGGTTCTGCACAGGCTTGCCAAGGATACAGCTCGCTAAGATGGCTTCTGTGAACAACAAGCTGGCATTCTTGACCCAGGTGAGTCGTGCTGTGCATCGCGCAACCTACCGGATGGGCTCTAACTTTTCGCCACTCGCTGTCGCCCTTTCTTCTGTGCTCTTTGTTGTACAGGCGCCGCCACCCAATTATGTTGCGGGTTTGGGGCGAGGCGCATCGGGCTTCACCACTCGTTCAGACATTGGTCCAGCCCGTGAGGGTCCGAGCCTAGAGACGATCAATGCAGCCCGTGCGCGTCGTGGAGAAGAGACACTGCAGGAGGAAGACACGAATGAAGACCAAGATCCAGAGAATGAGACTGGTCTATTTGCAGGGACGGTGTATGAACGCGATGATGAGGAAGCCGATAGTATTTGGGCCAACATCGATGATAAGATGGATGCCAGGAGAAGGAAGCAAAGAGAGGCAAGAGAAAAGGCAGAGCTGGAAAAGCTGCGTGTAGAAAGACCAAAGATTCAGGCTCAATTTGCGGATCTCAAGCGCAACTTGTCAACAATGAGCGACGATGACTGGAGCGCTTTGCCAGAAGCCGGTAATCTGACTGGAAAGAGGAGGAAGGCGGCGGCTGCTCGAGCTGGAAACGACAAGACGTACAACGTACCGGACAGCGTGCTGCTCATGAATAGGGACCGCAACATGACCGAACAGGCGCTTAGCGAAGAACAAATGAATAGCAATGGCACATCATCCACTCTTAATGGCGCCATGACGAGCTTGACAGAGATTGGAGAGGCGAGGAACAAGATCTTCTCCCACAACTTGGATCAGGCAGGTTCGAGCAGTCGCACGTCCGATGGCACCCAATCGACACTAGGCACCGCTTCTTCCATCGATACGCAAGGATACTTGACAGGTCTGGCGGGCACGGAGATCAAAAGTAGCGCTGAAATTGGAGATATCAAGAAAGCCAGGGCGTTGCTGGATAGCGTTATAAAAACGAACCCAAAACACGCTCCTGGGTGGATCGCAGCTGCAAGACTGGAAGAAGTGGCCGGCAAGATGGCAACAGCAAGAAAAGTCATCGCGCAAGGATGTGAACAGTGCAAGTTGTCGGAAGATGTATGGCTGGAATCTGCTAGGCTGAACACGCGCGACAATGCCAAAGTCATCCTGGCAAAGTCAATCGCAGCTGGACTCACGACATCTGTCAAGATCTGGCTGAAAGCTACGGAGCTCGAAACAGATTCCAACAGCAAAAAACGAGTCTTGAGAAAGAGCTTGGAATATGTCCCCAATTCTATCAAATTGTGGAAGGAGCTCGTCAACTTGGAAGAGTCTCACGAGGATGCAAGGATTCTGCTCAGCGGTGCAGTCAGTGCGGTCCCTGGATCTGTAGATCTATGGCTTGCTTTCGCTCGCCTCTCGTCTCCAGAGGAAGCACAAAAGGTGCTCAACGAGGCTCGCAAGGCGCTACCAAGTAGTCACGAGATCTGGATAGCTGCTGCAAGGCTGATAGAGCAGACAAATGCCGATCAAGGCAAGCCTGTCGATGAAACGCAGATTTTGCTGGACAGAACTCTTTCGACGGCTGTCAAGCGCTTGCAGAAGGCTGGAGCTGTCTTGTCGAGAGATCAGTGGCTCAAAGAAGCTGAGAGAGTCGAGCGGGAAGGTAGCCCAATGAGTTGTGCAGCTATCGTCAAGGCCACGATCACCATCGACGTGGAAGAGGAAGATCGACGTACAGTTTGGGTGGAGGATGCTCAGGCCTGCTTGGAACATGGCAACGTCGAGACCGCCCGCGCTATTCTTGCATTTACGCTGCGTGAGTATCCAGATCGACAGAGCATCTGGAGGATTGCGGTGGACGTGGAGCGCAAATACGGCACGACGGACTCGCTGGAAGCAATCTTGGAGAGGGCAGTCACCATGTGTCCCAAAGCCGAGACGCTGTGGCTCATCTACGCCAAGGAGAAGTGGCAAGGGCAAAAAGATGTGGCTGGCGCAAGGCAGGTGCTCATTCGCGCTTTCGAGAAGAACCTGGGCTCTGAGGAGATTTCTCTAGCTGCTGCGAAGCTGGAAGCTGAAAATGGCCAGAAACAGGCAGCGGCTATGCTCTTGCAGCGTGCGAGGCAAGAGGTGAACAGTCAGAGGGTCTGGCTCAAGAGCGCAGTATTTGCACGAGAAGAGGGACAGCTTGCAGAATCGTTGGATCTGGTCAAGCAAGCGATCAAGGTGTTTCCTTCCTTCTGGAAATTGCACCTCATGCATGCTCAGCTGGTCGAAGCTACCACACCACCTGGATCTGATAATGCCCATCTCAGAGCTGCAAGGGAAGCTCTCTCCGCAGGTTTGCGAGCCTGTCCATCCAGCACTCCGCTTTGGATCAATGCGAGTCGATTAGAGGAACGTGCTGGTCTCTCCATTCGGGCTCGCGCGCTGCTAGAAAAGGCGCGCCTGTCGAAGGCAGAGGACAAAGTGTCTATTTGGGTGGAAGCTGCGCGAGTGGAGGAAAGAAGCGGCAATGCGCCTCAAGCGAAAGCTTTGATAGCGAGAGGACTGCAAGAATACCCCAATGCCGCTGCTTTGTGGTCGGCGGACATCTGGCTGGAATCGCGAGCAGCTCGCAGAACACGTAGCGCGGACGCTCTCAACAAGACGGATCAAGATGCTCAGATCCTTTGCACCATCGCGCGAATGATGTGGAACGATAGAAAGTACGAGCAGGCTAGAAAATGGTTTGAAAGGTGTACAAAGGCAAATCCTGACTGGGGAGATGGATGGGCTTGGTGGTACAAGTTCGAAACGGCACAGGGAACGGAAGAGAGCAGGTTGGCAGTAAGGGAAAGGTGCAAGAAGGCTGAACCTAGACATGGCGAGCAATGGCAACAGCAGAACAAGGACCACGAGTTCCCCCACAGACCTACCGCCGAGGTCTTGGAAGCTACAGCAAACATTCTTGTCATCACCACCTGAATGCATGCGCTAACAATTGTGGATCGACATTGGATCGAGGGACCCGGATTACACCGGGACTGTTGAACTTGAGGATGCGGAATCACTTGAAGAAAGTTGTTTCAAACCGACGCCCGACGAAGCGCACCAGGGCCTTGGTCTGCGAACGGTGTAGGTTGGTGGCGTGGGGGGAGGCGGGGAGGCGGGGAGGCGGGGGGCAGGCAGCCTGCGCGAAACGCGCGTCTGAGGAGTACGCGCAAAGACGCGCATCCCGCGCCAGCGCCAGACCGCCATTGCGATAGGTATAGCGGCGCTCATTGAGTGCATGATGCCATCCGACTTTGGACATGCTGACGAGCTGACGCATACACAATAGAAAGCGGAGCGAGTGCATCCATCGCCAAGTCGATGGGTAGCATGGCCGCCCACGCAACGCTTTAGCCCATCCGACTCTCCAAGACTGACAATGCAAATCCAAAGGAGAAGCAAAACATCTCTCACATCAGGTCCTCATGTTCGGTAATGGCAGGCGCAAAAGCAAAAGATCAGGGGCCAACCACCCTCGCTTTATTTTTAGGTGCGAGGGGCGCTGGCATCTCTTCCTTCTGTCTTCGACTGGCGTGCTGTTACTGCTGGTTGGTGGCTCCCTTCGCGCACCCGCTAGCAGCCAGTGATCCTTCAGAGGCTGTCGCTGCTTGAGAGGGGATTCGACAGTTTGTTTAAGGAGGAGTTCCTCGGGCTCGAACCGAGGTCTTCCTGCTTCCATCCAAGGTGCATATCACCCTGGATGAAGCATATCGCGCACCTTGCACTGGAAACCGCTGAACTAAAGTGGACTTGTTACACACACCAGATATTTTGTGTTATTTAAACTGCGCGTTTCATCACGTGACCGGGTGCCGGCGTGCGTGCGCTGAAGCCCGCCGCGCAGCATCCATGCAGCATGCTGCCCTGTGCCACTTGATATAGTTAGGCGCCAATCAATATGGCATGCACACGACTTCCATCTCTCAATCGATCACCGTGCGACCACCGCTTCTTCGCAGCCCCTTTCGAATTCATCACCCACAGCAATCGTGATTGGTTGCAGAACTTGTGCCGACTGCCGCGAGATCGCTTGCACCTCACCACACTGCCTCGGACAGCATTAGCACTAGCCTCGCTTTGCTACAATCCATCTGATAATCTGCGCCCGCCCGCCTGGCGACAGTGATACCTCGCGGATTTGCGAACGCCACGACTCATCACCATCGCAGCAGGCACTGAAGCGGCTTCACTGGCTCGATTCTTCATATGAGCGCCCTGGACTTCGTCGAGCCAAAGTTGCGCAGCCAGCCTCTCGCGCCTGCAACTGGTCTGCCATCGCCATTCAGCAAGATGAATGGTGCTTCCGCAGCAACAAGCACCAGCGAGTCCAGCACCGACATTTCCTCAATCAGTCCGGTCCAGAGGGACGCAGCGGATCAGCGACTTGATGACGGATCTAGGCGCAGTTCACCACTCACGGCACCCAGCTCTGCTACGTCGGAAGAGGATGAGGTACAGCTAATTGAAGCGTCCTCTTTCGCATCAAAAGCGCCATCGCGCAGAAGCAACGCCAGTAAGACATCAGAAGGAGCTACGACCCCGTCGCGAGTGAGCCCCATTCCTCCCAAAGATTCGACCCGTACCCATCGAGATGTTGCAGCGCCATCGTCGTCTGGACACTCGATGCCCAGCTCAGGATTCGTCTCCACTTTCAAGCGGGCGAGGCTTTCGGATCGAACACGCAAGGAGGCACACACAGAGGCCCAGATACAGAGGCCGTTGAGTGCAAGCAGCGAAAGCGAGATGAACTATGACGATGAGGAAGACGAAGTATCGCCGCGCAAGGCTGGAAGGAAGCGAGGCGTGATGGTCATCGATGACGACGACGATTCAGACGCAAAGGCTACGCCCACGCTCGAGCGTACACGACATTTCTCTTCGGAAGATGTGGAGCTTGTTGAGCCGCCCAGCTCGTCCGATCAGCTCACCTCGGCTCCGCTATCTACACCGACTGCTGGCAGCAAGCGCAAAGCCAGTGTGTTGGCGCGTGAACTCAACTCGAAATTGAGCTGGAACCTGAATCTGCCCATTGAGGAAGCAGTGAGAAACGATGCTGGCCCTTCAAAGTCGCGCACAAGACCTGTGAAGCGCAAGAGCAATGGCGCGGCTACGAGTGCGGCTTTGCCAAGCTCTGAAGATCGAAAGACCAAGTCGCCTAGGAAATCGGCCAACAAGCCAGCACCCGATAGGAGCGGTAAGTCGCTGTCGGCTGTCTCCGATGTTTGTCGGCATTTCAGCACCGTTAACAGCCCTTACCTCCGTACAGAGTGGCGGGAGATGATCGATGGAAATTTGTGGGAGCATCAGTCAACGTCCTGTCAACATCGCTCCATCTCTCACTTTGCAAGATGCGTGGCTTGTATTGCGAAATTGACAGGTGACGGATGCCGCTTCAGGTATCTGCGGTGTCTTCCTCTCGATGCCGACGGTAATCTCAAACCTCCATTGTCTACACTCAAAGCGGAGCCGAGCACTTTACAAGGCACAACTCGGGAGGGGGTGGATAACGAGCATTTCTTCGCCTCTGAGGTACACCCCGAGGAGCCGGCCATCTTTCCCGATCCGAGGAATGGATACAATTTGCGGATGACAAGGGAAATACGAAAAGTCACAAAAGTGAGTGCTCCGCTTATGAGCATACAATCAGTATGCCGCTCATTAATGGTTTTCCATGCAAATGCAGATCACTGCAGCAAAACATTTACTATCTCTACTCGAGGAAGAATTGGCGCACGCCTCTCTGCCGGGCTGCCTAGTTCGTCGCCGATCCTTAAAAGAAGCGATCTCGTGCGACGCCTGCAACACCAGCCTCTTCTCTGCCAGCTTCTTTTGCAAGCTATGCGGGAGGGAGCTGTGTAGGGAATGTCAGGCTCGTTTAGTGGCCGAAGTGGAGCAGGGAGCACAAGCGGTCTGGAGAAGCAACAAGATACCTGCATACGCGAAATGCAGATTTGGGGCAAACAGGAAGGGCTCTACAGTGCATCACGAACTTGACATGATGGTGCCTGTGACACGATTTCGACGAGCAGATCTTGAAGGTGAAGTCACCGCGATGAAAGAATGTCTTGCGATTCAATCACCGGGCGAATCCAACCGTGGACCCGGACCACTCGAGCGAGTACTCGGCGAGGGCACAGACCCTGATGCTGCAGCTTCGTATCAGAGTAGTGTATCGTCTGGCCCAGGACGTGCACCAGTCCGATCACTTGTCATCAATTACATGGACACAGCCAATTTGACGGAAGACTCTTTCGACGCCGCTTGGAGCCGAGGCGAGCCGTTGGTCATCACGAATGTCATCACAGCATCTGTCTGGAGTCCCGCACGTTTTGCGCAAGAAAACCAGGGTAACCGAGCATACATCGTCCGGTGCGATAAGACGGATGCGTTCAAGCAGGTCATGGTCTCAGACTTTTTCAACACGTTTGGAAAAAGCGGAGAGCAAAAGACCGCTGCCCTCGGAAAGGGCATTTGGAAGCTCAAGGTGCGTCGATGAGTCGAGTCGAGGTGTGCGTGGTTGTTTTTGTAACTCATCGAGAAACTCTTCGCGAGACGCCAACAGGACTGGCCAGACAGCGCCAACTTTGCGGACGAATTCGGCCAGCTATACAAGGAGTTTCAAGAAGCCGTGCCAGCGCCCGATCTCTCACGCAGAGATGGACGGAGGAACATTTCCGCAATGTTCCCATCCAACGCCAACGCTCCTGATCTTGGTCCAAAGATGTACTGCGCTTGGCCTGGAGACCTGAGTAAGTTGAATGTCTTTTGGGGAGGGAATGGAGCGCAGTGGCTGATGCTGATTTATTTCACACTCGCGGCTGCAGCAACTGGAGGCAAGGGATCTACGCTCTTGCATATGGATATGGCAGACGCCGTCAACATCATGCTCTATGCTGCTCCCTCGGCCGATGGAGTCCCGCAAGGTGCAGCGTGGGATCTTTTTCGGGCCGAGGATTCAGATGCGTTGCGTTCATTCATCCGGCAAAGATTTCCAGAACAGTGCACAGCGCAAGACCCTATCCACACCCAGAACTTCTACTTGGACGAAAGCTTGCTGAACGAGCTGTACGACAAGCATCGAGTGAAGCCGTGGAGGGTTTATCAGCGAGCCAATGAGGCAGTGTTCATTCCTGCAGGGTGTGCACACCAAGTTTGCAACTTGACAGATTGCATCAAGGTCGCCGTCGATTTCATCTCTCCTCATAATGTCGACAGGTGCTTCAAGTTGACGCAGGAATTTAGAGGCATGACAGATGGGATACAGAAGAGCTGGAAAGCGGACGTATTGCAGCTCAGAGCTCAATTGTGGTTCGCGTGGGCTGCCTGCAGGAGCTATGAACAAGCGGAACAGATTACGGAGGCGGAGGTGATAATGGCAGATGAGGCAGCTGGCAAGGCGGCAGGAGCACCTGATCAGAGCGATGGTGTTCCAGCTGACGGAGGTGCTGAATCACAGAGCGGTGTCGACGCCAAGTTCCTTGGAACAGCTTCCTCTCGCTGAATACTCGAGCGCTGGACGAGCGCTGGGCCTAATATTTTGGGTGCACATACTCTTTCATACCTCAAAAGCGTGCTGGCCCAATTCTACGTATGTCTTTTGATCAGGCCGCTTGACTCGTTGCACGCTATTCCGGTTTTGTACTACCTGCCACCACGTCGCGTCCCCCACCCTTCTGAAAATCGATGGCGGCCCTCACTCATCGGTCTCTCGACATCGCGGAAACAAATCACTTTTGCAAACTTCTGCGTCGATCGACGCCATCCCATACAATAAGCAAGATGATCGTCTGTAAATCTTTTCGACCTGTGACCTTCCTCGTTCACAAGCAAGCCATTCGATGCTCTTATTTGGCTTTCTGAATCTCCTCGTCCACGTTTGTGACACCTTCGCCATCGATCTGCTGCGGCAAGTGCCTGACGTCTGTCACGCATCGTGCGAAAAGTGGACAAAGGGGAGGAAGCGGTCAGCGTCTCTTCGATCCGAAGAACCATCAGCGCAGAAAATGAAACGCTGTAGACTTTCTCCTCCTCCAGGTCTCTCGGAGATGCGCACCTGCCCATCTTTCTACGATGATGCTCCCTTCGCCCATCGCCTTTGGATTGTTCGAAGGTGGATTCAAATGAGGAGGTCTGATAGGCCATGTTCGTCTTAGAGATTCATGACCTGCTTGCACTTGTCTCCTCTCTTGGACATCGTGATCGGTCAGCAAGAGTGGCAAGCGAACGATGGCTTCGCAGATGGAGCAATTCCATATTCTAGTACGAGAGATTGCAGGAGCCAAGTAGGCGTAATTGCCCGACAACAGCACATCGCTTTTGTTGTTGTGTGTCGACAAAGACAAAGCAAAGAGGTCAGGATGGTGATTGAACGGAAAGAGCACGTTCAGAAGGGGCTGGGCAGCAAACGGAGCCCGTGACTGCTCACCCGAGCATCGCGCTTATGCTAGCGCCGTGCCCAACAATCAGGACAGTCCGATCTCGGTTCGTGTATCCGCCAGGTGCGATGTTGGCCACGCGCGACTCTTGCTGGGGGGCCACCGCACCTGGCGCAAAAGGATGTTGACCTGAAGATGCGCTGGAATTGGACAATGACAAAGGAGCTAGACGTGTACTATCCTTGTAACCTGATGAGCAGGGAGAGATGATTTGAGGATTCGCTTGCGTACCCGCAGGGAGAGGATCGAGAGCCCATGGTGCTGGACCTTGAATGATGTCGTTCAGAATGGACGCTAGACGTTCACGGAAGCTGCAAAGGACGAGAAGCAAAAAGGTAGATGTAGCCGCATTGCTTTAGCTGATTCACCGTAGCGTATTGCTGCCTGCCGACTGCTCCAGAGCATCATTTTCCTTGCTCTTGAGTGCGCCTTGCATGACCCAACTTCAAGCGCACAGCGGACCTGTGCCGAGTTCGAGCGGAAGGCCAAGCTCCGGACACTCACTCGTTGCCCTGCTCAATGCCTTCGATAGTGTCGGGCTTTGGAGCACCCGGCGTTCCATACTTCTTTCCTTCCAGCGTTCCAAAGCCCCTTTCCATCAATCTATCATCGAGCCAGTAGTTGTATGCTGATTTGTTGAGCTTGGGATGTGCTTGAACGATTGCGTCTGCCGTCTAATGTCGAAAGATGGCGCATACATGATCCGTCGATGGGTGAAGGAGATGGTCTAAGCGTGCGCCTCAGAGCCGCACCACACGTATGAAGCCGCAAATGCTACGCGACGAGGGCAGAGGGCGACTCGAACTCACATCCCTAGCGCGTCTAAGCGGACTGGAATAAACCTCGTCTATGTTCTCTTCTCTCAAAGCTCTTGCAACATGTTCGGCTTGCTTTCTACCAATCACGTTCAGGTCCGTATCTATTTGTCCTTGAATGATTCCGGCCACATTGTGATCCGTCTCTCCGTGCCTGACCACCAATAACCTTAGTCGTTTGGGTCTGCTGCTGCTGCTGCTGGTGGTGGTGCTCGAGGGGATAATAGATGCTGACATTGCTTGTCGCTCTGGAGCAGAATCGTGCTGCAGTGGCGGACTGGATGCAAGTTTGTAGTGTTGCGTGCTGCGAAATGCTAATCCAGGGATTGATCGGATCGCTGACGTTGAGGAAGCGCAAGACTAAGCAGCAAGAAACTTGAAGCGCCAAGAGTGTCGTGCTAGCCGAATCACCGGCAAGACAAAAGCGCGGCTTCGGTGAAGCGAGAGGAAATGAATGAGTAAAGCCAAGCGGGGATGGAGTCAAGCACCGCTTCGCGCTTCTGGATTCAACGCTTTCACGATATGCGATGCCGATCGATCGAGTCATTTTGCAGTTTTGAGTTTGATGAGTCTTCTCCATCAAGCTCGTGACCAGCAGTATATATGCGGCACCAGCGCGCAATACAATCGCTCGGCGCAGCAGCGCATCAAGTTCACTCAAACTGTGATTATTGCGGGCCCTCTCGCCTTGTGCTGAAATTTGATTTCACGCTGTCAATGAAGCAGCGATGATAACACAATAAGCTATGAGTTGTGAGCACGGGTAATCACATCTTCATCTTCAATAAGCTTGAATCTGAATCATCCAACATATTTCGCTTCGATCTGTGGGAGTAATTAAGCGCTTCACGCCAATTCAACCTCAAATTCGAAGCCCAGTCAGAGTAGATTTCGAGCTCAGCTCAAGCAGGCCATCACAAAGTTGCCGACATGCCACCGCAAGACGGACAAGCGAAGGGATGACGTTGAAGGTGAGGCTGCAGTCTTGAGTGCATCAATTTCGATTGATCAAACGTCCACTCTATAATTCTCCTTGATGAGACGGTAGACAAAGGCAGGAGGATGTTCGCCGGTGTTGGTGATGATGAGATCAGGCAGATCGACATATTCCAACGCTTTGAAGTTCAATCCAGCCTCTTCTTTGAGCCTCGAGAATTCCCTAGGTAAGATCAGATCCTGCGTCGCCGTTGCTCCCAATGAGCTTCCAGGGCCCATTGGCGCAGCTTGGCCCGCACCTGCACCCGCACTCGCTCCTGCCAATCCTACCACATCCCAATTTGCAGAGAGTCGATGTAGACCTGCCAAAGCTACGATGGGCACCCTCCTCTCTCTCGCAATACTGCAGACCAGCGAAGAACCAGGTGCGCACAACAGCGCTCCATTGGGCAAAATTGCGTGAGGAGAGAGGATGATCTTGGAAATGCGCGGCATGAGCGCGTGCACGTTGGAGTCTGGAACCAGCAGCACGCTTAGGTTGGAAGAGGCGGAGAGAGATCGGGCTAGCGCATGTCCCGACATGCTTGTTTGCGGAAGAAGCATAGGCGAATGACCAAATGGCAAAGGGTATTTTGTCATCGCATACAATCGCGCGCGCCGCACGTTGCGATCTTGCAGAAAGTTTGAGCTCACCTGGGTGCCCCTTCGGCTACTATGACGGTAAAATGCCGATCTTTGGCAGCTTTGAGGAATGCTTCGGTTGTTGCAGAATTGCCAATGGTGAGTATGATTTCCCTGCAATCAAATCGCAGCACCATGGAGGCGCAGCAGGGTCAGTCGAGCAAAAGGCGTGCTACATGCCGCGCGAGCTTGCCAAAGCTTACCCGCTGTGTATATGGTCCCTGGCATCTCTCGCGATGTTGGTATCCACCTCTCCGATCTCATCAATCAGTTCCAGGATGGCCTGCGACAACAATTGTTTCAACTCCGTTTCATTCCCCTTCTCCTTCTCCTCGACAATCGCCGCCTCTCCATCCTCGTCCACCTCTTCATCATCATCATCCTCGCTGTTCCCCTCGCCCTCATCTTGATCGATCTCTTGAGGTTCAGACGACGCCTTCTTGGAATCCGTCATTGAAAGCCCTGTTAAGGTCTTTTCTAGACCGCTGATGCTGGCAACGTGTCCCCCCACCGGCGTGCCTGTTCCGCTCGCTGCGCTGCTCGTTATACCGCTCTGACTAGCCCCCATTCCCGCAGCCACCAGATCAGCAATACTAAAAGTGCTACCAGGCCTGAAGGCAGATAATACCGGACGCGCAGAAGTAGGAGCAGAAGCGCCATGCGCTGCGGCCGATCCTGAGATCATGGTCGAGGTAGCACCAGGCGCGTGAGTGGACGCGGAAGCAGTGGAAGCTTGGCTCTGGCCTGAGAGCGCTGGTCTGAAAGATCGAGCAGCTTCGCCTTCTCGCTCATTGTAGAGCACCTTTGCCTCTTCGTGCAACAAATGCAGCACTCTCAATGTGGTGTTCGCAATAGCTTGCTCTGGCAGGGAAATCCAACAAGGGTCAACAATTTGAGATCAGTTGGCTGCGATGGTGACATCATAGACACACATCTCCCAAGAGGCTGCATTGCGCCCTAAAACCACCGAGCTGTCGGTTCCTCGAGGCAAAAAGTACCAGCGCGGTGTCGTTGATTGCGCAACTCACCATCCGAGCAATGTCCGAGCCAAGCACCAGCCGATCTGATATTCCTCTCGATTTCATTCAATGCAGTCTCTCTGCTTGCCAATACCACGCTCCTCAAAACTCGAGCGGTGGCGACAGAGACTGCATCCGGTCCAGCTATCGTTCCATCTTTGAGCGAATCTCCCAATTTTTGCAGAAGCTTGGAATGGGCATGGCTGGGGATGAAAGATGAGCTTCCCAACTTGGACGACGACGCTAGACTGGTCATTTCGAATCTTGCATCGATGCCAGTCTGAGCATCAAGGGAAGGGCGTCGTTGAGGAGTGAGAGTCACGAGTGAGGTCGGCTTGGAAGCAGGCCTTGGCCCTCGCTTGGAGGCGAAGGTGAAGATGTCTTTGGCGGGACAACGCACGAACCTGTCTGCTTCGCGAGTATGCGCGGCCGCGCGGGCGCGCGTGTGAGCTGCTGAGATTTCCTGCGTCACGTGACATGTTGGGTGAAATTGATGCGGAGGTGCTTAACGCCGAACGAGCAGCGGTTGGTGGTGCATGCGCGCATCCATCATCACCGAGCTGACCGGCACCGCTCCACATGCTTGGCAGTCACGAGTCTGAGTGCCGATTCACATATGCTGCGCTGTGGTGGTGGTGGTGGTGATCAGCATCGAGTGAGCACTCGACATCACAGCTTCCCTTTGCCTCACAATCGCCTCTTCACAAGCATTCGCCACTCTCTGGAAGCTCTACTCCCACGCTCATTGGACTTGCTCATGAGCTGAATGCCACTTCCCCGCCACACTTCGTCACAGCTCATCCGCTCTCACGCTCTACAAAAGACTCTAACCTCTCGAAGCATGTCCAGCGGCAATACTACCAAAAGCCAAAGACCCTCCGAGCCGATGTTGGTATTGCAGCCTCGCAGATGGCATGAGAGGGGCTCAGCAGATCACGGCTGGTTGAAGACTTTTCATACTTTTAGGTAAGTCGACACTTGCTCTCCAAGACGCCCCCACGTTCAGACGCGCTGACACACACCGCCTCTTGTTTGTCAGCTTTGCAAACTACTACGATGCCAGATTTGAGGATTTCGGACCGCTCAGAGTGCTCAATGAGGACAGAGTAGCGCCAAAGACTGGATTTCCAACCCACGCTCACAATAATGCAGAAATTGTGAGCGAGCTGACGGGCATGCAAGCGCGTTTTGGCGTTCCATCTTTGTGCTCCTTGCGATTCTGACCTTTTCACCCCTACGGTCTGTCCAACAAGTTCTCCTACATCATCTCTGGGCAGCTGACCCATCGTGATTCTATGGGCAATGTGGAGGTGCTCAAGCGGGGAGAAGTGCAGTTCACCAGTGCTGGGTCGGGCATTCGACACAGCGAGTACAACGACCATGCGAATGAAGAGGTGCATTTTTTGCAGATCTGGTGCGTCTGTCGAGTATTTTGCACAATTGCCACAGAGCATGCACTGACCCTGCTGTGACGACTTGGATGCTCTGCTCTGCTTCACTTCAAAGGTACACGCCCAATGAGCGCAACTTGACGCCCAAATACTATTCTACACCTCACATCGACGATTTGGAAAAGCGCAATCGCTTCCTGACGCTCATCAAGCCCGCATACACATTTAGCGCTCAAGAGGTATCACGAACTGGTCTCTTGCCAGTGGGTCGAGCCATCCCAGCTCACTGCAGTCTATCCACCTCCGTCAGTCTGTTAAGCGCAGGCGCTTCGGTAAAATACGCCATCGGCTCTCAGACCGAAAGCAAGGCAGGGAGCGAAAGATGGATCTACATTCATCTGGCCATGACGTCGGGCTGGAAAGAACCTCGTTTGCACGCTCAGCATATCAGGAAATACGTCGTCCCCAATCAACCTCACCAGACGAGATTAGAGCATGCGGCGCAGTTCCTTCGAGGTGCCTATGCTCGTACTCCTTCGTGGGCCAGCCACCTCGCCCCTTCCAACCGATCGTACCAGCCAACTCGAAAGGCTTTGAGCTCTCAAGCGAAGAGGCCAAGGGTCACTTTGACTTTTGCTCAGAGCATCGATGGATACATCGCCGGAGAGGGAAAGGAGCAGGTCGCGCTGAGTAGTCCTGAAAGCTTCGTCATGACGCACGCGTGCGTCCGAAATGTTTGAGCTTGCATGCGCCGCGCGTCATCTCTGCTGACTTTGCTCTTTCCCCCTGCTGGCTTTGCAGCTTGAGGACGATGCATGACGGAATTCTTGTAGGCGTAGGTACGCTTATCAATGACAATCCTCAACTCAATGGTGAGGAAAGCTTGTTGGGGCTTTCGCAAGCACAAGTCAGACACCTTTCCTGACGCTTCGAGAAGAACGCATCGGGACGTGTAGCTCGTCTCCTCTCGCCCTTGCCAACAGATCAGACCATTCCCGTCCAAGATCTGCCTCGACCCATCATCCTCGACACGCACCTTCGCACCCCTCTAGACCGCAAGATCTTGACCAACTACAGTGCGGGCACAGGTGCGAAGCCCCTGATAGTGACGAGCTCACTCGCAACATCCTCGGGACCGAGCGATGAAGGAGCAGCGCGCAAAGAGGCGTTGCAGAGCGCAGGAGCTGATGTTTTGGAAGTAGGAACGAAAGATGGCAAGTTGGATTGGGTTCAGGTCTTGTCGGGCCTGAAAAGCGCGGGTGTGGAACATCTGATGGTGGAAGGAGGGGCGGACGTGATCAGTAGTCTGTTAGCGGCGCACCAAGAGACGACGAGCGATGCGCGCAGCTCCGATTCCGCATCGACGCGAGCTTTCGAGGATGTCGAAGGTCTGATAGATACGATCATCGTGACCATTTCGCGCACCCAGCTAGGTAAAGGAGTATCGTACGACGCACCTGCTTGGTTGAGTAGGATATTATGTCCTATGAGACCTCGTAGTCGAAAGGGAAAGACGAGGTTGGCAGCACTACCTCTACAAACACTCGCGCCCGAGCCTTTTGGAAAAGACTTTGTCATGGTTTGGGGAGGAGCCGCGTTGGATGTTGAGGAGGGTGCTTCTTCTGAAGCTACCGTACAGATCGCTTTGGGCTCGTATGAGCAGCAGCAGGATGAAGAGCAAGAGGTCAGGCTCGAAGAGGGAGATGGCGTCTTTGTAAGAGGCGCAAGGAGCGGACAGGAACTCGTCGTGAGGAATTTGGTAGCAAAGGATGCGGAACTGTGAGTGAGATGAGGCGAATGGAAGTGCATCCCCGCTCAAGCTGTGTGACCAGAGCGCGTGTTCGAGAGCAGATGTATCTCGCGCTCCGCCTTGCAATGCAAATGCTCACTCGTCTTTTTTTCCTTCCATACCGCCGACACATCGTCGCTCAGCGTATTGTTTGACGTCGAGCCCGATCGGTAGAAGCTCTTAGTGCTGCGCTTAGGGCTCAGCAACGAATGCGTCTCACTCGCGGTGCCTTGCTTTCAAGGGTTGGATATTCATTTCAATACTGTTATACATGTCGAAAAAGAAAAGCGTTGCACTCTAAGAGTGGAGGTGACTGGTCGCTGTCCGAGATGGCTGCTAAAGCCCACGCAAGCTGTGCACGTGCACGTGCAACGTCTCGAGTCCAGTCGGCTGCGAAGAGTCTAGGGCAGAGAAGAAAGACACGCAAGTGATGCGTTCGTCGGTCTCCTCCTTTTCCCCTTAAAAGAATTTGCCGTTCATTCAAAAAGTGACTAGTCGGCCCCGGGTATGTGATCTAATAACTGTGCCACACCTCATGTCGCGCAGGACTTCGAGCTTGTGAGGACGCTTCGAGGTCGCACGAGCAGGCAAGCTTGCGAGGACATTTCAAACGTCGCATGTCGGTACCTATGGAGTCCAGATACATATCCTCGTATCTGAGCCAGTCGTGGCGACCGCATTGATGCGCGGCACAACAGCAGTGGCCGATTCGCCATCCGGTCGCGGTCCAGCATCCACTTTCGCCCGAGCCCAAGCCATGCTCGTCACTGTGCAGAAGGTGGATGAGATGGCACGTTCAGGTTACGTGCGCCCGGCGCGGGTCGGTACCTTGAGATCTTGCTCTTTTCGCTTCTGACTCACAAAACCTAGACCGCCCATTCTCGTCGTGCGGATTTTCTACTGTTCGGCAACATCGACCTCCTTGCTTGAGATCCCACACTTTCAGCTTGCCATCATCCGCACACGAAAGCAAGAATTTGCCGCTGAAGAAGAGACGGAGAGTGTCACGGCGACGTGAGCACAAAGACGAGTGCAGTACGCCAGGGTGGTGGAACTACTCACTTTGGTGCCCAGCACAATCCACGGATCCACCCGTCATGGCCAAGCTAGACAGGAGGGAGATGGACGCTCAGCGTCCGGTAGGCGAATATACCACCTCTATGCGCTTCCTCACCAGCTTTTTGACCGGATGACCGCTAGCTGTGTCCCAAATGATGATGGTCTTATCTCGATCACCGGATGCAGCGAACAAGCCAGGAGCGTTCTGATTGCTTGCCTGGAGCGTTGAAAGGGATAGCGTGTCAGGCCAGACGAGTGGGCGTGCGAGGCGGGTGCAGAAGCTCACTGGCATTCCCCCAAGCTGTCTGAGGGCAGGATATGCGGCAGCAGGAGCAAGAGCGATAGCATCCACTACATGTGCGTGTTCCCTGCACTCCGCCTTGCTCTGAGCGCTAGTGAGATTCCAAGCTTTCGCCACTTGATCGTCACCTCCTGTGACTAGCGTCTGACCATCTTCAGCCAAGGACATGCACTTAATCCAAGCGCCTCCTTGGATTGTGCGCACACAGTACCTGTCGATAGTGGTCAATCTATTCAGTCCATGTGAGGTGGCAGTGCTTTGAGACACGCCGATCCAGGCTCACCCGCTGGAAGCTTCCCAAATTCGAATCGTCTCGTCTCTACTAGCGCTCACGAGCTGCGCGCCGCCAGGCAAGAATCGCACTGCGCTGACGACATGCTCGTGCCCAGCCAAAGTCTTCGTACAGCGCCACTGGTTATTTGAGTCCCAAAGCTTGATCTGTGTATCGGCAGAAGATGTAGCTATTTTCGAGCTCTTAATTCAGTCTGTAGTTACGATCGACGAGTCTAAACACTGTCCACTCACCCAGGAACTGTCCCTTTGCATCGAAATCCACATCCTTTACTGATTGCGTATGGCCTTTTAAAGTCGCCTCACATTCCCCACTCTGCCAGTCCCACACTTTGACATCGCAGTCCTCGCTAGCAGTGGCAACGACGGAGAAAGTAGGGTGAAAGACGACGCTGATGACTTGTTTCCTGTGACCCTCCAAGATGCGGGACGGGTCGTTTGAGGGGAGCCAGTCCGCCTGAGACGCTGCCCTCCTTCCGGTCGGCGCCGCTTTGAGCTCAGCCTCCAGGTTTGCGATTTGCTGCTCGTACGCGATGACCTGTCATTAGAGCGCAAATATTTCAGCATGCAGTACTGCTATGCCATCTGGCGCCGAAAGCTCAGTCAAGCAGACAGCAGCAAGCCACCGGGCCTAGCCTGGACGAGAGCTGCACATCAGCTCTCAAAAGAGCACGCTCACCTTCTTCTGCAAGCGCACAGTACCGGTCCACTTTTTCTCGAGCAGTCCCACTACTTTCGGAGGCGCTGTGCTTGCAGAGAAATCTGGCATATCGGCGTCTTTCTTGAGCGCTTCATAAGCATCCTCGAAGCCAGATCTATGCATGTACTCGAGTATGGATTGGTGTCTGCAGTATAAAGCACCAACGGCAGGATGAGCGCTGCTGAAGCGATTGCGAAGTGAATGGAGAAGCAGCGCATTCATGACCGCATTTACTCACAATTCTTCTCGCTGACTGTTTGTCAGGCTGCTCAACGGCGCCATGCCATTCGTTGCTGCGGCGCTCATCCTGCTCATTTAGGCGGTCACCGAAGTAGAACTCTTTGACGCGAGCTGCTTGTATGCCCTGTATGCGCGGACACGAGGCGAGACGCCCTGCTTCGAGTCCCGGATGAGGTAGATATGAGGTACGCGGCCAAAGTTTGCTGTGTTGAGGATGTGCTTTCACAGTCTCATCTCAAGACTGCGCACGGGAACCGTGGCTCACCAGCTGAGCGTAGCGTGAGAATTGGGTTGCTGATGAACTTGCCGATGTGCTGATGCCCACGAAGAGCTGTCTTCCAAGGATGTGGTGCTGATGATGATGGTCGTCTGAGTCTACTGCTAAGTGGCTACTCGACTGCCTCGTCGCACATCGAGAGCTAATCACAAATCACAAATCCGGAAGATCAACACGCGTGCGTCGCTTCGCTGCTGCCGCCTTTGGATCGACGACCGTCATCAAGCAGCATGCGCGACTCGTGACTCTGCATGCCTGCTGATTCGCGATTCACGATAGCGCCACGGCAGCGATGCTGTCAAATCACGTGAATGCAGCAGCAGGCAGGCAGCACCACAGCTGCAGATCTCACACGTTTGAGCTGCTGCTCCGTGCTGCTGCTGCAAGACGCACCGCCCCCCGCATCACGTCCCTATCACATCACAGCGCATGAGGAATCATCAACCTCAGCAGCAGCACCAGAGAAGAGAGGCTCTCAACGCGTGGCGCAGCTTCAAATCACGAATGCAGACGCTTCTCCACAACATTCACACTCACGACTCTGAATCATAGTGGCTGCTATTCTTTTGAGTCACAAGCCGCCGAAAGAGGGACAAGCCCTCATCAGGATCGTGGTCGCCCTGTCTCTCTCCTCTTCCGCACTCTGCAAATCGATCCGGTCTTCCATTAGTCTCTCATACTTTTCCATCCACTTCGAGCTTCAATAATTTCTCCCGTACGACCCGTCTGTCCCCACTCTCAGCATGAGGCCGCATGATTGACGGGACGACAGAGCTTTACAACGACCGACGCAACTGCAAGTGTTGATTGACCGCGACCTCAAGTCAAACATCACCAAGATGCCGCCAAGACGAGGCGAGGCGATAGGCACCGGGCGTGAGTCTGTGGAAGCGCATAACGCTGAGAGTACTTGACCACGCTGACCACATCTCCCTTTGCCGATGAGCAGCCGGACTGCGCCCCCCGTCCGCGGGCATGCGGACAGTCTCGTCCAGAAATCAACTCTACACTTTGCAGCATCATGCATCGTCCTCATCCTTGGTAGCGACCCCTGCCGCTCCCACGTCCGGTGGAGCGGTCGCAGGGTCGAGCTCGGAGCCCAATATCGATGTCAACGATAGACGAGTCGCCTTAACAGCACCAGACAACATGAGACGCAAGCGAGAAGAAGCTCGAGATAAGCGTGCCAAAGTGAAGAAGAAAAAAGCAGCAGCTGCTAATGCTGCTGCTAGCGCTTTGGCTGGAGTTTCACTGGGCCAATCTGTCGCGTCTGCGACACTGAGTAGTGCGAGTGCTAGTGCTCGAATGAGTGGAGAAGAGAGGCGAGGCTCCGTTTCAGAGGATCCAAATTCCGACCGCAATGGTCACAGCGCTACACACAGGTCAGATGGTAGAAGGAGAAGGCCTGCTCTGGAAGACATTCGGCCGCCAAGCTCGGCTAGCTTCACTCAGCTTGGCACTACTCGACCCACTTCTCGCTCAAGCACTCGATCGCTACCTGCTCATACCACCAGCACTCCATCTACACGCCCGTCAGATGGCCATCCAGCAGACGACACGGCTCGAGCACCCGGCAGCACAGCGGCGGCATACGCGGCAGCAGATGCCGCTGCTTTGGCCGAGATAGCCGACTTCAGCACAGCACGGCAACGCACAGATATCTATAGCGCCTCTTTTCTCGGCCAGGTACCAGGCGCCGACGACATTCTCGTGGACGACCTCGGCGAATTGGACTTGCCTCCTATTTATCCTGCTGGTGACGTTCCACCTCAGGCGCTCGGCCCACCGAGTCAGCCTCGAATACCAAGCTCCCCACCTCCTGAATTCCGAAGCGAAGAGAGCAGCTCTGGATCCGAGAGCGAAGCGGGCGATAGTGCACCAAGAGTTTTGAGCGCGTGGGAGAGGGACGTCGAGGAGGGGCTACCTTTCGAGGAGCGCATGGAAAGGGAAGCACGGAGGAGAGGCCACCTCCAGTCGTTCGCGGATGGTAGGTATCTCGAAGGCGCCCAGCCAGGTAGCTCTCATGCAGCGCCGCAAGAGAGTGCGTCTGAGGATCGTGCGCCGCTTGACGAAGATTCCACCCTGCCCGCGGCGACACCGGTTGAGAATGAGGAAGGTCAAGCGGACGGCACAGACCGAAGCGCCGTGAATTCCGTCGATCTGGGGGCGTTGGTCTTAGAGGCTCGGAATCGGCGACACCAAAATACCTTATCGCAAGAAATAGGAGAAAATGCGCGCTCGCGGACGCAACTAGTAGAGGCCCAAAGCCCCCACCTGTCGACTGTCGCACCACCAGCGAACGGAAGTGGCGAGCGCGCGCATGCAACAAGCTCTGAAAGAGCTTTAGAATCCTCGGCTGCGTCCAGCCAAGCAAACTCAGCACCCGCACCTCGCCCTACGCAGCCAGCCTCAGGGTCAAAGCCTGCAGAGGCACTCCGACCGCAAAGTACAACCTCAGGCAGCGATTTTAGGGCGTCGGTGAGCGCACCAGCTCCAGTCGACGCGGTCGAGCAGCCCGCTTCGACTTCCTTCAGCAGCAGGACGCTAGCCGCTCAGGGCGCCCAAGGGCTTTCGAGACGCGCGTCACATCGTAGAGTCGTATCCGACAGCAGAGCGAATGGAGCTGTTTCGTCTCTTTCTCGAAACGAAGAGCTGCCCAAGACGACTGCCACTACCAGCTCAATGGCGAGAGGCAAGGCGACTCGACTCAGGCCACGGCCTGCGAGTGAGAGTCACACACGATTCAGGGATGATGCGACTGCGGCAGCGCAGCGCCGTGGTGCTCTGTGGGCCGCTGCCTCGGCACAACCTGCCGAGCTCGTCAAAGCTCCTGGTCGTATCTCTTCTGTGTCCAGTAACGTCGCGCCTAGCGAAGCCAATGCCGCCCTGTACGCCTTGGCGCAGCATAAGCTCGAGCGTGCTACAGCTCTCTCTGAATCGGACGATTCGGAGGAGGACTGGCAAGCAGACAAACGCGCGATAGAAGCGCTACAAAGAGCAGGAGCTCCACCTTCGGCAGTAGCAGATAGCGATACGGATGAGGAACTCAAAGTGCCAGGAAGATTTGCTCGACTTCGCTCTGACTCGCTCAACCATACTGATCTTTCTGGTCCCGTGCCGCGAGCACCACCTCCGCTTGTTCTTGGACGGTCTCGAGGAGGCGCTGCCTATTCTTCGAGCAGCGAGTCTTCTAGCGATGAATTGGGCCGTCCAGACGATTCTTCGAGCGAAGAAGAAGATGGCTACACCGCCGCTAATCCCACTCGACAACGGCACGCACTCGAAATGAGACTGGCAAACGGCGCCCAAACTCAGAGTAGAGTAGACCCTGCGAGTAGATCTTTGTCTCGTGCTTCGTCCGTCACGAGCACATCTACGCAAAGCAGTCGCCGCGCCCATTTCGTGGAAGATCCCGTCGGGGACGACAAAATTGCCGATAGCGTCTTGCGCACATTGTCTCCGGGCCGCGCAGACAAGGGCAAGACTCCGATGCGACCCGAAAGGTGGCTGCCAGCACATTCACCTGACTCTTTGCCTCCGAGTCGTGGGCATGGTGCGCCACCCGTTCCCTCCACGGCTACTGCTGCTGGCACGTTCGAAGAGGACGTTGGCAGCAGCGGCAGCTTCTCGGACGAATCTTTGGAAGATGCAAACGCGACGCTGAGAGCTTCGGCAGCACCGCGAATGGCACACAACGCTGTTGACACGCAAAGCACGCTCCGGCCTGCTGTAAGCTCTCGCCTCAAGGGTCTCTTCGCCACCCCCTTACACGGTGGCGGAGCTGGTGGGATAACAGACAGCTTTATTCCACGCAATCCGCCAGAGCCGATGCAAGACGAGGCAAGTGTGCGATCTGGTGAGGACGGACGGTCCGTGTTCCGACAGCCCCTTACCGATCCCGTCAAGCCTAGACAAAGCGGACCAAAGGCGCTTCCGAGACCGCCTTTATCCTCTACCAATCCCGAGAAAGCCCGAGCACAGGCCCTTGCCCAGCTGACCCGCCTACGAACGACCACCAATGGCTCCAACAACGACTCTCTTACCGCCTTGGAGGCGTTGCTGGTCCGTGGTGCGACAGCGACTCCCAGCTCCACGCTAAACCTCTCAGCTCCCACTCACGCTGGGCTGCGACCCACCAGCTTTGTCAATCCGCGTTCGAGCGGTGCACCTAGACCGCTCGGCCGCCTGCCCACCATCACGGCAGAGACGAGGCATTACGCTCCGGCAAAGCATTCATGGCCGAGCAATGGTGCACCTCCAAGACCAGGCGGCACTCCGTCTTGGCTGGCTTACATCCCTCAGGAAGAGCAAGACGCCTTGCAAGAACCGCTCACGCCTGCTCGTGCCACGAGCAACAATGGAGGACGCGTATCTACGCTCATCTCGCGATTTGAGAGTGCCGCACCTTCGCAATCTCGTAGCCCGGTGCAGCTGGTAGACGATGGGCCAGTCCAAGTTCCAGAGCGCAATCCACTCGGCAATGAAGCGAGTGAGGCCACCCCGACGTCTAAGGAATCCGTCGATACACAAAGCTTGGACAGGCGCATGAGCGCACTTCGCAGGCGCCCACCACCTCCTCCTCCACTGAGCGCTTTGTCTCGAGGTCGAGCCACTCGAGCGTCACGCATGGCCGAGCCACAAAGCTCTGACCACAGCCCTGTCACCTCAAGCCAGAATGCACCTGCGCCCGGTTCAACGGATGCGTCAGCTCTTGAAATCTTTGCTTCGGATGACGTGCGCTCATTCGAGCGCAGGCGTGAACCTCTTTTTGGCTCCTTCACCGCCCGGCGGCCTCTGCCAAATCCTCCTACCATTCCGGTAGGGACCAGCTCGCCTTCCCAGCAAAACGCTCGATCACATGGCCCGAAAAGACCTGCAGCGAGCACAGCGCATGATGCCTTCGAAGCTCAGACAGGCAGCGGAACAGCACACGGCGATGCAAGGGACTCTCCAGTTGTTCCATCAGGAGGATCTTCTGCTTCCGAAAGTGAAGCAGAGCCAGCTGCTGAGGCGGTAGATGCGCTGCAGCGGCCCACGAGACAAGCGTCTATCGGCTTTACCGATTTAGATTTCCTGGCTTCGCGCCTAGAACAGGCAGGAGATCACTATGATGAGCTTACTACTTTGGCAGAGTTTTTGGGACCGAGCAAAGAGACTCGGGCTACGGTCGAAGAAATGTCCAACTTGGCAGTGGGTCGGGTGGAGCTTTTGAGTCGCAGGACGACGAAGGAAGGCAAGATCAAGCAAAAGTTGGGAGTGGCAGGTGTGAGGGTGGACAAGTGCGCGATCTGCCTGAACCAATTCAGGCCGCTTCAAGAAGCTTGCATTTTTCCTTGTTTGCACATCTTCCACGAGGGCTGCGCTTTGCAGCTGCTTAGATCGGTCAGGAATTGTCCTAGTTGTCGTCAGCCTATTGCGTGACCTTTAGCAGGTGAATGATTCGACCCTCTCATCCATGTATCCATATTCAATCCACACGCCGTTCCTCACACGTGCATCCGCGCACACCCAAGACGTTGAGATTGCCAAATCACATCAGAGAACTCTCTGGTGCAAACGATTCGATCAGCAGACTTGACTGGCTGCATTACATAAGTCAACAAGCACGACAGGCGCACTTTCCAGATGCATCGATATGACTTCTACGCGAAAAGTGGGAAAAGCGACGTGATTGCAAGAGCAAGTAATTCTGGAGCGATATGGCTCGCTTGCACAAAAATTTAGGTGAGGGAATACTTGGGACCTCCACCGCCCTCTGGTACGCGCCACTCGATGCTAGCATCGGGAACCTTGATGGAGCAAGTCTTGCAGTGAATGCAGTTCTGGCTGGAAATGTTGAACTTCATACCTCTAGCGTGTTCCTCTCCACCTTCAGCATCCACATACTCATAAACGGCAGCCGGACAAGCCCTTCCCAACAGCCCATCGTACGTTCCCACATTCCTCTCCGTGTGACCCGCATAATCGCCACCCTTGACGTGTAGATGAACAGGTTGATCTTCCGCATGGTTCGTTCCAGTCCTGCTCACAGAGGTCAGAATGTCAAACGAGAGCTTGCCATCCGGACGAGGATACTCGATGGGCTTGCACTCCGATGCGGGTTTAGTCTGCGCCCTGTCTTCGCCCGCGTGATGGAAAGTCCAAGGCGTGCGTCCCTTGAGGATCAAGCTGTCCAATCCCGAGTAGGCGATGCCGCCCCAGAATCCAAGCGGGGAGTGGAAGGAAGGTCGAAGGTTTCGCACCTCTTTCAGCTCCTCCATCACCCAAGATCCGTCCAGCAGCTTCTTATACTCTGCCAAGTCGATCCTCGGCTTCAGCTCGATCTCTTCCTCGTCAGACTCGGACTCAGACTGTGCTGACGCCTCGCCATCTCCGGCCGAGGCCTTCTGCGCAAGAAGCGCGTCAACAGCGGCGTCTGCAGCCAACATGCCGCTCTTCATGGCGTTGTGTGTGCCCTTGATCTTCGGAACGTTCAGAAAGCCGGCGGAGCATCCAATGAGAGCACCTCCGGGGAAATGGAGTTTAGGAATGCTCTGATATCCTCCTTCGTTGAGAGCCCTAGCTCCGTACGCGACGCATTCTCCACCTTCGAGCAAATCAGCGAAGAAAGGATGATGCTTCATCTTCTGAAACTCTCTGAACGGGCTCAGGTAAGGGTTGGGGTAGTCCAAACCTACTACCAAGCCGACCGAGACCATGTTATCCTCCATGTGGTAGCACCAAGAACCACCGTACGTGTCGAGTGGCAAGGGCCAACCCAAGGTGTGGGTGCACAGTCCAGCCTTGTGCTTCTCGGGCTTGACCTTCCAAACCTCCTTGACTCCCAAGCCGTAGGTCTGTTCATCTGCTCCCACAGCTTCGCGAAGCTTGAGATCCTTGATGACTTGCTGGGACAAGCTGCCGTGTGCTCCCTCTGCAAAGAGCGTAAGAGGGGCATGAAACTCCATTCCAGGTTCAAACGAATCCTTGGGTTGTCCATCTTTACCAAGACCTATTTCGTTGGTAGTCACACCCTTGATCCCAATCTTGTTACCAGCCTCATCTGTTTCCCACACCAGCTTGGCACCAGCAAAGCCAGGGTAAATCTCGACGCCCAGCTCCTCGGCCTTCTCTCCGAGCCATGCCGTAAAGCGCGACAGGCTGACAATGTAGTTGCCTTCGTTGGACATCTGAGGCGGCTTGGGCATGGGAAAGGAGCCGGTGGGAGTGAGGAAGCGCATTTGATCCTCCGTGGCCGGTTGATTCAATGGCGCGCCCAACTCCTTCCAGTCAGGGAACAGCTCATCCAGCGCATTGGTCTGGATCACTGCGCCTGACAAAATGTGATTACCTACAAACAGGAGAAGCATTCGAGTGGGTCAGTGATGCTGCTTGTGAAGAGACCATACCGCCTTGACGGTGCTCGGTCCTGCATTGATGAAGCAAAGCTCTGCGCACTGCCAAGTCTACTCACCGACTTCAGCGCCCTTTTCGAGCAATACGACTCTGATCTCTTCACCCTTTTGCTCCGCCAACTGTTTGATACGAATAGCAGCAGACAGACCAGCCGGTCCACCTCCCACGATGAGCACATCCGCCACATCCGTTACTCTCTCCACATCCTCCAGATTGAAACCAGCGTCGGAATTTGCGGCTTCTTGATCCACTCTCGCCGTCGCGTCGTCTACGGGCGTAGCTTGGCGAGCAGAAGCGGACGTGTTCAAGAATCGTCGAGATTCGAGAGGAGCACGAGAAGCATGTGCACGTGCATCCGATCGGGCGCTCGAGATGATGCTGCTTGAGAAGTTGCGCGAAAGGCCAAAGGTGGTGCCGGAGCGCAAGGCAGAGAGCGTGCGTGGCGCTGTGGTGCGAGCTGCTGAGGAAGAGGCGCTGCTCAGAGCTCCAGAAGAGCCAGCGGCTGCCGCTGCGAGCCTGGGAGCGATCATTGTCGACCGAATGCGGAGCAAGAGGCCTGCGCTTGCACTATGTGACGGGTGATGTAGTCTAGGGTAGCAGATAGAGACTGCTTGCGCTGTGTGTAGGGCACAAGCAGAGTATCGCGTTCAAAATGTTGCGGTCACGCGACGCTCGCGTTTGCAAGGAGTGTGGTGGGGTTGGTGGCGAGGTGGCGAGGTGACGAGGTGACGAAAGCTGGTGGATTGATTCGAATGTGGTTAGCAGAGCTGCTCAAAGCCTCATGAATCAGTGAATGGAGCCAGACAAGTCGAATCCAGCGGGGCGGACGGGGATACAGGGATACAGCCATACCGGACCGACCACCCACGTCCACAAACCGACATGTTCCGCTTTCAGTCCGTCGCATTCGATCGTGATTCCCTTGGCGAGCGAACCAGAGAGCGTCCCTCAGTCATCAAGCCTCATCGCACTCGTCACCGTCACCGCGTCCATGCAAGCGGCCATGCACCCTGACGCGCTCTCCGGTGCAGCGTCGTGTCCGATGCCCGAGGCGGGTATTCGCGTCAGTTCCTACACAGGCCACGTGATCTACATTCAGACTTCGCCACGTGGTGAAGCTGACGATTTTGGGTTCTCGAGACCAAATTGAATCAAGGCCACCTCCTCTACTCCATCAGCACGCACATTCAAAATTGCTCGATCACTGCTTTGCAAGAGGCTAGAGGGGTGAGAATCAGAATCGTCATCTAATCCTTCATTGCCTGCCTCGTCCACTCCTCCCCGCACGCCGTGATTGTTCCAGAGGCAGCGCATCATCAGCGCATTGTCCACTTGCGCTGGTTCGCAAACAGCACCAAGCAGTTTGCACTATCGTGCCTCGCAATAGTCAGCTTTCAGGATGTGTGCTCTACGAGGAGGAATGAGGCTAAGCGGGCAGTTCGAGCAAGGTCAGTCTTCGATCCAGTGCAGACGCTATTGCCTTCAATGGCTTCATTCCTATAGTGTCTCACGACTGACTTATGCTCCTTACCCCAGGCTTGTCATCCCTTCGATCGCTGTCCGATGCACTCGCCTCAACTTCTCGCATTCCTGCTCGGCAAGTCACGCCCTCAGCATCATCTCCATTCCACACGAGCAGCACCTGCCATGTCATCGCTCAGCGAACTCCTCGACAGAGAAAAGCTGCCAAGCTAAAGAAGCAGCGCAATCGGGATACGCAGGAGCTCAAAAGGCGGCTCTTTGAAGCTTCCAAGCCCGATCCCATTCTGGGTCATCAGCTCAACGCCAAGGGAGAGAGCTTGTGGAAGGAATGTGAATTGGCAGGACTATTGCTGGATAGGGATGTCGTGTGGGGTGTAAAAGAAGATCGAAGAGGCAACTTGGTTTCCATTTCCGAAAAGGAAGATCCGCCCGAGTCCGTCAAGGCTGCTCGCGAAGAAGAGCGACTTCAAGCTGAGAGAGAGGGCGGCCCGGTACGTCTAAATTTCGGCCTGACACTGTCGGATCGAAAGACGTTGTTTGGTCATTTGCCGACCATAGTGGCAGAGGATAATGTGCTCAATGCTCACGCTCTCCAATTGTCAAGAGGAGATTCGGGAGCTTTGAAAGCGGCAGAAGAGGATTTGGAGAGGATGGAAGAGGCGGAAAAAGTCAAGAGCGATACGCTCTCGAGGATATTGGATCTGCGAAATGCGAGCGCTAGGGGCATTCAGGTGGAGAATATTCGTAGGATCATTGATCACTTTGGCAATCGCGGTCCTCGACTTCCCAAAGATACGGGCAGCGTCGAGGTACAAGGTGCGTAGTGTCGAGGTTTGACACGTCAAAGCTGGGGCATAGCCAAGCAGCATGCATCTCACTCCTTCTCTTTCGCTGTCTCTCACTCGCTTCGCACGCCAACAGCTGCCGTCCTCACCTACCGCATCCGTTCCATCCTTTTCCATCTCAACGATGGACACCGCAAGGATCATTCAAATCGACGCAGCATGTCCAACCTGGTTCAACAACGAGCCAAGCTCCTCAAGTATCTCTTCAAAAAGGATCAGAACAGGTTCGAGGCCATCTTGCCGCGCGTCGGGCTCGAAGCTAGGGCTGTTCTTGGGGAGGTCATCGTGCCTGGTATGCCCAAGGTTCGCAGGGCTTGAAATGCATGACCTCTTTTGGGACATCGATGACCACTGGGTCGTGACTGCGATGATGGATCCGAACTTCGACGACGAGCGCCAACGCAAAGGAATGTACGGGCTCAAAGATCGATGTTGTCATTAGCGAACTGGTCAGTCCCGAAGTCGCTTTAATCGAAGCTTGACAGAGGGAGACTATGCCAAGGAAGCCGGCGATGCTTGCCTCCGTGATAGCCGTTAGGTGTTAGAACAAGCGCGCCGGAGTGCAAGCAAGAAGCTTTCCGAAGTTGTACAGGCCGCCTTTACCTCTACTCCTGAATCTGAGCTCCCTCCTCTCGCTTCTTGAGGACGAGGCCCTTGCCCATGCACCTCTCAAAGACAGAGTGAACATCATCCACAAGCGTCTCGAAGTGAGAAGTGGCATCGAGGGAGCGCGTAATGTAGATGTTGCTCTCCTTGCCGTCCTCCAAGGGCTCTTCGACTGGCGCGACAGTTACGAACCTGATTCCAGACAGACAAGGCGCAGCAGCGTGAGCACGCGCGAGCAGGAAAGTAATGCGACGGAGCGCGATACCGTGTAGAGACAACTTACTTCTCGAAGATGGGACCAAGAAGTTCGAACCCCGGTCGAAGCTCCAACTCGGGTGTAGAGCTCTCGACGATGGTCGAGACCTGCGCGGCACAGAGCATCGGTCTTTCAGGTGACAAATTCCATCGTGGTGTTTACAGCTCCTGTACTCACCTGCGCAACGTAGATGTCCTTGGCGCAAATGTTCTGAGCGCTCGAGACCTCGGCAACATAAATGTCTACAAGTAGGGTCGCCGACACTCAGCAAGAAAGTCAATTTGCGATTCATACGCACACCTGCTCACCGTGCTTGCGGTTGACCTGGTTCTGAGGGATGATGAGCTGGGTGGAGTCCGTGTTGTCCGTGTTTGGAATGGGGTGCTTGAGCAAACAAATAGCTCTGACAACTTTGGCTGTCTCCCTGACCAGCTGTTTCCTCTTGTCAGCGGCCCCGACGCCCTGTCTAAAGTAGCTTGGGTCACCAATGACTAGATCCGCATAGACAGTCTCCTCGCCACTTCGAACACCCTTGAACTTTCCAGTCTCTTCATCTACTACGATTTCGTCGACAGGCTTGTCGAGCATATAGGTACCTCCATAGATGGCGGAAAGACGAGCAAATGCTTGAGGGAGCTCGCCCAATCCGTATAGAGGGTAGATGTAAGGCGACTTGCCGTAACGCGCCATGGAGGATGTGTACAAGATGATGCGGTCATACGTCTCTCTCGCAGGTCGCTGCATGTAGCTGTGAGAGAGATGAGCCAGTCAACTTGCTGTCAAGCGATGTGCTGGCTCTCGCGGGGCATGCTTCGCGATACAGGAACTCACGAGTCTTCGAGATGAAGGGCCATAGCATGGCCAATGAAGTCGCGTGTGCCAGGCTCAAGACCAAAGTAGTCGAAGATTTTCGTCATGTTGTCGTTATCCAGACTCAACCCTGCAGGATTATACAATCGCAGGGAAGTCAGCAACGGACAAGTACCGCATCGAGGTGTCGTACAGGTCCGTAAGCGGACTGCGGCCGCGTGAAGAGCTTGTAAGGGCCGGAGATCGCAGTGTGAAGTCGGACTCACCCTGATGTGTGGCAGGATCATCGTCCTTCCAGTTTTGAAGGAACTCGAAGAACTTCTTTGCTCTGCGCTTCTCAAAGAGACCCATGAGGGAGCTCCTGACCGCTTCCATCTCCGTCGCCGGCACCTTGGCCACTCTTCCATCGCGGAAAACGTAGGAGCCCGCGATTTGCTTGAACTCCAGGTATCTGGTCACATCAGTGTGAACCAGCATCTTTGTAAGTTCCCCATTGGCCATCATGAACTTGGCAATGAGGTCGACTGCATAGTCTCTGTCACGACCGATATCCTTTGGTGGCTCTTGACCAGGTCTAAACTTTTGCCAAAGCTGGGTCAAATTGAGACTGGCGCAGTCTGCTCCGTAATAGTCGTTGCGGTCAATGTGCAAGACTTTCTTGCCCTCGACGGACAAGAGCGCGGACAGGACGCATTCCGTCACTCCTGTGCCGAGAATGATGGCGTCGTACCTGTGCGAAGGAGGGGCAATCATGACGAACATAGTCAAACCACGCTCGCGATTGCGCATCTGCAAAGCATCCACACTCACTTTTCATCCATTTTGAATCTGATTTGTGTGGTGAGAGAAGCGGGCTGAGAGGTTTTGTTATGATGTGGAGACAAGCGAGGATGTTGTGCTGTCTAGGGGGATGCGCAGTTACAATGTCAAAGGGGTAGCTGCAGGTGTTGATCATAGACACGGGGGGCGCGTGTGGATGCTCGGCGCTGGAAGGGCTGCACGATATATGGGGCGACGCTTGCCGAATGAAGCGTCCGTGCACTTTGCTCGGACATCCACGTGGGTTGTCCAAATCACAAATGCGTGCAGGACGAGATACAGCCCGTACCTCCTCTTGGCTCGCGTGTAGCCTCATTCAGGATTCCAACTCCACTCTATGTTCTCATCGTCGTCGGGTTCGATGTCATTGCACAGCAGGCTTCCAATGCTAGCACATTGATCTCAAGTCTTCAGCAGCGCCTCGGACCACAGCATCGATCAAGACTCATTTCTCAGCAAACGGCCTGTGGCACGGGTCATGGCACGCTGCCTTGGCTGCCAATCATCACAGTGTCACGCTGGCGAGGGCGAGGGCGAGTGCCAGTTGTTCGTTGCAACAACTTTGCCTTCAGACATGCACGGGCCTCAACGAGGGACAGGTATGAGCATGCCGTTAGGTCGTCGACAGAGCCGATTCCAGCACGAGTGGCAAGTGCTTTGCTTCGTGTGTAAGAGGGGGTAAAGCAGAGTGAACCTCATGCATTGCCGCGGAGAAACGACAAATAGAAAGCGCGACAGAGAGACCAGGGACAACTTTCTGTTTGAAAGAGCAGTCCTGGCAAACGCGGCGACGACCTTGCGAGCAGCATGCGCTAAAGCTTGCCCTGGGCTTTTGCGAGCGCTGCTCCTTCGACCAAAATGCATGGGCCGCCAATCACCACCCTATTCTTGAGCTCATCTGGCATCGTGTCGATATACTGCTGTAATTCTGCATTCTCTGCTCCAGGCTGTGTATATGCGTTCCGATGCGTGTGAAATGAAGAGCAATGCAGAGATTCAGCGGAGCCAGATGACGCATGCAGGTCCTGTGGCGCCATTTTACTCACCTGAAGCCAGATTCCGGCAACATCCAGTTCCAGCAGAGCAGTCTTGACGATGTTGATGCTGACATGTGGCGGAGTGATGATCGACACGCTCGTCGTCTTGGGCTCGTAGATGTCAAAGACACTCGAAATTGTGGATGCGCCCTCGATCGAAACCTCCTTGGGATGAATAGGAATCGGCTCGAACCCATGCGCTTTGTACCACTTCATCACCTGCAAGCACGACAAGAAGACGGTATGGGTCAGGCGCGGGCACAGCCATTTCGCTTGACAGGCGAATGCGCGACGAGGAAGGGTGGATGGAGAAAAGCGCATGCTACGCATGAACGCTCACTTTGTTGCCGATCTTTGAAGGGTCCTTGCTGCAAAGCGATGCATTCTGATTCAGACTTTCGTATGCTCGATTGTGCATAAGGATCACATGAAGGACTCACGACGCTCCTGCGACAGCAAAGTGATCGGCCTTGAAAAAGCCCTCCTTAGCAGCGTCCACGGACATCTTGCGCTCGACAGCCGAGCAGAGTGTTGGTCGACTGATGGTCTGTCGAGCCGAAAAGAGTGACAATGGTCTAGCCTTGGACAGACTCGAGGTGATGAGGATGCGAATCAGGATGAATGTGGTCGTGTGATAAGGAATGAAATGGCGGTCTGTTCAGGTCGATGTGCGGGTCTGAGGCTCCTCTGTTTTGAGTGTCAAAAGTGGGAGGGACGAGTAGGGGGTTGCGCTACAGAAAGACGGAAGGCGCAGAGGTCCGTGCTAGTTCTCGTGGGCTCGTGTGAGAACGCGAGAATTTGAGTGGTGTGGGAGTGGTGTGCATGGACAGGTGACGATGCAGACAGCAGCTCGGGAAAGGAGGTCAAAGCGAGCACCCGAATCGGTCGAGATCCAGCGCCCTCACCAACACCAATCAAAATCACACAAATCGTGAATCGTGAATCAGTGAGTGAATGTGCGTGGAAAGAGGCTCGTGCATGCATGCATACATGTGCAGGCAGTAACGTGAGCGGAGCGCACCGCATCTCTCACACACACACACACACAGCATGCAGCATCGCACCTTTCTCTGCCTCGCAGACCTCTCTGCGCTGCTCCACTTTTGACTTGCGTGCCTCGACTCTCTATCCGAGTTTGCGGCCGGTAAGTCGGGTCTGCCAAGCGCTGCTGGACCGCTAAGACTGCCCGCCCGAGCACGCGTAGTCCCGAATGAATAGACCACATCAACGCGTATATGTAGCTTGCCACATCCGCCTGACTACTGCAAATACTTGACCGCTTGATGATATCGGTCACAATTACGCACCGCGTCCTAGTCAGGAGACATATAGATGTCTAGTCGAGTAACGAGCCACCAGATCCGAATCTGCTGTGATCTTGATGAGTCTGTTCCGCACTCAAAGAGGACCGCAGTCAGCCTCGCAGGCTTTCCCGGACAGCACGTTAACACTGACCGATTCAGGCGAGGAGACCTTGTTCTACAGCTCGTTCTGACAACTCGAGGTGTGTTGAACGCACCATAACCAATCGGTCATAGATCGCACGACCAGCAAGGAGCTCGATCTTCGAGTCATCGACCTCGCAATGGCCGATTCTAGACCTGGATCTGATTGCTGGACCACTCCAGGCTCGTGATTGGTTTGCAAAACACTGAGTGCGAATGGAATCGTTGTGGAGCCCCATGCCAATGTGAAGCCTTCGCATCCGATCGCTGAAGTCACGTCGATGCTGGTTCGTTCGCAGACGGCGGATGTCTCCTCGCTGCGGCTCGCTTGCGACCGATCGACTCGCACGACCTTCGCAGTGAAGCCATACGACGCGAGATCGACAGCTGTTCCAGCAGGTAGCGTCAATTCATTTGCGAGGATCAAGGCATCCTTGTTGCGTTATGATACATGTCCGGTATACCGATACAACAGAAACGAGCCGAAAAGCAAGGGTCTATAGGTGGGCATCAGATGTGGGGCTTCTGTGTCTTTTATCAGCACCATGCCTGATTCTTGACTCAGAGCTGCGCGGTCAAGCTCTTTATCATCAGTAGCAGTACTGAGGCTGTGTGCCGCGGTGGCCCTCTTTTTGAGATTCGCAGTAGCGCACACTTGTAAAGCGCGCGCTGCTCCGTCTGAGCTGCTCGCTGCGGTGCACGTCAGCGGATTGGCGGACCAGCCACATCTCCTCTAGACCGGACTGTGTTCAAGATTCACGACGATGTCGCTATGAATCTACAAGGCGTTCACGATTCAGTTTAAGCCAGCCCATGTCAGCAGCCAGAAAGACTGACGATAGCTCTGCTGTCAGCAGAGGCAGCAGCTACAGTATAGAGCAAATAAGTTGCATGCATGGGCATGACGCCGCTGAACCCTCTGATGACCCCACGGCATACATCTCGTCGCAGCGTGCTCACGCGCCTTGGCATTTACGATAGGCCCGGCGCCACTCCACCGGCACCTGCGATGCTGCATGGGGCCGCAAGCAACCTCTTTTAGGATTACATACGTTTCATTCTTGACTCCCATTTCACCATTTTAATACAGTAATAGTACCGGATTCTTGCTTCCCGCGGGTCATTTTCAAAGGCTCCACGTGTTCCCTAAAAAGCATGTTAGCACAAGCGAGCCTCACCTCGCAGTCAAGAGATACACACACTCACGAGGGTGGTGAAAAGGGAGATGGGTGTCCATTGAGTGATTACATAGTTGAGTCAGGACCTCTTGGCGTAGAGCTGATGGTTGATGTACCCAAGGCCCATCATGCGTGCACGTGCGCCTACCGCGTACCTCGCTCATAGTTCATGCTCTGCAGAGAACTCCAGACTCGTGACTGTTGTGACTACTGTTGAGAATCTCGACGCACACTCCTCACACTCGTGACTTTGTGACTGCAACCGGCGTTGCGAGTGGGAGCTTTGAGCGCATTCAGATTGCAGCATGCATGCTGATGTGCTTGCCGCCGCCGCTGTGGCGGATGGGAAGCTTTGGAGAACGATGCCCCACAGCATCAGCTGAGGTACGACCATGCGCGCACAGCAGCGGCGTGACTGTGCTGACTGCTCTCTGTCCCCCCACGTAAGGCCCCCCACGCTATGCGCAAGCTGGAGGGCTGCTGATGATGGCTAGCTCGTCTGACCCGCGTTCCGCCTCGTCCCGCCGCACGCTCGCGCCGCGGTGGTGCGGCACTTCATTGCAGTCATCACAAGCAGTCACGAGTGCGCGTCCGCGCGCGCGTACTGTATACGCGGGAGTCGACGCCCTCTGCCGTTGCTGCCAGCAGTCCGTGGTGCTGCTGCTGTGGGGCACCCATAGCTGCGCTGATGATCAAGTGAATTACTCCATGACTGCGACGTAAGACGCGTTCAAGTTGCGTGCGCTGGTGCCTTTGAGTTGGGAGGCTTGCATGCATACAGCAATGCAGCTGCGCGCTGCTGTAGCTCCGCTGCCTGGCTTGAGCCCAGCCCAGGCCAGGCAACGCGCAGGGCCAGTGTGAGTGCAGCAGCGCATTTGTGCAGCGCTCGGTTCACACCCAGCGCATTTTGTGGGACTGCGACTGTGGTGCATGACGCTCGTGAACCCGTCGCTGCGACCGGCGTTCGTCTCCCTCATTCCTCGCGTACAGGCTTCATCGACTTTCAGACCGCTACGCTCACCATCTTAACAATTCATCTCTCTACGCACTGACCCCATTGGCGCGCCCACCGTTTACCCGCGCGAACTCTACTCGTCCGTCACTGACGTATCACTGAAGCCGAAAGACCGACCTTGGGCCAGCCCACCATCTCGACTTCTTGACATCACACGACCAAACGCGGCCTACCCCAGTGCCAGCACCCAGCTCCTTCTTTGTATATCTCGCGCTCAACACCTGCATCGTCTCATAGAGGCCGAAGCAAGCAGATCAGCTCACATGTCTCGATCTGGAGGGCTTAACTGTGAGTGCTCATCTGTGACCTCACCTTCCCCCGCTGGTAAGCTTTGGCTCGGCACAAAGAGCGTGTCCACGACGAAAGGGCGACAACAATCTCTCAGCGATTAATGCTGCAAGGGCTCAGGCTCTGCTCTCAGACGCTTCGCGCTCATGGCTTAAGCAATGCCCTAGAGCGGAGACCTCTACTCGAGCACAAGTCTGAGTCCTTGCAGCATTTATCGCTGAGAGGTTGTTGCCCTTCTGTCATGCCAGCAGCTACATTCGGCCACGAGTGTGCTGATATCGTCTGCTGAATGCGATGCACGTAGCTCGTACTCAGCTTGGTCGTCCGTTTTGACTCATTTAGCCCGTCTATCCCCGCAGCGATGGATGACGGCCAAAAAGTGATCCGCGTGTCAGCGCAGGATGGAAAGAGCGGCGAGCCGCGCGAGCTGGCTTACACGAACTGCAAGTTGATCGGCAATGGATCCTTTGGTGTGGTCTTCCAAGCTAGACTAGTCAGCGGAGGGAACGGAAATCTCGTAGAGGGTGCCGGAGCAAGCGCGGGTGCTGGAGAGGCGTCTAAAACACCAAAGGAGGAACAAGAAGATGTGGCCATCAAAAAGGTTCTGCAGGATGCTCGATTCAAGGTGAGGGTCGTGTGCACACGATGATGGAGATGAGCTGCGCTACACGCGTGAGAGCTTGCGCATCAGCTGCGAGACCGGATCAGGCTGTACGGCCCATCACGTTGAGCTCGCTCGCTCACTGTAGGTCTCTCGCTGCTTTTCGAATCTGTAGAACCGAGAGTTGCAGATCATGAGGATTGTTGCGCATCCCAATGTTGTGGATCTGCGGGCATTTTTCTACTCCAATGGAGACAAGAAGGACGAAGTCTTTCTCAATCTTGTGCTCGAATTTGTCCCGGAGACAGTCTACCGCGCTTCAAGACACTACGCCAAATTGAAGCAGACGATGCCCATGCTGCTGATCAAGCTTTACATGTACCAGCTGCTTAGGAGCTTGGCATACATTCACAGCATCGGCATTTGCCATCGAGACATCAAGCCGCAGAACCTGCTCTTGAACCCGCTCACTGGAGTCTTGAAGCTCTGCGATTTCGGTTCAGCGAAGATCCTCGTTGCGGGCGAACCTAACGTCTCTTACATCTGTTCGCGCTACTACCGAGCACCAGAGCTGATCTTTGGGGCCACAAACTACACGACGAACATTGGTGAGTGCACATTCGAGCTACTGCGCTCAAGCACGATGCTGATGCGCCACGCAATACGTTTCCAGACATTTGGTCCACCGGTTGCGTAATGGCAGAGCTCATGCAAGGACAGCCCTTGTTCCCTGGAGAGAGTGGTATCGATCAGCTTGTGGAGATCATCAAAGTGCTAGGAACCCCTACTAGGGAACAAATCAAGACGATGAACCCCAATTATATGGAGCACAAATTTCCGCAAATCAGACCGCATCCTTTCAGCAAGGTCTTCCGACCCAGGACTCCAACCGATGCTATTGACCTAATCAGCCGCTTGCTGGAGTACACGCCCAGCGCCAGATTCACCGCAATCGAGGCCTTGACGCAGCCATTCTTTGACGAGCTACGAACCGGCGAAGGTCGCATGCCCAACGGCCGTGACATGCCGCCGCTTTTCAACTTTACGAAAGAGGGTAAGTGATGCTCGCACTCGAATTTCAAGGCGCACTTTAGTGCTCACGCAATCCCAATTCTCTCGCTCCGCCACAGAGCTCTCCATTCGACCTGACCTCATCTCGAAGTTGGTGCCACCTCACGCCGAAGCGGAATTGCTTAGCAGAGGTATTGATGTCCACAACTTCACGCCGCTCTCACCAGAGTCGATGCGAGTCACTCTCAAGTAGGCTTGTGCGGCGGGCGAGGAGGCGGCATTGCGAAGGAAACGGCGATAATTAGGGCCCATCACTAGGAACGTGTGGAGAGCAGAGAGCAAGGACTGGGAGAATGGTCGATGCCGCGCGGACATTCATGTCCGGTGCTCTGCTGATGCTTGAGGAATGCAGATGGCTAGGAATCGATTTGCGGGACAGAGCTGTGTGCATGCAGCTGGACCAGGAAACATACGGGGTGCTGCTGCAGAGGTGTGACCATGCCATACTCCATCTTCGCCTCCTCCCACTCACATACTCGAGGTTCAGATCTGTTCGACTTTGCCTCTCTCACACACACGCTCCACCACTGATCGTTCTCTTCCATCCAATTCTCTATCAAGAATTCAAATCGTGTAGCAAGAAGCGATCCTCGTTCCATCCACATCGGTGTCTCAATGTCCAGAGTCTCCTCAGTTCTTGCCGCTTTTGTGCGTGATTGGCCCGCGGCCAGAGGCAGTCGAGTGCAATTCTTATGAAACCGAGGGGAAAAAGCATCGCGGACTTTCGACGTCGGTATGAGGCAAGTCGGCTGCCGTGTTGTGCTTTGAGCTGGACCCGCAAACGTATGAGCGATGTCAAGGTTCGAGTGCAGTGCAGTTGACCTCCCTGCGAAGTACTGCTGAGCTGTGCACGGTCGACGAGCTTGAGGCCATCTTCATGCGAATGCCCAGCCTCACCTCCGAACCCTTCGAAGGGAGCCACATTCTGCAGGTCGATACGAAAGAGGTTCAGGCGGCGCTCCATTCACATTCACATTTCCAAAGTTGAGTGGAGCTTGCAGGGTCTGGTCTGTTCGCGACGTCCCACGTATGCGCGACCGACCGACCGACTTCAATCTGCGCGCGCGTGCCAACGTGAAGCGTTGGACTCGGCATACTTCAGCATCGCACCATCACTTTTCCGGATTGATCCATCCCCCTTGCGACTCTCGGCATCCAACGCTTGCCCATGTTTTTTCGTCCGTAGAAGGCCGCACAAGCACAAGCACAAGCACACGCATGCGCATCAAACATCGAGATTTCCATCAAGACCGCGGCTCTCTTTCCACGCTCAATTTTGAGCCCCCCTTTTGGTCTCGATACGCGACGCTTCGGACAATTAGACAGCTGCTGATCCAGCTGGGCAGGGCTGCATGCTTCACTCTTCCACCGCGCTGCGATTTAGTCTTTCTTGTCCTCGAATCGCAGCCTCTAGTTGAGACTGTGCCAGAGGGACCAACATGTCTTCAACCTACGAGTACCGCTACTCGCAAGAGATTTCGCAGATGGTGAGTTCAGCGACGCACTAGCGAGCAAAGTCATCTCGAATCAAAAACAAGCCCTTGCTCGAGCTGCAAGCTGCAAGCTGCAAGCTGCATGATCCGACATTCCGACTGATCCTAGCTGCCGCTCTCTGTGACAGATGTTCGTATTTGCCGATCTTTCTGATCCGCATCCAGACGTCGTCAAGTTGGTGGAGGACATCGTGCGAAGTCAGGTGCTGGAGCTGATCATCCAATCCAGAGCACTATCTCAACGAAGAGGATCGCGCTTTGTGAATGCGGAGGATCTCATCTTCTTGATCAGAGATGATCGAGCCAAGGTGAACAGGCTCAAGACCTACTTGAGCTGGAAGGACGTGAGGAAGAATGCAAAGGATTCGGAAGGTGGTGATGCTGCTGCTGCGGGACCTGAAGAGGAAGGGGCGGATGCTGTACCCAAGACGAGAGCGAAAAAGATCCGTCTACCTTGGGAGATCAGCACCGTCTTCACGGAGCATCTGGTCAATAATGCTGCGGAGGAAGACGAAGAGGATGAGGAGGACGTCGAGGCGCTCGAGGAGAGCTTGCAGAGATTAAAGGTGAGTGGGCTCGACTCTGAGCTAGACCTGCTTGGCGAAAGTCTCGTACAAACCATCATCTCAAGACTGACTTTTTCGCTTTGCCCTTCCTGGTAGGATGCTGACGAGGCGACGCGCAAGATGACTCGTGACGAGTACGTGCACTATTCAGAGTGTCGTCAAGCCTCCTTCACCTTCCGCAAGGGTGAGTCTACTACGTCGTAGAGAGCATTTTGTCTCGACCAAATATTGACTTTGACTAGATCCCCGTCCAAAGCCAAGAAATTCAGAGAATTCATCAACGCAGGAGCTTACCTAGATGGCAAGCCGAATGACGACATGATCGACATTCTTGGATTCTTGGCTTTCGAAGTAGTGCGGGAGTTGTGCGAAGGAGCGTTGAAGATCAAGCAACAGATCGAAGAACAGACTGAAGAGAAGAAGCGAGGGTTGGGGCGAGAGAAGCGTCTTCGCAGTGGGAATGCGCAGGCAAGAGCCGGGCCAAGCGAAAGAAGCAGCAGACTCGTCGATGGCAAGGATGGCGCGAGCGAGAACATTGGAGACGCGGAAGCTCGACAAGGCGTCATCGGAACAAGCGCCGATCGATCGTCCTCCACAAGTCCCCATAAGCGCAAGATGATAGAGTCCAGCTCGGATCCTACGGGACTCAACGGTCCCACTGTAGGTGTCGCTTTCCCTCCCAACAAGAGGCGCGCGCATTTGAGCGGAATGACTACATCGGCTTCGACGCCTGCACTCAATCTGCACGAGAACATCGGTAGAGCGTCGTCGCCTCAAGCTCCTCAAGCCATGCGTGCTTCTCCAAGCCGAGCAGACCACGACGAATCCTGCACGCTCTTCACCATGCCCCCCATCAAAACTTCAGGACTGGACCTCAGCCACATCCAAGAGGCCTTTGCTCGTCTGCAGAGGAAAAGGCCTGCCTTGGGCGTTGGTGGCGGCGGGATATCCGGTGGTTTGCGCCGAACCAAGTACAGAATCATCTGAACGTCAAACGTCTCCGAAACATCATGTGAGCAGCATTCGAGTTCTTCCTCATCGCGAAACAATGTCCAATGGTGTACCATAATCTCGCATTGCAGTATTGTTGTACAGTCTCGTTCTTGCGATGCACACTTGCAGTTCTCTCCTTCTCGTAAGCTCTTCCTCCATCTCGTGCGTCAACGCTCAGCTGATGGGATCCGCCCCACCGACACATCGACCTCGTACAAAGACTGACGAGATGTTCCTATCATCACCACAAAAGAGGAACTACGTTGGTCGAAAATGGAAGGCATCAGTGCAATATACATGGCTTCTAGGCATGCACTCTCCACAGCGAGACCCAGATTCGGAGTTCGCACCTTTTCTAGACGAGTCTCGATGGTGTCTTCCTCCTCGATGAAGAGGTTGGGACAGCCTCTGTAGCCCTTGACTGGATCCCAATTTGAGGTGGTCCGGATCAGCAGGGCATCAAATTCCTAACAGGTCGCGGGAGCAAGGGCAAATCATCAGCGCGAAATTCTATTTGCCCGACCTCGCGCTGCAATTCCCTCACCTTGCCTACGTCTAGACTTCCGATAGTGTCGGCCAAGCTACACACGTGCGCGCCTCCGAGAGTGGCGAGGTAGAACAATGTAGCGATGCTCAAGGGCCCAGCACAAAAGTCTGTCGAGGTACCGTCCTGCGCCTCAGGCGGCGTGGCTTTGGTGCTTTTCCCTTGATCGCTTCCGAGCTGAGGTTCGTCTTCAGCAGCGGATGTGCCAGGCGTGCTCGCAGAGTCACTCGCATGACTACTGGTGGAACTTCCAGTCGTGCTGACACTCGTCTTCCGAGGAGCCGTCGCCGCGCCGCTGGGCGTGGCAGGGCCCTTCTGCGTGATAGCGGGTCTCTTGACTTTGTGCTGATGGTCCACAGGAGGCATGGGGTGTCTGCCGTCCTCAGGAGGCGTTTGATGCTCTCGGCTTGTATGCGGCTCTCTCGACTCATTCGTTTGCTCCTTCCCCTTCTTGAGTAGTAAGTCGACTGGCGCGCAGTCTCCAAGACCTTGTGCTGTCAACAATTCACCTTCTTGCTTGCCGCGTTGTGGAAAGCTGAGGACTTTGGCAACTACGCTCGCTTCCCGAATCGCGCTCAAGATACCAAGTCCGAAGCCGCCGCTTGCATCTGTGCCGAGGCCGATCTTGGTGATCCCCCTGTTCAGCATTTCTCCGATCCGGCTTGTGCCTGAGCGCAGGTTAAAGTTGCTGTTCGGACAATGCGAGATTCCGCAGTCTCGCTTTCGAATAAGGTCCATCTCGGAACTTTCGAGGTGTATGGCATGAGCTAGAATTGTTCTTGGAGTCAAAAGCGAAAAGTGCTCGTACACGCTCGTGTAGTTATCCGCGAAGGGAAAGAGCTTCTTGGTGAATGCTATCTCGCCTTCATTCTCGGACAAGTGTGTCTGGATACGGAGAGATGGATCCCGGGACCAAAGCGCAGCAATGCTCGCGAGCATCGAGTCGCTGCAAGAGATCGCAAAGCGCGGTGTCAAGATTGGTTGAACGAGAGGGGCGCTGATCTTTGGCTTGCGGGATGACCGGCTGCTGCTGTGATTACGAGTCAGCGCGGCGGACGAGGGCGCACTGGCTCTATTTTTACGCTCGACCCGATGCGAAGCCCAGCCAGAGGAATGCGGCTGTTTCTCGAGAATTGCAGATTGTGACAGCCTGTTGTTCTCAGATCTTCCCGCATCGGCGTGGGACTCGGGAGGCGATGTCCCCGTTGAAAGTTGCAAGGCGTCATTGTGTCGATCGCGGCTCTCAGATCGCTCTTTAGCGTCACCGCTGCTCATTATCTCAGACATCGTCGCCGATAGGCGGGCAATGCTGGCGTCCATCTCTGGAGATCCGGAGGTATGCGTTGGGGTCATTGTTGGCGACAAGGCGTCAGGATATTCCCCATGCGGTCGCAAGGATCGCACGTGTTTTATAAAGGTCTTCGTCGCCTCGAGAGATACGCTAGCGTTCTGCGCAAGCGACAGATGACTTCGAGTCAGCGGAAGTCAGGGCATCGGTAGATCTCTGAAGGGAATGAAGACCGACCTTTTCGATGTAATTGATAGGAGCGTTCCTGTCCATTGCACATTTACCCACAAGGGCACGCATTCCCCTGTCATTACAGATCTCCGCCAAAATAGAGGTAGCCTCCTCTGCGAACGGATGGATAGTAGCCGGGTCAATATAGGAGCAAGTGCCGAAGGGCACGTGAATGACTCACGATGAATCGTGGCGAAGATGGCGGCGCAGGTAGTGCCAGAGTCCAGCAGCCTCTGGACAACGCTGTCATACGTCTTGCGCGCATACACAGGATCCTCGAATCGCGCTTCTCTAGGAAAAGTGACGTGCTGCAGCCAGTCGAGCAGCTCGTACTGCTGACCGAGACCAAGATTTGGTACCTGACATGCGTGCGTATGCGTATCGATGAAGCCCGGTTGCAAGAATGCACCTGGATCTAATCGGACGACCTCGCAATCTGCAAAGTTCCATCCGTGTGACTTGACCACGTAAAGAATGGCTTTCCTCTCCAATGCTTGTTGCTGGGAGGGTGGCAGTCCGATGCCCACAGAGCGCGATCGCGATGCAGAAGCTTCGCGTGCAGCAGCGGTCTGAGTTGTCCAGTCCAGTGGCATGTCCGTCGGCAATGCAGGGGGTGGAAGCGACACTTCTCGCTTTGAACCATTCTGAAGACCGCCGGCTGACACATCTCGCGTAGAGGTGGTGGGAAGCTGCGACGTTTGTGTCTTGCCATTACTTAACACTGGTAGCGGTTTGGGAGTCATACTCCTCGCAGGCGCCCCAGGGGTGGTCCCTCCTTCCTCATGGCTCTCGTCATCGCTGTGCCCTGAGCTGTCCTCATCCGTCCCAGCATGGGATTTGAGCTGCTCGCGGCTTTTTCTGTGCTGTGATCGACCTCTTGCCTCCTCCTCAGCCACAAACGCCCTTTGTCGCGCCTCTTCTTGAGCAAGCTTCAGTTCCACCTCCGCCAGATCCTCTACAAACCGAATCACCCCGCCCGTTCCGACGCCCAAGATACCTCGCTCTATGAGTCTGAGGTGAGTCAAATTGACAGGAGTCACTATGCTACCCACGAACACTCGCTTAGGAAGATGAGAGGGGGCAGGTAGAGCTGGTCGAAGTGAAGGAGAGGGCGCGTATTCCGGGACCGCTTCTCTGTAGCTGCCTGAGGACGCTCCTGCATTAGCCGGCACAGGCCGCGAGCCGGAGTGCGTCATGCCTTGTATTATGCTGCTGTGTCACTAGAGCCTTGCAGCGATCGATCCTGCTGTTTGGCGGAAGGCGACCGTACTGCGCGATGAGTATTAGAGACAGAGAAGGAGTGCTTTTCCAAGGAGAGCTGAAAGGACCAAATGGTTCAAGTAGAGGTTGCCAGGCGCTGGATCTGGTTGCAAGTCTCTGGGATGCGCTGCGCTGCGCTGTCTTGAACATGAGGTGAAGACCTAATTGACTGCCTTCTGTGCGTTGCGGGAGCGCACTTGACCTGGCATCCGAGCAGAAGGGCAAATATCACCCGGAGCTTGGCACGCCTTCCCTCGTTCGCGGCGATACTCCTAGAGGCTCGTGCTTTGGTGCTATGATGATCTTTGGTGCGTCGGCAATAGGTCCTTGCTCACGAAGCATCGAATGAGGATGACATGTGAAGTACCGGTAGTGTAGTCACGAATCACTGAATATTGGTGGGTCGTACGGCATTCTGTAGTCGACACGTCCGTCGCATGGGAGCGTGCGCGGGTGCCCATGAGCACGCAGCCGTGGGTGCTGCTGCTTATCGCGTGTCCCAAAGATATCGATCGCATCGATCGCAATTTGAATAAAGGCAGCCATCACACAGTCAAAAGTACAATCACAATAAGTAGAGCGTGGCGGTGCACGTCTATACAGCAGCATGATATGGCCGAGTCATATCGCTGCAGCGAGGCGCGCATTGGGGCGCTAAGGAAGGCGTGGGAGGAAGGAGCGTCCAGACTCACGTCACGGGCTCTTGACTCACGACTGGAGAATCACGAACAATGACGAATATTCCAGACATTCAACCTGAACAAGTCGAGAATCCAGAACCCGAGATACTTGCTCGCTCAGCTGCTCTTGGCGTGCATGCATGCATACAGCAGCGACGAATGTGACGCGCGCGAATCCACGATGTGGAGCGATCGAGCGAGCGAGCGCACGCACGCCCGCGCTTCCGCGAAGCACGGAATCGGATGGATGGTCCGCAAGCGGGCAAGGCCATCATCTATCGAGAGCGCAGCATCCTCACGCCATCCCCAGCATCATCCTCACTCAGCCCTGGCGTACTTGGCAACTAACTTCAAGCCCACACACACCCTGACACAAAAAATTCCAACGTCGAGGCCCTCTCATCAAGTCATCGCAAGCACCTTTCGAGACTCATCACTGCACACACACTCACACGCAGCATGGGCCTTCTAGACAAGTTAGCTGGCAAAGCGGGGGGAGGACCGCCACCTTACCAAGGCGGCGGCGGAGGTGGGTATCCTCCTCAGAACAGCTACCCTCAGCAGGGTGGGTATCCTCAACAGAGCGGATATCCTTCATCTCCTTCTGCATACCCCCAAAGCCCTCAGAGCCAGAATCACGCCAGCAGCGACAACAAGGGTGGAGGAGATGATAGGCCGTTGCCAGAGGGTTGGATCAAGCAATGGGACAGCAAGTGAGTTTGAAGCGATCAAGGCGTGACGCAGCATTATCCTGTGGTCGGTTCAGAAGGACATTGGAGTCACGCGCGATTTGACGGACATGGTTGCAATAATCATGAGCGCGCTTTTGTGCTGCAAAGGCTTACTGACTGTGCTTCTATTGGCCCCTCATGTCTCCTTGCACAGCTACAACCGCAACTTTTTCGTAGACACACGGGCAAATCCACCGAGGTCGATTTGGGTTCACCCCAACGACGAAGGAGGCTCAAATCGCGCGCAGAATTACGCTCCTCCTTCGGGACCTCCCCCATCTCAAGGTGGAGGATACCCTCAACAACAGGTCCCGTACGGCCAACAGCCTCAGTACGGCCAGCAACCGTATGGCCAACAACCGTACGGCCAGTATCCTCAGCAGGGGTACCCGCAACAACCCATGTATGCGCAACAACCTATGCAACAAGGCAGATTTGGTGGAGGTGGTGGCATGTTTGGCGGAGGAGGAGGCAGAAGACCTGGAGGCGGCTTGGGTGCCGGCGGTGGAGCTGCGCTCGGTCTTGGAGCTGGTAGTGAGTAGAAATGTGTGGTTCGGACCCGAGTGCATCGACTGACCTGGCCATGTTGCTTTGTTCGATCTCTAGTGCTTGGTGGTGCAATGCTTGCCAACTCCTTCGACAACGCTCAAGATGATGCTTACGCCGACGGTTACAACGACGGTCAGGATGGCGGTGACTTTGGCGGCGGCGACGATGGCGGTGGCGACTTCTGATTGTGAATGCTGAGTGCCTGGCGCGAGAGAGGCCTACGCCCTCGGACATACTCTAGGCAAGCGGCCTTCTACTTGGCATCGACTTTGTACATACACCTCGAGCGTGCGCGAAAGCATTTTGCCACCAATCAATTCTGGAAGTCTCCTCTGCTGGGCTTGTTGCATAATACTATCCGGCCTGGCGTGAGAGGCTTCGCACTACTTCAGGTGGCACAGACTCAATGATTGCCGATGTTCTGCTCATCACTCACCGCCGATTACGGCTCTGTTTGTGCACATTGACTGCTGCCCCTGTCCCAACCGTCTAGCCAGGAGTGCAGAGAGGAGTTGGGTCGAAATCACGTAAGTAAAGCGCTATATGGCCGGTCACGCGGGCGGCGATGACCACGGCTAATCATGTTCAGCAAGAATTCCATCAGGGACCTATAGGGCGTCAGGAAGTTCATTTGACGCCGACGAGCACGCTCAGCTCTCGGAACCTCTGTGGGCGGTGACGTACTCTCTCCCTCTCTCTTCTCATCGGCGTCACGTTAACGCCGACGCCAGGGCGCCGACGTCTATTGCCCCGCGGTGAAAGCGAGTCCTCCCCGCTCCGAGCCTGCCTTTACCAAAGTTCATACACGCAGGCCTCTGGACCCACACTCACACTGCGGCACCTGGCTCACCCGGCGGACGCCACTTATTGTCACAACGTATACCTTCGAGGTCATTGGCAAGAGGACTCGATCAAGGCGAAAGCTGATCTCGAGGTTCCGGCTACGGAAAAGACGCTTGAGGCCGCGAAACTCATCATTGCCACCGTTGCTTTCGCGAAGTGGGCGCTCTGCGGAAGTGAGTGGCATCGGTCTGACAATACGCTTTGCCCTTGGCCCAAAGTGAGGCCGAACGAGGGCTCTATAAAGCGCTGGCCTCCCATAGCGAAGCAGGTCTGGCATCGTCACAAAGCATTCCCATCTTTCTCACTGCTGTTGATCAGCGCTTCACAAATTTTACACTTGCCTCCTCAAAGCGCTTCTGAGGCTTGAAGCATCTCCCAAAGACGTCTCAACATACCCAACTCCTCAAAGACAGCGACGACGATGAGACTGAACAAGTCCTTGGCCAGCCTAGCTGCGCTCCTTGCTCTTGTCATGGTGGCTTCTGCGCACCCGGTCATTCCACGCTCTTTCGAGCTAGCCATGGCAGAAGCGATGCATGAAGATGAGCTTGCGGTGAGTACTAGACGAATGGCGTGCGAACACTCCCCTGACATTTCTCCTCTCCCTCTTCATGATTATGTAGAGCCGCCATGAATCGGGCGCAGCGCATTTAGATGCAGAGTACGATCTACACCGTCGATATGCTTACGGCGAAGATGAGCATCATCCGAGCGAAGGACGCCACGACTATCCAGAGATTGAGCATCTCCACGGTCGTCACGAATACTACGAGGATCATTCGGGCGGGCTCCACCATCGAGAACACCACGATGCTCGTTATGAAACATCAACAGCGCGCTCACATGGGCAAATGGAGCACGAGCGATTGGAAGAGGAACGCGCGCATCACATCGACGACCACGAGTTGCACCTACGGGACCTTTTGCCACTGCATGAGAGGTCCGCAGAAGAGCTAGACAAAGTCGTCCGCAAGCACATCCCGCATGAGAAACTCGAGCAGCTGGTTGAGCGCTCGACCGAAGACTGGAAAGGCGCAGAAGGCGGGAGCACATCAGAAGAAGGTGATACCGAAGATCAGGGTGGGAGGAGGAAAGAGCAGCAGCAGCATTTAAATGCCGAAGAACACCATTGGAAGCGAGGGAAAGAGGCAGACGAACTAGCGGCCCTCGTTCAGGACGACGATAAAGGTGAGAAGCACGAGAAACATGCTCATAGCTTGGCAGGGAACCTGTCGGAGGAAGATCGCAACCGCAGAGCAACAGAGCACCAGCGTCATAAGCGACACGAGCATATAGAAGAGAATGCAGAGCGTGGTAAAGAGCATCGCGACGGACACGTCAAGCGACACTTTTCCGAGCACGAAGTTCACAAACCTCATCATGCTGAGACCCACCATGTAGCAGAGAACAATCGGCGACACGAAGCAGGGCACGAAGGATTGCATCGTCACAAAGATCATTCCAACGCTCATCACGTTCACCATGGTGAGCTGGACGATCATGCCAACAGCCTACACGAGCGCTCTCACGGGAACGATGGAGTGGAGCAAGCTCATAGAGTCCACCAACGTCACCACAATGACGCTCATCAGGCAGAAGAGACTGATCGTCGACAGGAAGCAGCTGACGAAGAGCTGCATCGCCGTAAAGACCATTCCGACGCCGATGACGCTCATCATCGTGAGCTGAGCGAGCATGTCGACGACCTACACGAACGTTCTTGGGACGACGGCGAGGACCATCACATGCATCGTCGACACGTCTCTCGCTCCGATGCGCACCATCTCGCAGAGCGTGACGAGGAGGAGAAGCATTGGTATCTGCGCGACTCGTATCCTCATCTTCGCGCCGCCGACGAAGAGCTTCACGAATCGCAGCGTCGGCGCAGAAGCTTGAGCAAGCCAAGCATGGGCACAAGGCGCAAAAGAGGCGCTTACGGCTCTTCGTACGACGTTCCTATTCCCCTGCACAAGAGATCTCGCGCGGCGCATCTGTCCTTCTTCAAGGTGAGATACGAGGCGAAGCGGGCGTCCGAGTTGATCGCCTCGAGTCGAGTCGAGTCGAATCGAGTAGAGGCTTAATCTACTGACTTTCATTTAACACATCTTTAGCTCAAGCAGCGTCGAGCGCTCTTCTGAAGCGCGCGAAGCTCAATACCACAGAGCGTCTTCTCTCCGTATCTGCCGCAGCCGGCCGTCGGGTGGACGAAAGCGATCAAAGTCGGAAGACGATCGATGATCAATGGCACAGACAGCCTTCTACGTGCTCCCACTCGTCTTGCGATCTTCCTAGTAGAGCGCACATGAGTTCCGCACACCTCGATCACCCGGCAAGGTTCACAATCGTCTTTTCTTTTCTTTTTTTATGAATCCACGTTGGTAAAATGAAGAGATGATATTGATACAGCTGTGTCAGTGGTGCGAGCTTCGGCAAATATTATCGGCGCAAAGACAGGAGCGCTTGGGAGTGCATTTGTGTACGCGGCTAGGTGCCATCAATCAGTCGTTGTCGAGCCTCGAGTAATTTTTCTTGCTGTGACGCGTGAGGCCCAGCCAAGGAGCGGCGAAAGAGAAGGGCGTGGGGCTAGCAGCAGCGTGTGCCGCTCTGCCGTTGGGCAAAATCCTGAACCTCTGATCTCTCCAAGTGACTGTTGAAAGTGGTCCAAGAAAGCGAGGGAAAGAGATGATGGTAAGTAAAATGTGGAGGGCCGCTCACAAGCCAAAGAAGAGCGAGAGGCAGGCATATGGGCAGTGACGTTTTCGAGGTGTTGCCGCTCGCGGGTGGCTACTACACTTACCCGTACTGCCGCACATTGCCCAGATCCAGATGGGAAGGGCGAGGCATTCCCTGATGATCCAAGCCATTCTGAACCTTGGCATTTGGTCAGGTGGTAGGTTTTCTCCTCCTCTCAAGCTCTTCATGACGGCCGCATCGATCGTGTGCCAGGCCAGTTCATGCGTCAAGAAAATTACGACAGACCAGACGTTGGTGGCGTTGAGGTAATTCTCTTCTGTGCGATCCGCGGACAGGTGGGACGAAGCTCGCAGCAGTCTTCTCAGGGAAAAGAGAGCTACCAAGCCGGCAACGATGCTCTCTGTAAAAGGCTCGACAATGGTAGCAGCCAGCACCATTCTTTTCCTCACCCTTATCCACCTCATTCGTCTGCTTGCGTAGGTCCACAGACTGTTCATGCCACCCACAGAGGTGCACACAGCATCGCCTGGCGAGACTACGTGGTGCAGCGATAACGGTGGACGCCATAGGGAGAGGGCCAGCATATTATCCTCTGCCAAAAAGATGGAGAAGCGAGCCAGAGCTCTAGACGTCGTCTTTGAGACCAAAGCGTTGGGGCCGATTTCCTGCGATCCTGCTGGTCCTGAATCGTTGTTGGCCGTGGACGAGCCAGACGACGAGGCCGCATGGCGAACAGCGTCCGCATCGAAAGCGCTGCTCCCAATAGCGCCTGATTCTCCTCCAGTACCTCCTTCATCCACGCCGAAAAAATCGTCTTGCACTCGTTGCAAGTCGCTCTTTCTGTACAAGTTGCTCTTGCCCATGACGCAGCTATCGATGGCCAGCGCGTTTAGAGCGAGGTACATTTTCGCATGATTGGTGGACAAGAAAGCTTGCTCCACTTGCGAGCCCCAATTGTTCGAAGCGGAGGTGGCGAGAGGAACGTGATGAACCAATCCTACCTTGGCGTTGGAGCCGGAGGTGCGTGCGTAGGCTGAGCCGCCAAAGATGGAGAGACGCCGAAGGAAGCGAGGAGAGGGAACGGGAGGTGGAGAGTGCGTCAGAGCGTCCACTGCTCGACCTAGCGCCGTCGTAGAGAGGCAACATTGGGAATCCAGCACCCAGATGATGTCGAACCTGGCCAGGCTGTAGGGAATGACCAGATTGTTAATCTTTGGATTCACCCCTGCTTCCTCGTCGCCTGGTGGTGGGTGCATGTGTGCATAGAGCACCCTCAGCGGGTCAGCAAATCCGCAGCGAGGAAGGATTGCCATTCATGTCCGACTGACGCAAAAGCAGACGCTGCTCGCTGCTCACCAATGACGATGCGACTCTGCACTTGCGGATACCTGGCAACTACATCTCTGGCCACTTCCAATGCCTGATCCTGCTCATCCTTTACGCTCAAGATGATCTCGAACGAGTCTTTTGCATACCTTTGCTCGAACGACGAAGCCAGGTTGGACCAAAGGTTGTGATCCAGGCCAGCAAGGGGTCGAAGGATGGAGACGCCTGGCGCTGCGGGCGCTGCACTTTGCACCCCCGAGCTTGGCATCCGCTGATCTGCTCGTAGCGAAGAGAGGGGCGATGTGGGAATGGGAGGAGTGTAGAGCCTCTTGGCTATTCGCAGACCGAGGATGGAGATGCTCCATATCACCACATACCAACCCAAGCCTACAGCAGCGACATAATCCAGCAAACTCCAAGCTGCCGCTGTCGCTGTGTCCTGCACCAGTGACGGGCCCCTCGAGGCTAGTCGCTCGTGGATGAGCGAGAGCAGTGACATGCTTCACGTAAATTTGTGGCTGATGGGTGAAGCAAAGCCCGTTTGGTCCGAGAAGGTGGTCAGCACCCGGCCGACAAGGCGACAAGCAATCGCGATTGCCGACTTGTCCAGATGTGTCAGCACGCAGCCGAGAAGACGCCGCACGAGCTTCGGATTCGGAGTCGAGTCTGAAACCGAATGGCGCATAGGTCAGTTCCTGAAGTGTGCTCCGGAACAGTGGTGATGGTGATGGTGGAGGAGGTGTGTTTTGCGCGAGGCAAGAAGAAAGTGTCAGACTCATCACCTCGTGACTATGCGTGGCGCTTGCTGTGGCATCAGGAGAGGCAAGCTCGGATCTCCGCGGGAAATCAGCAACGCGGTCGGCGTGCATGGGAACGGCGGGCCGACTTGCAGTTAGCGCGGTGTACACACTCGCACCCCATTCCGAACATCTTGGCTACGTGAGTAGTGTGAGTGCACCGCAGTCACGAGTGAGGAGACTGACCAGCATCGGACGCAGATCTTTGTCAAGATGATCAGCTTCCACGTGACTGCTTCGTGTGGCTGGAGCTCATATTGTGTAAACTTCGCTGTAGCTTCCGCAAATTCCGACTGGGAAGATTAAAGGTCATTTGATCTGATTTAGCCTCGAGGGATCGAGTCACTTTGACTGAGTGAGTGCGAGGTGCCTGCATCGAGGCTTTCTGAACCTTCACGGTGCTTCTTCTCTTTTGATTTGGAGGAGGAGGCCGGGGCGATGGTGGGAGCAGCTAGCTTTGAGATGGGCTGGTTGCATCGACATCCACACGCTCTCATCTTTGTACACGCTATCCACGCCTAGCGTCTGGACAGGCATGACCAATGCGATTTGCGATTGGAGGCTTGGTGCTATAGCGATCTAGTCGAAGCAACAAGGAGTCATTGAGTGAGCGCTGCATTGTGATTGTCATGTCATGCAAGTTCCAAATCCCGCGCGAGCAATCTCGAGTCTCGGCGGCTCAGCGAATCGTGCACAGTGAATGGGTGTACTGTGCCAGAGTACATGCACGAACAAGTGTGCTGAATGTATGCCCCCTGCTGCTGCCTCACCCTTCACGACTGTTACTTGCAACGCTTGACCGACTGATTGAGTCAGCAGCATGTGCGACTTGATTTCACTCCCAGCTAGCATATAGAAGTCCGCGCACATCTTCAACCACTTCGGAGCCGACCATGCAAGAACATATCCCGCGAGACTCGATCATTCCGACTTGATGGTTGCGCATGCATTAAGCAACCGTCCATGCTGTCTCGGCGCGCTCGTAGCACGTTGCAGCCCGAGACATAAGCTCGCAAGCCACGGCTTGCTTCAGCCGAGCGGCGTCCGGGAAGTATGTGGCGAGTCTGGGTGCTGGCGGATGACGATGATTGTGATTGTGATGGTGATGGTGATGGTGATGGTGATGGTGATAGAATGGTGATGTAAAGGGCTGACCCAACGCATGCTAGCCCCGAGAGCGGTCTCTATAGCACGGCTGCGGCGAAAGCTCTTTGTTGAGATCGAGCGAGCACGTATATAGGTCATCATGCCCTCTGGTGCCGCCATGAGCCTTGTGCCCGGCTGTCTCTCGGTTCGTCTTCGTACCGCTGCACACGGCACACATCAGTCACCGGATCCCTATGTGTCAAGGTTTCCTCGCAAAGTAAAAGCGGAAAGAAAAAAAATTGGAATCGCAGAGCTGAGGTCTCTAGCTGCGCCATCGAGTACCGGTTGCATGCGTGGCTACGCACAACAAATGGAGCACCCCGACAGGTGTTCGGAGTCGAAAGTCATGAGTGTAGCTTTTCATGTCCTCCATTCAATCACTACACTCTATAGGCATCGCCGACGCACAGAAGACATAGTCCATTAAACATCATATTCAGCATGTAAGATCCTTATTGTTCGCTTCTTGTTGAAGCCTAGGATCCTTGAGACTTGATTGTGCACGCCCAGCAAGCCTCGCTTGACGACCAAGGTAAAGTCCACATGGCCGTGCCAATGTAACCCCAATGGCTTCAGTAAGCCTCTCGCATTGAGATTCATCTGATTCAAAATTCCATCTCGCTGTCGAAAATCCAGCTGCATGTGGGATCCAAAGTCGCGCTGCACTCAGCCGCCTTTGCCGCTCCCGAGGGCCTTTTGTCAGCTGAGAGCATACGATCAAGGGTGACTGGACGTACGTGGGCGAGGTGCAGGCGAGCAGCAAGACATTCACGGTTGATCTGCGCAATGTGATTGCTGTAGGTGTGCGTGCGTGTAAGTGACGTCTGCATCGCAGCAGGTCAGAAATACGGACTCACAGTCGTCGAACCCGCGCTACTCTTCTACATATGATTGCATGAGCCACCTTCTCACGCCCACTGTCAAGGCAACCTTGACAGGATCGAGCGCGCACTTTAGGCCCTCCAACTCAACACTTTGCGCGTCCATCCACCATCCTAGACTCGTGGCTCTTATGATGTCGACGACCTGCGCATAAGAGGCAGGCCCCCCAGAGATCGAGCATCGTCAAGGCTATTCTCTGTTGGACGAGCTATTCATCCATCCATCCAGCTCCCTCTTCCCCTTCCCCTTCCCCTTCCCCTTGCCCGTGCTCTTCCATCCTTCCCCCACCCGATCAGCACAAATAGCAAAACCCCGGCTCAGTCGATCGGACTTTCTTGATTGTGGCTTTCGGGCTGCTGGCTCTGCGGGTCGCAATTAAGCGTCCCTGATGCATGCATGCTGCATACATCCTCGCATGGCCAGTCGGTACCGCGCGGCTCCGAGCAGCAGCAGCAGCAGCAGCAGCAGCGGGAGAATAAAGGTTACCGGTACCTATACCCTACAATCACAGTCAGTCATAGCCAACAGTGGTTCCCGTATCTAGACAGGCGGTGCGTTAGATGCGAGTAGGTCCGCGGCGCATGAATTCCAGACTCGCATGGCTATAGCTGCTGCTGCTGATGCTGCATTCCGTCATTCTGTGAGCGTTGCCTATGCTGAGACTCATGCCTCTCTTCCCCAACACCACTCCGTCTCTGCGGCCCACGCCAGTCCTCGTAGTCCATTCAGCCTCTCATCTATCCCAACGACTGCTTCCTTCATCACTGCTCGTCAGACGACATTCAGAAGCGAGGCGATTAGGTCGATCAGTCTTGAGCCCATCCATCAGACTCGTCGCCCTGCCAAGAGAGAGGCGCATCGTCCAGATGTCAAACATGCACAGCTCGGCGCACAGCAGCGCTTCTCCCGCTGCCTCCATAGGAGCCAGTCAGTCCTTTCAGACCTCGACACCCACTGCGTCAAGTAGCAGCTCGTTGCGCAAACGAGGACACGCAAGAAGAACGTGCATAGAGTGCAGGACCAAACGTACCCGATGCGATCTTCCCGACCCATCCGTGCCCTTCTCCGAAGAACCATTGCCACCTGCAAAGACTTGCCACAGGTGCAAGACGCTAGGCGTGGACTGCATTGTCTCACAGGAAGGTCTGAAACGGCAGAAGAAACAGGCGCGGGAAGGGCATGCTGCGGGGGTCACCAAGAGCACCGAGGGCGATCACAATAGCCCAGAGGCGGCAGCACGAGGTGTGAAGCGAAAAGAGCCGGCCACCGACACCTCACCAGCAGCAGCAGCCGCCGTACATGCTGCTCAGGTCAAGAAGCGGGCTACGGTGTTGACGTCGAGCAAAAAGAGAGAGGGTGGGGACGAGGAGCATGGCAAGCAGGCTGCTGCCGCTTCATCTTTGCTATCGCGCCACCCTTCCTCCGCCGCATCACCCAGCGCTCGCCCTGATGGTACTGATGTGTCGAGACGCTCCGCGGGCGGATCACCGATCGAAGGACCTCCTACGAGCGGAGCATCCAAAGCCATATTCATCGGTCCATTCTGCGACACCATCTCCGCTTATGTCGCAGCTGCTAGCGGCGATGGCAGATCAGCATCCAAATCTCCCTTGGATCGCAGGATAGATCTTCCTGGACTAGCGCCAGGTACCAGCATCTCTGGGTCTGGCTTGACGCTTCCCGATCTGACCAGCGCGCCAAGGACGACCCGGATCAGCTTCGGGCCACCAAAAGAGCGCATGACGTCGGCCAAGATGTTTGCTCGAAGACCCCTGATGCTGCTCAGCGAAATGCTGCAGCACCACGAAGGTTTCGGATGCAAATTGCATCTCAGCACAAAGGATTGCCCCGACGATGTGCTGAGCATCGTGAACGATGGACTGGCAGCCAAGCTGGAGCCCCGCATGCAAACGCATTTGGTCTTTCTGCCCGCTCTACCCGATCCAGCCGTGCTGCGCCAAGCGCACAAGAGCAACCCTACAGTCTGGTCCGGTTTGCTGCTCGCTGTGCTCTACCTGATCTCCGAACCGATGCGGGAGAGTACAGAGTCTGGAAAGACTTTGATGGCGCTCATTGCTCGAGACGCTGCTTGCGTCATGGCTTCTGCTCCGCGCGACAGGCACGCCATCGCCGCGCTCGAGCTCTTGGCGCTCCACATTCCGCTCGTCCTAGCTCAAGCATCGTGCGTTCGCGGATCTCATCTGCGTCCAGAGATGCGCGTGACGGGAGAAGGCTTCATTTCGGTCGCGATCAGCATAGCTAGGTCGATGGATCTGCACCTCGCTCCGCAAGAAGTGTTGGAGCTGCAAAAGGAGATTCAGGCTCTGCCCCGGCTTTCTGCTTTGATCACTGATCAGGAGAGATCAGAGTATAAGAGGGAAAGGGAAGAGCTGGACACGCTGCTCAGAGCTGCGGTGGATGACGCAGCGCAGTGGTACAGCCTGTGCTGCTGGAGAGCCCACGCCGCTTTTGCAGATCACGCCGTGCTGGATCCACCGCCTGCTGCGGAAGGTGTGAGCGCTGTGCAGGTGCTCTGCTCCTCCATCGCATCTGGAGGCGGACAAGGAGATGGCGGGCGGACATCGCAAACGCTTCAGGCCATAGGAAGAGCGGGTCTGGCTGGAAGGATCGACTTTTTGGAGCTCATCATACGATCTTGGCACACGCTTGCTCACGACACTTTTGCGGTAGAGCAGGAAGTAAAGCTGTACGATGATGCGTTGGAAAGAGCAGCTAGCGGTATTTCGAGCTGTGTGCACAAGCACTGCGAAAAGTTTGAGGTGGAGGAAGAGGCCCTGAGCGAATCGCGCGAACGTCTCTTGTGTAAGTCGCGCATGCAAGCGGTCAGCGATCTACGGGAAAAGATTTCTGATCTTGTTTTCCGGTATCCCGCGCCGTCAGCGGAGTTCAAGTCCAATCCCCACACACAGCGACTCATGCACTGGCTCGACATGGAGACCTACTCTTTCAAATCGATGTTTCTCAACTCTGGCTTCAAGCGCGTCGTCTTTGGGGCTGGAGGCATGCTGCACGAACAGCTGGGCAGCACGACTGTAGGCGTAGGCTCGAGGGCATTTAGACGACGAGCTACAGCTGCTGCGGCTGTAGATCGCCCCATGGCTGCCTCGGATGTGGTCAGACTGGTACGAGATGACCCCAATATTCATTACTACGCTACTCGTTGGGGAAGGTGAGGACTCGGAGCTCGAACAGCGAGGCAGGATTCATCTGGCTGACTTGTCCCCCTCCCTCTCTCTCTCACACACACACAGCATCATGGTACATCTCAACGAACTCGCCATCGAATCTTGGCTCAAGATTTGCAACTTTGAACTGCCAAAACCAATCCGCAATGCCAGCTTTGCGCGGCGCTCAGATGCGGAAGGAGGCGCGTCGCGGGCAGTCTTTGTGGGCGGTGATGTCGTTGGTATCCCTACCGTTGGAAGCTGCGCGATGCTCCTCGATGGCGCTAAATCGTGTACCGAGTGAGTAAAGCTGTTCATCAGATCAGAAGTGAGCATTGCACTGACCGTTTCGGGACGGGTGCTGCCGCTGTGTCGCAGATCTCAAGCAGCAACGATCATCGGATGGCATCAAACGTCGCCTCACATCGACGGCATCACCACCATGATGTCCAAAGCAGCTCGCAGCACTCAAGAAATCTTCGCGACTCGTCAATCCGCTCTCGCATCTGGTACAAACGGTCCCAGAGCTGCGCTGGCACCAATCGTCCACGCCCGTGTCGCTGCTGGAAACATCTTGGCCACCACAGGGCTCATCCTCGGCGCAATGGCAGACGCGATGGAGGAATGGAGAGTCATCTTGCTCGCCAAGCAGCGTGGTCCACCTCTCTTGCCCTTGGTTGGAGAGGCGGCAGATGCAAAAGGAGGGTCCACGCTGATGGAAGCTCACAAAGCCGTCGCTGCCGCTGAGAAGGGCACTCAATTGGACAAGGCGGCTGCTCAAGCCGTCTCTCGTCTCGTCTCGGCTCGACGCGGCCAACATCCTGAGTCTCAGGGACGACAGGGAGGCTTGGGGTCAATGAGGTCCCAAGATGCCAAGACTCAGTGTGATCCACAACGGACTCAGAGTTATACCTCTTCATCTCTCAACAGTGAGACCTCCGAAGGTGTCGACACGCACCTCAGCCGTTCGGAGCAGCAATCTACCCACTTTGGACCTGCTGCGCAAGATCGAGAGGCATGCGCTTTGCGACAGTCTGCGCCCGCTGGCACTCCGTTCCTTCCCGAGGACCTGGCTGGGCTGGCTAGCGGCGACGGTTCGAGGTCCATGCAGCAAGCGAATGCTCAGGTGGAATGGAACCTTCCGCAATGGCAAATGCAAGGCGCTGCCGACTATCGGGGCCCGAGAAGCGAGGAACACTTTTACAATGGCGGAGGACCCGCCGGTTTGGCGCAGCATTCTCAAAATTTGCCAGCTAGCTCTGCCGTCGATCTGATGCTGGCTTCGATGCTGGGAGATCATGTGCCCGACTGGACCTCTTTGTTGTCCGGTCCCTTGGGATCCATGTATCCGCGCAGCGCCTGGTCCTCCGCCGACTCGCGGTCCAACGACGAGCCTGTCCTGCAGCAACAAGGCCAGCGAGAGCAGATGCAATACTCGGAGCCGTCCACAATGGCCTCTCTGAACGATTCGTATTATGATCTACAGCAGCAGCAGCAGCCTCAAGCTCAAAGCGCATTCTTTGCTAGCCCGTCCGAAGGGCAGGCATTGAGTCAGGTGCTTGCCAGCACGCCTAGCACAAACTTTGTCGCCCACCATACCCAACACGCTGAATCCTTTTTTCGCAATCTTCACCCGCCGCAGCAACAATCCACCATGTACCGCTGAACGCAGCACGGCGATGCTGAAGCTACGCAATCTTTGCACATCGCACATTTCATCAGGTCGTTGGTAGTGTAGTCGTCATTGTTCCACATTGTACATCCTGCCCCCCACTCCACATGTCACCCATTCTGCCCAGCGCCGCTGCCAAAAAGCGTCGTCATCTTGCCAATGCATCCTTTTGTCATCTCGCGCCATCGTCAAAGAGGGCTGCAGATTGCTGAGCTTCGACGTTCTGCGTGTGCGAGCGCTTCTTGGTCGTGCTTCTTTCGACACACGCTTCGCGCTCAGCGATGGTGCGCAAGCTGTCGGGCATGCACAAGGTGCAACCAAACGCGCCCAGGTGATGATGACGTAGTAAGGAAATGCGAATTGCTGTGCGTGAGTCTAGCTTCATTCCTCGTCTTCGTCTTCACCATCCACAACCGCCCTCATGTCATCCTCGTCAAAGCCTTCTTCGCCAGAACCCACCACGTCCTCGCTCTCGTCCTCATCGCCGACCTCGTCATCGTCTTCCTCATCGTCTTCTCCTCTGCCCCTCTTTAGACCCTTCATTTTCCTGGTCTGCAACTTGCCGAGATCCTGCCTCTCCATGTGAACCCTGCCGAGCATGTCACCCATATCATCCGTGAGGATATTCTTCCTCTTTGTCGTGCCCTGCTTATTGCTCATAGCAGCAGTCCTGGGTCTCTTGAGGGCATTGGTCAATCGTGTCGCATCAGCCGGTCGCCTCCTCCTCAGCACGAAATCAAAAGAAGGTCCAACCTCGTGCAGCTCAATCTTTGGTGTCGCGCCCGACTGAGTCTTTACGGCTGGTCGAGGAGCATAGACCCTGAAATAGACTACTCGGCCGGATGCGCTCGTGTCGATGTCTGCTGGTGAGTTGGAGCCCTTGACTTGTGCAGCCCCTGCGGCATACAGCTTGGCTAGATCGGGATCGCTATGAGGTGCATCTGCCCCGCCAAGTTCCAATTCGGGTCCCTCGGTGACACAGATGATGTGCTGCAATCCATTCCTGAGTGCTATAGAGTTGCCGGCGGCGCCCGGAACAGCGCCCGGTCCGGAGGCAGGCGGTGCTTCTTCGCCCCTGTAAAAATCGATCAGCAAGGATTTGAGGTGCTGAAAAGATGCATGAATGCCAGAGTTACACATGGACAGGGCTCCACTGAATGGTGCGTCTGCATCGACTGTGCTATCTTCCGGCGAGAAGTGGGGACCCGAGAAGTGGAAGAGTGGTCTAGAACCAATTGTTGGGGAGAACGGCGACTGATGGAACGCCGAAGCGGCAAGAAAATGGAACAGTGAGAAACATAGCAGAGGCGGCTCGGCAACGCATTCAACCAGTCGATAGCTGCCCATTCGAGCTTACCTTGAATTCTGCGATAGCCTTGCCTTGCAGCACGCCCATCTCGAGCAGATCAAGCACCTTCCCATCGAAACACCTCGCCCATATCAGATTGTCTTTTCTCTTCTTCTGGTGATTTCCTACGATGAACAAGCTTGCGTCATTCTTGCCGCTCCAGAATTCCAGACTCTCTGTCCCGGAGGATTCGAACGGCAGGCAATCGTTCTTCTTGTTGAATTGTATATTGTCTGGTTTCTTGAGCGCTGCCAGATCCTTGAAGGCCAAGCTGACAAGACGAGATGAATGAGGACCCGTAACAAAGATGGCCTTTTTGGCTGCTTCGTAGTCTCGGGGCGCACGAGCTTCCATCGCCCGTTTGCTCCGGGCATTACGAGGCTTGGGCGTGCGAAGCATCTCTGCTGTGGATGAGTTCGAACAATCAAATCGATTCTCGTTCTCCTTGCTCGGAAAGAATGTTTGGGTGATGTGCCGGATTGGCTGACAGTACATGCAGGCTGAATGGATGGCAAGAAGATGGAGTCGAAGGGCAGCCAGGGCTCAAAGAACGATTGATCACTTGTGACTGACTGCCTCGAACTTGAATCAGTCGGGAGTGTGCATACAGACAGGCTACCTACAGGACAAGTTGCCAAAAAAGTTGAAATTCACAGAACTGCGCGGGCGTCTCCCGGCCGAAAAATGGGGGGACGTCCTTTGGTGCTCACGTGACGGCCTGCTTGGCTTGCCCCGCGCGATGCCACCTTAATTGCGTGTCTTGACTTTCGACTCGAAATCGCATTCATCAAGATTCACTCATTTTGAATCGGGGTTGCGATCAAGAATGCCTCTGACTGGAAGAAAAAAATCTTCCTCTATTTATCCTTCGTTTCACCCATCACTGCACGAGTGCTGCATTCAGGGGTCTAATCAACGTTGCTTCCTGTGCATTCCCTGCGAGTGAGTCCTTTTAGTGGCGCAAGTCGTGGAGAGACTGTTGGTGGAAGAGCGATGACTCTCAAAAACATCATCGCCCTTTGTGCCGCGCTGTCTTTGGACCACATCTTGAGTGTCATGGTAAGGACTTTGAAAGCAGACAGCTACCATCTTCGCCTTGCATTTCTCCAAGCACGCTCTTCACGGAGGTCTGCCTTTCTTCTCCATCGCCCAGCATGAAAGATCATCTTTTCTCTGAATCTGTTCAAGCCTTTGATGGAATAGCTGCCATTCGCCACCTCTGACCACTGCGAAGCCCATTACCGACTAGAGGTTGTGAATCTCCACCGGAGACAGTCAGCCTCTGTGAACACTCACCGCATCTCGGTACCTCCTTCCATGCTCAGGTCCAATCAAGGTGTTTGTGCCTTGTATGCGTAACCACATGTGCGTTCGATTGTCATAGACGTGTGAGAATCCGAGAGTGTCGTGACGATTGAAGAAGATCAGGGGAGGAGCACTCGGCACCATCTGCATGCGGACGCAGAAGTAGCGAATTCTAGATGAGCATGGCCGTCCTTCCAAACCGATGCGCCACACTCACAACCTTGTTGGGATCGTGTGCTAGACGATGCCTTGGTCACATTGCAAGTGGTGACGAAGTCGCTGAGCTCGAGAACACGAGCAGCTTGGGGACACCTCCTGACTCACACCTCCTGCTCTACTGCTGAGGATGACGTCTGCAACTCCGTTGCGCACCTGCCTCCAATGCCCGCAAGTATCAGACCGATCGCCTGTATCTGGAAGAAGTACCGCATCTCACCAGGTCTCTTGTCGTGATGTGGTAGTAATGACCGCTTGTGGTTCTTCGCATTAGGCAAGGTCAGAGGCATCTGAAAGCACAGCTCACAAACGATGGATCCGAGGGCCTCAGTCAAGCAAGACCTTGGCATCTGAATGCAAACTTAACTGGCCTAGATCGGGGAGCAGCTTAGCGGTGGCGAAATCGAAAGTGCTGCTCCGTAGGCGCAAAAAGTGCGCGCGACGGTCGCAAGGCGACCCAGGTGCCACGCAATGACGGCGCCGGTGGCAAGTACAGTGGTCTTCCCGAGAGGCACCTAAGCTCTGACTGCAAGTTTTGGCACATCTTCACACCGGAAAGGTCACTACCCATGAGGCCAAGCGGGGCAATCGTGCAGACTATCATCATTGAAAAATCAGTCCGTCAGAGCCCCAAGCCGCTCCAGTATTTGAGCGAGGACACCAGGCGCGAGCAAGTCGTAATGCCCAGGTGCCAGATCCGCAATGTCGACATTCTCGAGTCCGGGCACGCCAAGGCAAGCTCTGGAACCCAATACGCGTGGCAAAATTCGACCTGACTTGACGTCCTCCAGGCTAAACGTAGAGCCGAGGTAGGCAGCGATAGAGCAGACCTGATCGGGGTGCAAGTCTCGAAATTCAGCGGCCCCGTGACACTCAAAGATGAGGAAGATGCGCACTAACCATGTCTTTAGAAGAAAAGGCATTCACAAATCGACGAGAGACGATGCTTCGGGCTTGTTTGAGCTCCGAGAGCGACGGTGTGATGGGTGCGCCCTACGAGGGAAAGTGCAGCAACGGGCATGAGCGCACTCTGGTCTCTGAACGCCACCAAGTCAACTCACGATGAGAAAGACATCGCTGACGAGCTTGGCATTGTCGGGTTCTTTAGCGAGCTCGAGCAAAGCGGTCAAGATGGTGGTGCAACCCAAGGAAGTGCCGATCAACACGACTGGTCTTTCTCCCTGCACCTTGTCCTTGAGAACGTCGGCCAGTAACAAACCAGCTTTGTGAGAGCGGGTTTTGGCGCGAACAAAGTACGAGTCCAGCGCAGCTGAAGCGGCCGAGTAGACCGTAAGTGGGAGGCTGCATAACACAAGATGGTGAGCAAGAGGAGAGATTACAAAGGTGCCAGAGCTACTTACGTAATGGCTGCCAGACCAGCCAAAGCAGTGGTTTTCAGAACAGCTTGACCACCTTGGCTCGCACCAGTCCTGATGAGCGCGTCTCGAGTGTAGGTGTTCAAGCCACGCCCTGCTTCAGCCATGGCCTGCTTCTCACACTCGACTGCAAAGATGTCGGCATCTTCGGACCCCTTCACCCTTCTATTTGCCGCCTCATCGTCAGCCTCTTGATCCTTGCCGGATCGCGGCGCCACTTCTTCGGGCGTATTCGGTTCGCTCAATGCGTCGGCCCAAATGCCCGTCTGCTGTCTCTCGTCTAGGATGAGACCACTGACACAGATTGTCGCGTTGAGCGAAGGGATTGCTAAGCCCGCTTCGCGCGCAGCGTTTGAGCTGATTTCGGAAAAGGCAAAGTCTGAGACTCCTCTCAACCGCCGAGTAATGCGATATCCTGCGAGTCCACCCCCACCAAGACCTGAGGCGTAGAAATTCATCAGCGAATCTGAGCCATGACATGATCCGCATTCTCAGATGTCAACGCACCCAAAAGCGTCCCCATCATAACTACTCCACCGGTGGTCGCGAGAAAGCCCACGCCGGTGAGTCCTGCCAGAGCCGGAAGGACAAAAGGAGCTGCGAGTCCACCCGTCAGTCCAATAGCCACACCACCTATAGCGAAGCCAGCACCAGTGGCAGCCCACTTTCCCCAATTCGCCTTCGACTTTTCCTTTGTTACGGCTTGTTCTGAAGCTCTGTTCATCCAGTCTTTCCGAGCGCTAGCAGCTTCGTCGCTCGTTGAAGAGCTACTTGCAGCTTTCAGCATGTTGGCTTCGACCAGAGGATCGCTCTTGCCCTCCTTCTGAGCCCTCGATCGACCTTGCTCCATGATAAAGTATACACTCTGAGCCATCACCTTTTCTGCGCCGGTGATTTCCCGTGTCTCGATACCCATAGAGAGCGCGGCAACCCAAATTACCGCTCGGGCCCTTGCATCATATCGGAAAGGATCGTTCGGCTTGGTCGGTGTCTTTTTCGCAGACTTTCTCTCCCCAATTTGAGCCTCCTCCGCCTTGTCAGCGGCGCTAGATTTCAAGGTTTTAGCTCCAGAGGACACAAAGCTGGCTCCATCTCTGGCTGCGCCCGAAACACCTCGCCAACCTGTCTTTGCTCCGCCACTGATCGCGCTCCAGGTTTTGGCGCCGACATTCGTGGCGTCTTGCTGAGGTGCGGACGCCTCTGGGATTGGTAGTGGTGAAGGCGTAGAATCTCCAGTAGCCAGCGCATGTATGCTCTTCTCGGTATCATGTGAAGCGTATTGCTCTTTTTCTTCAGCGTGTCTGTCTCCTGCTGGTCTGTGCGTGTCTTTGGCTTCAGAGCCTGCATTGGGCTCAAAAGGATCAAACACACTATCGCTCTCGAACAGAGTTGTGGCACCATCCGAGGCTCGGTACTGTCCGAGACCTAGCGCGACGAGCAGCAGATCATGGACAACTTCGACGTCCTTGCCTTGCCCGGCTTTATCCGTCAAAGCTCCTTCACCTCGCTGTACGGAAGAGACCAGCTTGGACACTTCGGCCAGCTGCTCGTTCGTCGTGGTCGCTTCCTCTTCCATTTCCCGAACGGCCTCTTCGTCCACGCCATCTGCCTTTGTCGAGCCATTCTGAACCTGCTCTGCGGTGTCTGAGGCGCTCGGCTCGGTAGACGTGGACTGTGACTTGGTGTTGTGCTTCGTCGCCCATTCGCGAGAGCTTCCAGTTTCGTGCTCTGCTGCTTGCGGTTCTGCTTCTGTAGCGCCTGATGCATCCGAGGCAAGCTTCACTGGTCGACCCCTCGAGGCGTCCAGAATGTCTGAGAGATACGTATCGCCAGCTGAGAAGGAAAAGACGACAACGCTGTTGGGGATGAGCCTGTGCACAGGCGTGGCTCCGTTCAGATCTACACTCACGCGGCAAGATCTCTTCTGAGATGCCAAGGTGCTGGCAGGTCGCAGTCAAGAACTTTGAGCGTACGAAAGATAGAATTTCAGCTTCTCCAGCTCATCGTAGAGGACGCTCAAGCACGCGCGTCCGTCTCATTCAACACTCACCCTGGCACAGTAGTCCTCCCAATCCTCTCGCAAGACTTGTTTGCTGCGGCGCTTCCTCTCGGCAGCCCAGCTCTGCTCTTTGCTGGTCATGCGCCCGCTCTCTGCCGCATCATCTCCCAGATTCAGTTCTTTGACGTCGTTCTCCAGACTGACGCCCAACGAGAAATCCTCATCCTGTGATGTTGACCCACCTCGATCCTGACTGGTAGACCCGCTTTCCAGAGCTTTGAGTCGTTCTGTCAAACGTCGAGAAGAGTATTGCACCGCTAAACAGGTGGTCAAACGCAGCGGGTGTGTCCAGCTGGACGAGTAGGAGGGCAAAGTAGACAGGTCCACCGATGACTGATTAGGTTGCTGAGACGTCATCGTGTAGGTCGTGCATGAGGCGGGTCAGACTTTGATGTTGCGATCAGCTATGAAGACGACGCACTCGCGAAAGGTGTCGATCATGCCCTCTATTAAAGGTTCGTCGTAGTTGTGAGTCGAGTAGTAATCTTGAGTGACCTCAGACTCATGACTGCCACCTGACGTCCTCTGCAATCTCAAATCGTGAATCGTGAATCGTGAATCGTGACTCCGTGGATGAGACCGCCAGCAACTCCTCCACTCGTGACTCACTCACGACTTGTTACTTTGAGTTGGCCTGCCGCCTTGCCCACCGCATCCATGCGGTGCGCACAGCCTCGACCACGTGATCTGCCGAGCTACACTAGGGCCACCGATCATTCAAATTCAATGTGAATTAAGATTTGATTCCACCGGCCTGCAACTCGCACTCACGACTCAAGTTGAGCTTCCTCGCTTTGACGCTAGACGCTCGACGCTCGACGCTCGACATGATCCTGTACACTTCCTCCTCGTCACTTCCTTCGGTCTTTGCTGTAAGAGCACCACAGACTATCCTTGTTGAGGCCGTCGTAGCGTATGCGAGTCGTCTGTGGGTTGTGCGCGCGCCCCGGATGGCTAGCAGGTCCATCTCTCGCCAGATTCCGTCATGACTTCTTCCTCGCCTTCGGTCTCACCTCGTGGCAGCTTCGCCTCGACTTCAGCTTTTCCAACCCATCAAACACCTCGCACTGACGGAGCGAGGCTTGGATCTGCCGCGCAAGGGGGCTCTCCAGCCGGCCTCAGTCCTGCGCCTGGCACACCTCGACGCGCACCCTTCTCCAGCAGGCGTGTCTCGGAAAGGGGACGGGGGAAGAGCGCAGCCGACGAAGCTATTCTCAACAGCCTGGACGAGTGCGTCTCGGTCTCGGCTTGGCTAGACCAGACTGTCTCGCGATCCGCAGAGAGCAACCTTGCACCAGAGCCACCTGCGGTCGATCTAGCTTTGCCTGTGTCTCTTTCAGCGCTGGATCAGGATCTCACTCGCCTGGTCGCTTTGCTCTTGCAGGCCGCATCAGAAGCCAGCGCAGACATCGACGACGTCATCACTGAGACGAGTCAGACGCTTCCAAATTTGACCACTCAACTTCGTCTGGTCAGGGATACTGGAACGAACCTTCGCCAACAGGTCCACGACGTGAGAATTGCTGCGGGACTTGAAAACGCAAATGCAAGAGGGATCGAAAAGAGCGCACCCCAAGATGACGAGGGTCCACCTCTGTTGACTCGTCGCAAGAGCAGTCAGACCAGGTCAAATGGCATCACGACCGACCAGAGTCAGAGCGAGCAGAATGCAGGCGGAGCTTCGGCAGCTACGCCCGCCGATCCAGCAGCCGTACTTGCGCGTCTAGCCGCGTTGTCAACGCTTCGTTCGCGCATGACCGCAGCTCGCGATGTGCTTCGACTCGCCGAATCGTGGTCGACGCTCTCTGCAGATGTCGCGGCATATCTCTCAGACGCAAAGTATGTGCTCGCGAGCAACAGGCTCGCAGAAGCATCATCCTCTCTCCCCGTCTTTGAGAGGACACCAGAGTACGAAGGGCGATCGACGCTGCTCCGCAGTCTTGTGGACGCGCTGGAGACTCAACTTCGGCCGCTCATCTTGCAAGCTGCTACAGCGCAGGATGTCGAGGCTAGCATGGCCCATGCCAACGTCCTTCGCAACGTGGGGAGGTCAGAGGAGTTTGCTGACCTGTGGCGCCGTGCGCGACGAGCCGCCGTCGTCGAGACGTGGACTGGTACGAGTAGCGAGCCACTGAAGAGATGCGAAGAAGGATGGCCCAGTCTCATCGCGTCGGTCACCGCGCTGCTAGAAGCAGAGTCTGAAACGATTCCTCGTCTCTTCCCGGCGGATCCTCGGGGCGCTTTGAGCGCCCTCATTGTCAGCTGCCTCGAAGCTCTCGAGCCTTCCTTTTCAGCGACACTTCGCGACGCGGCAGAGCGAGCACAGGACGAGGCAGTGCTGCTCATCTTGCGTGCCTATGACGCGGCCTGCAGCGCAAGCGCCAGCTGGGCATCGCTGTTGTCGGAACATTCGATTTCAACCAGCGTGTCACAGCACGCTGCCCACTCGCCCACCGTGACAGTCACCGCGAGATCGCCGTCGACGAGCCCTCGACTGGAAATGAAGCATGTGGCAAGAAGCCAACGCAGCGCATCCATATCCAAGTCCAAGCGCGCCTCAAGGCGAGCAAGTCTGCTGCCTCCTCTGGACACGGCTAGGGGCTCTCCAGATGATGCTGATCTCGTGATCGCATCGGCAGGCACCCATCCTGGTTCTGCTGCTCAGGCTCAACCGATGCAAGTCAGCTCTTTGGCAGACTTGCTGCCTGTCCCTTCGCCATGGGAGGCAGTGTTGTGGTCTGCATTCACGCCGCACCAGGTCATGTATGCGGACTTTGAAGCCCGGCACCTCCAAGCAGCATGGGATCGTTCCAGAGCAGCCAGACAGGGCTCTGAAATGCTCGCGTCATCCCATGATGAGCTGTTGAAAGACGTGAGATTTACTGCAGCGTTGGCGGAGGAAGCTCTCTCTAGGGCTGTGCGGCTCACTCACGGCCTGGCAGCTCCTCAACTACTTTCGCGTGTGGACCAGCTAGTCGAGAATGCGGTCGAACAGACTAGGCACCATCAAGAGCGTCAAGCACAAGTGGCCATCGAGGAAACGCGCCTCAAAGCTGGCCAAGCGCTTGCCACTGGCGAAGAGAGCTATGGGGAAGGCGATGAGTGGAGAGCCTTCGAAACGGGCATTGCGCAGATTCGAGCGGCGAAGGCTGCTGCTGCCCGCATCGACAGCCTGGAAGACAAGCTTGCACTAGGCTTTAACGACGTGGCGAGCGCCGTCACCGGGCTTGGCACTCGCACAGGCGAAGATGCGCTGAAACGGCTGTTGTCGAGTGGCCCAGAAGGAGCGCAGGCCGGGTTCGCGCTTTTGGCAGGTCATCTGGATCACTCAACTAGCGTTCCTCGGTCCGCATTTGAGGCGATCAGGGCTCATCGTATGCACATCGGAAGCGGCCGCAGTGGAAGCGCCGCTTTGCGCTCAGCTGGAGGCATCGATCACAGAAACTCCCTGACACAGCCGACAGCCTCAAAGCTTGGCGATCCCTCCAGTGCGCTCCTGCCCCGCTCTCGAAGCGCCCTGAGAGCGTATGTTCGCGCTTTGCAGAGGGCACAATGCGACGTCATTCTTGCTCCTCTTCTGCCTCATCTGGAAGGCTACGCTGCCCTCTCTGCCTGGGAGGCTACCCGTCTACCAGGCGCATCCAACGAGTATGATCTAGCCATGCCGACGTTCAGTCTGAGCCCAACTCGCACAATAGGCCGCATTGGAGAGTCTCTGCTCGATCTACCTCGCCTTCTAGAAGTTTGGGCTGATGATTCAGCTCTGGGATGGGCGATGGGTGCTCTGCCGCACATTCTTCCCGACGACGAGGAGCAGGCAGATGAGGTGGCAGAGACTGCTTCAATCGCTGACACGGCTTCGCGCATCGTGGGCAACTCTAGTAAGCGACTGTCTTTTGCTCCTGATGCAGCTTTACATACGGAAAGAAGCGCTTCAAGATCACCGCAGGCTGAAAGAAGGAGCTTACATCGCCCTACTGCGTCTGTGGCCTCCATCGCGACCACCTCACCTCTCGTAGGAGCACCGGCGACAGCTGCTACGCAAAGCGCGACCCCGCATGCATCTACGCCAACTGTAAATGTGGAGCCTTCGCCAGAGATGGTACTGCAAGCCTACCTGCGAGCACTCTCTCTATCTCTTTTGGCTCACACCACAGACGTGGTGCTTCCTTCCATCGGTCGGTTGACATCGGCAGGCGCAGCCCAACTGGCAGCAGATCTAGGTTACCTAGACAATATCCTAGCTAGCTTGAACGTCGATGCGCAATCTAGAGGGTTGCGGGACTGGAGAGATGCTGCTGGCTTGACGGATGTGGAGGGGAAAGAGCTGATGAGGCGTGTGCCTTGGAAAGAGATAGATGGAGCCGGAGAGGGCGACATGAGGAGACTCGCTACGACCGATCCGTTTGCTGCCGTCGCTAGAATGAGAGGTTGGACAGCTCAGTGACATGCATGCTCGGATCCTCGCCTGATGCTTTCGCGATCGCAATCCATGTATACTCGTGACTCTTCACGCACCTCAATGCATCGTTGATTGCAGAGATACCGGAGGTTTGCTGCTTCGCAAAGTGACTTCCTATGACGACCTGACCCATTGGGCTGCTACAGCGTGTTGCACCTTTGCGCGCAAGCTTCGTGACGAGGGCGCGCCCGCGAAGGCGTCTACCGCGGTCCACACATTCCCGCACGCCAGGATGTGGAGGTGTGAAACTGCTGCCCGCGTGACTCAGCATCTTCACGCCGTTCGATCTGCATGCATGGCCCCGCTCAGCAGAGTCTCCATCGGTGCTCTCGCACCTCGCCCGTGATCGTCCACCACACTACACATCGAACACAACAGCGCACCTCGCTCAAGATGGCACCTCCTCGCCGCTCCGCCGCCGACAGTCAACGCGGAGGCGGGGCCAGCGAGAGAGGTCAAGGTCGAGTCAGAGGTCGATCTCGGCGATATCCGACTCCTCCCACGCCGGACGAGATCCTCTCTCTGCACGAGATCTCGTCCGACGAGCCTCAAAAGTCGGACGTCGTCCGTCAATCGTCCCAAAGAGCATCTCAGCCTGCTTGGAGAGGCGCGGGTGGAAGAAGAAAGTCTGAAGTCGTCACCATATCAGATTCGGATGCGGAGACGTCCACGTCGATGCCTTCCAACAGTCACCACACAAATCGTCGTACACCCGCTCCAAGGCGGCGAGAGCCCGCGAAGGCGTCTCAGCCGGAAGAGGAAGATATTGAGATGGAGGAGGTCGATGTCACCGGTGGTAATGCAGAAGAGGTTGGCGAGCAGGAGGAGGAGGAGGAGGACCTCGAGATGGAGGATGTTGATGTTGGTGGTGAAGAGGACACTGCAGGGTACGCCGCTCTGTACAGTGCAGCAGTAGCGGAAGCCGGGAATGAAGGTGAAACCGGTGACAGAGCAGATCAAGGGGCGGGTGGAGGAGGCCCTTCCACTTCGAATCAGCCCGTCTTCAAAGATGGCAAAGGACAGCCGCCTGGCGTAATCTCGTTGAGTCTAGGCGGGCAAGCGGCCAGGGAAGAGGAACAGAAACGCAAAGCGAAGCAAAGGGCCAACGAGAATCGCGTCACGCCGAGGGATCGTCAGACGCGCATGGCTGTCCACAAGCTGGGTGCTCTGGCGCTGCTCGCTCATGCCCGCATCAGAAATGCTTGGCTCAATGACGCCGAGCTTAGAGTGAGTGGTGCGAACCTGGCCTGAATATCGGGATCGCCTGCTTACTCTTCGCTGCTACGATAGGATGCTCTATTCGAAGTCGTCCCTGCAGAGCTTCGCAACAAGCTGAAGCAGATTCATCCAAAGCGGGTTGCAAATCAGCGCGAACGAGTAAGGCTCTTTGAGATCTTCATGCTCGACCTGGTCTGCTGGTGGGCATACCGTCGCTTCCGCATCGAATCAAGAGCCGCGACAACCGCTGCTATCAAGCAGCCCAACGCCGATGTACTCGTTGGCAATTTTCCGCTGCCAGGCATCAGGGTGGATGGTTGGATTGTCGAGTCAGCTTTGGAAAGGGAGGAGAGGTGGAAGGCGGAGAGAGCGGCGAAGAGTCAAGAGTCCATCGATGATGCTCAGCTACGGAGCTCGCCCAGGATGGACCGTAAAGGCAAGGGCAAAGCTACGGATGAGCCACACCCTCATGCGCGTTCTGGCCGATCAACGAAACGAGCCAAGGTCGAGCCCGCGACAGACATCACGCTCTTCGGCCAAGGGTCGGGAATGGCTGCTGTCACGCCCACCTACCTTCGGCTCGCCCCACCTGTCGAGGCCATATCATGCCCTGCAGATCTTCAGCATCGTGCAGAGTTGCGGCAAGGCTCGAGGGAGACTTCTGCGCAAATCTTCTGCTGCCTTTGTCGAGCCTTGGGCATTCCGGCCCGGCTAGTCATATCTCTTCAAGTCGCGCCATGGAGCGCTGGAGCCGCAAAGGTGGCCACAACTCAGGGGACGCGAGAAAAGGCTACCAAAGGAAAAGGAAAGGGACTTGTCGACAAGGCAAGGAAGAAGCGAAAGCCGGATGGCGAGTTGACGAGCGACGATGAGGAGTGGGAGATTGGGTCAGAAAATCTCAGTCCAGCACAGGCAAGCTCCTCCAAGCCGAAAGCGAGCGCCCGAAAGAATCGCAAGCGAGATGACTCCGACTCGAGCTCCGCATTGAGCGATGCTGACTCGCCGAGTCAAGCCGCTCCAGGCACACCAGCCAACAAAGGCAAGAGAAGCGCTCGCGCTGCCGCGAATGAGTCTGGTGCTTCGATGACAAATTCGCCTGCAAAGCGCAAGCGCGCCAGCAAGGCCGAGGCACACGGGGTCGAAGAGTCCGCCGCGGGCACGACGAATGGCAAGGGGAGCGCAAAGAAAAGAGCAAAGAAGGATGCAAAAGCCCCACCTTCATCCCCACGACCGCTCAAAGACGTTCCTTACACGCCGAATTTGCGCAAGTCGAGACCCAAACAAGCGAAAGCTACGGAGCTGACTGCTGAGGACTTGTCGGACATGGAGTATGTGGACCTCGAAGCTGCACCTACCATGTGGGTCGAAGTGTTTTCGAAACCATGGCAAAAATGGATGACGATCGATCCGATTCGTGCAAAAGTCGAAGTTGGTCCCAACCGGCACATGGAGCCACCTCCAAGCGATAGACGTAACAAGCTCGTCTACGTGGTCGCGTTCGAAGAGGATGGCTTTGCGAGGGATGTCACTGCCAGATACACGAAGACCCTGCACTCGCGCGTCAATCGTATGCGGCCGCCTGCTCCAAAAGGCAGTCCAGAAGGATGGTGGGAAAGTGTGGTGCGCGCATTGCATCGACCTCAAAAGCTTGACAGAGATGCCGCAGAGGATTTGGAGCTGGAAGACGCTGCAGGCAAAGAGCCCATGCCATCTAGCGTTGGAGGCTTCAAAGGACATCCAGTGTACGCAATCGAGAAGCACCTGCTTCGAGACGAAGTCATTTACCCTCTTCGACAGATTGGCACGTTTCAAGGCATTAAGGTGTACCCGCGAGGAAACGTCGTCACCTGTCGAAGCGCTCGACAGTGGTACAACGAGGGTAAAGTCGTCAAGGATGGCGAGGAGCCATTGAAATGGGTCAAGAGTCGTGGGTACACGCTAGCGAACAAGCGTGCCGAGGAAGCTGCGAAAGCAGATGGAGGGGAGGCGCCGCAAGAGGGTCTGTATGCGCCTTTTCAGACTGGACTTTACACTGCTCCGCAAGTCATCAACGGCGAGGTGCCGAAAAATGCATTCGGGAACATCGACCTCTTTGTGCCAAGCATGTTGCCGCCTGGCGGCGTGCACATTCCCTATAATGGTGCTGGCAAGGTAGCCAAGAAGCTTGGCGTCAGCTATGCCGAGGCTATCGTGAGTGTCGTGTGAGGATGTGATGTTGTGGGATTCGACTGACCATGACACTTTTCCGCTTCAGACTGGGTTCGAGTTCAGGAAATTCCGCAGCATGCCCAAACTCACCGGTATCGTCGTTGCAGAGGAGAATGAGGACCTGGTCACGGAGGTGAGCGAGCGAGCCCAGCTGCGTTCTCCGGAACTCATGTTGACCATCTGTTCTTGCATCTCAGGCATACTGGGAGTCGGAGCACGCTGCGGCCCAGAAAGAATTCACCAAGCGGCAAGAGAGGGCGCTCAAGAATTGGAAGAAGGTGGTCAATGCTGTGCGCATCGCTCAGCGCGTCCAACAGCAGTATGGAAACGGAACCTCTCATGATGGAGCAGACCTTCGCAAAGAAGCCTCGAGCGCGGCAAAGTCTAGAGATGCCCAGGCAAGCGAGAATAGCAGATTGCATGCCCTCGAAGCAGATGACCAGGCATTTGAGCAGGGCGGGTTTCTTGTCGACGTGGAGGGCCCACCACCAACCAATGGCAACGCTGGAGAAAATGTCGAGCAGCTGAGCGCTGCGAATCGAGACTTTGCTGCTCGTATCGCTCGCTACGGTGCGAGACCTGGCGGCAGCAGTCACCGCGCGCACGCAGAGGCAAGTCAAGAGAGCGACTTTGAGGAAGAGCCAGAGGACGGCGAGGACGCGGAGATGGCTGAAGATGTCAATCACGATCAATCGTCATCCGAAGCTGGAGATCAGGCCGAGGAGAGTTCTCTGCCCAGCGCACCTCGAAAAATTATCAGCCTGGCATCCTTGGCCTCGTCCGCGCCCAAGCATCGCAGACGAGGCCGCCAAGCTGACTTCCCGCTCTCGGAAGCAGAGTCTGCATCAGAGCATTCGGATGGGCACAGCAAGAAGCCGCGGGCAAGGGGAGCTGCGAAGTCTGCTGCTTCTCGAGGTCAGCCACGAAGCGTCAAGGGCGCCAAGAGGTCAAACAATGTCGTCAATGGATTTCAACCTTCGCCCCCAAAGACGAAGCGACCTGAAAGTGCAGAAGCACCCTTATCAAAACCCCGGATTCGGATTCGACCCCCTGCACATCTACGAGCGCGCGCTGGAGATAGCGAGGCCAATGATGCTCGTGCAAGGAGTCATTCGCCCGCTGACGATCGTGTTGATGGAAACGCAGCGCCTACAGAACAAGCCTCGACTGCTGCCAGGTCTCGTCGACGCAACGAGAAGTCGCATCCCGTCATTACAATTCAGCCTCGTCGGTCTGGGCGCGTGACTCGAAAGAGCGAAGTTGCTCTACAGAGCGAGGAGACTGAGCGCAAAGTACGAGCACTGCGAGCGACGAGCCCAGAAGAAGTCGCTAGTGAAGAAAGCAGCGACGAAGCGCAGAGCGACTCAAGCGGTCAGGGCGATTGAGAATCTCTGCGCGCGCGTGGGCCGATGTTCTACGACCTGTCGCAGCTCCGCTGCGTATGACCCTCGGAATGGAATGCGATACCCGCGATGCTGCCTGTCTTGCTTTTGGATTTGATGACAGCGTTGACATTTGTGGCCAGCGTTGTGAGCCTGCAAGAGTCAAGGGGACGTCTGGTCAGACATACCTACTGCGGTCACGTGCCTGGATTTTCGTCGAGGCGGTGTATTTTATGCGCGTGCGGTCAGACCTAAAAGTCCATAAGATCAGTACGGCGCGTCGATATTGTGAACATCGTTGGCTTCGGCGCTACGTCTCGTATTCACCATCACTCAGAGCACACGTTCACCTTTGAAACTTGCACTTCAAGTTGTCTCTTGGTCCGAATTGTGGGCGCAAGTTGGCTCAGATCAAGACTTGCGCTCTAGCGCGTCGCTTCGGCCTCAAGATGGTCAATCCCACTTCTGGGCCATCTCTGGTTTCTGCGTTGCTCAAGTCAAGCCGCTTCGTCCAGAAGGTCCAAGCAGACTTGCTCGAAGCGCGACAGGGGCTCAAAGCATTGCAAGAGGAGCAAGAGGCTTGGCAAGAAAGCTCGAGGCAGTTGGCGTTGGATGAGAAGAGCGAAAAATCAGAGGACTCTACGCGCTGGGTGGACCTTGGCGCGGGCCTGAGCATCGAGGTGCACAAGTAGGTTCAACAGAGATCGAGGGCAGCGCGTTTCAACTACTGACCTATATCATTGCCGTACTCGCAGCGATCTCGAGCTGCGCTTCCTGCCAGTGGTGCAAAGTGGCTTGCCATACGCTGACCTGCTCATCGAAATGGATCACGCGAAAGCCGTCGAATTTTGCAACAAGAAAGCCGCGGCACTGGGCAAGTCAGTGTGCCATGCGTTGAACCTTGATGTTAGGGATGAAGCTGACATAGACATACATCATCGGTACAGGCAGGCCGAGCGATCAGAAGCGAAGGTGGCCCAAATAGAGGCACACCTGTATCTTGTGAGTGTGCCTACTCGTGATTGCGCGGCTTTGTCTGGGGCATCGGCTCACGCATCTCTGTCCACAGGCCACTCAATCTGCCGCTCAACTCGAAGCGATTCGCAGTGGTCAAGAAACGAGCTTGCTGGATGGTCTGCAAGTCCCGAATGGGCCGAATGACACGCCATCGCTTTAGGAGCGCGAGCGACCCCAGCAACATGTATTCTATTGCGGTCTGTGTAATCTCTACAAAATTTCGCGTCGTCTATTGACAGCTCGACTGCTGACGATGGGCATTTGGAGCATCGCGCTTGATACCGGGTCACTCTTCTTCGTTTGAGCTGCGCGCCTTTGAAGACTTGATGAACGCGTACAAAAGCGAACCGGGCTTGCACAGAGTAATGTCGAAAGTTGGACGGCCGAGATCGCCACCGTCAAAGTCGTTCCAAGATGGACTGTCCTTTGGCGCCTCGCTCTCGACGCCCTCTTCTGTTTGACTCAATAGCTCTGGAGGAGCTGCAAGTACTTGGTTTTGAAGCTCAGGTGAGCGGACGGGTGGAGCTGGCGGTCGTCCACCTCGAGCATCGCGAAGCTTTCGCCGCGAAATGGGCTCGCAAACGACGGCATTCGCCAAAGCAGCCTTGCGCTCCTCTGCGCATCTTCTCGCGAGAGCATCGTTCTCGAGTGTGGTGACATCCGTCTTTCCCAGCAGGGTGCTCTTCTTTGGCGGACTAGGGTGGCTGCCATTAGTCACGTCGCCGAGGCCAGATCGAGGTGAAATAGCAGGTGACTTGCACGCTCCCTGCGCGACCACGCCTTGTGACTGAATTTGCTTCTCTACAATGCGACGTACAAGGTCGTCCTCGACGAGCGCAAGACACCCTGTATCGGCCTTGTGAAGATCGAAATGGCCCCATTGATGCAAGGCAGCTAGTTTTGCGCGCTTGTTGGGCAGCTTTGGAAATGACACGAGCGATGAGCTTCCACAACAGTGCATGCCGTCCGGTTCACAACTCACCTGCGCTTGCGGGCTACGGGCGTGCTGCGAGGCAGGGACGAAGCCAGTCAAGACTGGGGCATCTTCGTCATCGCTCTCGACGTTCGCTTGCGTGTGGTCGATGTCGGATTTTGCTATACCGTTGCCATTGCAAGAACAGGAAAGATTGTCGTGCGAAAGGCACGGCGTGTCTCGATGGAGGGTGAAAATGTCGCGCAAGTCCTCTACGGAGAAAGTGTCAGATGATTGGCCAGACGTGGTGCTGTCATCGATGAGCGAGTCGCTGAGGCCGATTTTGGAAATTTGTCGTTGATATATTTTTTCATCCATCGTTCCTGCTAGCAACAACCGGTAGATGAAGCAAGGCTTCTTTTGGCCATCGCGATGGATGCGCGCCATGGCTTGCCTGTCCACCGACGGATTCCAATCGCTGTCGAAGAGAATCAGACGATTGGCGCCTGTGAGGTTCAGACCGACACCACCCGTTTTGGCGCTGAGAAGAAAGATGAAGTTGTTCGACTGCGTGCCTCGATTGAAAGCCGAGACCAGGTCCATTCGATCTTCTTGCTTCGTCTTGCCGTCTAGTCGAACAAAGCTGTAACCGCTGCGTTTGCACATGATTTCTATAATGTCTAATGTTGCGGTGAAATTGGATACCAAGACGACTTTGTCGTCGGTCTCTTTACGAATGCTTTGGAGCATGCTGCTGAGCAAGAGCAATTTGCCGCTGAGATTGGCATTGCCGGACAAGCGCTTCGATGCAGATTGCCACTTTGCACCTTCTAGAATCGCTGCCGTCAACGACGCTTCTCCATCGCGTTTGAAAGTCTCTAGATCCTTGAGGAGTAGCTCTGGAGAGTTGCAAAGCTTTCTGAGGACGCCAATCAAAGTCAAGGCGCTGCTCCCTCCGCCGCCACTGGTCTTGCCGCTGTTCAGCACATCTCGTACTTGTGTGGACCCCAACACGTGGCGATAAGTGTCGAGCTGATTCTGCGTCGGACTACAAAAGAGCACCTGCTCGCACTTTGGTGGCAGGAATTGAGTCAAGAGTTCTGCAGTGCGGCGGAGAATGATTACTGCCGTCACCTTTTTGAGATCCTCGTTGCGCAACTTGCCCGTCTCTCGTACTTGCTTGTTGGCATGTTGCATGCGGCTCTTCATGATGGGTTCTTCGAACACCTTTTTGAAGACGTTGTAGTCGCCCAGCAGACCGGGATTGACAAAGTCTACCATTGCGTGGAATTCGGAGAGATCATTTTGAACTGGCGTTCCCGAGAGTATGATGCGCCGCGGCGTCGACAGCGCCTCGAACATTTTCGTCGTCTTGGCATCCTTTGACTTGAGTCGGTGACCCTCATCGCAGACGATCAGGCCGATGGGCGGCTGGGCAGACGCTAGCATGTCGACGCATGTGCGTAGCTTTTCGTAGCCAATGATCAGCACTTGAAATGTCCTCGACATGAGGAAGCGTTCGGGCTTGGTTTGCTCGCTACCGTCCACGCAGAGGATGTTGAGAGAGTTGCCGCCAAGCCATTTTCGAAACTCTCGCTTCCAATTCTTGACGAGGGAGAGAGGGCAGACGATGAGCACGCGCTGAACGGTGCTGGGCGATGAAGTGTAGTAGCACGACTGTTTGAGGAGCGTGTGCACGAGGGCGATCGTCTGCACAGTCTTTCCCAGGCCCATCTCGTCTGCCAGGATCGCGCCCTGCCCGTACTGATCTGACTTGTCGGCATTAATTCCCGTGACGCGCTCGTAAAGCCATCTGACTCCTTCGACCTGGTGAGGACGGAGAGCGCGGCCTAAAATCGGATCAACGACGACGTCGACGATGGGATAGTTGCTGCATGCGGGTGAGGGAGACGCGTGAGCTGTGCGCTCACCAGAGCCGGGGGGAGAGTCGCAATAGCACCCACTGCCTGTTGTACCGCTTGGCGTGAGCCTCGTCGGGCCGTTTCATGATGATGGCTCCTTCGGCCGCAGGGTCGTATCTGCAGGCGTTTTAGGGTGTCAGTCTGGGCTTATAACATAAGAGGTCCCAGATACTGTTTGATAGGAACTTCGTTGGCACTCTAGCTACTCACCTCGGCCTGGCTTCTTTGCCAAGTCCGGGATCTTGTAAGCCCGGGGGGCGGCTACCGGTTTTGGTGGGGCTTGGGCTTCGACTGGAGCTCGCGGTTGGATCCTTTTCAACCTTGATGGGGGTGGCCGTCTTGGCCGCAGAAACGTCTTTAGTGCCAACATTGAGCTTCTTGAAAGGCTTTGTGGGAGGTTTCGCTGGCGTGTGGAGACGAAGAATGAGTGCCATGCCTTGGACCCCTGAGACGTCAAAGCTCACCATAGAAGCTTTGCACTGGCGCGGCTGGCGTTCGAGGGGCGGGGTGAGTTGCTGCGCCTCCCGAGAAGGCTCCGCCATTCTCCCCATTGCAGTACTCGATGTGACTGATTTGCCGGTCAATCTGGGGGGTGCGACGTGGCAGGGATTATGAGCAAGAAGAGCGCACTGCAAAACGAGACGGCTCACTTCTATCTGCTCGAAGAGAAGAGACCCATCGTCAGCGCGCGGTCTTTCTATTCCCTCGCTGGCTTGCGCTGCTTACCTCTCTGCCGCCCACCATCAACTCATCGCCGGAGCTGAGCTCTCCTCCTGTGAAGCGAACATTGGTAGCGAGGCTGCGAAAGGTGCGCGGTAGATGAGAAAGGCAGGCCCTGAGAACATTCGGCAGGCAGAACTCACTCCTTGAAGCTTTCGGCACAACGCAAAGTACAGGTTCCACCTTCTGAACGCAGGATGAGCACCGCGTCTCCATCCCACGTCTTGTGCTTTCGAGCTTGTGGCTTTCTCCAAGTACATAGGTAGTAACGCTGAGCTGCAAAGCGTGGAGCAGGTTGCGGAGAGCCATTGGGATGCGCTCGCGGAGCTTTGCTACCACTGCTCAAACTCGCACCACCGTCGCCTCGCCCCTTTTCTGGACTAGCCGTGCCCTTGCGAATGACTCTTGACCCGTGCGATTGCGCAAACGCTTCCGTCTCGGCGTCTTCATTGGGATCTGGCGAGGCGGTTTTGGCACGCTTGGCTGGTGGCGCGCGCGCTGATTCTGGCCGACGTATGAAAGCTGGCGGCTTGAACTTGGAGTGCAGTCGAGAGGTTGATTCCATGATCGAGATTGAGATGGCAGTCGCGCTCCGTTAGGGGGAGGGGACAGAGCCAGCAAGGTGGAAAAGGGAATGCGGATGTAAGCGTGGTCGAGGGGCAGAGGATGAGGCGAATGAAGATCACGAACAGCGCATTCTTCGTCTCGAGCAGCTGCGCGCGCATCTTCGCGACGCGCCTTCCGTCTGAAGACGGAGCTGTGTGACGCGCGCACAACGAGCAGCGCGCAACGAGCAGCACTCACCTCGCGTAGCTGAAATTCGCGCGACGCGGCGCAAGCGGCAGTGCTAGTGAGTCATCTTTTGCACGCACCTGCAGACCATCGAGCCTGTTTATATAGGCATGTGTAATCATGCCTCTTGGCTCCACGGCTGCGAGTTGAAGCGAAAGTTGTTGCTCAGTGGTATCCTTTGGACCTTGCACCACAAAATCAAGACGAGGCTTGCAAAAAGGCATCACTCACAGCTGCTGACCTGCATAGCATGCAGGCGTGTTGGAGCAACTTTCCCTCTTACTCGCGAATGCAATCACACGTATAGGTGCATCCATGTCAGCATTTGGATGGGCAGCTTCGGTTGCAAAACCGTTATATAAGTCAAACCCACCGCCGGAGATCCGGGGGGCCGTGGTCTAGTGGTATGACATCTCGTTTGCAATTTGCAACCGTTGAGTCGAGAAGATCGGGGGTTCGATCCCCTCCGGCTCCAGAAAGCTTTTTTTCCCACCATGGCATCGTCCGGCCACATTTCGGATGTTAAGGAGCGGATACTCTTGCGAATTGAGAGCGAATCATCGCACAAATTTTATTGAGCCAGATCTCGCGGAGTACTTTCTCTACTGTGATCGTGAATACCTCATCATTCAGATTCTTGATTCGTGATTTGCTGGCATACGCGTCAAGGGTGTATCACGCGCGCAAGGTGCGTACTGCTCGTTGCGTGCGCGACACACAGAGACCCCGTTTTGCTTCTGGGTGGAAGTTATGATATCTACTGAAGTCAGCTCTCCATCCATACTTTGACATGATGCATTCACAGCATCATGACAGTGAAAGTTGCTCCAACACGCCTGTATGCTATGCAGAGCCTGATGGTCAGCAGTGGCGCCTTTCTGCATGCTTCATTTCTACTTGGGCTTCAAAAGTCATCCTGCGCAAGCATTGCATCTTTGGGACACTGTAATGAGCAGATCTGTGCGCATGAGCGAACGGCGCTGCAGAGGCAGGTCTTCAGGACGAAGCTCCAGAATCTCATCACTCACACGGACTCAGCTCTACGTGCTACACGAGTCCATCATTGATGTATCGTCCCTCGCACCCGTGCGGCTTGTTACCTGAACAATAGATCGGTTCCAAGGTTTTGCTCCGTCGAGTCAAGCCTGCTGCTATGTGCATTTGACCAGTCGTGGTTCTGATGCTGGCGCGACAAGATCTCTTCTCTGAACTCCATCGCTGCGTCAAAGGCCCGCACCCAGATCACATCGGCACCGCAGACGGCGGCCCTCCGAGATGCTCCTTTTTAGTCGCAGGAGAGCGAATCCTTTTGTGACGGCAAAGATGCGACCTCCCACCTTTCGCCGTTTCGCGCTCACTCGAGCTCGTCGCTTGACCTACATTCGCTCGGTCACACGCACTCTCGTAAGCGCGCGGAGCCGCGGAAAATCGCCTCGAATTTGCTTTGAGAAGAGCAAAATTGACGAGACGAACGGTGACGACTTGAAGGGCATCAATCTTTCATGGTCGAGTCCGGCTTCCACTGCACACCGCGCAGACCTTGAAATACCTGTGCGAGTGTGTGCGAGTGATCTGCTACACCCCTTCACCAAGGCATTCTGGCCACCCTTTCTGCTGCAAATGATCTTGGCATTCTCTGCGACGTAATGGCGAGTTGGGATCGAGCGCAGCGCGCGCGCGCGCATGCTCGACGTGTATGGCGACATGCTCGTTGTTCAAAGCGGCCATCAACCTTTTCGAATTCCCCGCCTAGGTCCAAGCTCGAACGTCATTGAACCACAGAATGCCCGCCTGCCCGGGCTACTTCCCAAGCCGTTGTCGCGTCCTTGCTCGCATTGACATCGACGTCGACGTCAACGTCAGCGCACCTCGCCCGCAGAATCACTCACCCGTCGAGCGTGTCCAAAGAAGCGTAGTGTGAGTGCTTTACCTCTAGCCAATCGGGACCCAAGGGGGGCATGCGACGCGGACTTTTGGCTTTCGCCTCGCCCTGATACTTGCGCCCAGTCACACCGTATTGCCCTTGGCTATACGACTCCGACACGTATGCAACTTTCGAGGTACCGTGAGCTCTACCCCGGCCTGTTCGATGAGCGCTGAAGAATGCGCGCCGCCAAAGAGCATCTGCACACGACTCGCGATGCAGAGCAGATCCCCTGGCCGCATCGTGGCACAGCGACCGTTTTTTCCCTGCGCACCGCCCCAGGTCACGCAGGTCACGCAGGCCACGCAGTGCCAGTCTCAGTCGATCTTTAAGCATAGGCGCGATTGGATTGCTAAACATGGTTGAATGGCTGAAACTGTGAGTCGACAGAGGAAAAAGTCGGGTGACTGTTGTGAGTGGTTTCGAAACTGAGCTGCAAAGCAGCAATGACGTATTGTATGCGCTGTATGCGCTGTTTACGCTGCAGGCTTGGGCCTTCGGAACAGCAGAATGTGAGGCTCGGGGGCTGCGAGCATGGCAGGAATTGTGAGCAAAGTCAGCTGGATGTGAGGGGGCCAGAGGGATAAAGACGACGGCTGGACAGCATCGCTGCTTGCGCGCCGATGGCGGAACTCTGTCCGAAGCTCCTCTCGCACAGACCCATCGCCCTCCCGCCCACCTTCGAGCATTGCTGCTTTCGCGCCGCTGGCGGAACTCTGTCCTAAACTCCTTCTTGCACAGACCCATCGCCCTCGCGCCAACTCTTTGGTCCACGAACCACTCACCGTGCACCTCATAATGAACCCATCCCATACTCTGCTGAATACCAATGCTCCTCCACTCGTTTTCCTTCAAGATCCTAAGTACCTCTGGTTCTTCCGAGTCAAAGTACTCCTTTGGGAGCTGCTTCAGCATGCCCTTGGGGATGATGACGTGCCTGTTGGGGTAGAGGCGAGAGCGTCAGCAAGATAGCGCAACGCACTCCAGCACTGGAGAGATGCGCACCTGTACTGCCACTCATCGTCCGAGTAGTGGTCCGAGTAGTGAATGCGCTGGAGAATGCGGAGCGGTGGTGTCAGCGCGCGCACGCGCGAGAGGTACGGCTGCCGAGGCTATCCGTAGAACAGCATCGAGACTTTTCGCGCCACGGCTTGGCATTCATTGCCCACGCCCACTTGTGCGACCAAAGACCAAGAGCGAGCGAGAGCGCCAAGAGCGTCCGATCGTCGCGCTCGCCGAGAGTCCGATCATCGCGCTCGCACTCTCACATTGACATAGTCCTCCCACGTAGGCTCTGCAGCTCTCTCTCTACGAGCTTGCGCCTGTGCTGCTTGCGCTTGTGCTGCTTGTTGCCCGGCTGCTGCTCCAGCAGCCGCTCCTCCTGCGCGAGGTTGTGCGCGTGCTGCCATGGTACGTGTTGTGTAATTCGACGGGACCAGCGATTCTGCTCGACAAAAGATAAAGACCGGCTTGAGCTCGAGGTTCACGACGATATACGTGATTAGGTTCGAGTTGATGAGGTGATCGCTCGCGGCTTGTAGACGATCGCTCAACCTGGGAACGCGCTGCGGGCGCGAATAGATACTTGTTTGCTTCTGCCGCGCTGCAGCGTAGACAGAGAGACGCGAGGCGCGCGGTGCGCGGAACAGAGCAAAGGTGATGTGGCGACGAGCGAGACAGCGATCTTTGATGTGGTGGTGGGGCAAATCGAAGCAAGAAAGTGGAGCGAGATCAAAACGCCACCTTTCGACTTGGCTCGACAAATAAAATGCACGCGCGTGCCCACTGTTGTTGTTGTTGTTGTTGTGTTGTTGCTCTTCGCGCGGAGTGCACCGCTTCCTTCAACATCGTAAAATGTGCAGACACGCACGCACGCACGCACACGCGCCACACGCATGCGCGCGCGCGCGTTTGCGTTGAGCTCGCGTCGCGCAGTTTTGCGGGTGCATCGTGGGCATCAGGCAAGCTCATGTCAAATCATCTGCCAGCGCCGCCGCACGCCTCCATCGACGCGATCCCTTTGACTGCTGCAAGGGGTCAACGCCAGCATCTCCACGAGCAAGTCTTGAGCGATGGGGCGTGGATCGCCGTGGGAAAAGCTGACGTTTCCCAAGGCCGTGAGTGATGGGAAGGGGACGAGCGCAATTTGCGCGTTGCGAGTCGCGAGTCGCGAGTCTGCGTTACAAGCCATGCAAGAGCCACAAGCCACAAGTCACGAGGCCTGGTGGCACCACAGCACTGATACCCTTATCGCTCGTAACTATCAATCGCTAGTCACGAGTTCTTGCCAGAGATTCCCCTGCCGAGTCAAGCGGTGGCATCGTCTCGCCTGCGAGTCTCTCATCTACAACTTGTGGAGACTGTAGCCACACGGTCTCACGCGCGGCTCCACGAAATGTCTGATGATATTATGCAAAAGATCCGTACGAGACGCGCGAAGTTAGCGAGTAAGAGCACCTTTCGGACTGACCGAGTCGGCAAGGACGTGGAGAAAAGATGAGGAGAGATGGGCGGGGAGAGATGCATGTGCAGAGTTTGACGATGATTGTCCATTGAATTGTCGGCGTGGCGATCGTGGGCCGCATTCACCCATTGAGACTACCAATGATCTTCTTGTGGAGTTGTTGCGTTGGCAACATCTGAGGCGGATTGTAAGTCTGCCAGAGCCAAGGCTTGGGCGTTCCGTCGAATTCAAACATTTGCAAGTAGTACGCCCCCGACCCGTAGTGCATGTCTAGTCGAATGTTGAAGCCCTGCATGTACTCTGCCTGGTCGTATGCCACAATGCTCTCGCTCGTGTGGGTGCAGCCGGATTGGATCAATTGTCTGCCATCGCCCTCGAACGGTGTGAGCGTCAGGCTGCCGTTGCCGTTTTGGCGGAACGATCCGTGCTGCCAGATAAGCTGCGCTTGCTTGCACTTTGGGTCTTTGGCTGGAGAGCAAGCGACAGAGCGGGTGACATCAGCTACGAAGCGCGGGACGGAATGCATCCGCAGCGCACTCACCAGTCGGTGAAAAGAGGTACAATGCTTGCTCCCAGAAACCATCTTGGGTGAATGAGTAGCTCTGACCTGAGGTCTTTGGTAATATAAAGGAGTTGTTGCCGGGGTTGAAGAAGCCCTGCGAGAATGTCATGGGTAGCGTCAGTAGCCTGACGCAACGCACGTCAACACTCAACGCGTGCGCGATACTTTTGCGGCCATCTGTGCCGTGCCACTGGCAGGTTGTCCATTCATCTAGACCGTTGATGCCGACGTCGTCGTCGTCGGCATCTGTAAAGAGCACCTCCCCGCTCATTCTTACTTGCCGTCGGCATCTGACAAGAGCACCTTTCCGCTCATCTTGACTGCCCCATGCCGTCGGCTTCTGACGAGAGCACCTTTCCGCTCATTCATACTGCCCAAGCCCGCTCGCACCGCTCGCCCCACTCACCAAGCCTGTCGACACACCTCCGCTACCCGAGCTCCAAGTTCCAACAATTGAGACGGGGTCATCATCCTGCTGTGTGACTTGTTGTGCGGAAGCACGCGGAGCGAGCACTGACAAAGCGACAGTGGCGAGCACCGCCGCAGACGCTGCAAAGCTGCGCATGTTTCGACTTTGCCCGTGGAAGGATGTGGATGTAGAGGCGGAGGCGGATGAAAAAAAACAAAGATTCGTGTGCGGGCTCTCGATCGCTGATGCCGAGTCGCGGTTCCGTCCAATGCAAAAAGGGTTTGTATCGACACACTTAGAGCCTAGAGTGAGGCGGACACTGGCGATGAATGTGCGCACAGTGTGTCCGGTGCAAGTAGAGCGTCAAAGGAGAGATGATGGTGGTAGCGAGGTGGGGGTGGTCTGTCTGCACCCGCCTTGACCGCGCGCTTTGCCGTGCCAACCAACCTACGGCAACTGATGCGCCCCTCTTCACGCGGAGATGCGCCGTTGCGAGCGGTCGGTGCGGCAAACCGACTCAATGTCCGCCGCGCGCGCGTGAGCTGATGCGCGCATGCCGACGGAAGCACGACGAGCGCGATACTTTCCGCATATGCATGCGCGCGCAGGCATGAACACGGTGGTAACAGGTGCGCTGCGCGTGGATGGTGAAATGCTTTGCCTAAAACACAGCTTCGAGCCGCCGATGCATGCATGCACGTCGATGTTGCGAGATTTCAAATCTCTTGAAATCGGATTTCATTTCTGATGTGACCGGTTCCGTGCCACCCTCCCATACACAATAAACAGAAATGCGCCAAGCCTTGTACCCTGCGCTGAAGCTTGTTCACCCGACATGCGCGCGGCACAAAACACCTTCAGCCGGCCACGTGGCATTCATACATCTCCACCCGACACCACGCAGATGCAGGTCCGAAGTCGAGATTGAGTCGGTGCCATCTTGACACAGCCCGAGACCGCATTCATGCTTGTCAGATACGCAATCGTGAACGCACATCCACGCATCGTCGCCCTCGATCGTCTACACACGCACATGCACCGCAGCGCCGCCATCGCAGCCAGACGTCACAGCCATAGCACGCGGCGAGTCACCACTCACATGGTGTGCTGAGACGAGCAGTTCACCCTGTATGGGCTCAGACAAGACCCCCTTTGGTTCATCGCAACACACGCTTCGAGAGCTGGACGGTGGCATTCCATTGCTACCCTTACCATCCAAGCCTCCAACACAGCGCTTGCACTCACCACTCGTAATGAAGTTCTCTCACAGTCTCCAATTCAACAGCGTCCCCGACTGGGCGGACAAGTATTTGGCCTATTCTAACCTCAAAAAAGCCATCTACCAGCTCGAACAGTCTCAGCCCGTCGATGGATCTACCGAGAATGACGTTGCGGGGACAGAAGAATCGCAAGCGCTCCTCAGCTCCGGTGTGGCTGCAGAAGCGGATCGCGTCTTTTTGCCGCTCCTCGACAAGGAGCTCAAAAAGATCGTCGCATTCTACGCTCACAAGGAAGCCGAGCTGAACAGCGCCGTAGAACAGCTCAGAGTGGATCTCGAAAGGCGCGAAAACGAAGACGTGTGGGGTGAAGATGAAGAGTACAGCGAAGGAGAGGAGGATGATGACGACGAAGACTACAATCAGGACACTGCTACTACGGTGCGACAGAGCAGACGACCCAGCATCGAGGGCGTCTTTAGCGACCCGCGCAAGTACAATCAGGCTTCGAGGGAAGAGCGCGATCTGCGAGGGTACACTGGGCCCCGAAGGCCACGCCGAGTATCGAGCTCAGGAGGCGCAGAGGATGGGACCACGGCTGCTGGTGCAGCCTCCGCTTCGCGTCCTGCCAACTCGCGAAGGCGAAGTAGCTTGCTTGTAGACACCTCTGGTGCTGGTCCCACCGCCGCCGAAACAGCCGTGCCCGACGTCTTGGCAATTGCTGATGCTCGTCGGCAAGAGCGCAGCCCTACACGTCGATGGAGCAATTTGTTCCGCAGGAGGTCGCAGGTCGGCAGTGGAAAGCGCAGCATCGGATTGGTCATTCCACCCAGCCCAAGCGGAAACTTCGAAAGCGCACGAGGAGACGAGGCCAGCAGCGTGGGAGATGGCCGCAGTTTGAGCATCTGGACCGCAGAAAACGACTGGGCGATCGACTTGCGGATCACGTTCAAGAAGCGAATCACCGATCTCTTTGTCGGTTGCTCCGAGCTCAAGCAATTTGTCCAACTCAACGAAACTGGTATCAAGAAGATTTGCAAAAAGTGAGCGGGCGCGGGCGTGTAGGCGCTCGGCGCGAGGGTGACCATTACTGATTATGACGCGCTTTCTAGATACGACAAAGTCGTCAACAGCAATCTCAAATCTCGCTACATGGGAGAAGTCGTCGCAGTGCGTGCGGTCGTGGTCAGTCCGTAGCCACCTTCTTCGCTGACTCGACACCGCTTTCACAGCATCAATATCCCTTCGAGGAGGCGACTCGCCAAAAGCTAGACGAGCACATTGCGCTTCTCACAACCTTCTATGCCAAGGTGGTGACCACTGGCGACCTGGCCCTCGCTCTGAGCCAGCTCAAGACGCACCTCCGCGAGCAAGTCGTATGGCAGCGCAACACTGTATGGCGAGAAATGATCGGCATAGAGAGGCGTGCTCAGGGCGCAACCCTGGAGAGGAGCGTGATGGGAACGCAGAGCAACAAAGGAGGCGAAGAAGTCAAGCCTTTGCGCTTGTGGACGCCTTTGGGCTACACGCGCCTGCCAGGCTGGCTCGGTGTATCGACGCTCCAGCTGATTATTGCCTTTACGATGCTCACGCTGCTGTTGAAAGCACCGGGCTTGCGATTCTTTGCACGAGTCGAAGAGCAAAACTGCCTCGCCATGCTCATCTTCTGCACCATCCTGTGGGCAACCGAAGTCATTCCGCTCTTTGTCACCTCACTCATGGTCCCATTTCTCGTCGTCACGCTACGTGTTGCACGTACCGACGACATCGAGGATCGTCGTATGTCTGCATCCGAGACGACGCACTGGATCTTTTCGCAAATGTTTGCGCCGAACATGTGCCTGCTCATCGGCGGCTTCACCCTTGCTGCCGCGCTTTCCAAGTACAACATTGACAAATTCCTCGCCCAAAAGGTGCTTCGAATGGCCGGCACACGTCCGGCCTTTGTCCTTCTCGCCCACATGGGGGTGGCGTGCTTTGCGTCCATGTGGATCTCCAACGTCGCAGCGCCCGTTTTGCTATTCTCGCTCATCCAGCCGATCCTGCGCAATTTGCCTGCAAACTCGAGCTTTGCGCCAGCGCTGATCATGGGCATTGCCCTAGCTTCCAACATTGGCGGTCAGACTTCACCAATCGCTAGCCCACAGAATCTCATCGCCCTGCAGTACATGGGCGATGCGCCTGTCGGATGGCTGCAATGGTTCGCCATCACGATTCCCGTGTCGGGCCTCAGCCTCATCATCATCTGGCTGGTTCTTCTCTGGAGCTATGGCTCTGGGCACGGCACGATCATCAAGCGGCCAAACGAGAACAAGGACAGCTTTACGGGAATTCAGTACTTCATCTCTGCCGTCTCCATCGCCACAATCGCTCTGTGGTGCCTGGAGCGCAACTTTGAATATGTCTTGGGAGACATGGGTGTCATTGCAATTGTCCCCATGGTGCTGTTCTTCGGCACCGGCATCCTCACCAAGGAGGACTTCAACAATTTCCTATGGACAATCGTGTTTTTGGCCATGGGCGGCATCGCTCTCGGCAAGGCGGTGACGTCGAGCGGCTTGCTAGAGAGCCTAGACGCCCGTGAGTGTCCACCGTGGTCTATCCAGTTCTTGAATGCAGCTGACAGCCGATTCACGCATCGCAGTCGTCCAACGATTGGTCACGGGCATGCCGATATGGCAGGTGCTGTTCAGCCTCCTTGCCATTGGCCTCGTGGTGGCCACCTTTATCTCGCACACAATCGCTGCTGTTCTCTTGGTCCCAATCGCAGCCGAGGTGGGCGGCTCCCTTGCTCAACCGCACCCCCGCCTCTTGATCATGGCTACAACGCTGACTGCGTCCGCTGCCATGGGATTGGTGAGTCGTTCGCATTGCTTCGAATTTCTCGCCTATGTCGCTTACACGCCCGTAAGCCACGCCTCACTACTTCTGACGTTCAGCCCGTCTCTGGTCAGTCTCGAAGCTCGCCGATCGCTTCCCATCGAGCAAAGCTGACCTCACTCGTGCACGCATTCAGGCTTCCCAAACATGGCCGCTTCTGCACAAGAGGATCAGACCGGCAAGCGCTACGTCAGCGTCAAGGACTTTCTCCGTGTTGGTATTCTGGCATCCGTGCTCGCCACTGCAGTCGTCGGCACCGTCGGCTTTGGCGTCATGTCGCTGCTTGGCCTGTGAAGGCCGCTCAATCGTCGTGCTCCATTATCATAAACAATGTCTCTTTTAACGGTCTAGCCAGTGGCATCATTTCCGCAATCGCACATCATCTAGTCACGAGCCTCTTCTTTCCCAGCCGTGATTTCGGCGGCCGTGACCCCAAGTTTGGAGGCTGCGCCGCATGTGACATTGCTCGCAGTCAACTTCAGCACACATGCAATAATCAGTCTGCAACGCTCCATTTCGAGTGTTTCGCCCCGATCAGACGACCACGACGCCCCGATCGATCATGTGAGGATGATACGTATGCCCGACCCACGTTTCGCAAGCCGTGCAACTCTCGGAAGGTTCGCCGGTCGACGCGACGCTAAAACGCGTGACGCTCGATCGTGCGTCGGATGTCCGAGGACGGAGAATAGTTTTGAGTTGGTGGGAGCTAGGTCTTCACGTCACGGTCCCGCCAGCAAGTCGCAAGTGCCTCGTCGATCCAGCAAGCGTGGTCTTCTGAACGCCGTGCTCATCCCGGCTCCCACTTGAGATCTGTGCGAAACGTCCCCGCCGAATCGCGAGGTCGGGTTGCCGATCACCCTTTCGGGATCAGAAGGTCCGAGTGTCGCCGGCTCGAGTGACTCTCAAACGCCTATGCCGAGGCGAAATCTACATGCCGAGCCTGGCGCCGGTCAGAAACACTTACGACTGATGAGGCATCGCTGAATGGCCTTCTTTTTCAAGCAGATCTACACCACTTCTCAACGTCACATTACAAATGGCGCTTCGCAAGGAGAATAGCCGGCGGTTGGTAGAGGTACGTGCGACCAAGCAGCATGCCGATCTGCGGGGTTTGCCCGATCGGATGCCATGTATCCTGCTGAGCCTGCAGCTCGCCTCTGCCACATGTCGTCAACTTGTCATGCTATCATGCATGCAATAGGGCGTAAGCTCACCCTCATGACATTTCAGCTTGCCCCCCCCGCGCCTCCCTTGCAAGACGCCTGGCAACACGAAGGCTTCTTTTCCATCCATGCATAGGTTCCGGTATACTACAAAGCAGGGAATTGCGGCCAAACTCTGCACAAGCATGACAAACCATCCGCGACTCGGACTTTTGCTTAATTCTGATGATGACTTCATGCAGGCAGGCACGCGCAACCCAGAGCAACGCGCGGCGACTTTTGTGGCCATAGCTTCAGCTCACCCGCCGCTTTAGCGCTTAGTCACATATGCAATCCTCGGAGATCCAGGAACCGCCGCTCGTGCCGAAAAGGTGTCTTTTTCGACGCATCACTTATTTGTGCCTGATGTTCGCGCAGTACGCGCGCTCCACTTCCATTCACGATTGTGATTTACAATTCGCAAGCATTAATTGATGTTGCGTGTTTCGAGCACGCACGTTCCCGGGGACACTCCCGGTGGCATCTTCTCGCGCACGACGCACTCGCTGTTCGGAAGAGCAGTTCCAGCACCGCCTTTCGATATGTGACGACGCATAATTGCACTTTCGAGCCTTTCCGGTCCGCCAAATGGGCAATCACGAAGCCAAAGCGTCGCCATGATTGACGGCACGCGCAGTCTCGAGTAGTCTCGGAAACGGCGGTGCCGCGTTCGTAATTGCACAAAACCTTGTGTGACACGCACCAACACCCACCAGAAAAGGTATAAAAAGCCGCCATTTTCTAAGCCTCTCATCTCGATCCTCACAAGCGACTGCATCTTTTGAGCTTCTCACCGCTACCGCAAAAGCAATAGCACTCTCGCCACCGCCACTCACCTCATAACACCTCAAAATGTACGGACTCAAGTCTCTCTTCATTGGCGCTGCCGCCCTCGTCGCTGCCGCAAGCAGCGTTGCAGCGATTCCCACCAGCCTTAGCTCTACTGCCAAGGACGTCAAGCCAGGTGACAAGTTCACCGTCACTGTTCACACCAACTCTTACATCCAGGTGAGCAGTCGAAGAGTCGCAATGTGGGCCTTTCTCAAGCGCGCATCATACAGAGAGGCTCACTCTGATTCCTCGCCTTATCGCAGAACTCGGAGGAGTACTATGTCAAGTTCGGCTTGACCCCTACTGGAACGTACGTCGGCTCTGCCCTCGGCGCGGACCTTCTCGAGGGCTACGATCTCGTCGCCATCGGCAAGTCCAAGACCGGGCACGGACAATTCGACCTCTCCCTGACGGTCCCTTCGGAGTTCAGCGGTGCCGCTGGTAACTACACCGTCACCAGCGCTTTCTTCGGCACCGTCGGTGCATCTGGCGCCCTCTGGACTCACTCGCCCAACACCACCATCACCATCGCCAAGTAGATGGGTGCAATCACTTCTCGGCTCCAGCCTCCAGTTTTCAGATCCCTTGCACCTTACAATCATCACAACTGTATAATCGCACATCCTGCATCCACGCCCGCCCCGAACAATTGAAAGTTTTGACTATCTCTTGCCTTGTGGTACGAGACTCTTGTGGTCGCCGCTAACGACCGCATTCTGGCTGGCGAACGCCGGGCCGAAGTGAGGAGGGGCAGCTGAGATCGATACGCCTGCTCGATCCCCTTTGCTGGCATGTCCCGAAGCATGAGGAGAGGGATTCGGTTTGTTGGACTCATCAGTGACTTGCAAGGCTCTGCTTGATGGAAGCATCCGCGCGAAACACGGTCACACGAGCTGCCCGGATAGGCTTCTCGCCAATGGGTCACGTGACTGTATGCGTTGCCCCAGCCCGGGAGCTGCCGAGCGCGCTCATCATGAGACTCAACTTCAGGCCGGATTTCGGCTTGCACCGTGCGCGTGACCAGACAGCCAACTGAGCCGCACAATGCTAAGCGGGGAAAGCGGAGGATGCGCTCGCTCTCAAGCAGAGTTGGAGTCACGACTTCGGCATGCATAGCTAGCGGGTCCTGCTGCTGGTTCACTTGTCTCGAAAGCGAGAGCGGATTTGCATGCAACAGGCTTGATAAGTCGTGAGTACTGTATAGCCGAGCGAGGCTGGGGCGGGCGGCAGCAGCGGTGAAGGGGGTCAAGGGTTGCGATGCATGGCGCTGGCTGCAGTCAGGGCTTTAGGAGGCATGTGAACGCTCCCGGCTCGCTGCTGCAGATGTGGAGTGCCTATTCGCCTTCCAGACATCGTATCAATTGGTTCATGGCAGAGCGAGCGCCCTTCTCCCTTTTTCTTCAAGACCATCACTTGATCCTTCCTTGTTCGCTCGATCACCATCAACAAATCTCATCTGTATAGTCAAAGCTCCCCTCCGATCAAGGTCAGCATTTCCCTTCACCCAATCACATCCACCTGCTTCTTGCCAATTCCACCTCCGCACACACTTGTCAAGATGGGCAGCGAACCTTTCGTGCCTCCTCCCACGGATCTCATCACCCTGACCAGGCACGTGCTTGGAGAGGGCTTTCAGAGGGCAGAGAAGAGCGCTGCCAGCGGTGATCTCACCATCCTGCTCAGCAGCTTGCAGACTACCTGCAAATTCATCGAGAGCATGGTCCGAAAGGCCAGCTTGATCAACTTGTGAGTCCATGCAGACAGCGCACAGCATGGCTCGCGCTTGGAGAACAAGCCTGTTTGCCATGTCTTGGCACGTGTCCGGCACGCCTCTGAGGGCACACGCTGTGCTATACAGCTCGATCGCTGGCACTTCCTTCTGACGCTTCTGTTCCCGCTCGTTAGGATCGGTTTGGCTGGAGAGACCAACTCTACTGGAGACGACCAAAAGAAGCTAGACGTGCTCTCCAACGAGATTATGATCAATGCTCTGCGCGCATCTGGCAAGACTGCGGTGCTCGTGTCCGAGGAGAATGATGAAGCAATCTTTGTAGGCGAAAAGAAGGATGGCAGTACGTTCGAAGAGACGCGGGGCAAGTACTGCGTCGTTTTCGACCCTCTGGACGGAAGCAGCAACATTGACGCTGGTGTGAACATCGGAACCATTTTCGGTATCTACCTCGTCCGCGATGGTAGCAAGGGCACTTTGGAGGATGTGCTGCGACCTGGAACCGAGATGGTGGCTGCGGGCTACTGCATGTACGGTTCTAGCGCCAACTTGGTTCTCACTACTGGGAATGGGGTGAACGGTTACACGCTGGACAATCAGATTGGAGAGTTCATCTTGACCCACCCCAACATCCGTCTGCCAGACAGAGGAAAGATTTACTCTATCAACGAGGGCAACTCTGCATACTACCACGAGCCGGTGCTCAAGTACCTCGACTCGATCAAATTCCCCAAAGGAGAAGGCAAGAAACCGTACTCTGCTAGATACATCGGATCCATGGTAGCAGACGTGCACAGAACCTTGTTGTATGGAGGCATCTTCGGTTACCCCGACGACAAGAAGAGCAAGAACGGCAAGCTGAGATTGTTGTACGAAGCCTTCCCTATGGCGCTGCTCACCGAGCAAGCCGGGGGTGTTGCTACGACTGGCACAAAGCGTATCCTCGAGATCCAGCCCAAAACCATCCACGAGCGTTGCGGTGTCTTCCTTGGCTCCAAGGATGATGTCAACGACTTGTAAGTAAAGATGCAAGGCACGCTCTCTTTGTGAAAATTCCAAAAGCTCACACCTCCTTTGCGCACGCCTAGGCTCAAGTTCTACCAGTAACGCTCAACTACACGGGCTGACGAGACGCACGCGGATTGAGTCGCCAAATGGCATCCGTCCGAAATACATCATGTGCAAAAGTTTTGGGGGGCGGCAACTGCAGATGCCCGAAATGGGCGCATGCACGAGCAAAAAGGGCGAGGACCATCTGCTCTAGCTCTTTGCCGCTGCAGCTCTTTGAGCGGGCGCATCGGGTTGCTTGCGCTTCTCAGCTTGAGCGAATGAAGGGTGCTGTTTGAGATTGTCCTGGCAGAGCAAGCAAGCGCGCGAGGGAGGCTGTCAGTACGCGTCTCAGTCGGCATGGATGCGGCATGATTCGCCCATCCCTGCCCGCCTCACACAGATGCGCGAAACGGTCGGGTATGCGTCGATGGGCATTTTGGCGCTGTGCACGGGTGCAAGTAGCATGAGCGCGGGAACTGCACAAGCTAGGCCCTGCATCAGACTCGAAACTCACGCTCCGACCGCCAAGTCCACCTGAGCATACAGCACTACGTCTGCAAGGGTGATCTCGTCACCGACCGAATCTGTGATGCGGCGATGTAGGAGATGTGAGGGCTACAGAGGCGCTGCAAACGGCCACTGTGCGCTGCGTCGATGGGTGCTACGCACATTTGCCGGCGCTTTTCGCCACGAGACGCTCGTAGCCTGCACTCTCGATCTCAGATGAGCTTGAGTGAAGCCCAGCGAATTGCGGGGCGGGCTCGTCACTCACTGTCGAAGCCGCCAGCGCAAGTTTCAGAGACCCATTGCTCGTACGTCGCTCCCATTGCCTCTGCTCTCAATGCCACGCGACGATTGGTGACAGGCTGAATGTCGACAGCCATGAGATTGACTAGGTCTTCGACGTGAGCGCGTTTGAGGGGATCCGTCTGCCAAGCAGGCAGGAGACTCGGTCGAGCTGGGTAAGCATCCTCCAGCCAATGCAGGGCCGTCAGTGATTGACGCAGAAAGAGTGGAGAGTCTGAGGGGGATGAGCCCGTCGGAACCACCTTGAGCACGGGAACCGTCTTGTGGGCACTGATATTTTCCCCGTATGTTGAGCCAAGGTGCTCGTCCTTGACCAGATCGACGGGTATCAAATCATACTCCAAGCTGCGGAAAGTGTCGAGCGGGAGATGATTGAGCGCCGCATCTGTGCTCGGAATGAAGCGACCGCCATGTCGCGCGCGCTCACCCTTTGTAGTGCAAAGCTATCCATAAGCGCTGCGCGCAGCTGGAAGCCCACATTGAATACAGTGTCAAGTGATGTTGCGCAGTCATGTTGGCGGGGGGGAGGGATGGGTTTGCGGTAAAGTGTTTGGAAATGACCGTCTGTGCGCTCGTTTGGCAGGCGGATCGCGCGCCTTCTCGTGTGGAGTGTGAAACAGAGAGTGAAGACGCTCGAAAGATCGTCCGCTCAAGTCTCTAGGCGAGTCACAGACTTCAAAGAGTCACGTCACAAGCTTCATCAACGGCATCAATGCTGCCCTCTGCGTAGCCTCCCGAGCTGTCATGCGAACGCGGGTGCTTGAGAACACAGCCACGCGCTCGAGGAATGACTCACGTGCCGCTCCGGCGGGATTGCCGGTATTGCCGAGGTGCTTTGTGGGCGCCCTTCCCCAGCAGCCAGCGTCGTCTGTCTGGAAGCGCTTCCCTGCCAGGCATTCACATTCTGCGCGGCTGCACGAGAGGACTACTTCCACCACTGACCGACGCTTCACAAAGCCCCTTCTGTTCGCATGATGACCAGTCTCTTCTCTTCAATGCGTCTCTTGCGATCGAGCGGAGTACCACCCTTGCGCGCTCGACTGTTCGAACAGAGCTCAGAGAGGACCACTGGATGCTCCCGAGCATCCTGTCACACAAAGTCCTTCTCGACCACATCGAGCGCCAAATACCAACGCTCCACGCCGCGCTCTACAGTCTCGCCTTCGACTCTTCCACCCTCGCGTGGCGTTCAAGGCAACTCTGCGCTCAAGCCTCCTCTGACAAAGCACACTACGCTCTACGACTCGGACCTGGACGCGACCATCGTCATTCATCCGGACACGGTATCCATCGTGTCCCCAAGCAATTGCATACACCGCCCATTCCACTTTGACCATGTCTGGTTGAGGGACGCTTGCACTGAGCAAGGAGCGAGTCTGCAGCTGGGTAGCGGCCAGAAAGTATTTCACACCAGCGATGTACCCATCCCGCAGTATGGCTTCGGTCTGTTGGACGCGTGAGTGCGGATCGTCGCACCATAGCACTGCGACTACGCAGGCGCCTGACATCTCTTCTCTTTAGGAATGCCACACCGCGACTTGTGGATGCGCCCAATGGCCGATCATTGGAATTGACCTTTGAGATGTCGCACGGCGTGCTGAATGCCTTTTCTGCGACCTTTGCCGCTCCCGCCGCTCCTCCCATTCTACCCAACACTCCCCACATTAGCCGGATTCCTATCGCGCTTCTGCTCGACCACGCCTCGCCTCAACGCTACGCCGCGAGCCACTTCGACATTGGTGCCGTTGCGTCATCCTGGGAAGGAGCGGATCTGACAGCGTTCCCCAGCTCTTCTCCACCTCTTTCATCCTCCGAGGTGAAGTCGAGCAGGTTTGACCAGCAAGCAGCGACATCGCGACCAGCTCGTGTGGACTGGACCACTCTCAATCCACACAATGCGGTGAACGACTTCGCTGTGGACCAGGTGAATGCGCACAGAGCTCTGGCAGAAGCTCTCATGAGGGATGGGTTGGCTTTCGTCACAGGCTTGCCTATCGACACCACGGGATCTCAGCCTAGAGCTGATGGCGACTCTTGCTCACTTGCCCGCTTGGCCGAGACGGTAAGTTGCGGAAAAGTCGCGATTCGAGTGCTGTGCGGCCTCCATGCTCACCCACACTGTCACCACCTCCAGCTGGGCGAGATCAGACACACCTTCTACGGTCCGCTGTGGGACGTGCGGTCGCTAGGGTCCGGGTCTCGCAACATTGCCTATACCAACGTCGATTTGGGCTTCCACATGGACCTTTGCTACTTTCAAAATCCTCCTCGCTTTCAATTCTTGCACATGCTCAAGTGCAAGGTGAGAGGGGGAGAAAGCATCTTTGTGGATGCGTACAAGGTTGCCGAGTACATGTGGCAGCATCACCGCGAGCTTTGGCAAGTTCTCGCAGAGGTGAGTGAATGAGGGGAGCGCATGTATGCGGCGCGTTGGGCAGGAGAAGGACGGCGCGAGGCTGAATGCGCTTGCGTGGTGCGTGCGTGCAGGTACCTGTAGGATTTCACTACAACAACGACGGCTATCACTACCGTTACACGCACCCTACCTTTGAGGTGGCTGGTCCAACATCTGGTCACTGGGGACCGGCAGAAAGCACAGATGCCGAGCGCATGCCGCGCCTAATCGCGGTCAATTATTCTCCGCCTTTTCAATCGCCTCTTCCGCTCACCACGCCACGGATGCAATCTCCAGCAGAGAGACGCAAATTCTACGAGGCGCTCAAGACGTTTGCCGATCTGACGCACGATCCCAAGTTCAAGTATGAGCGCATGCTGGGAGATGGAGAATGCGTCATCTTTGATAACAGAAGGGTTCTACATTCCAGGAAAGGATTCGAGTGGGACGAAAAGGAGGAAGAGGAGGGCGGGCAAGTCAAGAGGTGGCTGAAGGGTGAGTTCGATTGTCAGAAGAGCGCGCGATGGCAAGCTCATCGCTGACCTGAATTTTCTGCGCCTTTCTTGATCAGGCTGCTACGTGGATGGCGACGCCATCTGGAGCAAGTACCGGGTACTTGTGGCTCAAGCGGGAGCCTCTGCGAGAAGTGCTGCATCGACGCAATAGATGGCATGAAGTGAAGCAGCCAGGTCGGTAATGAGAAACACCTTGGTCTCTCGGGCCGACGACAGTACGAGCCCGGTGATCTCCTGCCCAAAGGTAGGTCAGGGACACTGGGAGGCTGCGCGAAGCGACAAAGTCCGATTGAGTGGCCTACTGATGATGTTTCTCTGCGCTTCCTTCCCTAGCGCAACAAGCTGTCCACTTTCTGGCGATTCTTTGCGGATGCGCTTAGCATGATGATCGAGCGTCAAATGCCTCGTCGATCTCCGCGGGTCAGTCGTGAATGTGAATGAATGGCGGATGAAGTCTTGCGGCCCTGATTTACGTAGCGGTGTGCAGCAGATCTGTATGCAGCAGCAGCATGCATCAATTAACAGTCGCGTTAGTCGCGAAAGTGTTCATGTCCGCGGTGTTGGGCTTTCGACGCGTCAACAAGACACGCCTGCTGCTGCATGGCACGCTCGCGACGCGTTCTCGGCCGTGCGCACCTTTTGAGAATCGCTCAAGCGTTTCCTCACGAATGCAAGCAGGACAAGCTAGGCTGCATCGGCTGGCTGGCTGCACCTGCAAGCAGTCACGAGTCGTCGCCTCGATGCTTTGGGCCTGATGTCGTGACTTGACTCTGCTTGACATACTTCAGCATCCTTGCGAATCCCAGCATCTGTAGACAATGCACCGAGTACGCACAAGCCAGTAGCATTTGCCAAGCCAGCAGTCGTCACCGCCTGCGTCCTCATCTGCGCGCCCACGTACGAGCCGCCACCTAACCAGACAGAGTTTGGACAGCGTTACTACGTGAGCTGATCGAGGAAGCATAGTTCCGCCATACCCCTGCAACCATGTCTCTGTACAATCCTACTTCCAAGACACGAAGAAGGTCGGGCGTGACGCCTGGCGGATCAGTTCAGACGCCTCATCGAGCCGGAATCAGCAACAACAACACGAATGCCAACCCCTCGGCAGCGGATTTATCGGAGGAGCAGAGATCAGAGATCAAAGAGGCTTTCGAGCTTTTCGATACCGACAAGGATGGAGCGATCGACTATCACGAGCTCAAAGTGGCCATGAGAGCTTTGGGATTTGATCTGAAAAAGGCAGAGGTGCTCAAAATCCTCAGAGATCACGACAGAGGAGAGGGGGTCATTCAGTGGGAAGACTTTTTGCGTGTCAGTGAGTATGGCAGCTGGTAAAGCTAGGCAGGACAGGCGGGGGAAGTTGTCGCAAGTGCTCGGCCCAGACTGGCGCCGGTAGGGCCGGAGATGGAAGGGCGCATGTCAAGGGGGACCCTTCACGATGTGCAAGGAGCATGCGCTGCCCACACCCGACGAGCCTCCTATTCTGCCTGCCGACGCGCATTGTCCCCGCCCCTTATTCGAACGTCGTCGCAGTGTCGGAGCGCATAGCAATGCGCGATCCCATGGATGAAATCAGACGAGCTTTTGCCCTTTTCGACGATGACGGGTCTGGCAAGATCAGCCTTAGGAATCTCAAACGCGTAGCCAAGGAGCTTGGAGAGTCTTTGGATGAGGACGAATTGTGAGTGCAATGCAATGCGAGGCGTGCCGATGCGCGATGATTGTCGCTATCAGCATGCTGACGGATGCGCGCCTCCTCGATCTTCGTTGTAGACAAGCGATGATCGATGAATTCGATCTGGACGGGGATGGCGAGATCTCTGAGCAAGAGTTCATTCAGATCATGATGGACGATGCCTAGAGAAGAGCGATTGGTCGCCATTACACATGGTCACTATCACACATGGGCTGCAGTTGTAATTTCCGATGGTTCCTTTATCCCCTCGCGCTACCCATAATGTCACATCGTAGGTCAAGGGGGTGCCACCTACGTCTGGCTCCGCTCTGCACTCACCTTCAGAGCTGCTGTGCATAGATGCGTCATGAAGTGGGCCCGATTAAGTGTGATGCGCAGGTGTGCCCCGCATTTTTCTTGCAGCGTCAAAGAACCGTTCAGTCACGGTTGTGCGGCTGCAGAGGTAAGCTGAATGTAGAAATGAATGCATTTGCTTGGTTGACATGGAATGGAGGAGCTCGTATCCTTTTCCTCTATGCGCGTGCTTGTGTGTTGAATGGTGTGAGCCTCGCAACGCTCCGCTTCGCCTGCAGGCTCTCTGCTGCTCCGCCCCCGCCCCCGCCCCCACGCCTCTCGGACCGGCGCGTGTGCGTGCATGCATGCTTCGTGGCGGTGTGAGCACCGACCTCGCACTCGATCCCCGCAGTCAGAGTCATCAGTCCGATTTACGATTCAAATTGATGAGCCAGCGCGATGATGACCCTGCCCAAACTAGCACGCTCACAGTTCCATGGCCTTCACCTTGGCTCTTGGCTGCCTTTTCAGACCTGCGCATTGCTAAGGGGACTGCCCAGTGGCCAACGTTCACCGCGGGTACGTGATCGACGCAATCGACTCATCCCACACTCCACTTGCAAAGCGTTCTGCATTTCTCATCCGCGACCATAGCAAGCTCGTGTAGTCGCACCCAAAGTCGCCACCCCGCGTCTATTCCCGCACATCCGCTGCTTGCACTCCCTCCTCATCACCGGCAATGCAGCAGCGACCTCGACCCACCACCGAGGCACGTGCACCCATCGCTGATCGCACGCCGGCAAGAACGCACTCTAGCAGCACTGCTTCGAAAGCTCGAGGACATCCTGGCCCCGCAGAGCCACGCTCGCCAATGTCCAGAAGCGCAGCTTCGGAGAGCGTATCTAGTGCTCGTCCCTTTTCCAGCTCTCGAGGTGCCTCGCCAGCTCCGTCGACTCGAAGCAGCTCCAGCACCATTCGCAATCACAGCCTAAACGTAGACCTCGAAAGCATTCCGCGCACAGCTTCGCCCGCACCTAGTCTAGGATCATACCGCTACTCGCTAGGCCCTGCACCCGTTCGCTTCCCATCCCAAAAATTTCAACAGCAGGCGGCCGAACCTCGCAGAAGCTCGATGCTGGATGCCAGCGGGACAGCTCGCGAGCTGGGCGGTCGCATGGATGGCTTCCGGAAAATATCTGCTTCACACGCCGGCTCCTCCAAGGGCGAGGCGGTGGAGAGAAACAGGACTCAAAGCGATATGAGCCACTCAAAAGGCCACGATGTGTCGGAGATTGATGGGTCAGCCTTGGAGAGCAGCGCCCATCTCAACACACCAGCCTCGCGAAGTCGAACTCAGTCCACCCCTTCGCCCACCACTTCGGCCTTCAAGCGGGGCGATCCTGATGAGAATGCTCTCCAATATGGAGCGTCTCGCACATCGAAACGTGACGCAGCATCATCATCATCGCAAGCATCAACACCAGGTCGAGCAATCTCTTCGCCCAGGAGACCACCAGCCCGACAGTCACCTCGACCAGATTCTCAAACGTTGACCACGTTTCCCTTTCCCCACCCTTCTGCTGCAACCTCTCCGCCCCTGTCCTCGACCGGATCAAGAGGTTGGCTGACGAGGATACCCTTTTGGCGGTCTGTCGGAAGACTGCATAATCCTGCCGAAGAAGAAGAACGTACACAGGCGCCAAACGAGAGGCGGACCATTGCACCACTCAGCAGATCGGCACGTCCTACCGAGCCAGACACATCAATTACCGCGAACCACACGACACAGGCCCGAAAACCCCACAAGCTGCCTTTGCTTCCATCGAACAGCGGCCAAGATCCTGATGATCCGTACGGCTACCGCGCTCTGGCAGGCCCTATGCTCTTGCCAGCTTTCCATGCCTCCAGGCCTCACCTTGCTCAGCGCGAAGAGCAAAGTCGGATAGCAGCTTTCAAGAGGCTCGGGCTGGCTACTGCTCAAGCTGCTCTGCTGCTACTTGCCCTGGCTACCTTGGCCAAGGTCGGAACATATGTGCTGGGAGAAGCCAGATGGCCAGGCTTGTATGGAGCGCTTCCTCATGGCGGCGCCAAGAGCCCTGCGTGATGTCTGGGCGCTCCAATGGAACTTAAAGTAGTACGAAGCCATGTGTCGTTCCACTGAGCCCTGCACTACCTGTGGGCAAGTCAAATCGAAGCACATCACGCGGTACGCCGACGGCGCGTTTGACAGTGACAGACCCATCAATTAAGCCGTTCGTGATGCGTGGAGAGGCAGTGAAGTTATGTGCGTGCGAGAAGAGAGGTCGTGCACCTCGCAGGAGAGGAAGCGATACTCCGAGATCGGATAGCTTGAAAAGCAGTGGCAGGCCTCATTCTCCAAATAACTGCAAGTGGAGGAAGGCCGGGAGTGGGTCAGCCAGTGCGCAATGAGAGCAACCAAAGCGGGCGTCTATGCCCTTCGCTAGTACGCACCTTCTGGACACGCTTGAGAATTGAGTCCTTTGAGGGATCTGAAGAGGCAAAAAGCAGTGATTCGAGTTGAGCGGCGTTTACGATAGGGCTCGGCCATCGCGCACAACGATTGGCTCGCTTCACATCCGTCGTAAGGCTGCGGCTTTCAGCTCGACACTGGATTGCATTACCCGATGAGAATACATGCAACGCGTCTGCTGACTCTCCTCGCGTCCTAGGGCCTGCTGACGGATCGGAATCCGAGACACTCACCATAGGGATGATCCTTGCTGGGAATCTCGAGCAACGCAGGGAAAGCCTGTTGGTACTTGTCCACGATCGGTCTGATTTTCTGCGCCAAATGCTGATTAATGAGCAAGATGCCAATATCTTTCCTCTCATTGGTGAAGGTGTTGAAACTAGCTTCGATCTCTGATACTGGCGTGGATGGCGTGACGATGGTAAAATTCTTGGACCCGTCGGGTGCTACGTCTCCTACTCCTGCGAGGAGAAGTCCGGTGGCTGTATCCTCATCGACAATGAGAGCCAACAATTGTCGCTCCGCGGCTTGTGCAGCGACGGACATTGTAAGACGAGCACCGTGTGCAATAGTGAGCGAGCGTATGCGTGCGCGTGCGATATCCAACTTTGGATAGGCGCAAGGAATTCGTGCTCGACGTGGAGTGCCTTGACGTGAGTTCTGGTTGGCGAGGTTTGCAACCAAAAGCACTCTGACGTGCTCAATTGGTGCTACGTGCAGCGCTAGGCAGGAGTGGCGCAGTCGGTGTGGTGCAGCTCGCAATGGTCGCAGCTCCAAGCCGGAGATCGGGGTCAGTGGAGGATGAAGGTGGAAGAGGTGTTGCGGGTGCCCAAGTTCATGCGCATGCGCTTTCAGAGCCATGCGTGGACATTCAAATTGACTTGGCTGTGAGAGGTGATCTGAGCGAGGCCCCTGGATGCAAACGTCACGTGCGCAGCAGCTTCAGAGGCCTGTGAGCCAAATCTCGCCGGCGATGATGCATACCGGGAGCTCTGCAGCAGGCAGCCGCGGCGCTCATTCGATCGCTGCTGCATGCGCTGCAGGCTTGCAAGCATCAGACGCGCGCTGATCTCGCGATGAGGTCAGATGCGACGAGCGGCAGAAGCGCCCGCCCGGTGTGTACGAAGAGAGCGCCGCCTACAGCTACACTATGACACCTCGCGTATGTGTAGAATTCACGACTCGTGAGCGAGGCAGAGTGACTCGCCAAACAAGCCAAGACCCTACTCTCGCACCTGGTTCTGAGTACGCCGTTCTAGCTCGGATGACTGACTGCGCGGCAGAGTTTGAGTTGACCGGATATCCCATCTCCTCGACCTCGGTCTTCGAAGGAATTCCGCCTTGCTGTCTGCACCAACGTATCACGGCACGCGACTAGCTCTGCTTCTCACACTCACGCTTGCCGCACCCAGGCGATCGACCATCAACACATACAGCTCGACGTTGTTTTTCGGCCTTGACAGCGCGCAGCTGCCATGTCTTCAGCATCATTCCAGCTTCGGCGTTAGCAACAGGACCGAGGTCACCGCTTTCGCAATTCGCGGGGCAGAAACGACGGACCAGTCGCACTTCAAACGTGCGCCACGCACCCGCATACACGGTGCGCACCCTCTCGACCTCAGCCCCCAGGCTTCCGTGTCGAGACCACACCTCAAGGCGAGATGGCTGCCATCGCAGCTCACCAAGCAGACGATGAGCAAGCTGTGCGTCTGGGTAGAGAGTCCAAGACTCATCGCTTGACGCTTAAAGGTCTGCTCGAGCACCAGTCCGCTTCACCCACTGCACCGGCCATCGACTTTGCTAGGAAAGAAGCGCGCAATTCGATCCTCCGACTGCTCTTCGCTTGCACTTTCAGCAGCAGAGCTCAGGGTGCCGATGTTGCCTTATGGACAGAGACGACCCACCCGCTCGTCCACCTTTACCGAAGTCGCCTTAGCGCGTTCGAAAAGGACTTCAAAAAGGCTGCTGCCGCCTCTGCCGAGGATGCTGCGCCCACATCGGAGACCTCTTCCCTCACTCGCAAATTCAGGCCCAGTCGCAGCCGCGATGATGGCAATGTCAAGTCAAAAAGCGACAATGGCCCAGGTCAAGCTCAAAAGGCAGCAGACTACCTTCGTCTTGCCGCTTCCTTTCGAGACTTCCTAGCCAGTGAGGAGAATTTCTGGAGGGAGCTTGCCGGTCGAGTAGTACGCGTCTTCAGACTGGAAGAAGCGCGACCGCACATGAAGGCACTAGGCATCCCTTCTGATGAAGCGGAGTGGTCCATTAGCGCGTCAGGAGATTCTTCCACCGCTTCGACCGGAATGGAACGCATTTCTGGCACCCAGCAAGCCCAGCCTGCCTTGTTACGAGCCTCGCAACTGCCGGAGAATAGGAAGCGCCTCGTAGAGATGGTGCACAAGGCGCTGATCTACTGTGGCGATTTAGCTCGCTACCGCGAGCTCTACAGGGAGGACCGACGCGGAAGAGCTGATGCTCCCACTGCTGCTCCTGGCAGCGCCGACGCAGCGCTTGGCAAGATGGGCGGCGGCAGAAGCAAGGGCGTGCCTCGTGGAGGGAAAGCCGCGATTGCTGTTGCGACTGCTGCTGCACGCTCGCACAAAGAGGTATCGAGCCACCGCGACTTCTCTCGGGCTATCACTTGCTATGAGCAAGCTCGACTATTGGTACCGGACAAGGGAAACCCGTCCAACCAGCTGGCTGTCATGGCCACATATTCTGGGGATACGTTTGCTGCTGTGCATCATTACTATCGTGCGCTTTGCGTGCGCCACCCCTTCGAAACAGCTCGCCAAAATCTCAAGGTCACTTTGAGGAAGGCGTTCGATATCTGGAATAAGAGCGGCTTGCTCGAGCGGCTGGAGGCTGGTGACTTGCATGCTGTGTCGGTGGACGAGACAGGCCCGATCAATGAGAGATTCTCGCACGCATCCTGGAATGCGGTCGCCCTTCACCACTTTTTCTACTCCCGCACGCAGTGAGTGATGATGAAATCTTTCAGCACCGTCATGCTCCTTGGGAGCTCACTATCTCACCTTTCATCGCTGTTCCAACCAGCTTCCTCGCTGCCCAGCGGCTCTCGAAACAATTTCTTGTCGATCTTGACTCAACTTTGGCAGATCGTGTGCTTGGCACCGACGTCATAGTGCGTCTGGTCGTGACAGCTTTGTCAACGTCGTGGACGACGAGACTGTGGCGCACTAGTGGCGGCGGCACCCAAAAGAAGGAAAAGCCAAAAAACAGTCTCCCAAATACTAGTGGAGTCATTGCATCGCCAGTCGACGGAGTCTACGCGGAACACTTCATCTTGAGCCACGTCCTTGGCTTGTTCGATGCGCTCGTCAAGTTTGGCACAGCTCAGACGCGGGAAGCTTTGCGCTCTCAGGCTAGTGCCGTAGGTGGCACTTCGAACCCTCCTCAAGATTCCGCGTCGGCCGCTCGCAATATCACTGCAGCGTTCAGAAGGACATTGCCCGCTCTTCGCGTTTGTTCCAAATGGACCAAGAGCCATTTAGAATACATTTCAAGGTGCTCCGAACAAGCAGCTGCAACTTCTTCTCAAGACAGCGGCTCCACCAGGACCGCGTCGCAGTCTCAAGAGGAGCGCGCAGAAGCCGATGCGAAGGCTAGTGCGGAGGCGGCACTGGTTCGAACCACGCCTGCGCTCTGGCGTACCTATGCCGACTTTGCAAATCTCATCCGCTTCGCCTTTCCATTCGACATTCTCCCAAAGTTGAGCGTGATGGGCTCAGGCGGTGCCGCGCCTCTCGCACTCGAAGAAGACAGCGATCTGCGCGGATTTGCTCCACTTCGAAAGGCTACCATGTACGTCAACGGAGATACGCCCGGCTCGGCCATTGCTGCGCACGATGGCAACCACGCATCACCGCATTCTAGTCCACGCACTGCGCGTCCTAGTCAGGTACATCCAAACGATGAGCAGCTCATGCGCATTGCCGATCTTCTGATTGATGCCAAAGTCATGGCCGAGTCGGATGCATGCCCCCTTGCCTTCGACGACACGCGTCGCGTATTCTACGTCAACGAGTCTGGCCCAGGAATGGTAGGCGGCCCTGAAGTACAGAAGCAAACCCATTTGGTGAGCCAGTCTGCCGATGCAAAGGACGAGCGCAATCCGCAAACAGGAACAGAGACGCCCACGAGATCGTCTTCGGATCTCAGTGCGAGTGCAAGTCGACGAATCCGCTTCGATGAGCGGTCCGAGGCAAATTCCTCGGAGGCTACAGAGGATGTCGTGGACATGGCCATGCGCGCGGGTGCAGGTCGCCAAGGTTCCTCGGACGTTAGCTTAGTGGACGACAATGACAATGAAGACGACGATGGAGATGTCATCTTGATTCCATCCGCTCAGCGTCGCTTTGCCGAGCTGGCGCAGGCATTCCCTGCCGTTGCTGTAAGCCCTTCGCCGGCTGCCCTGGGCTTCGACGATGGTTCCTTCACTTCCAAGCCGCAGTCGAGGCGCGATACAGTGGTGAGACCGGTTCCTGCCGCCGCTCAAGAAAGTCACCAAACACCTCAAAATGTCACAGCTCAACACTTGCTGCTGCAAGTTCTGACCGGGCGCAGTCCCGCCACACCCACAGGCGCTTCTCCTTTGCGTCAGCCGCCTACCCCGCATTCCGCCGGCTTCGGTCAGCAACCTTCGCAATCTCCATTTGATTCTCCAAGCGGAGCTCGTACTCCCTTGCCATCTGATTCACAACAACCCCAAACGCTCTTCGGTGGCATTGGCGATCCGCAAGCTGGACAAGCCAGCATCTGGTCAAGTGGTGGTCTGCCGCGCTCTGGCGCTTTCTCGCACGCTTCTGGCCCCAGTGCAGCCCGCAATGCCTGGGACGCTGCCCAACACAGTGGCGGACGCGAAAGAATCCCAAGTGGCGGAGGCGGCGCAGCCACTCCCACCTTTGGTCCAATTGGCTCGACGACGAACGCATCTGGAGTGGCGCAGATTCCATCTCATCTCGCCAGCGCATTTGGAGGCCAGTACGGTGGTCTTGTTAGCGTTCCTCCTCATCAAGGCTTAGGTCCGTCGCAAAACTCCACTCCACCCTCCGCCCCATCTCCTCAACATTGGTCCAACGCTTTCTCGACTCAGACCACGGGTCATTCTTTCGCTTCAGTGCCCTCTCACATGGCACCCTCTCACGAGGCCAGTCGTGGCACCAGGCACGGCCCTATCGGATCCCCGCCTGCATCGGCCAAAGGCACTGGCGCTTTCGACCGCATCGGTCAGATGGGCTTCCATTCTTCTCACCAGCTCCAGTCCGGCGCAGGCTTGCATTCTAGCCAAGATGTAAGCCAGGCCCAGGCACGCCAAGACTTTCTACGCACAAGCTGAGGAAGCCAAGTAGGAGGCGCTGTCGATGTGAATTGTTTGGCACGCGCATTGACTATACTTTTATCAAGAATATCACTCCCTTCTCTCCGCCATCATTGGGCACTTGCTTGCCTTTGTGCACAGCACTCCTCCTCAGGAAGCCGTCTTGTTCGAAAGACTGTCATCCTGGGAGGCATCGCGACTCAAGTGGGGATGGACGACGGTGTATAGAAAACTCTCTCGCACTCGACATTTTCTAGACTTATTCGACCATCATCGAAGGTTCAAGTGCGTTGTGCCGAAGGGCCTTCGCCATGAGCTCACTCGATCACAGCTGGGGCTATGCGCGGCACACAAACTCCTATGATTGACGCAGGAGTGCTGATGTGATGAACGCGTGGGAATCAAAACCGTTAAATCGCGCCTCCAAAGCTGTGCCATGCGTGATTGTGTTGCTTTTGCGTGCTCGTCGCGTTCGCGTAATCGCGTGAATCTTATCGTTGACTATGGAAGTAGATGGAAGCTGTTCATTGTGTTTTGAGTCGTGATGGCCGTCACTATCCTGTTGGGCTCAATCATCTGCGCGGACCAAAGGAAGCTAAGACCCCGTCTGTCCGATTCTCGTGAAAGGCACCCGGGCACTGGCAAGCTACTTCAGGCGTCGCTTGCGACCCTGCCTCACTCCGATGAAAGGAGGTCAGAAATGTATTGGAGAGCACCGCGAGAGAGCATACAATGGACAAAGTCGAGCAAGACGCATCTGGGGACAGGGCTTGCGGCCAATGCCCTGTGGCTTCGACCTCAGAAGCCTTTGCTGCCTCTCTTTGCACGTCGGTCGGGACGAACAGATTAGAGTCTGTCGCGCTTGTATTTGCGCTCGAATTCTTGGTTGACCGTCATCATCTTGGTCTGAGTGCCGGGCTGAACATTCTACGAGGAGGACAGAGCCGAAGCGTTGGGTCAGCGTTGAAAGATCAAGAGGGCAGACTCGATACAGTATCGACTCACGTTCCAAGGGGTGGGGTTGTTCTGAGCGCGACGAAGCGCAAGCAGGGTCAGTAAAGGTCATTGAGGAGAAGCAGTTTGACTCGACTAGTGGTCTCCTGATGTGGTTCCATCGCTCCTGTCTATCCGCGCCGGCCCTTGCCAACGCGTGGCGCCACACTGTCCCACGGCCTGAGAGACGTGACAGCATTGGCAGACCCTAGTCACGCTCCAGCACACCATGGTGATGATCACAGCCCACATGCGAGAGACATCATGGAGGTCAGTCCCCAAAGACTCACCTTGCGGTCCCAAATGACATCCGGACCACGTGCCAGCCTGGTGACGTACCAAGCAGCGCCTCCAGCAGCGACTGCAGTGACGAAGACGACTGGGAGCACCTCTGGAGAGTACCTGTTAGTCGAACAAAAGATCAAGAATGGACAAGGAGGATTGTCAGCAAGGGAGAGGAGATGCGCTGAGGAGCGTCGGACGCCTTGCGCGAGCGTTTCGCATAGGTGTGGCAACAGCTTGATTGACCTACGCAGACCCGGCTGGCCTGCTTATGTCAAGCTCAGGTGCGATCCCGCGTTGCTGCAGCAGAGGAGGCTTGGAGACAAAGCCTGTATCGAATGCGCTCCCCATGACCAAGGTCTAGCCACCGAGAGGGACGACTCGCAGTGCGTGTGGGGCCTCGACGCGAAGCCGGTGCAGGCACACTTGCAACACCATCCCCCATCGTCACTCCCTTTCCCTAACTTTTGCGCAAAGCTCTGCGTCTATCTCCTTCTCCTTGACACCATCTCAGCTCGCAGCACCATCCCATGGGCATCGAGCTTGGGCGCCCGACAAAGGTATGGAAGAGTAAACGCACCAGTTCTTCATGAAGAGAGATCTCGCCTTGCTAGCCATGCTGGGCAACAATTCCGCGCGGTTGTTGGAATGTCAAGTGATTGTCGAAGTGTAAGTTGTAATGTTGGGCAACTTCGATTGACTGCTCGATGAGTTGCGGAAGAATGTGCTGCGAAGTGATCAAGGTGATGATGGTGATGGAGGTAACGCGTGCAAGCCCTCGCATCATCAGCCTTGAATCGCGCCCGCTGCTCAAACCTTCTGGTCCAGTCTCCCTGCACCGAAATCGCGAGTCCATTCATTCAACATTCACTATTTCAAATGCTGGTCTATGCCCTCAACTAATAAAAGTTCGAACGGGCTTTAAGCGCCAGCGCGGGGTTATGAGGCATTTTTTGATTCCTTATAATCAAAATCGAGCTCTACGCTTGAGATCTTGGACCACGCTCAATGGACACAGTCAGTCTGAGTGCTCAGGCGCATCACGGGCTTTCTTTCGAATCCATATGGAGCCCTGCTGCCCGTCAGCGCTTGTGCGTGCGTGCGTGCGCTCGCTTCGGCTTTGCTTCTCACAAACAAAAATGCGCACGAGCTCGTTGGCCGGTCGGGCAGGAGCGAGCGCTAGGCGCGACAGGAGAGGCGGATTGGGCCGGGCGCACCGCGCGTAGCATGGTAGAGATGTTCGAGACGATTCTGGAAATCATGATGCCCAACACGCGCGTGTGCGCGCGTCTTGCCGTCTGATGATGTTTAAGTGATCGCGAGAGGCGAGAGGCGCGACGCGTCGCTGCGATGTTGAACTCACGATTGAGCATTCAGTCAGTCAGATCGAGTGCATCTGATGCTTTTCGACGGCTGGCGATCAGCCTCGAGACCTGTTCGCGACAATTTCCGAGCTGAGCGTTCTTGGCCTGCTCTCCACCACATATACGGCAAAAGGTCGACAAGCCATTCTTCACACTCATCGCGACTCAAGATTCTGTTTCGAGCGGAGAAACATTCAGCTGACGAGTGTAGCTGAGCAGAGGCGTTGCAGGCAACAGGTTCACTTCGACACGCACCATCTGGCTCAGAAGCGAACAGAATGAGCGGTGCGTCTTGCGAATCGGATCCGCATACTTCTCTTTTACGCATCACGAATGCAACCTGACACAGCCCGTCCCTGATCCCTCTCAGGCTTTGGCGGCGGGAACCCGTACGGGGCAAATTATCAGACGGGCGGTGGTGGCGGAGGAGGCGGCTTCATGGCTGGCAGTCAAGGTGACAGTCCGAGCACAAAGGTGTGTTGAGTTTTCGCACCCGCATCGCGCGTCGATACGATGCTGAAGCTCTACGTGTGCCCCTTGTGCACCGACAGAAAAGTGGTGCCAACAGTCTGCGCCCAGTGACTATTCGACAAGTGCTCAATGCTGAGCAGTCTCACATGGATGCAGACTTTCTCGTTGATGGAGTGGAAGTTGGTCAGGTGAGCATCGTAAAGGCTGCTCTCGTTATACATGAACTTCTCTCAAAACTCGGTGGACATGCTTGCTGATCGACATCGTATCGTCTGCATTTGCCATCCTAAACAGCTCACATTTGTCGGCGTGATTCGTAAAGTGGCCGCCTTTCCGACCAATGTCTCTTACGACATCGAAGATGGCACGGGCGCTATCGAAGTGCGTCAATGGCTCGAAGGGAGTGACGAATCGGAAAACAAATCAAATGATATTCGAGAAAACGTTTACGTGAGGGTGTTGGGTACGATCAAGACGTTCCAGAACAAGAGAAGCATCAGCGCAGGGCACATCCGACCGATCACGAACTTCAACGAGGTGCTGTTTCACAAATTGGAAGCCATCTATGTACATCTTCAATCCGTGCGCAGCACGGGTGCTGGAGGCGCTATAAAGTCGAACGGAGCTGGAAATACGGAGGCAAGTGGCGTCAATGAGGACAAATACACGCACATTGGAGATCCCTTGCAGAGGAAAATCTTTGCCCACGTTCGAGAATTGTCCACTTTGGAAGAGGGCAGTGGTGTAGCTATCACTACAGTAGCTAGGCGTATCAAGGCTTACAGCGAGGAGCAGGTGCGGTGAGTCAACGTGGGGACGATAGACGTTTGGTCTCTCACGCCAATTCTGACTGTGGTCTGTGCCCCACCCAACGATCTAATTTCAGCGAGGCAGTCGACACCCTCGTCCTGGACGGCTACCTCTACACTGCTGAAGACGACGAGCACGTCCTTGCAACGTAATCGTAATACGATCGCCCTGACGAGCCAAGCGTCTCAGCTTGTACAAGTACTTTCTCTGGCCATGTCCTGTGCAAAATTGTTCTGCAACATGAAGCGGTGCGCGGCCTCCTAGTGCAGGAGCAGTGCAAGAGCGCGGGCGTGCGCGCGCGCGCAAAACATGGTAACCATCGCATCGCATTTCGTGCATCTACATTTTCAAGCTCTGACCAAGCTCAGGGTAAATTTGTCGTCACCAATCTCTTGTTCCTCCTCCGTGATGAGCTCCGCGTTCGGAGCTCGCTGTTCGACACCCATGGGCACTCTTCGAATGACCTTTTGGAACATTTCTTTTTGCTCCTCGAAGGCTTCTTTCAGAGCGGCTCCCACGCCCTCGGTAAAGCTGTAAAAGGCGTCGATCTCATCCGTCGGCTGCAGTCCAGCTTTTTTCCGGAGTCGTTGGATGCGGTTGACGAGTTCTCTAGCGTTGAATTCGGAGACTAGGGCGGGGCGGGCTTCGATGTCGAGCAAGACGACAGCTTCTCCGTCTCCATTGTGGTCCCATTTGCCACTCCTGCCTTCCAGATCGACATAGCGCAATACCTTGAGGTCGCCTTCAACAAGATCCACACCAGCCACGCTCAGCGTCTTCTTTTCCAAGTACTCTTTTGCTTGATCGGATGTGACTTCTTCCAGCCCCTTCTTTACTTTGCCCATGTCCTTTCTCAATTTGCGACCGAGGACTGGCCAGTCTGCTACCAGCTTGTACCTGACCCCACAAGCGGTCTCGTCGCTCGTGAATGTCAGGTCTCTGACGTTGAGCTCCTCGGATATGTAAGAGGAGAGACTTTCCGCATCCTTCAAGAAGCCGGCATCGGCGTGGAAGACGACCAATTCTTGCAAGGGCGACCGGAGCGGTATAGTATTGCGTTCTCTGACTGTGCGCGTCAGCTCGATGACGGTTTGCAGCGCAGCGAATCTCCTCTGAATGATGGGGTCCAAGTAGAGGGAATTGACTTCGGGAAAGGGCAGAAAGTGCACAGAGCGATAGTCTTGTTTGTCAGAGGCAGGGGCCGCAGGCAGGAAAGGACGCAGGCCTTGGTAGATGGTCTCTGTCAAGAAAGGCGTAAAGGAAGACTAGGGCGCGACGCATTCGGCACGTCAGCTCATGAGCCAGTCACACTCAAAATGCAACAGCAGAACTCACCATGGTGCGACACAGAGTATACAGCGTCTCGAAGAGGGAGTTGAGAGCAGCGTAGGTGTCGTCCACTCCATTCACACCCTTCAACCTCTGTCGATTGAAACGGATGTACCAATTCGTCAACTCGTCGATCAGATTAAGCAATCGGGGCATGACAGTATAGAGTCGGTACCCTGCGAACCAGCGCATCAGAAGGGGACGGCGTCAGGACTTGGTTTGGAAGCGGTGTCAAGGGCAACAGGTACGGCACACAGCCGTGCTCACCATCCATCTCATCTCTGACCCATTGAATGAGACTCTGGCACCTAGCCAAAATCCACCTGTCAAACACGTTCTCGCTCTTGGGTGCGTTGACATCGTATTTGAAGTCCTTGCCAGTCAACTTTTTGAGGAGGGCAACTTGGCCGAGGAAGAATCTGAAGCTGTTGAGCCAAGGAAGGAAAGCCATTGCGAGAACGTCCTTGACTCCCTCTTCTCGGAACTTCAAGTTCTCGCCACGAACCACGGGTGAGTTGACCAAATACAGCCTGACCGCGTCGGCTCCATACTTGTCGAACATGAGTGTTGGGTCAGGGTAGTTCCTGGCACTCTTGCTCATTTTCTTGCCATCACCTGCGAGGACAAGACCAGTGACAATGAGGTTCTTCCAGGGAGACTTGTCGAATAAATGCGTGCCCAGAATCAGCAGGGTGTAGAACCATCCTCGCGTTTGGTCCAGACCTTCACAGATAAAGTCGCCGGGGAAACCCGTCTCGAAGGTGTCCTTGTTCTCGAAGGGGTAGTGACCCTGTGCGTACGGCATGCTTCCAGACTCGAACCAGCAGTCAAAGACTTCTTCCACGCGCTTCAGATCTCCTTTGCCCTGTTTAGAAGGGATAGTGATGCCATCAATGCTTTCTCTGTGCAAATCTTGGATATCGCTTCGACCAGAAAGCTTCTCCAGCTCTTCGACCGACTTGACGCAAACGATCTCTTCCATGTCATCGCTCGCCCATAGTGGAATGGGCGTGCCCCAGTATCGGTTACGCGAAACGTTCCAGTCCCGCGCGTTGGCGAGCCAGTGATCGAAACGACTCTCCTTGACCCACGTTGGCACCCTGAGCAGCAAGCATCGAAGGAGGGAAGCAAGTCAGCTTTCGCGCCCACGTGATCCTGCAGCACGGCCAGCACGCAACTTACCAGTGAGTTCCGGCATTGTGCCTTTGCAGTCGATCCTGAATTTCTTCGACTCTGATGAACCAAGCGGGAATAGCGCGGTAAATGAGGGGAGATTTTGATCTCCAGCAGTACGGATAAGAGTGTCTGAGGGTGCTCTGCACAATCATCCTTCCGGATGCTTTGAGATCTTTTTGAATCTGCTTGTCGGCTTCTTTGACGTTGATGCCTTTGTAATCAGCTACCTCGGCGGTAAAGCGACCACTCTCGTCCAACGGGCAAGGTGGAGGCACCTCCCTCGTGACAATGCCGTTTGCTATCGCAATGCGGTAATCGTCATCACCAAAGGCGGGAGCTTGCTGAACGATACCGGTGCCGGCATCGGCAGTGACGTAAGTGTCCGAAACCACGCGGAAAGCTGTTTCTTTATACTGAACGGGCGAGCATGCCGATCGCAACATGGCGTAAGCACGGATGTGATGTACTTGAGGCGGGGTACGAGCCAGCTCACCTTCTCGTAGAAGTATGGAAACACGGGCTCAAACTTCCATCCCACCATTTCCGAACCTTTTGCCTTGGCGACTTTTGAGAACTTGGCCTTCTTGGGATCCTTGTACAGCGTGGTCAGGAGCTTTTCCAAGATCCAAAAGTTCATCTTTCTCTCTTCGTCGTAGATTTTGATGTACTCAAGATCGGGATGTACGCACAAGCCCAAGTTCGAAGGCAAGGTCCAAGGTGTGGTTGTCCAGGCCAAGAGAGCGGTGGTGGGATCGTCAACAAGGGGAAAGCTGATGGTGACGGCAGGATCTTGGACATCGCGGTAGTCCAAGCCCGCCTCAAAGTTGGACAAAGGGGTGGTGCAGCCCATGGAATACGGCATGACCTTCAATCCCCTGTAAACCAGACCCTTTTGGTAGAGCTGACCAAAGACCCACCAAACCGATTCCATGAAGGTCTTGTCCAGGGTCTTGTAACCTCCATCAAAGTCGATCCACCTTCCCATCCTCTCCACTGTCGTCTTCCACTCTGCTTGGTAACGCATGACGATGGCTCTGCATTCGGCATTGTACTTGTCGATGCCCATCTTCATGACATCTTCCTTGCCTGTGATGCCAAGCTTCTTGTCAATCTCGTGCTCTACCGGCAGACCATGGCAATCCCACCCGAATCGTCGCTCCACATGGTGTCCCGTGGAATGAGCGTGCCGTGTGACAATATCCTTGATGGTACCTGCTAGCAAGTGTCCATAGTGAGGCAGACCGGTGGCGAATGGTGGACCATCAAAGAAGGTGAAGAGAGGCTTGCCTTCAGATTGCCTCAGCGAAGTCTTGAAAGCATCGATGGATCTCCAGTGAGTCAGAACCTGCTTCTCTTGTTCTGGAAATTTGAAAGGCGCCGCAGCGTCGTGAGGTGGAAAGTTATCCGCCGTGGCCATGGCGCGAATGTATGCGTGGCAGTGGAGCTCGTCGCTACGAATGGACCTTGGCTCTACGCTGAGTTGCGAGGGTCAGGATGGTGGGACAATCAAGATTGTGCCTGGGCAGTGCTGACTCGATCGGATGTGCGGTAGGCGCAGAGCTCAGAATTCTCTGGCGAGCGCTTCAGGAGCAGCTTATACGTGGCTGTCAATCCGTCTCGAGTGTCGGTGGTGAGATCCCAGTACTAGCTGTTCGTGAGTGACTCGACGGAGGCTTTGCATCGAAGAGAAAGTTCGAGGTCCTACAGAACTCGATGAGAAAGAAGCTCGATCAAGTTTTCGCGACAACCAACTCGTGACTCGTGACTCGTGACTCGTGACTCAACTGTGACTCATGACTCAAGACTCAAACTGTGACTCAAGACTCGAAAGACTGCCATGCGCCATTCACGATTTTTGAATCTTGAATGTTGAATGTTGAATAAAGGTTTGCCTTCTCGCGCGCATCATGCCAAGTCACGAGATCAATTTGAGGTTTTGGCAAAGTTCGAGAATGATCGGTGAACGCAGGATCGTAGCGGTTCCCATGCATACACCGGCAAAACGTGCCTGCCGTTTGCGGTGCAGAGAGCGTGCGCCGCAATCTTGAATCTTGAATTCAAATTATACATAAGTGGACCCGAAGTCAAATTTATGAACCAAAATTTTGAACTCAAGACTGTGAATGATCACGACTCGCCTGGATCCGCATTCGTCGAACCCTGAATTTTAGAAGCGTTGTGGCAATAGAACTCACAATTCAAGGTTGTGGGTCGAGAATACAAGTTCGCAGGCGACCGCAATTTGAATTGGCTTCGCGATGGGTAGAAAGGCTCTGCATGCATGCATATGTATATGCTGATTCAAGATTGCTTTGGCTGCCACTTGACTTGCATGTCAAGCATTCTCTGATTTTCATGCACCGTACAGCAAATCACTTCGCTCGAACCTTGTACATTCGTGATTCTTCATTCAATTCGCGACCGTGCGGTCTTATTTGAGTGGCTCGCACGCACGTTGCACGAACTGAGCGTGCTCTCTGCTGTGTGGACAATTGAACGTGGATGTGGGGCGGCGAAGCCAGTCGCGAGTCGCAGTTGAGTCACGAGTTGAATATGGTGGCGATCTGAAGCTTGCTGCCGGCTCTATAGCTGTTGGCCACGCTCACAGCAGATGCACCGGACACCAGCAGTCGCTAAGCGATAGGCGCGGCGACGTGCGTCTGGCACTCAGACTCATCACGAGCACCGCGTGCCGCGCAGCATCTGCGCGGTGGGGACTCAAGACTGTGACTGCTGTGACTGTAGCACATCGTGCGTGCGCGCGCTGCTGATGCCAATGATGGGCTTTCGCTCGCGGCGTGCCTGTGAGGAAGTTCTAGGCACGCACGCAGGCGCACGCTGAATTGGTTCGTGACTGTGTGACTGGCTCCTTTTGACATAGGCTGCACCCCGCAGCCAGCATCGGCTTTCTTCCTGATCACCACCATCTCCTCTAGCGCCTCTGGGCAGTCGCTCGGGTCAGATGGCTTCGATGACGCTCGGACTTGTCACAAGCGACTAGGCAAGGCAATATTTCAAATCCTCGTCACTTGGTAATACTGCGTCCCGTCAACACCAAGCATTCGCATCGGCACCGTCGCCGACCTCCCTCCAGATCACGCCCCAAGAGGGTGGTCGTGCTACATAGAAGGACGTGAGCTGTAAACAGCAGCCGAGACGTAGCGCGCGCGCGCTCTGGTCCTCTCTACACATCTCTTTCTTCCGCCATTCTCCTCATCGGAGCTCAGCCGCTGAGATTCGAGCGCTTCTGTGCTAATTCGCTCGAATGCCACACAAATCTGTTTGAGCTCGGGCTCATCAGTCCCTTCCTCAAGGCTAGCGACCGGCGATCCGAGCGACTCCTAGCCCTTCTCAAGGATTGGTCAGTCTCGCATCGCCTCAACTTTCGCGCCTTCACACGCGTGATTGTTCGTCAACGCAGTGCACCTAATCTGCCCACTTCTTTTTGTCCGTTGCATAGCCGCCATGGAGGACATAGCTACCGACGATGACCTGCTGTCCGACATCTTGCTTGAGTGAGTCTACTTGCCTGATCCCCTCAGATGGCGACGCAAGTCAATGCTGATGAACGTACCCTCACTACAACCCGACAGTGGCCTCGAATTTGCGCCACCTATCTCGACGCACAAGATGAATCAGACCTACAGGTCCCCTCGTTACGAGACAAGCTACATACTCGCGCTGCTCAAGCAGCGCGTGATCCTCGAGGCCGACATCAATGCGGCCTTGGAGGAGCTCAGCAGGTACGTAAACGCACTTTAAAGGAGACGCTCGGTATCCTCAGGTCCGCCGGTCAAAGGTCTTGACACATAGTTTTGGGCGCAACCAGAGGCTGATAACACTGGCGTCCGTATGCCCCCGACAGGCTGCCCACCATTCAGCGGCATCTAGCAAAGAAGACTGAGCGTCAGGCTCAAGCGTTCTATGCGTAAGTGCTATCTGCTGATTCAGCCGATGTCTCTGCTCGCGGCGCTCATGCGCTCAACCCACTCCAGGCACGCGAGACGATACTTGGAGGCGTACCTACCGGACACTGGCTATGAGTTTGCCCTAACCGCCAGGTACAGGCGCCAGCATCCCAGACGCTCCAGCATTGCTTCAACCAGCAAAGCTGGACCATCAGTGTTCAGCCCCGACGCAGTTTCCGGCGCCGATGGGTCGAGCAACGGCCGCAAAGCTCGCGGTCGGCCACCAGCAAATGGCGAGATGAATGGCGTGCAACCGCCTGGGCACCCGCGGGCTGACCTGTGCGTGGTTGCGGTACGCCCTTACAGAGCAGGTGACATCGTCCTGTGCAAAGGCGGGTTGAAAGACCTTACCAAGGACGAGGATGTAGCACTGCGCGAAGAGGCGGCTGCTAGTCGGGAATCGAGAAGCACCTCCAAGGCCTACAATGGAGTCCTTGGTCCTGGTCGAGATTTTTCCATCATCAGGAGCGCTCGAAAAGGCTGCAGTCAGCTTTTGCTGGGGCCGGCAAGATTCGTCAATGTGAGTGCAGATAGGCGCGCGGCGCTGTCCTCGATGGCTTCGGCAATTCAGGCCGCTTATGCTGCCCATTTCGCCTCGCGTCACCCCGCAGCACGACTGCAACGCGAACACCGAATTTTACCGCTTAGGTCAAACCCAAATAGCTTTCAAAGCACTGAGAGCTATCGCAGTGAACGAGGAGGTGACCACGTACTACGGCGACAACTACTTCGAATGGGGCAACGCGGAGTGCATGTGTGCGACTTGCGAGGAGCAGGGCAAGGGAGCGTTTGCACCTGATCCCCAAGCAGCTGGCGTGGGAGCTGTAAATGGTGTTGATCGGACTTCAGCGGATGTCGATCTTGCCAGCGCAAATCCATCAGCCTTGACCAAGGAGCGTTCACCACCAGAAGAGGACGCGACGCCGAACGCCCGTCGGTCACGAAGGCGCATCTCCATTCGCAAGCCTTTCACTCCAGACGAACACTCGCCTTCTCCTACACCCGCGCCAATTCAGGCCAGCGACAATTCGTCGTCTTCCTCGCTCGACTCGGCTCGAGCACGCAACTATCATCCCTCGGATCGGGAGGATTCAAGGCTGTTAGATGCAAAGCCCGCGCTAGGAGAGCACTTGACCTGCCTCACCTGTGGTGCTCAATTCTGGGCCCCAGAGACATGGTGGAAGCCTGACGAGTGTCGGCGCTGTGAGAGGCATTACCGAATTTTCAAAGCGGACTGGCCTTCTCGCAAGCCGAGGGAACCAAACTTTGGAGGGCTGGCCGAGTTGCGCGCGTACCCTGGTCGGCCCTCCATGAAGGGTCGTCAAAAGAGAGGCGCTGCGGAGGGCGACCCAGATTTTGACGAGCCCGCCATCAGTCCAGCGTCGTTTCGACGCGAACCTCGAGTCCTCACTCAGCAAGGCCGACCTGCGAAACGGCGAGCTGTCGCCACAAATTCTCCCGCAGAAGACACCTCTTCGACGTCCACTCCGGTCAAGCTCAGCCCTCTCAGAGATCCAGTCCCGGCCTCTTCAAATCTGTCATCACCGCCTGCCGCCTCTTCGAGCTCAGATCACATTAAGAGGAAAAAGGCGCGAGCCATTGGGGTAAAGACAGACATTGCAGATGAAGGGACGCAAACTGACGAGGATGCAATCGACCGCGCGCTGACGACGCAGACGTCGATCCCGCGAGACCGGCCAGCGATCAAGCCTGTGGGTGATTCTGATTCAGAGCTGTCGGACCCCTCAACCGGTCATGGAGTTGACGAGGATGCGCGGCAGCGCCAAGGTTCGCAGAGCGCACCACACGGAAAGTCGCATCGCAAGCGCGAGCTCGAGGTGTCCGATTCGGACAGCGACTTACCTTCAGCGCCTAAGATGTTGGGTCCTCAGGCTCGGACAGAGGCGCTTGCGATGTTTTGGGGAGCAGAGCCAGGTGGTCGACGCGCTCGCAAGCCAGCACCGAAAGGGCCCGAGAATCTTGCCGCGTCCGTGCGACGGAATAGCGGGAGCACGAGTAGGGACAAAGTTCCCAGTGTCTCTTCTCTTTCAGGCCGGGGTCACAAGCGGAGCGGTAGTGGTACCTCAGTGCAGACTCGCCGATCTCTCGAATCTCCGCACCACCCATCGCCTGACAAGGACGATGAAGACGTGCAGTCTAAGCGCAGTGGACGGAAGATGCGCATAGCTTCATCGGCCTCTGCTGAGGAGGACCCTCAACTGACTGCACCGACGTCGGCGCGGACGTCGGAGCAAGCCGAACTGCCCCAGCGCCGCGAGAGCGATGTGGAGGAGCCGATTGGGACCTCTACGGGGAGCGAGCATGTCGCCGGAGTCGCTTCATCAGAGGCGAGTACTGAGTCGCTGGACTCTAACGGGATGAGGGTAGGTCTTGCCACATCTGGCACTGCGCGCACATCGATCAAGAACCTTGCCCTCTTTTGGTCGGCTGGAGTAGAGGAGGGTGGGAGCAGGCTTCGTCGGAGGACGCAGAAGGAACCTGCAGCTTTGACGCCTCCTCAAGAGCGCGCAATCAAGAAGACCAGGAGTTCCGCAAGTTTGACTGGCTCGAGAGGAAAGAATGGCTCACCCACTTCCAGCGAGTCTGAGGGTCGCAGCGCTACGCCCGATAACAGGGTCTCGAGAGTGAGCAACACTTCTGTCCGGTTGCCCAGTGCTCGCCCTTCTTATGGGGATGGCAATTTGGGCCACGGGGGACAGGTTTCGCAGCCTGGGAGTCGCGCAAGCTCACACCACAGAGGCGCTCCGCCCAATGGGTTGGAAGACCTTTCTCCGGCGAACAGCAGCATGGGCTCGCGCAGTGCAGGTCCGTCTAGCAGCGTGGGTTGGCCCTCAGCTTCGCATGCTACTGGCAGCGCCCCCAGAACTGCAACAGCGGGTGTCACAACTCCTCTACCTCCAACGTTGATTGGGCGAGCGCCTCAAACTTCTCCTTTGGCAGGCCCGCATCCGAAGCTTGGCCCAGGTCGACCATTGCAGCCTGGACAGCCGATGCGGAAGAATCTGCGGTGGGGCTCTGGAAAAGCATCAGCGAGTCGACCTTTGCCTTCCGTGCAAGCCGCCTCATCCACAAGTCCTGCTCCTGGTCTTTCTAGATCGTCGGACGCTAATTTGCGCCCGGTGCACGAGGAAGCGAGGCCGGACTTGCCCAAGGCTGGCTCAGTAGGCACGAATGGCGCGAGTAGCAAAGCGCCAGCTTCGACAGCACCTTTGGGGAGCAGTATGCAGGCGCAGCAGGGATCGCTCGTCAGCACAACGCATGGTAACGTTCCGATCAAGCAGGGCTCGCCCGCGCTACCGAGCGCAGTGCCTTGGTCAACCTCTATGAAGGGCACGTTTGGGCAGCCACATGCTGCCATCAAATCAGAAGATGTGGAGCTATCAGATGATCATTTGGGCATGAGCGGAGCAGCTGCACCCTCAACATTAGCCACTGTCCAGCCTCACGATCGCGACGCGGTCGATGCCGGTCGGCAATGAGACATGGGATTAGAATCCGTTCGATGCGCCTGATGAGTCGGCTATGCAGGCGAGCGTACGTCAACATCTCATGACGAAATTTGCAAGACGACCTCTTATATAACCACAAAGCCAGCTAGCTGAATTTTTGTGTCTTTTCAAACGTGATGTTGACTCATCGAATTGTGTCGACAGCATGGGTAACAAGTAAATCATGGATGCGTGACCAGACAAGTATGCAAAGCGTATGAGGATGCTGAAGGAAGTGGTCTGATCGCCAGTCGCATCAACGCCCCCCATAACCGTTGGGCACGCGTTTCTTCTGCGAAGTGGAGCTGACCGTCTTCTTGCCAGCTTTCTTGTCTCGGCGTTCTGTGATATGAAGACAAGGCGCGATGTTCAGTCGAGGATGCGATGCACCGTATTGCCACAAACAACGCATCGGGCAAGATGGCACTCTTTGAACTCACTCTGCGCTCGCATTTCTTTCTTTTGCCTCCTATCGACCAATCTGTAACGGCCCTTGACGCCTTTGGGTCGGCCTTTGAGACCCCTATTCGGACCTCTGGCAACGACGGTGGTGATTTGTCTTTTCTTTGTAGGTTTATTAGCCTTGCTGAGCACCTTTTCAATGTCCTTGGCCTTCTCTCGTTCAGAAACGTCGACGGTATCGTTCAAGTTGTCGGCCTTCTTCCTCGCCTTCTCCAGCCTTTGGGCAGCCTTGAACTTTTTGCGCGCTTTCGCTTCCGCAATCTTCTTGATTGGTCGGGCATCTAGCGCTCGTTGACGAGCCCGCAGAGCGGCCATGGCTTCCTTGGTGATTGGCACGTTGGCCTTGTAGTGCTTTCCTTCATCCTCCAAGAACCACGCTGGCAGATCTGCAGTCTTCTCGGCAAAATTGTGCTTGGAGAAGCCCATGTCTATCAAATCCGACTTGGTCTTTTCACGATTCACCAACTGCTGAGCCAGCGTCATGGCCTCGGCGGTGGTCAGGCCTTTCCCTGTGTGTGCAATCAAACGCGTCCAGTCAGCTGTCGGCTCTGCTACCTGCCTCTGTCTCTCTGACCAACCCGCTGCCTTGCACTCACGTTCGATCAGCTTTCGCTTCACTTCATCTTGATCCTCATCGCCATGACGCCATTCTCCTTCGAAGTCGTCCATGTCTTCGTCGGCCACGTTGCGAGGCACTACTTCGACATCAGAATCCATCTCTTCATCTCCATCACCACCCTCGTCTTCTTCTTCGCTGCTATCATCTCCTTCTTGCGTGCTGCCCTCCTCCTCCTCTTCATCCTCGTCATCATTATTGTCATCGCCGGCTCCAAAGTCCAGACCATTGACTCCTTTGAACAGAGGATTGTCGAACCATATGGCGGCCTGTCTGCTTTGCCTTGCCTGTCGGTCCGTCCCTTTTTCCAAGGTTGTAATTAGGTTGCCAGTCTCAATTTCCTCATCATCCGAGTCTTGCTCCTGCGCCTTGGCTTTCCTTTTCAAAGCATTGTTGGGCTCTCGACTTCCATTTGAGGCTGCAAGCACTGCCTTGCGGTGCTCCAAATCTTCAAGATCAGACTCCTCATCGTCGGTGTTGTAAGTTTCTTCCTTCAATTTGCGCCTCGTGACCAAGTCATAGCCGCCCTCGCTCTCTTCTTCTTCGCTGTCATCGGCTTGCCCTTCCTGCGCAGGCTCGCTGAACCCACTCCACTCCTCTCTATTTTGATTGGCTTTCCGCGCTTCGCGTGCTCTCCACTTCGCGTCCCGTTCCGCCACCCTCTCCTTGTACGCATCATACGCGGCATCCAGTCCTCCCTGCAGCCTGTCCAGTCTTTCCAGCTCATTTTCGGACTCGTCATCCTCTTCCGACTGGGATTCCCCTTCAGAGCTGTCGTCAGAAGCGAGGGATTGCCTTCTGTGAGTCAGGTCAAAGACATCCTCTGTGCCTCCCTGCAAGGTCTCATCAGTGATCTCCTGACCAATGTCCATAGGAGTGTTCATGTGAAGCTGCATCTTGAGGACTTTTCTCGCTCTAGCTTCATTCCGCTTCCTTCTCTCCTTCCTCAAAGCTTTGTTGCGCTCTTCATTGAGCCTCTCTAATTCTTCCCCGATCTCTTGATCTGAGTCCACAGACTCCTTCGACTCCCCTTCAACCACCTCGACTGTGCTTTCTCCGGGTTTCTTGACGGGTGCTTCCAGACCCAAATGCTCACGCATGGCGATGCGCCACCTGAGCAGATTCCTAAAGTCGCCTTTGCCGAGCACCTTGAGATCTGCACAGCATGCTTTGATGTCCTCTGTGGTCTTCTCGTGTGCCAACAGTCTGATATTATTGCAGATGCATTGAATCAGCAAGAGAAATTTGCGTCGATTGCATCATGGACAGCGGGGCGACTTACTCCTTATCTGCGGCGTCCTTAAAGGTGATCTCATTGTTTGCGCCAAGCCCATCAATTGCGTGAGGTCCTTCCACCCACTTCCGGGCCGGGAGAGCGGAGTACAGAATATGCACGCCGTCCTCATATCCTTCCCTCTTCCTCCTCTGTTTCTCGGGCTGAAGCACGTTGATCTGCGCGCTGGCACCCTTTTCCCCTTTGAGCGGCAGGAAGGGTGTGGAACCTTCGGCTTGTCCGTCTTGAGCAGCTGCTACAGCGTCGACATCCCTCAAAGCGGCCGGATCCAAATCTTTGAAGACATGTTTCGGATCCAGGAAGCGGGGATCGACCCTCTTGGGAGCCTTGTACTCCGTGCATACCACGAAAATTTCAGCAGATACGTTTCGACTAGAGGGCGGCTTGGTTGCTTCCACTGAGCCAAACAGCTGATTGAAGACCCAGAGAAGATTGTTGTAATCTTTGGATCGGAAGACCTTGGTCACGAACGATCCACCAGGAGCGAGGAATTCGACTGCAAGACGCAATGAGGCAAGCACGAGCTCGGCTTGCTGATATGCATCTTGCACCCAAGCTGTACCAACATTTGGAGCACCATCATGCAAAACGCTATCGAAACGTGGGATGAGCGTCAGCGTTGTCCTCCAAAGACAGCTTTCTACGTGTGCTGATGCATCTGAGACTTACATATCAGCTTTCCAGTCCTTCAGCTCGTTCCGCAGCTGATCCCGGCATCTGAAGCTGTTGATATCCTCGGCAAAAGTGACGCATCTAGGAATTGGCTTGATCGGTACCAAGTCCACACCGACGATCAAGCTGTTGGGTGGCATATACTTGCTCGCCACTTGCAGCCAACCACCAGGTGCAGCACAAAGATCGATGCAGCATCGGGCTCCCTCCAAAAAGTTGAACTTCTTGTTCAGTTGTACCAGCTTGAACGCAGCTCGAGATCGGAAACCTTGCTCTTTGGCAAGCCAATAGAACTTGTCCAGACGACTACAAATCGGGCAGGCGGCGTTAGTCACCTTGCAGAAGTGAATCACTTCGGCTGCTTGCTGTCAGCTCTTGAGCCGCACTACTTACCCCTTGGCCGTCTTCTTTTCGTGCTTCTTACCCATCCTGGCGTGGTGTTGCTTTGCGAGAGGAGGTTCAGTCCTTGTGAAATTTCCAGCACAAGATCAGGCGGTAGCAGAGGGAGCTTGACAGGTGGCAACAATTGACTTGCTCTCGTGGACTAGCAGTCAACTCAGAGCAAGGGGATCAGGTAGTGTACCGCAGCCGAGATGATGGCTTTGGGTTTTGCGGTCAGAGCCAAGCCAGTCACCAGATTCCGTTGGGGACGGTGAGGTGTAGTTGCCTAGATGGGTAAGCGTGTAGGAGTGTGGCCTTGAACGCGGGCGAATCGCGACAGAGCCTCCCGTCGACACTGAACGACTTGGGAGACGTCGTCTGCTAGAAGAGGATGATTGATGACCAAAGGGGCTCATTGCGACTCATCTGAATCACCAAATGTATCTGCAGTCTGAGTCTTGAGTGAATTGTCGTCTAGTTGCTATGCTGTATGACCGCTCTGGAGGCGTGCTGTGCCTGCGTCAAACAAAATTTGCCCAGCCTGACAGCTCTCGTGCGAGAGATTGTGCGCGGGGCGCCACAGCCGCCGGCTCCCGCATGCATGTCATTCCGATCCAAGGGGCCGCTGCTGGTTCCTCCTGGCTGGATGTTTCGAGCTCACGAACTACATGTAGCGTGCTCCCGCTTCTCAACGCGAAGGGCGTTTACGTTCGCATTGAGTGGATGATCAGCCCTCAGCAAAACTTACATCGATCATCAGCTTGGCACTGCCCTGATCTGGCCAAGCCAAGGCGAGCGCACGCGACAAGCCTTCGGCTCGCGAGGTTTCCCCTTGCCTGGCGTCTTCCTCACACGGCAACACGATCAGCTGTCCATGAACGGCAAGTGTCCATCGTTCAACCCTACAGCACGCCACGCTTCGAGGATCCGAGAGCATGTCGGGCTCTACACCTCCCGCAACACCGCTTACGGGGCTTTCGGCCACGACAGCCGGCTCAGGGATATCTCGTCCAGGCACTCCGGCCACCATTCATAGCGCAGCTCAACGGGGAGATGTGGGACTGATTAAGCATTTGATACAGACTGGCAGAGCAAGCGCAAACGATCGAGATCAAGAAGGCATCACACCTTTGCATTGGGCTGCTATCAATGCGCATGTACCTTGTTGTGCGCTTCTGATAGAGAAGGGCGCAGAGGTGGACGCGTTGGGCGGTGACCTGGTCGCCAGTCCTTTGCAATGGGCAGCAAGGTGAGCATCTGTATCCTCATCACCTCGAATTGCCTGCACGCAGGAGAGTCGCTGATGTTCAGCGCTCGCGTACACCCAGAAATGGACACCTGAACGTCATTCATCTGCTGCTCAAATCGGGAGCCGATCCGACGATTGCAGATGCGCAGGGCTTCAACGCGTTACATTTGGTGACGCACAGCAGTGCGGTGATGCCTCTTCTATTGCTACTACAGCACAATGCATTCGCCGCGCCTTCGGCACTGGATATCTCCGACTCTCAAGGGCACACACCCTTGATGTGGGCAGCTTACCAAGGGGATGCATTATCCGTTGACCTCCTACTGGCTCATGGTGCGAATGTGCACGCCAAGGACGCTACAGGTCTCACGCCCATGCACTGGGCAGTAGTGAAGGGCAACAGACTTTGCATCAGAAAGTTGGCTGGAACTGGAAGCGACCTTTGGGCGAAGGAAGAAGGTGGAAAGACTCCAAGAGAAATGGCGGTGGAGCTAAAGAGCGAAGCTGCATACAGGAAAGCACTTGCCGATGTCGGTTTGTACGAGGATGGGAGAAGGAAGAGTAGAGTAGCGGGAGAGGTGAGTGAATCAAGGAATGCGAATGGCCAAGCTGGGCGCAAATGGCGGGGGTCTCTTGTCCGAAGGGACCATCGTGCCTGCCCTAATCGAGCGCTGCCATGCTAGCGAAGAGCTGCTCTTCCGATCTGACGCTTGCCTCCTTGTCGCTCCTCAGCGTTCCGCACGGATAGCAATTGTTTTGTTGCCATTCTTCTTCTTGGGCTTGATGTTCACAACATTAGGAGCCCTCCCCTGGTTCGTGGGAATGCCATTCGTAGCTGCCGAATTCTTCGGTATGCACCACGTCATTACGCGCGTCTTGCTCGATCCGCTGGAAGTAGACAGTTTGCAGCGCAGCACCTACTTCTTGGGCATTGTGGCGGGAAGTGTTGCATGGGTCGGATGGGAGTGGGCGCGTAAAGTGGTTCATGGTGAGTGTCACGAATGCCGTGTCTCTGCCCCTTTGCTTCCCCACTGTATCCTAAATTTGGCTCACGCACTCATAACGTCCTCTTCAGCTACTCCTGGCCACGCACTCGCCAATTTACTGTTTGCGATCGCCTTCCTGAGCTGTTCATGGAACCTCTTCAGAGCAGCCACGTTGGAAGCAGGTTTTGCGCCGCTGCCACAGACCGAGGCGGAACGCAGAGACGTCATCCTGCAGCTGGTAGACGAGGGAAAACTGAACGGAACGACATACTGCATCACTTGTCTTGTGAGTCTGGCTGTCAGGTATTGACATGTAACAACGATTTCAGGCAACGTGCTTACACCATCGCTGCCCGATTCCGCAGACGAGGAGGCCAATGCGGTCGAAACATTGCCGCTTGTGTAAGCGCTGCGTAGCGCGACACGATCATCACGTAAGTAAGCAGAGGGGAGTGACCATCTTGATGTCCCTAACATCAAGGCGACCTCTTCTTCGCCTGTCTGTGCCTCAGTGTCCTTGGGTGGCTTCAGTGAGTGCTATGACTGCCGTCGATATTTGGCGCTTTGTGCTGATCGTTCTCCTCCGGCAATGGCAGTGCGTTGGCATGAACAATCATCGTCAATTTATCGTCTTTGTTGGCTCTCTCGTCATCGGTATCCTGCTCTTCATCTATCTAGTCTATCACTGTGGGTACAAGCAGTGCTGCGAGCTCCCGCAAGGCTTTTCAAGTATCACTTACGCTTGCCGTCTCCCGCGCTTAGACTATGCTCTCAATGCGACGTACCCTTACGTGCCTTTGATCACTGCCTCATGTCTTCTCACGAATGACCTGTGCAGCGCAACAGACTACGACTCTTTCCTCTTTAGCGTCACTCTATGGGCTACTTTGCAGCTCACTTGGACCATTATCCTTCTCGTCGCCCAGACATGGCAGATTGCAAGACAGATGACCACCCTTGAAGTGTCAAATCTCGGCCGGTATGGCTGGATGGGAGGTAAAGGCGGTGTGAGTAGATCTTGATTGCGTCTGTTTCCATTTTGCATCGTAGCTTGGCCTGACTTTTTAGCTTCGACGTGCATACCAACAGAGCTCAATGACCTCTCAGACCAGCTTTATGGAAGCGAGGGCCGCAAGGCTTGCAGCACAAGGCATCTCGACCGACCAATCCGACACTACCGCAGACGATGACTTTGACGGCACCAGGCCTGGTTCAATAGGTCCCGGCAGCCCTAATATTGGTGCAAGGCATGGCCATTCCCACGGTCCTGTAGCTGCCTTGAAGGGCGCTGGCAACTGGCTGCTGTCAATCGTGGGCCTGGACCTCTATACTCGGGGCAAAGCTGGAGAAGGATTGAAGAAAGCCTCCGCAGCTGGAAACCCTTTTGATTTGGGACTGGTCGGTAATTGTCGAGGTGAGCTTCAATGTCTCTTCTATGCCACGAAAAAGGTCAATCCCATGATTGACGCCCGAGCTTGCCCTGGCACAGACTTTTGGACCACCGGCAGGGAACTCGGAGTCGATTACGCAACTCTGTACGAGATTCCGGTGGGTGGCTTCCAATCTTCCGCAAGGCGGCGGAGAAGGCGAAGAGTGCATACAATAGACGGACAAGAAATTGAATCAGGCTCAGACGATGAGGACAACGAGGCTTCCGAAAGCGGTGCTTTGGGAAGAAGCGTCAGTGCTGGCAGGAGGAGATGGAACATGTGGAGAAATTTGAACCTCAATTTGGGCAGCGCTGCGGGAATCGGAGCCTCTGGCAGTGCGAATGGGTATCAGCCTATACAGCAAGACAATCTTTCCGATAGACCCGCAGACCATGATGCTGCGAGCAGGATGGCTTAAAGCGGCGAAGCAAAGTCATCTGAAATAGCATTTTGAATATTCACGATCCAGCGTCTGGCGTTGGCGTGACACGTCCACACACCGCCCGTCGTGAATGAGATGCAGGATTTGGTGAGGCCGGGAGACCGGCTCCAGCTCTAATTTGAGCCGTAGCCAGAACGCTTCGAGAGATGCGAAAACCTCTTGAGTCGTGTCATGCATGTAAGGACTTGTGTTTCGATGGCCAAGAAAGGGATGGATGGATGGATGGATGGAAGGATGGTAAGACCAATGTCCCGTCCTCCACTCTCCTGTTGCGAGACCGCTCCTGAAGATCAATGCGAAAGGGTCTTGCACCCCAGTCACCCCGCAAGGACCGTCCTAGACCTCTTTGTAGGCGCAGCGACGCCTCTCGCTGGGGTTGAACCAGCTCCTGTTGAGTCAAATTTTGAGAGTGTGCCACCACTAGCGCACACATGCTTATGAAGTGGATCACTGGTGATCTCGAGGATACAGGAAGGGTGGCATACGTGGCTACATATACGCCGCATGCTGAGTAAATGATTCTAGCATGAGCATCAGGAGCGAAGCGAATGACTCGCTTCAGAACAGAAGATGAGCGTATGGGACGCCGTGATCAGCAGTCAACGGCAGCCGTTAGGAGTAACGGCTTGAGTGCATTCGAGCTGCTGGTGTGGCATTCGAAATTTCGAAGTGGAATGAGTGGTCACGTGCAGGCAACGTGCGTGGTGCGCAGACGCTACATTACCCTCACTTGCACGACTTATGGAAGTGATGAGTGTGAGTGATGGGGCGCAGCGCGAGTGAGTCATGCGCGGTGGCAAATTGGTCATTGCGATGCATGAGTCGAGGCCGGCTGGCCGGATAAGGCAGGCACGCCAGCTGCAGCTGCGTGCGTGGGCCGTGAAATTCAACCAACCCATCGAGCTGCATCGCGCAGGCGAGGCGCATCGATGAGTCTACAGCCCGCCTGTCTCACGCTCGGTGGATGAATGCCCTCCCGCACTTGGATCCCTTCCACCATTCACCATTGGAACTCATTCTTCGAGGTATTGGTACTAACCACGAAGCTCCAACGCAGCCTACACAACATGCTCGCGATGCACAACACAAGCATACAATCCTCTCACATCCCACAGTCTCATTTCGCGCACAATCACCAATCAAGGCCGAACTCGAGGACTGGCAGTCAGCACTCCAGCGGTTCGGTCACCTCGCGCCCGAAACAGCGGAACACCCACAAGAAGTCATCGAGCCAACGTGCAGAGGCTGATGACACCGGCTCCACACAGTCGAAGCCTATGAAGCAACAGCAGCCGGGTCTCCTCACACTCAGCCAGCCCATTGCTGCCAACTCTGCTGAAAGTTCAAGCAAGCGCAAAGGCAAAGCTGCCAGCAGACCTGATGCAGCTACAGCAAGTGGGTCCAAAGTCGACGTTCATATCAATGTTGCTCTGACAGACGAGAAAGACATCACCGGTGGCGCATCGACCAAAAGCTCCAAACGCAAGAGCAAGAAGGCGCCTCCTCCCCGTCTCCTTGACAGCCACGGGAAAGACGCTGCGCTTGTAGGTGTCACCGGATCCATCTTGTCGCAGTCAGCGCCGTCTGCTGCAACACCGCTTGCGTCCGCCTCTGTCTCCGAAAAGAACGCTCTTGCAGAAGCCGGGAATGGAGGTCTGACTTGGCAGCAAGAGCTACTGAGTGGAGGCAAAGCACGCAATCCGGAGACGGTATCTTTGCGCAGCGTCAAGAAGAATAACAGCGTAAAGCGGCCGGCTGCTGCCCCTGCTGGTACGTATGCTTTGCGGTCTCTCATTCCTACACTTTTCCAGCTGACACATGCGCCTGGGTCTTCCTGCCACTTCAGCGAACGAGAAGGTGAAATCTGCTGGAGCCAAGGACCTGACTTGGCAACAGGCTTTGTTCAATCAGCCAAGGTCATCTGGTCCTCACTACGATTTCTTTGCAGATGATCGGGACGCAGCGACTTTTGGCTCCGGAGACGAGCGCGCCGTATCTGCTGTACCTGGGCGCAGACGTCGTGCGGACAGTCTTGGGGCCTCATCGCGGTCTAAAGGCACAAACGCCAAGGGCGCCAAGCGACCATCTGCTCTCGCTGCCACCGACAACCTGCTTGTTGATGATGTCTTCGACAACTCGCGTTCGCCGGCTCGCTCTGCGCGAAAAGGCGTGAGTGTGAGCGCGGCCGCAGCGCCTTCAACAGCGCCGCGCACCCCAAATACCCACAAGAACAAGGGCACACTGTTGGCTGCGCACCAATCCCCTGTCAATGGCAGAGCCTCTGCTTCGTCGCCCATATCGTCTTCGACGGCAGCTGTTGCTGTTGCCTACGCCGGGCCCAACTTTCACAACTCTCCCTCACCCAACAGTCTGCCCGCGCCCAAGTTCAATTCGAAGCTGAGAAGCAGTGCCCTCGCCTCTGAAGGTCTCAAGGGCTCATCGTCCGCTTCTGGTGGGGAGACGGAGAGTAGCGAGGACGAATCTGGTGCGAAAATCAATGGTGCCATGCCGAGGCAAGAATCACCCTCCCCGGAAAAAGAGAAGACCAAACACACATCGAGTCTGGCGCCGCCTTCGACAAGTCGTGCTTCTGGTGCCGCTGCCGATCGGAGCGCTACCATCGAGAGCCTGCTCGCTCGCATGATGGCGCCTCCACGCTCAGCGGGCATTTGAGTCTCATCACACCTCTGCGCGACTGCTCGCTTGATTTACACCTACCTTCTAGTGCTACAAGCGTCGACACCGACTCTCTAATTTGTCACGACTCTTGAATCCAACTCATCGTATTTCTATAGGCACCTTGCCCTGCAGACCAGGCTCGCCGACCTATCTCTCAAATATGCAACATCAGTCACGCGCAAATTCGAGCTCAGCACAACAGCGCAGCAGGCCCTTGGTCCCATTTTGTCACGCATGCGGACTCTTTCCTCTTCTCGTCTCGGCCTCTGTCATGGTCACCGGTTACATCTACGTGGCGACCGCTCGAATCTCGTTGGCTAGCCGCGCTCGATTCCACAATCTCACAACCTCAGCGCAAGTTTCGCCTTGCTGATGAGCGCAAATTAGCTCCTCAAATCAGCTCGGCCTGCTTGCTTGTCCTCATCTTGAATCTCTCCCTTTTTCCAACTCGACACACACGTGGCCGGCTGCTTCAATCTTGCGAGTGCAAAAGAACTGCGGTGATTCGACACATGTGCTCGGCGGTGTCGACCGGCAGCGCGCAAGGCTTGAATCCGAGTCCAACGATCGAGTCAATTTGCGGGTGGACCGCCTTCTCCGTGCCTGCTGCTCGCCTATTCGCGGTGCTCTCCCACGCCTCACGCTCTGCCCATCCTCTCCCATCTACCTCTCTCACAAGTCTGTCTCGTTGGGCGCAAATCCAGCTCCAGCTTTGCTCGTGCAGCGCGCACTCAAGCTGCTCCCCACAAATCCTATGTTACACGCCCTGCGAGCGTTCCCCTCCTCAACGCCTTGCTCCACAGAAAGATTCAAAAGGTCTTTTTCGATCCGCTGAGTGTCTTACGTGGCGTTTTCCCACAAATACATGCCCCTATGCCTTTTGCCCGGTGCGATCTTCAGCCCCTTATGATGCCGTGATGCCTACCTCATTCGGGCGCTTTGATCACTTTGAGCCGGTCGGATCTACTCGGCAACGATTAGTCTGGGGTGGATGCGCATCGCTTTGCTCGATTTTGCCGCTGATACGCCAAGAAGCCTACGGTGCAAGGACCTCATGCGACAAACTTGCGCAGCTTCTCCTCTGAATTGCATCCCTCATCATCCAGTCTGGCCACCTCTTTGCCCTGAGAACAGGGCCATTTTGGACATTGGTGAGCATCAAGCGTACCCCACTCAGTACTGCGTTTGAGATCTTGTGCCCTTGTCACTGGAACATGCTCAATATGAAGCAGCGCTTCATCCTGCGTTCTGTCTACCCCCCATGCCCCACCCTTGAGCAGATTGCCCTTTCAAGCGCACTCATCGTCAAAACTCACATTCTCCAATCTCAAAATGCAAGGTACGCACTGCACATTCCACCTTGACCTGAATACGTGCAGATTTTCCTCATCCTTCCACTCTTGTCTATCCACAGTCAGCAGGAAAGCTTGAGGAGAGGAGGAAGAGGAAGAGGAGGAAAAGATGGATTGGAGAAGGGGCAGACTGGATCGACAGTCTGGACACCAGGATGGGGAACCCGAAGCGAAAAAGATGAGGTAGAGAGGCGAGTTGGAGCTGTGAAGAGGCATGCTGGCTGCTGATTGTGATGCCGATGCCGATGCCGATGCCGATGCCGATGCCTGGTGAGAATGGGAAAGGTGATGTTGATACTGATTGCGATCAAAGTGGATGGAGATGGAGATCGAGTCGACGCACGAGTGAGAGCTCTGACAAGGTTGAGTCATGTACCGCCCTCACAAGTTTTGGCTCTCTTGCTGTGGGGGGAGGATGTGCAAAGAGTTGGTTGTTAATCGTGAATGCGCGCTACCCAACTATCTAGCGATTCGCGATTCTGGATAGGAGATGCCAGCGCTGCTGTCTACCAACCATCACATGTGATTGCATGGTGAGTGACTGACTCCCCAAGATGAATCTGACCATGCATGCGCGCAAGGAGGCAGTCGCTGCGTACCCGAGCAGTCACGAGTCACGAACCTCTGCACGTGCCACACATCATCGTCTGCATGCATGCTCGACGAGCCTCATCATCGCGTCGCGTCGCGTCGCGTCGCGTGGCGTGGCGTGATGCGCGCCGTCTTCACTCACATTCATCAGCAGCGCAGTGCGGCGGCGGCGGCGGCGGCGGCGGCGGCGGCGACGCGGGAGCGCGTCGTGACTGACTCACACTCACGCTCCTGACTTGTACTCTTGACTCTTCTCGTCTTGTTAATGCGGGACCAGCAGCGGGTGCACAGCAAATTCATACCCGTACCCTACTCAACTGAAGCTCATTTGCGCTGTTTGCCACACGATATCTCTTGCACAGATCAAACGGCAAACGTGAGCCGAGCCGAGCCGGCCAAGAGCGAGGCAATAGAAGTTTGAGTGCGCTGTGAGATCTGTTCAGGGCAGGGCAGGGCAGGGCATTGCATTGCATGGCTGGATATCATCTCGTGCCTTTCAATGTAAGCAGAGCACCGTGGCGGCCCTCAGATCAAGCAACCTCATCGCAACATCCAGACATCTCGCCAGCTATGCAGGACCAGGACCAAGCCATGGTCTCCGCTACGCTACTCAAGCAAAGTCCATGAACGACGAATCGGGAAGCAAGGAGCGTACAAGTCAACGCGCTCTCGCTCTCGCTCTCCTTCTCGGCCCGCCCGCACTTGCCACTCCTAGCTCCCACTCGCACTCCCACCGCACTCGCACTCGCACTAGCACTCGCGACGTGACTTTGCGCGATTCTTGACGCGTAGCAGTGTGGCTGATCGCCAGTCCCAGTCCCAGTCCCAGTCCCAGTCCCAGTCCCAGTCCCAGTCCCAGTCCCAGTCCCAGTCCCAGTGGCGAGCGGGCTAGCATAGATGAATATCGTTTGCCACTCACGACTTGCTAGCATTGCGTGATTCTTTTGCGATTCTGTAGCGATGAGGCCACTCACTCTACGCCACTCAGCAGGAGTGCGACAGCTAAATTGCTCAGCCATGCAAAGCCTTGGTCGCTATTCGTGATTCTCCTCATCTTCACCTTCATGGCGCAACCTGTGCCCCTCTCACATGCGCGAACGCTATGCCTCAGACGATCACCACGCATATTCACTCGCGCCGCACTTGTTCCTTACAGCTCAAGTCACTCAGTGATTACTCAAAACTGCGAAGTTGGATGCTTGCAATGAAGCAACGCTCCAAAGATGTGCGCACCAGCGCGAAGAAGGGCACAGACAAACGATCGACGTACCGCCTCGCTCATCTACTCTCCTCTTGCTTGCTCACACTTTGCTACAGTCTCACCTGCGCAGGCCGCCCTTCAGACTTGAACAGCGACAATGGCTACGCTCTAAAGCTTTTCTCCGTTCCAACTCTTGCATCGCAGGTAAGATCAGGTACAGCGTGGTGCTTGGTAGACGCATTGGACCTGTCTCTAAGCGAAACGCTCTATCCTCCATTTCAGGAACTCGCTTTGCCGCGCTCACGGGCTGACGCGCTGCTAAAGCGCCGCACCCCGTCACTGCCCAACATCGCTAGCAAAGGCGGCAACACGCCAGAAGAGACCAGCTTGAATGGCAGAGCGCGACGAGCTCGACTGCATCGCAGAGCCCCGCTGCTACCATTGGAGCAAGCGTCTAAAAGTGGCAAAGAGGTAATCGATAAGGCCGTGGTGGAGGCTTCCGAGCATCCACCAATCACCAATGATGATATTGGCAAGCAGCTCGAGAGGAAGCACAAGGGACCGTTTGGCCGTCTGCCTGACGGCGTCGGTTCAGCCCGAACGCTAGCGCGACAGAAGGAGCGCGCCAAGCTTGGACGACAAGGAGTCATCGCATCCACTCCTTCGGGTGCTCCTCACTACCCCTGGCAAGGCTCATCGCTAGCGAGCAGCTCTTCTGCTCCGCAAGCCTTTCCCAATACTCCAGCTAACAATCTACCGGCTGTTTTTAGGCCTGTAAAGTACAGGTGGGGCGAAGGCTCCAGTTCCACCCTTTACCGGCAAAAGAAGGAGCTCATCAAGCAAGGGCGGGAGGATGAGGTGGAGAAATTGATAGGTGATCCGAGGTTGAGCAAGCAGGCAGCAACTCACAATCAAGGCATGTCAGGAGGCCAAATATCCAAGGCACGCCAGAAGATGAGGGTGCAAAAGAAGACGGAGATCGAAATTTGGACCAGATATCCGGGCGATCCGAGATCTGCTGGAACGCGCGTGAGGCAAAAGTTGTTGGAGGAATTGTCTAGGGCAGGTCCAGAGCATCAGCACCTTTGGCCCGTCGGCACTCCCGAAACTCAAGCTGCTCGACGTACGCATGGCCGCAACAAGCTGCGCGCAGAGGGTCTTTCCGACGCGCAAGTGTTCGAGCGCATTCCCAAGAAGGAAGGTCAAGGTCGAAAGTCTGCCGGTCAGAAGAGTCGTGGGGCTGGTAAGCGGAGGGATCCTACTGTTGCTGGACCTGAGCTAGGAGTTGGTCGGGGAAATTGGACTCGGCCGACACCGTTGAGTCGAGATGCGGCACCACCTGCGCCGCCAGCAAGAATGATCACGACTCGGAGGCCGGAGAGCATTGCGATTCCTGAAGCGGGACCTGCCACTCCGTCTAGCGTTCCAAGACGAAAGAGACCCCTACCCTTCGACTTGAACTTACCTCCTTCGCCAGCATCGCCGCATTAGGCGCAAATCCCAGCTATGCCCGCAATGGCACTGATCGGATGTACGCTGATCAGGCGCAAGTCAAGGGCACACGTAGTCCGAAGCGATTCTCCATATGGGGTACAGTACAGAGAGAGCGAGAGAGCGAAGAAGAAGTGTGTGCATTTCCTGATGATGATGGACAGACGTGACGCAAACAGCCGCGAGCTTTTGCGCGCACAAGGCACATGCAGGCCAACTTCTGATGATACAGATGATACAAAAGGGTGTGACGGTACTTGCGGCATCCTCTCAGCAGACGGTGCACTTATCAGCATCCACTTGAAGTCCCAACTCAGCCATCTCTTCCTTTCTCCTCTCCGTCTCATTCTCGGAATCCTTCTCTGCAACTTCGTGAGGGAACCAAGTCTTCATAAACTTTGTAGCCGCTTCGTCCAAATTTCTCCCATCAGCGTTACCCACGACACCTTTAGCTCTGCACAGTGGACAGTCAGCCTTGCCCTTCTTTTGCAGCTTCACGAGGCATCGGATGCAGAAGAGGTGCGCGCAGTCCAGTCGGATGGGTCTCCACGCCACACCTGTGCAGATGGCGCAGGCGTAGTCGTCGATGCTCGGCAGAATGGGCAGAAGCGTGGTGGTTAGGAGCGAGAGGAGAATGTGGGGCAAGCTCTCCGCAAGAATGCCCGTCGTGCTGCTTGGCAAGAGGGCCGCCAGGGAAGGATGTGTCCCTCCGCCAGTAGGAACCAGAGCTCCTGATCGATGACTGGCGCCATCCGAACCGACCCCAAAGGCTTCAGGCGGGATCTGCACGAGCCCCGACAGGCCCATGCCCGCCACAGTAGCAGCCCCCAGCCTAGTTGCATCCTGCTGGGCTATGAAAGCTCTCAGGTCATCGCTAGCCGTGAGCGCAGTGCGCTTGTCGTGCTTTTTCAAAATCTTCCTCGCCGCTTCGATGTTCACCCGTTGGAATTTCTTGACGTCCAACAAGGCCAAGTTGAGCCGGAGGAAATCTTGAAGCGCATTGACGGATCTCTGATCTTTCATGGGCTGCAGCGAGCCGCCTGCTGAAGCGCCAGCAGCGCTGCTCTTCCGTCTGCTGAGACGAGCCGCCAATCCACCGCGATGCTTGTGGCCGGACATGCCACCTTGCGCATCTTCTCCTGACTCATTGGACGTGGTCCAGCCTCGCTTAGCGAGTTCCTCGGCGAACCTTTTCAATCGCGCTTCGCTCTCATCCACACTGACTTCTCCTCGATCCTTTTCCCGCTCGGACTCGAAGATCTGCATCTCGACGTACAATGCGAATATCTCTCTCCAGACGTAAAGGTCGCTCTTCGTTGCGTATGGAGACGCGACACGGGCCACTGCACTGCAAAGCGACTCGGTCTGTTGCTGAAATGCATCCCTCTGCGCACTTTGCAGGTTGGAGAGGTTTTGCAGAGCGCCGGTCAGCGTATCGAGGAACTCCGTGTCCGCTGTCAGTGGAATGACGATTTCTCGGTGACGCATGCGGCGTCCCTCGTGACTTCTTGCTGCAGACGTCCCGAATTGCTCTGGGGACAGAGCTGGCGCCAACCCGGCATCTGCATCCGCGCGCTGCGTTGACGTGCTATCTGGAAGCGAAGCGTTCGGTAGAGCGAGCACCGCCGGCTCGCGACCAGGTGAGCCCTTAAGCGTTTTGGGCGTCGGCGGCAGCTCCGTGATGCGCGGCCCCGCATCCTCTGCGCCAGCGTCGGATGTGCTGTCGTCCTCAGACGCGGACTCTTCGGCGCTCCCTTCGTCTCCAGAGTTGACAGGCGATTCGACGAACAGGCGAATTCGAGGAACCGGATGCTCTTTGGTGCCTACAAAAGGCCGCCGCAGAGGAGGGGTCAGCTTCCGAGTCTTAGGCGAGAGAAGGCCACTAGCTACTCACCGCCAAGCTCGTACTCTGCTCGGGCACGTCGTCCATCCTTTCCTTTGACCCACCTGCTCTTGCGAGCATGACCGTCCTCGGGTTGTTTGCCCGCCGCGCCACCAGAACTCGATCGTCTGGCGGCCAAATTGGGTCTATCGCGGAGCGAGCCAGAAGGCTTGGCTGTGTCATTCTCCATCTTCCAAGCGTCACCGGGTCTCTCCCTCCAAGCATGTCCACCCCAGTCATGCCTGCCGTGGTTGTTTGCTGCACTCGCGCCTTGTGCCCGTTTGCCGGCCTCAAGATCGTGTGCGGGCATTGAAGCCCTCCTCACGTCATCCTCCTTCTGCGGACCATCACCAAAGACTTCGCTCTTCCTTCTCCTGAATTCCTCGAGCTCCTTCTTGCCCATGCCATACCATTGATTGGTCTCATCGTCTGTGACTGCATCCGGGCTACCTACGCCCGAAGACCCATCGGCTGAAGACCGCTTCCTGAAAGCCGAGGGACGCTCGTGGGGCTTCAAAAGCAGTCGAGGATCGGGTCGCAGTGCTTCGGGGCCCTCTTCGTGGTTCTGGTGCTGGTGCTGCTCATGATGATGCTGATGATGGTGTTGGCGCCGACGTGCAGCACCGTCCGTATCCGAGACGTCCACAGAGTGCTGTCTCGAGCTCGACGGACTGCCATCCGAGCTTGCCCATCCGCCCGCTGTCTGGGAGCCTCCCGAGCTTTTGCGAGCGCTGCGACGCCGCTGATGGGGTTGAGAGTGGGCTATCTTTTCCAGCCACTCCGCTGCAGGAGACTCATGCGAGGATGCCTTAGAAGGGCTTACGCTGGCGGAGATACCGTTCGACTGAGAGCCTTCACCCAAGGATTTGCGCGCTGCTTCCTTCGCATTAGCATCAGCGACGCATTCTTCGCAGTCCTCGCTCGGCACTTCCAAGGGACTTCCATGCGCTGCTCTTTGCGCCTTCTGTGCCTCGAGGGTAGCGCTCGGCGATAGGGCCGCAACACCCAGACTTATAGCTGGCGCTTGCTCCTCCGCGCTAGGTCGTCCAATCGTGCGTGGGCTTGTCCGGGAAGAGGAAAGGCCAGTCTCCTCTATGAGTGGGCTTAGCGGGTTGCCACTCTCAGAGCCGGCCAATCTAGCAGCTCTAGAATCGACCAGCAGCCTGCCGTACTTTCCGGGCCCAGTTGTAGCAGCCTCATCTGCGCTCGAGTCCTCGGTACCACTGCTGGTCAGCGATCGCGAACGTGCCCTGGACTCGCTGCTCTGCGATGAGCGCCGCGCCGGTACGCTGTGGTCGCTCGGATGAAGCGAAGACTTGGCAGCAGCAGCAGCCGCTAGCTGAGACATTCGGATGTCTTCATCCTCTTCTTCGTGCGCATCGCCGGATTGCGCGCCTGGAGCTATGAGCTCTCTGAGCACGTCCGCACCGAGCCCAAGAGATTCAAGCTCGGCCACGACACCGTTGATCAGCTTCTTGAGCTGCACAAAGTGACGAGGAGCGACAAGAGGTTAACGCTGGCGGACGGTGAGGTCGCCAATTACGGCTAACGACTCACATGCTTGTACTCGATGGCACCTTCCCTCCATTCCTGAGGGAATGAGGGGCTGGCTAGTGTTTCCATGTATGACTTGCCAAACTTCATCTTTGCGGATCGCAGCGCGCGCGGTGAACAGGGTTGCGAGATTGTTTGCAGAGTTGCGTGACAAATCTGTGGTCATCAGGTCGTATTTTGGGTCGGCTTGTTTATGTCTTGCACAGGCGAGCGAATGACCCTCTTCTCTCCGCTTTGGCTCGCCAAAGCGCAAGGGATCAGAGAGTGAGCCGACTTTGTCTCTTCCCAGTAACCAAGGACTTGCGCCAAGTCTACAGCAGGGCGCAACTCTTTGCATAGAGTGGCAGTCGTCGGCAAAAAGAGATGCTCAGCCAGCGGTCTCTGGAAGCAGACGCCTGTCGCGTGAGATGTCACCGAGTCCGACCAAAGTCGAGCTGAGCTCAGCCGGCGGCACAGCGGAGCAGAGCTAGCTTGTACCGTTGCGTGACAGCTATACAACTGCAGCGAAAAGGCTGGTTCAGCCGAAGATTGGTCGAAAGCGAAGAAAGGCGCTGGCCCTCTCTCTGCGGTTGACGAAGCGGGCGCGAGGGTAGTTGCTTGCTGGGTTGAAGCTGCGCAATTCGGATGGAGGGAACGTGCCACGCTTGGTGTAGCGTCGCGCATGTGGGTGTGGGAAAGTCTCGCATGGATGAGAAAGTTGGACAAGATTGGTGCAGGTGGGAATGAATACATGCACTGTGACTTGTAGCGCCAATTTACGAAGCAGCTTTGCCAAGTGTAGCCGGGGGAAAAGCGCCTTCTTGCAGCTCGGCTATGTACATATACACATTCACTTCTCACCATTTATTCTTCTGAATTCTCATTGTGCTTCGTGCATCAACGCCATGGCGATCGATGTTCAGCGGCAGGAAGAAGCAATGTCAAATGCTCGCTCAACAACTTTCAAGCGACGTTCGAGAGCTGAGCCAAATGAGCCAATCAATGTTCGCTCTTCGTAGGGTCTGGAAGAGTCGGACAGGCTGACCTCCTACATCGGTCCCGCACGTACAGAGTCCGCTATTGTCCCGCTGATGCCTTTGACTTGCTGCTCACACTTTACGTACGCGCACTTGGACCGCTGAATTATATAGAAGCACATAGGACCGACGCATCGCCGCGCACCCTGCTGAAGACCCTCTGCTCAGCTTGCATCTCCTCCACGCAGCGCGATGCTGCTTAATTACGATCAGGATGTTGCGTGCTGCTGCATGTTGCTCTGTGCTGATGACAGCCTGCCTGCAAGAACTCAGCATGCCCTTCTAAAATATAGCGGATGAGGCACGAGAGCAGTTTTGAGTCGAGTTGGCCGTTCAGCAGAAACAACGTGCAGTTCATCTTGATCGGCAAACAGCTCGGCCAGCTGTGGCGTTTTGGCGACTTTTCCGCGACAGCTATATGCACCAGGTGCATCATCTACGTCTGTCAAAAGACGCTGCTGCTGCTGTTGGGCTGACGATCGAGACAACATCACAATAAAGCTCCACGCCTTTTCCGATGGGCTGATGCTCTGGAGTCACAGCAGTGATTGAGGACGTGTTTGGCTGCTGCTATGTAGCATGTTTCTCGTCGGCGTTTAATTGAAATTACATCAAATTTGAAACATGTTTCATAGATGGGTCCATCTGGTGTTTGCGTCGATTGTTGGGCCTACACGACTCAATCACGTGAATGTGAATTCTCCAGCTGCGTCGCTGCTGACTCATCAAATTGTGACTTGACTGCTCTTGCATGTTCCTGGGTGAGCCGGCGTTCAAGCTCTGCATGGGCCCGGTATAGCGACGAATGCCACTTGAGCTTCGACGCATCGAAATTGACGGTCACCTTTTCACCATCGCATGACTCGTGACCCTTACCTTCGCTTGCTTCTTCCTCGATCTGCACACAGCAGCGCAGATCAGCACTACTACTTGGCCAAAAAGCTGGTTAGACGCGGTGGGCGCGTGCATCGACGTCGGTAATAGGGTCCGAGTCAGAGAGGGGGGGTCGCACTCAACCATCCAAATTCACGATTGAACCTTGTTTCGGCGAGGGCGCAAAAGTGCATCGGCCAAAATACCTCCGTCGGGCTTAGGGCACTTGATTGATTCAAGAATAGCTTCTACAGATTCACGATTCTTGATTCACGCTTCCTGGACCATTCTTGATTCATCGGCTTTGGCCATCGCTGCTGCTGGCGAGCAGCAAAGCCCATACAGTCGAGGAGAGTATGCTTCTTTCTCATTTTGATTCTCCTTTCCTTCTTCCTCTGCTCCACCAATTCGTGGAGGTCGCGTGCGGCGTGCGCTTAGGTGGTGACGAGGTGCAGCTAGGCGAGGCAGGTCCGACGCGGTTGTGCCGGACAAGCATCATTCTCGAACATTCGACGCAGTGCATCGGAACATTCATGATGGTCAGGTTCACTCGACGAACCCCTCGCCTCTCGAAGGCACTCTGTCGCGCCTTGACGTCGTTCGTCACGCCTGATTGGCGTGTGTGATTACCAATTCGATCGAATCAGTGGACACGAGAAACACTGAGTGCAAGAGGCTCGAAGGCTCGAGGAATGCGATTTTGCGAACAAACAGGGGCTTTGAGGAGTGCCAAGGTCCAAAGAGAAGGGAGAAGTTTCTGAAAGAGATCATCTCGATCACCCTTGGCTCAAGCTTGCGACCATCATGCATCGCATTGCTTGGGAGCGCTTTCAGACTGCTATTGCCAGGGGACGGGTCTCTTGGCCAAACGGCATCGTTCATGTGCTCGAGGGGCAGCACCTCCCTGGACCGATAGCGAGCGGCGCTAGCGGCTCCACGAAACCGCTGCTCGCCTTACAGACCCGAGGTTTCAAGACCTCAGGAATTGGCAATGTCAACTACAGGCGGTTTGGACAAGCAAGTGGAGATGAGACACGAAGGATACAGCAGCACAGAGCAGGATCATCAAGGGAGCCCATCCTTGAGCTTGCACGTCGCCTCGGTGGTAGACAAAATCAAGGCGGCTCATCCTCAAACAACAATTGGAAAGACAACTCTTCAAACAGGCTCGCGGTGGTCATTCTCCTCGTCTTCTTTGGTGGCGGCCTTACCTACTACGTCTTTCACTTGGAGGCCGTGCCGGGAATGAATCGAACTCGTTTCATGGATGTCACACCGGCACAAGAAGAGTCCCTATCCATGGCGACGTACAAAGCTTTCATAGCACAGAACGGAGCTGCAATATTGCCCGCTTACCATCCCGAAACGAGGAGGGCGCAGCGCGTAGCGTCGAGATTGGTGCAGGCAATCTCGGACGTCTCGCCAAGCTCGGATAATACACTGCAAAAGTCGCACACGCAATGGGTCATCCATGTCCTCGCTGATCAGAAGCTCAACGCCTTTGTGTTGCCTGGAGGCAAGATCTTTATCTATGGAGGCATGCTTCGATTGTGCCAGACTGACGATGCATTGGCGACGGTTCTGAGTCACGGTAAGTAGATTTGCTGCTTTCACTCCCCTTCACCTCTTGCATGCTTCTGCTTACGCAGACAAGAGTCCGGTATTCGTATCACAACTTGGGCGTCGTGTGCAGAAATAGCGCATCAGATTCTGCGACATCATGCAGAAGGACAGAGCGGCACGAAGGTGCTCTACTTCTTGGCACAAGGTTTAGAAGCTCTGTTCGGCTTCGGTTTTGGCTTGTCTATCCTCTTGACAAAGCTACTGTACCAGTTGCCCAACAGCCGCACGCAGGAGACTGAGGCTGATCGACTCGGTGCGTACAGCAAGCGCGCGACTGCAAATGCGCTCTCCAAGTCGAACCCTGACGCCGAGAGTGGCAATGCAAAACCTCAGGTCTGCGACTCATGACTGCAGCTTGCTACGATCCTCGACAAGCGCCAAAGTTCTGGTGAGCCCCAAAAGGCCTGACGTTGGCAGCATTCTTTCGGTCGTTTTCAATAACCGTCTCACCTTTGCTTTGTGAATGAATAGGGAGCGCTTTGCTCAGATTGAGCAAAGGCAATCTGGTGAAGTAAAGGGGCAACAGGAGTCATCCGGCCTCTTCAAAGCCGCAGAGAGCATCCTCAGCACGCACCCGCTGTCTGAGAAGCGTATGCAAGCCCTGCACAGCTGGGTCAGTCTCTTCTAAGCCTAGCGCCCATGATTCTCAGACGATGCTGCTGCTGCTGACGCGTGAACCTCGTCGTCATTGCTGTTGGTGCCGCAGTTGAACGAAGCCATGTCTTACAGAGCAGAGAGATGTGGCGCATTGCCGGAGCAAGCCTCTGACTTTGCTCAAATAGCATGGTCACCCAGCTTCCGGCCATTTGTCGCTCGATGAAGCGGCCGCGCACAACGTACTGCCCGCGCTGCAGGACAGTGGCTACTTCTGTCAAATTGGTCGACACGCTGCGACGCGAAGCTTCTTGTTGCACCCCTCCAGAACATTATACAAGCATGAAGAATTGCATCGAGGGACAAAGACGTGCAAGGAAAGATGGAACGGTGGCGCGAGGGGCACCAAAAGGCATGGGGATTCGGGGCTAGAGCCGACAGGCCTAAAATCGAATAGAATAAGTGCCCTGCGCTTTTGTAAGATAGCGAACCCATTTGACACTTTGATCTATACATCGAGTCCGTTCGCACATAGGAGAGAAGCGTGAGCTTTGCAGGATCGATCGTGATGTCAGCTCGCCAAGTCAAAACTCACAGTTGCCCTTCTCAAACACCTTGAGAAACCTGACCAGCAGTCCAGACGCGGTGAACATGAGGACCTGAAAGTCAACCTCTATGGGAGCTCTTGACCAAGTCTTCTGAGTTGTGGTGGCGCTCCTCTCCAAATCCGCTTGAAGAGACGTCTCTGTCATCCCTTGCATCTTGGGGATTCTACATGGCCAGTGAGGACACATCAAGTCAGCCACGCGAGTGCCAGCTTCGGCTGCACCAAAACTCAAGAGCGCTTCTACTCACTTCCAGACAATCATTCCGTCGCTGGGCACGTATTTGGCCTTTCCCAGTAGAGCCTCGCATTTGACGTTGGTGGTATTGTGCGGGCAGGGTATTCTCAAGACGATGTTGGTCCCGCTAAGCTTTGAGTCAAAGTTTGCCTTAACATTAATGTTGTACTCCACCCTGCTCTTCGAGACCTCCTCGACGATAGGATGCACTTTGAATGGCAAGTTGACGTTTGTGGTCGATCGGTACCTGAAGGCCGCAAAGGCCAAACAGATGCGCTGAGTGTCAGAAAGTGACTTGCTCGCTCATCATGAATCGAGATCGGCTTACCGCATGAGCTCAAATTCTCCGTCCGGCGGAGTGAAGCTGATGCTCCGATCAGTGTCGAACCTGTTCAGCTTGACGCATTGATGAAATTGACAGCTGTCCAGCTCCACCTCTGACGCTTCGCTTCCCAAGCTGCTGCTCGCTGCGCCACCGCTGGCCCCTCTCCTCTTGTCAGCTTTGTCCAGCACGAGCTTGTCGTTGAGACCAAATTTGCATTCCGGCGTACCAGAAAGGTATGCTCGGACCAATATTCTGCCATCCACATCTGCCCTCAGCACGGTGCCTACCAGAGAGCAGTCCGGCAAGTGTATGACCAGTCAGCCAAGTTCTTGAGTCCTTTGAGTGGACCGATAGGATGGCGACCACTCACCCTTCGAGCTCAACAACAGATTGACATTCTCGACTACATCCACAAAAGCCTCATTTTTCCGGTACTTGACATCTGCCCTCCTCCAGCTCGTAGCACCCGTAGCTTGAATGGTGATCTTTGCAGAGTCCTCTCGCACAGCCTGTTCGGATTTGACCCCTTCTGTGGTGATGTACATCTTCAAAGTGTCCGTCTCGCTGTTCTGCGGATATCCAAAGTCCAGAATTTCTGCACGAGGAGACGAAGGTTACGAATGGTTCAGTAGGGGCCTCAATGCTGCGACAAAGCTGGCGGCGTGAGTTGGCGCACGCCTCCGTCACATCCGCTCGCATGTGCAACGCTCGCCCTTGCGCTCAGTGTCATTGAGCGCAGCGGTGTCAGCTCGAGCGACGACGCTTTCACAATGACCAGCCCTTTGCCACAAACGGCTCCGAGAAGAGCGAGGAGTACGCTGTGCTCACCATCCAACAGCTCGTAGAACAGCACAAAGTTGTTCTTGATGCCTTCCTCATCGAACTTTCCAAAGTAGGATCTACCGATCTGGATGGACCTGTAGAGGAATTCGAAGACGAGGGCTGCATTTGCATTGCATCTGAGCAGCAGAATGATACAAAGAGAACAAGTATCAGCTCGCAATCTGCGCCGTAGAGGCCTCGCGCTCGGCTCAAAAGCCTCGGACAACTCACTTTGTGACAGCAACGACATAGATGTTCTCATGCCGAACATGAAAGAAGCTGGTACTGCCGAGTGTAATGATAGGAGACCTCACATCCGGATTCGACACCACCTGAATCCTGAAAATATCTGCAATGCTCCTCTTGAGATCTGACCTGAACAGGCGAGAGATGAGCACTTCTCCCTTTTGGTTGAAGATGAAGTATGCAGAGATCATCTTGACTCAGATTCTTGGCTGAGCCTCACCGACTGCAACAAGAGTGAAGCAGCGACGCCAAGATGACAGCCTGTGAGCAATGATGTGCCGCCCTGTTGGCAAAAGCAGATTGTCAGAGTCTCGTGACGACTCTCGCAGGTCGGCGGCAAAGGTATGTTCGGTCAGCCTGTGCGAAGCTGATCCGGTGAAACCAGCAAGTGAGGTGAGCGGTGAGTGCGAGGATGTCAGAAGGGCGATCATCGAGTGGGGTACAATCGTGGATGATCACCTGTATGCGCGTGCTGTGGTTGATGATGGTCCAAGCGCGCGCGGCTGTCCATTTCCGCCGAGAGGTGCATGACGGCCGCGCGACGTCGCAAAAGTGGGGAGGTCGCGTGCGCGCAATGGGAGAGATCGACTCGCGTTCACACAGCAGGTCTTGGTTGTAACGTGGCGACCATCCACAATTGCTTTCGCGAGGGGCTCCCAAGGCCTTTCTCGATCAAGTGTGAGTGATTCAGTGACATTGCAATGAGCATAGAAGCGAACGGCTGACAACGCATCGCTGCAACCGCGCAGATCTCGTGCGCATTGTGCATTTCTAGAAGCTTTCCAGTACAGCCTTGACCCATGGATCAGCTTCGCACCTTGGCCTAAACTCTTCAACCGTCCTTCTAAGTTCAGCCAGCTCAGCTTTTGGATCGACAGTACGTCTGCGCTTACTTGACGGATCCGACCCGTTTGTCATCCCAACGTTTTCGTCATCTGCTCCTTCAAGAGCCGCGGAGCGCTTGGCCCAGGTGAGTAGGAACTCTTCCACTAATGCGGTCCCTCTGTCTGTCACGTCCTTTGGCAACTTTAGGGGAGAGTCCGTATCCTCGTCTACGAAAGCAGAGGGTGAAGCTGAGGCACAATCAGCTTGGATGACTCGGTCGTACCGAGACCGACCAAACACGCACCTTCGAGGTCTTCAAGCTCCTCGGCCTTCCTCTTTGCAAGCCGCAAAATGCTGTCTGGGAAGCCTGCCAACGCTGCGACGTGCAAGCCATAGCTCTTATCCCCAACGCCAGGCTCTACGCGGTACAGCAGTGTGATGTCTTGTTCTGAATGAGCTGTGGCATTTGCTGCGCCTTCTTTGCTCTTCTCGGAGACGTGCGCCAATACCTTCAGATTCTTGACGTGTGGCTGCTGTACCGCCAGATTAGTGATTTCCGCAAAGTGCGACGCAAAGAGCGTTTTGCATCTGATTTCAGTAGCTATCCATTCCGAGATGGCCCAGGCCAAGCCGAAACCATCGTAGGTCGAAGTACCGCGTCCTAGCTCATCGATGATGATGAGAGAGTCTTTGGTTGCGGTTTTGAGGATGGTGGCAGTCTCTAGCATTTCGCTCATAAAGGTGCTGACGCCTTTCAGCTGACTGTCGCCTGCACCGACACGAGCCAAGATGCAGTCGAAGACAGGAATTCGAGCTCCCTCGGCAGCAGGGACGAAACATCCGACTTGGGACAGCAGAGCAAGGATGCCAACTTGTCGTATGAAGGTGCTCTTGCCTCCCATGTTGGGTCCAGTGATGATCAAGAATTCGGACTCTCCTGGTGACATGTCGACATCGTTTGCAATGAACGAAATGTCGTCCTGCACTTCAATGCACGGGTGGCGCGCCTCTTCGACGCGCAGAGGCGCTTCTAATCCTTTCTCGACAATCTGTGGTCTTGTGTAGGGAACCGGTGCGCACGCGCTGACATGTGCAAAGCTGAGCAACACGTCCAAGGTGGCAAGCAGCACGTTCAGACGTTCCAGCGGAGGACAGTAGGAAGCGGCGATGCCGATGACATCCTTGACGAGACCTGCCTGTTGCGAGGTGTACTGCTCGGATAAGCTGCGAAAGTCGTCGCTGAGCTCTCGCAGCACTGGTGTGGTGAAATGAACACCATTCTGAAAAGGGGACGTGTAGCGTATGAGCATCGAGCGAAGCGAGGACAGGTGGAAGGCCAGAGCTTCTTACCTTGATTGTAGCGAGCTCAACGTATCCCTTTTTCTTGCCCGACAAAACTTTGGCATCCTGGTGAGCAGGAGGAGAATCACTGATCAATGCGGGTGGCGCCAAAGCAAATACACTTGACTCACTGCACGCGTCAACCTTAAACAGTACCCGTACGTGCTGTGATTTTCCATGTGAAGCTTCTTGTCGAGTTCCATGTTCAGATCCTTTCCGACTCGTCGATGCTCATTGTCCAAATTGTCTCGCACGGTGTCCAGGCTCGCTTTGATGCTCTGGAGTCGATCGTCGAAGCCGGCCTTGATGACAAAATTGTGATGCTCGAGCTCATCTAGATCCAATGTCTCTTCGACCATCTCCAGGAATCTGGAAAGCTGCTCTTGTAGCGTCTGAACAGCCAGCGGATGTCAGCTAGCTCACGCGATGGCCCCGCGAAAGGACAGACTCACCTTGAAGGGCGCAATGAAAGATTCGTCCAGAGGATGAGAAGACTCGTCCATGGAGCGCGCTTCGGACAGCAAGTCAGCCATCTGGGGCAGGCGAAGCGCTGCTTGGTAGACGCGAACCACGTCCTCGAGTGTAGCAACACCCATCTGGAAGCGCTTGCTGATGCGGTGCAAGTCTGGCATCATGCGTAACTGATCCATCTGAAGTGTGTGGATGAATATCGTGTAAGTCATACGATGAGTCCTGTGCTATTGCGCGTCATGACGCTCACTTGCAGTGCTGTGCGAACGTCGCTGTGCTCAACAAAAGCATCGACGAGCGTATGCCGCTTGCCTGAAGGCCCGAGCAAAGTAAGCGTGATGGAGCTGCATAGGACGGGATGGCGCGCCCTCACTCACGGATTTCCAAGACGTTCACGAGCGGCTGCTTGAGCCACTGAGCCAGCATACGTTGTCCTTGGGCCGTTTTGCACTTGTTCAACAGGCCGTAAATGCTCATGCTCTTGTTACCTCCTGTAGCACCCGGCTCGGGAAAGACGCTTAGAGCACGCAAAGCACTCGCATCGAGGCGGAGGTACTGGCCCAGGTCGTGCTCGCGAATGGTGTACTGCCCGAAATTGAGCTGCTCCGTCATCAGATCCAAGTAAGAAATTAGCGCAGCGCAGGCTCCCAGTGACACCTTGAGTCCGAATTCATCTGATCCAAAGGCAGCGGCACAAATATGCATTGAGCCGAAGTCCAGACATGATGCGCTTCAAACGCACTCACGCTGTGCTGTGCCTGCTGATGTGTCTGCTAACAGACGTAACAGATCCTGCTCTACATCTTTGGGCTGGAAGTCGCCTGTCCCCACAGAGGCCAGCGTCAGCTGATGAGTCGCACTCGGAACTGGAGCACCTCGGCACCCACCCTTTCTCCTTTCTGTCAGGACGCAATTGCAGCGATCAAGCACAGTGCGCAATCTTGACAGGTCATAATCGGTGTCCTTCTCGTCTGCGGGAATGAGGCATTCCTTGACGCCGAGCTGGATCACCAAGCTCTTTTGATACAGGCGGCCGTGACTGTGAGCTCGTGCACTGCACGAAGTTCCAATGCGTTCAGATCGACTTACCTCTACATTCGAGAAAAGATCGTTGTCCGCGAATTGCGCCAATCCGAGCTGGCGCGAACTTGCGTCGGCAAAGGCTGCTCCTACTGTTCGTACCCCGTCTACGTTCGCGAGCCTCAGCGCAAGAATGATCGGAGATGTGACGAGATCGGCATGAGTGAACAGCAAGTCTTCGACCGTTTGCAAATTGCCTGGCGATGCCTGTCGCGCAAAAGCCGAGAGAGTGCACTTAGGTTTGCTCCTTTGCTTTCGAGTGCAGACGTTCGCACAGGCTTACCTGCTTTGCCAATGTCCACACATTGCTGCGCTTCCCTCCACCGGCCCAGATCTCGACTCTGAGCTGCTTGACTGTCAGGGCATCCCTCAAAAAGTCCCGAGCTGCCGCTCTGCTCAGTGTCACCGACGACAGCTCGCCGCCTTTGGAGCTCTTGCCGAGCTGCTTTAAAACGCTGTGTGTCTTGAACACTGTCGAAGCGACCAGCATTGCTGCGTCACCATGTGCGGAGTAAAAGTCCTGCAACGGGTGATTTGGGAAGCGGAAATTAGCACGCTCTTCGAGAGACTAGGGATTGCGCTCCGCCCAGTGTATGCACTCACGCCGCGATCGAACAGTCGAACCGTGCCCTCCGATGCCGGCGTCATGCTCCTGAAAAATGCGACGAAGCTCGTCTCTGCGGCCTGGTCTACATGTGCGTATGGAAGGAGTGAGCCCTGTCAGCTCACTGCCAGTTGTAGGCACATCTTTGAGGTACTGACCTAGACCTAGCTCTGGCTTCTCGTTGGAGCCTGATGGTCCAGCGCCTGCTCCGCTGCCAGCTCCATATCCGCCTCCTCCATACATGTGCCCAGACATGGCGAAGGTGGAAGCAGAGGTCGTCCACGGATATCGGTGCTCGCTGAAGAATTCGAAATGTGAGGTTGCCTATCAAGTGGGCAGCGAGCAGGGCCCAACAAGCCGCGATACAATTGACGATACGATTGGACGCGATCACAATCCCCAGTATAGATGCGCTTGATTTGCCTGGGCGAGGCTAGCTGGATCGTTGTTGAGGGTAGGAGGTGTGGAGTGAGACCTAGCACGTCGCGATGACCTCAACTGCATGCTACCGCGTGCCCATGTACTCATAACTACACATTTCAGAAAGCGCGCGCGCCTCTTTACGCGTCGCGGTGCGCCACTCGTGCTGCGTGTGCTCACGCGCGCAGGCGAAAGGGGCACACGTGATACAGCAACAGGCCGAGGTGTTGGTTGCTCGTTGCTCTCGTGAAAGGCGCGTTCCAAGGCTGCCTTTCAACTCGAGCGACTTGCCTGTAGGAATCAAGAATGTCAAGCTCTCCGCCATCCTGAGATGAGACTCAAGACCCAAGACTCCTGATTATCAATCTCCTGACATCCTTGCCCGGCACATCGACGCTCATCCTCTAGCGCATTATGGCCAGTCCGACAAGCGGAGAACCGCTGCGTGTGCTCGTCACTGTGGGCTCCACCTCATTTCCTGCATTGCTCACTGCTGCGCTGTCGGATGATGTGCTAAGACAGCTCGCCACGGGCTCGCAGTCTCTCAGGAAGCATTCAGCCTCAACACAGCCGACGCTCCTACTGCAGCACGGAGCCACGCCCCTTGCGTCTATCTTGCAGACCTTCCTGGCCAAACCTGTGGACCCCTCCTCCAGAAAGGTCCCGGAAGCAGGTTTAAGAAAGGTCGGTACCAAGTGGGGCTACACCGGAGCTGTGAGGACCGAATTGGACCCGGGAGAAGAAGGCTTGCTGAATGTGAAGCTGGCAAGCAGCTCCAAGGGACCTACGCACTCCAAGGCAAAGGCAGACTCGAGAGACGATGCTGACGAGAAAGATGCCGCGATAGACAGCGCCATTCGCGATGTCAAAAGTAGGGTGAGAAGGCGCACCGATGCACGCAAAGCTGGGGCCGACGTCGAGCTGGACGAGGCAGTGTCTTCGGCGCTGAGGGAGCGCAAAGCTAGCCAGAGCAAGTCGCACCGCCAGCATCAAATATCGGAAATGGACGAGCAGGACGACACGAATAGCTCGAGCAGCTCAAGTTCGGATCTCGAGGATTGGAACATGGATGCTAGACCCTCCGGCCCGCTCCCGACGGGGCATGGTACGCAGCCGTGGACAGCGGAGCCTGATGCCCCTGGAGGACTCCAAGCCCATCGCCTGCAGCTGGAGACTTCACATGGCGTTCATTTGACCTTGATCGACTACGTTCATGATCTCTCAGAGGAGATCAGTCGCGCAGATGTTGTCATCTGTCACGCAGGTGAGTAGTGCGACCGGGAGCTCGAGCAGCAAAGTCAGGTCTCATACATAGCTGCGTGCACTTCCTCTTCCAGGCGCTGGCACCATCTTAGAATCATTGAGGAGCACTAGTGCGCGCGATCCGCCCAAAGTGCTGGTTGTTCCCAACACAACGTTGATGGACAATCACCAAAGTGAACTTGCAGACGAGCTGGCACGGCTGGACTACTGCAAAGCGGGCAGCGTCCGGTGAGCAATTCAAGCAGGTGACAAGCTAGCCCACGTCTGTTTTGTTCTGATAGCTGACCGTGCACCTGCGCACGCGACTTTCAGCACCCTCCATGAAGACCTTCGAAAGCTGCTTGACTCAAATACGCCGCCTTCGAAGCTCTTCCCGCCCTTTGAGCCAGAACGCTTTGCACAGATAGTCGACGACCTGGTCGGGTTTTCCTAACGCCGCTCAGATGGTAAGCATCACCGCTCGCGAGACATTCTTCCCTTGCTTGCAATGCCATGCGTATTGCTTTTTGCAGCCTTTCGACGGGCAGTCTGTAGCATGACCTGTCAAAGCGGAAAGGGTGATGACTTGTGACTGCAAAACTCATCAGTCTCGTTATCGAGAGTCCATTCACGATGGATGAAGGTGGTGTGCCCGAGCATGCACAGACTTCGGCGCACGTGCGGCCTCGGAGAGGGGCCGCCCGCAGTTGTCTGCGCACTGATTGTGATTTGCAGTCATCGACGTACGCTGTGGCCGTGTGGCGAAGCGTGTGTGCGCCCAGCTTTGTTTTGGCGTCATTCTTTCCGTACTCAAGGTACGCAGGCGAATGCGCCGACGACAGGTGTCTTGCTGGGGGCTCACATCGAAGTCGGGGTATGGATCACGTGCAGCGCGAATGGCGTAACGCCGACTCTGGACTCGTGACTGACGTGTCATGCAGAAGGAAGCATCACAGACACGCCCTCTCCTTGGCCAACAAGTCAAGTCACGAGCCTCTCGATCGTTGTCCATTAACATCACCACTGTGACTGATCACTCGATGACACTACAACCATTGCTGGGATTCGAGCAGCCCGTTTAGCCCCGTTTGCTCAGTCAGCCACCTCTCAAGCGCCGACGGTATTTGTAGACTGACGGAACAACTCGGGTTGGCGAACACACTCCAAGGCATCTGCAGCAAAGACAAGGAAGACATCCACGCAGCGGCTTAGTCCATCCAGCCCGACATGGTGAGTCACACTGATTGATCGGTACCGACGCGCTCTGCTGCGCTCCGGTGTGTATACGCTGTCTGACAGTTCTGGTTGATACGCACATGCAGGAGCAACAATCCTCAGCTCCACCTTGGGTGCGGTCCCTTGTCGAGTTCTTGCGCAGCAGCTCGACGGGGCCGAAGACCAAAGTCGGTCTTCTGAACGGACAGCGTAAAGATCATTTCAAAGGTAGCGGAGCCATTAAATCCCTCTTATCTCCCGCCTACGTCAAGGCCCAAGCAAAGAAAGGCAGCGTGTTGCCAAAGATCGAGAATGAGGACCAAGCGGCTGAAGCTTTGCACAATGTTATTCCGTACGCTTTCTTCTTGAGGGTGGACAGGGCCACGGAAGGTGGAAAGGAACGTCCGATCCAGATCAATCAGATGCAAATGTTCAAAAGCGATCTGGTAAGTACGTCGAGGTCTGAAGCTGGATCTAGCAATTCTGCAGCTTCTTGTCTGTCAGCCTTCCCACTCGGTCGCTCTTGCAGCGGAGACTGGTATGGCGCCAAACCCCATTTCACAGGCGCAGGAAGTTATTTGCTGACGCCCCTCTCAACGCGTCTTTGCGCAGTACTACGTCTGGCTATACGATGGCTCGCAGCTCTTGATGCAACTGGCAGGTTTCGGAATGATCCTACTGATGCTGGCTGGTGTCATGTTCCCCCTTTGGCCCGCCAGTCTTCGAGTAGGGGTATGGTACCTGTCCATCGGAGTTCTGGGGCTCATCGGAGCTTTCTTTGGACTGGCCATCGTCAGACTCATCCTTTGGGGCATCTCCAAGGTCGTGCTCAGTCCAGGTATATGGCTGTTTCCCAATTTGTTCGAGGATGTCGGCTTTGTGAGTGGGGTGCTGCGGGTAAAGGCAAGCGATCCGAGCCGGTCATAGGTGGGCGACTTGATGGCTCAGACGCAAGACTCCGCGGGAAAACTGCCAGCTTCCGATGGAATGGTCAGCTCACGCGCTCCCTGCACCATATCTCAGGTGGACTCCTTCATTCCTCTGTGGGCATGGGATCTGCCTCCTGCCCCAAAGAAGGTCGGCAAAAAGAAGCGCGCGCCCGCGATCGAAGCTTCAGATGGGGAAGCAATTCGAAACAAAGTCGAGGGCGGAAAGGGAGCAGGGTCCAAGCAACAAGCTGTCGCTGTGAGTACTTGCATGCTGTCGAAAGAGGCCATCAACTCTGCCAGGTTGGCGGCCATCGCCGCGCGCGACTGGCGGCAGGATGGTGATCGGCCAAGAGAAGACTGTTGACCACTGCGCATTGAACTCGCTCGCGCAGAACCTGCCGGGACAAGATTCCGGCCCGGCCAAACCGCAACTGTCAGCTGCTCAAGCTGCAGGCGATTCTGCTCCAGCACAGCAGTCCAAGAGCACCGATGGCAAAGGCGGCAATGTGAAGAAGATCCAGAAGGCGAGCGATAATCTAGCTGGTCTGGACTAAACAAAAGGGCCTAAGCTTCGCTTCACTGAAGCCTGGCGCAGTGCAGGCATGTCTCACTAACACAACGTGTGGCCTGGAATACGTTACTTCCCCTGCCCCTGGCATAATGTCATGACTTACCGCAATCAGCGGTCCAGGGCACGCACGACAATGCCTTGAATTTGCAGACAAGACACAGCTGACATGCTCACGAGGCGGACTTCCTACGTACGGCATCAATGCCTACAGAGATGAGAGCACGTAGAGTGCTGCAGAGACATCGGATCAAACTTTCCTACGTCTACGCTCGTTGGGATTCTTGCGCCCAATACCCAGGGGTGGCAGACCGCCCACCAATCTCGAAGGTTCAAAGTCTGCTTTGCCCCCTTGCAAGAAAGCGCTCACGTCTTCGGGATTCTGGTATCGCTGACTCCAGCCATCCTTGCCCTTTTCAGCCGCTCTATTCAGTTTCCTCACTTCCTTTTCCTGCCTTCCCTTCTCCTTCGACAGCGCCTTGATCCATTCTTGCTGATCGGCTCGAAGGATTGGCGCACCTCCGCTGCTTGGCGCATTGGCTCCTCGTGGTCCTCCAGCCCGTGAAGGTTTGGGCATGGGAAGCGAGTATCGCGATCCTCGTAGACGCAACTGACGAGAAGTGTTGATCTCGATCACTTCTCCTCCTCCTTTCTCCGGTGCATTCGTGCGCACCGAAACTCTCAGCAGCGTCGCATTCCCACAAGACGGGCAAAACTTCTCTTCCGTGTTCTTGCATATTCTGCATGTTCATGGATAGGACCAGATGGTCGTGATGCGTCAGCCTAGCAGTCACTGATGTTGAGCAGTCGTGGTGCTGTATTCCGCAGACTCACTTGGTGCATGCATGGCATCTCAAAGCCCAGCTCTTCACGCTCTTCATCCTGTGACCTTCGTAGCTGGCAAGCGCCAAGCCCATTTGCAGCATCACATTTTGCATCGCGTAATCGCCCGTCATGCCGGCAACCGTCATTTTGCCCGCTGCCTTCTTTGACTTCTTGCCACTGGCCGTCGTTGCTGTCCCCATTGACCCGCCAGCTTCAGGTTTTTTCCTGCGGTTGCGACGTTTTCTGGGCTCTTCGAAGCCTGCGTCATCCTCGCCTTCCTCTGCCACTGTGTCACCTTCTGTTGCATCATTGGCCTCCGCCTCATCTCGAGTGATCAGATCCGCATCAGCCGCGAATCCCAAGGCCTTGGCTCTATGCGCCTTTACGTTGATGGGTGTGATCCACTCTCCCTCGCCATCAGAGCCTCCAAGGTCTGCTTCCTCTTCATCCGATGCTTCTTCCTCCTGCACTTCCCGAAGAGGACGCGGGGTGATCCATGCACCTTCTGCGTCCTCGCGAGAACCTTGAAGATCCAGAGAGGCAGCCTGTGCCTGGCGATCGGGTGAAGATGACTCTGCAATAGGATCTGAAGGCTTGGACTCCTCCGCCTTCTCATTGCTATGTGGCTCGACGATGGACCTGGGAGCAAGCGGGGCAGCTGATGTGGAAGCCGCTGCAGGTGCAGCAGGCTCTGCTGCAGCTGCGTCCTTGGCCGATGAGGCGGGCACATCCACTGGCTTGGCCTGCTGCGCTCTCGCCTGAGCCAGTCTGCTTGCATCGTGAGCCTGCTGGCCCGTTAGTCCTCCCACTTTGTCGCGCAGTCTCCATTGTCCGTGTCGAGCTGTCTCCGTTCCGTACAGCACCGCGAGCACGCTCAGATCTGCCTGACTGAGAGAAGACAAATCTCCGGTCTGTTTCGCAAAGTTCCTCACAGCTACCAGATCCTTGGCATCTGGCTCGGTAATGTCCACTTCGACGCCCCTCAAGGTGAGGATCTCCAAATCGGCCCTAGAGCGAGCTTCGCCCAATTCGGCTAGCACGACGCGGGGTATGACCATGCGGGAGGCAAGATTGGCAAGTTGAGATGCGGGTGTGCTGAGCAACGCCGAAGTGTCCAGCACCAATATCTCGATGCTGCGATGGTTCACTGCCGCGGTAGCCATCGCTGTAGGCGTGGCGCGCAGAGTTGGTTTTTGATCAATCGAATGTGTTTCTGAAGTCGACGGCTGGGCCTGCGTTGTTGGGGTTGGTCTGCTCGGGCCAGATGAGGCATGCTCGTTTGCGATGCTTGAGCGAGAAGCACCTGCGCCTGGCAAGCTGGGCCAGTCTTGCTCCTGGTCGCTCATACTGTTCAGTCAGGAGTCGAATATGGCAGGAACTTGTAGGCACTATGGCTAGAGTCTTGACTCAGCATCCAATGGGCAACCAGACGTCTGATTGAACGTGGGACGCGCTCGCCGATGATGAGAATGAAAGCAGGAGCTGTCAGGCCGTCGTCGGCGTTTGTCTTCAAGTCAATCTCGGTAAGCTGGAATTACTGATGATGATCATCCCTAAATCTGACTCTTGACTCTTTGAATTGATCGAGCCGCGAGTTGCGACTTTTGCGTGGGTACGAGTCAAAACGAGTCTCGGTCAGTCCTGAGTCACGAGTCTCCGTGTCCTCTTGGCCAAAAAAATCAAAATCTTGATGAATCAAAAATCTCAACGCAAAGCTCGAGATTCTTGATTCAAAAATCTTGAATTCTTGATTGATGATTGATGGTGCAGCACGCCAGTACGGCAAATCACGTGACCTCACGTGATCTGCGTCTCTCGCGCGCGCGCATGTGTGCGAGAAGACCGTTTTGCGCGCCCGACAATTCATTCAGATTCACATCCAAATTCTTGATTATTCTTAGCTCGTGGTCTCTGCTTGCCTCCTCACATCATATCTTCATATTCAATCACCACTCACGGCAGCCGCCGAGCCCTTGACCGCTATTGGTTCGCCTAGCCTAAGCAAGCGCGCTCTCAGCGTTCGGTCAGTCTTCCTCTCGCTGGCGGCGCACCGACTGCCCGTACTTTGCCGTCCTTCCAGAACTCTTCTCAACGCTGGACAGCAAAGATCGCTTTCCAAAGCCCTTAGACTGCACCTTGAACATTCCCCCACTGACTTTACCGCAAGATGGCAGTGCCCAGACTCACCGCCAAGGAGCTGGACCAGCGCTTCAAGCGCGGCACGAAGACGGCTATTGTCGCGCTGCGCAATCTGGATCACATGCTACCTGGTCAGAAGGGATGGAAAGGAAAATTTGCGGACAAGATGCTCCCAGCTAGAGCGAGGCGCAACAACAACTACGTGCAGCCAAAGGACAGGATCAGGTTGTGGAACATTGTTCCTGGAGATGTGGTCAGATACAGGACCGGTGTCAAGCTTGCCAAAGAGGGAAGCGCGGAATTGTGGAAAGGTCAGGCCACTGTGAAGCAAATTGACAGGACGAGGAACTTGGCTTGGCTCGCGAATGTTGTGGGTATCGGCATTGCGCTCGAACGGCTCGGTATCAGCTTCTCGAGCGAGCTGCTGCTGCATGTGTGGTGTTTTCGTGTTGCGTACCATATGTGCTATGTTTTGAGCTATCAACGGCTAAATCCCTCGTCTGATGCGAACCCTAACACCAGGACAACCCGGGGGATAATCCAGCGACAAGTGAGAAGCGCATCGTGCCTCGCCAGATGGGAGAGGACGGGCAAGTTGCATGGTCCAACAATACGTTTCAGATCAACAGGCCAGTGCATATCAGCAATCTCCAGCTCCTCCTCCCGCAAGAGATGGTCCTTCCAGCGGGATGCGGAATCACGATGGACGAGCTGAAAGAAGGGTGAGTCGGCATTGGATATGAAGCGCTATTGACCTTGCTGGTAGACTGAAAGTCAAATTGGACGGCCGCCTTCTTGCAGCCGCGTCGCCACCCGCGTGCAAGGCACTGGCGCTAAGTGGAACAAACAGCTGCATCAGTACACGTGGAAAAGGTTCGCGATCGTCAAGGCCAAAGACGGCACAAACGTCAAATTGGAGGTTCCTTGGCCTCCTAATAAGACTGCTCCCCGTATTAGTAGGTGTCATGCGTGCATGAGACGCTTGCAAGCCCAGCGCCGTAGCGCAACCTGGCCTAACGTGAAATGTCATCCTCTACGCCAGTCTTGCAAGATCTCACCACTCCGAATGATGCAGTGAAGTCGGAATCTTGGATTCCTTGGTATCCCACTAACCCAATTCATATCTCGCGGCATACATGGCGAACGTCACCTCAGTCCGAAGCAATGTTGCGCGCCCAGAAAGCAATTCGAGAGGCGCAGCCGCGGATTTTGCGAAAACCCGGCTATGCACCCTATTTGCCTGTTAGGCAAGGCCCTCCACCTGTGGCACAGGCTCCTACCCCAGCGGAAGCTGTCACGCTCCGCAAAGCAGCGCAGCGAAAATGGGCCATGGAACACCCGGACATGTCTGAAGGCAGAAGCTTCGCGTCGTCAGACTACCACAACGTAGCACCGTTGGACGGGCCCGTGGCCAATGGACCGCAATGGAGATGGATACCCCCCAAGACGCCTTTCCAAGCTGGCGACAGGAACGAAGACGGGATTAGATTGGGCATCGCTGGAAAGGATGAGATCGACGCTTGGCCCATCGAGCTTTTAATGGAGAGAGAGCTGAGCCCGCCGAGGAGCCTGGCTAAACGTATGAAGCAATTCCAAATCTCCAAGCTCACCAAACAGGCCGAGCTCAAGAAGCAACAAGAGATCATGGACAAGAATTTGGAAGCGTTGCGCAACATCGAGCTATAGTCACGTGTCGAGCCTCGACACCATTGAGTCGCATCCAATCTATGCTTTCATCGTATGATGTGCTGGGGTGCGAGCTCGCTTCAGGAAGCCGCGTCCTGTATAGACCGCGCGTCATGGAGGTGATCGCTGAACAGCGGTTCTCACGAGTGCGAGCCCGCAGCGACGGAGTCGGCATCCGCAATGAGCTTTTGTGCGCCCAATCATGCTGCTTCTGAACACTCTTGGCGCATTTCGACGTTTTGCCAGCTCGACCGAGACGAACGCAAACGAGCTCTGCACTGCCGAGTCGTCCCTCACTCGCTCACTTTACCAAGACCTCGAGCTGCAAGCCTCGCCCTGTCAGCACCCTAAACTTTTTCCCAGGAAGCGCCACGGCCACGAAACGAGCGCTGGTGTCAATTGGTGGTGGTGGCAAAGAGTGCATGAAGAAGTTTCGAACAAACTCTTTTTCATATGGTTGGATTTTTGTTTGGCTTCGAACGAGTAGACTGTTGCGGTGGTGGTGGTGGTGACGGTGGCGGCGAAGCATAGCTCATGCGAGGAGAGGGTCCGCATGTAATAAAAGGCGTTTCTTTTGTCTCAGAAGAGGCTTGAGAAAAGGGACGTGGCTTGGACACACCCTGCTCGGCGCTACTCGTAACTGACCACATCATCTTTGTTGCTCTTTTCTCATGACCCTGCTCCGGACGCCGATGCTCATTGGGAAGTAGTGGAGATCGCAGACAAGCTCCGACACCAGGCACATCGATTTGCTCCGAGCTGTGCAGAGTCATTGCGGTAACAGTGAAGCTATAGGCACACCTATTGCTGCTCGAGTGCTTCGGAACAGCCTTTTGAACGGCCAGTCAGAACAGGAAGCGGGAAAGTCTCCCACGCTCTTTGCTACAAGGTTGGCGATCAGCACGCGAGGTTTCGTGGCTGGCCTGTCTGCAGATCGTGCACACCATCTTGGGTGCGCCGTGTCTGCACGAAAAGGAACTGCCGTTGATGGGATCGGTCTTGAGTGGTGCCTTTGAGCAAATCGCATATTTGTTATTAAGCTCCTGGGCCACCGACAGTCATGTGTCCGTTCGTGAACGTGAATGAGGAGCGGAGCCGTTACAAGTCGCGTTGCTGGTACGCACGCATGCGGACGAAGCCACACGTCTTCTTCCTTCTGCGCAGAGCATGCGTCTCGGCGCGTGGCGCTCCTTCATTGCACCCCTTTTGCATGCTGCTGCATGGCATGTGGTACGGTACGGTACGGTACGGTACGGTACCAGCACCTTAGTCAAAAGTAGGTACCGTACGTACTTCCAATCGTGGGTGCAGCGAGCGAAGCGAGCCGCACGGGACAGTGTGACTGCGACGAGTCGTGAGCACAACACTCACGACTCTGGTGCTGCTGCTGCTGCTGCTGCTGCTGTGTGCAGCTATAGGCGTACGCTGCAGCAAGTCGGATGCCGGCTCATGGAGAAGCCGACGTCGATCTCGCACCACACCGCATCATTATGGAGCTTGGTGCTTGTGCTTGCGAGAGGCTGCTGCGCTGAGATGATGATGATGATGATGCTGCCCTAATTGAGACCGCGCGTGCCGACCTCAGATATCCATCCCGCGGCGCCTTGCCCCACGTCCTGAAGTTGCGCCCAGGTGAACCCTTGCTGCTCGTGCAAAAGCACGTCGGCAATCTCGCGGCATCTGTGCGTTGCGGAAACAGGTACTTCGTATCGAAAACGCATCGCATCACCTTCGATTGAGCGTATCGTTCAAGATTGCGAGAAGTAGCTGAACGTGCAGAAGCCAACTTCTACGTAAGTCTGGCATCTCCATTTGCGATTTCTCGATACACGCGCGAGCCTGTCGAGCGCATCGGCACTCTGTCTGATGACCGCTGCGATACACGTCGTCTCTTCGAGACAAACATCATGTCTGTGCTCTGCATCAGAGTGCCCAGCCAGCTTTTGTATCAATCATTACCGGTCCGCCACCTTGCTCACAGCACATGGCATCGGCATTCGGAGCGAAAGAATCACGATGATGGACATCTTGATGCCGACGCGTCTTCGCATCCTCTTTCGTTCAACTCTTGCGGTGCGTCGCGCACCAGACCGCGCCATTCACGATGAGCGTTCTGCCTACATATATGCTCGAGGGTCGCTGATGCATGATCTTACCTTCGTCGACTGAGGGACTCTTCTGTCCAAAAGAAGACCCGCGTGGCCGAAGGAGAAACCTCTATAGTTCTCACCGCCCACAAGGTTCGCCCGCTTCACAGCGCCTGCACGACAAGCCACGGTGCAGGAAAGTCATCGCGCACCTTCGCATGCAGTCTTGACGACTGCATTTTGAGTGGCAATTACTTACAGAGAGTAGTAGCAATTCATCCGCCGGTTGGGCTTGTCGAAAGAGCTTGACGAAAGGCTAGATCAAGCAAGGGGCAAAGAGTGGCGAAGAGCGCTCGGAGCCGAAGGCTTTTGTTGTCCAATGCCATGCCACATCCGCTCCTATGTCCAAGCCGCTCCATTCCGCGATAGCGCACGGACTCACCCTTTCTCTCTGCGGCATCTGCTCTCGATGGAATGCTGATGCTGGTCGCCGCGCCTTTCGCGCGGAGCTCGTGCGAGCGATTTGGTCGTCTGTGCTCTCGTGCTGCGGTCTGAACCGATTAGTCAAAACTCCGCAAGCTTGGCTGCCCAGCGCCAATTTAGCATTGAGCAGCCGCTCAGAGTCCGCCGAGCATTCCAGCCGTGAGACTTGGGCTAAGAGACCAGAGGGCACACCACGGGCTCACCTGGCATCAGCCTTGCAGAGATACGACTTGCTGACTGGATTGCTTGCCAATGACTCCTCCCATCAAGCTGCACGCTGACAAGGGTCTCACTGATGGCTTCTTGCTTGTAGACGATCCTCGATCTTCAGCGCTGCTCATCGATGCGCCAGGATGCTCGCTTCAGCTTCAGCGAAACGCTGCTTTCGCCGTACTTGATGAGCAAGAGCAACATCTTTTACAGCGGCGATTCGACTCGAGTATCATTGTACTCTCCACTTGCTATTGCGGTCTAGTAATCTGTATATTGTCATCACGACTAAAATTTCAAACACAATCGCGAATGCTGCGTGGGACGAATGAGAGCAAGGAAGGCGGGCAGGCAGGGCAGGCGGAGTGATACTGTTTGCCCCGCATAACTCTTGTAACGCGCACTCCAAGCTCAGATCCAACGCGCTGCAGCGATGACGATGGCAGCAACCACACGACACATGCCTGAGCACATGCGAGAGGCGCGGATCAAAATTGGCTGCCGAACAGGGGCGGGCTCCCACGCTCGGCAGATTTGGATTTCGATTTCGGGCTCCCATGGAAGGTTCTGAGGCCCGCGCAACGCGCATCGCGTCGCGAGCAGAGTCAGTCAAGAGTCGTCCGTCAAGTTGAGCGTGGCTCTCTCCTGGGCTTCCCCAAGCGACTCGTAGATGTGTCAGAGACGCGAGCGCTAGGCATGCCAGTCGCAAGCTCATCAACACTCGTGTCTGCGTCATAGAGCCTTTTGCCATCATTCCTCTTCGTCGGACTCGAAGATGGCGGGTGTCAGGAGGTCGAGGCAGTAGTACACGGTCTCCTTTTTGCTTTGACCTCGACATGTTTGTTCGCTCAAACACACCCCTCGCAACCCATCGGAGCTGCGGCATACGCAATGCTGACATGTTGTCTAGACCTTGAAATTGGATGACACATTCATCATTGCCTAGACCTTGAAATTGAAAAGACAGCATGCAAGGGGCTCTAATGATCTCCGAATGAAGGGCAGCGAACTTTACCTTTCTGGATTTGGAGGTGTAGGAAGTGTAGGAACGCCTGTGAGGCTGAGTTATTGAGCGTGCTGCGCATGAAAATGTGCTTGAAAGCGTTTCAAACCCGTGAATGCCATCTTTCAATGGTGATCGAGGAAGTCAGCAGATGTAGTGGTGTTGTAGCACTGCTTCAGCGATTAAAGACCTGACAAAGAGCTGGAATGACAGGTGGACGCGTAGAGGCCTAGCAAGCAAGCCACTGTTGTCAGCAAGCGCACGATTGCACCTGGCGTTTCCTCAAAATCGAGGCTCCGCTTCAAAAGGACTCCGCCCCTTTTCCCCTGGTGTGCTCACTGGCCCTTCTTATCCGAAGTGCGAATCTACAATCTTGATGCAGTATCGAGCATATGGTGATATGGTTTCTGAACCTCTGTGATTGCATCCGTCGCACCTCGTCCCCGCCAAAGGCCCAGTGACGCGGGAAGCTAGTCTTATCGCTGATCATTGAGCCTTTTACTCAGCAGGCGCCGCCGCTGGGTGCGAGATGCTTGAGCCAGCGGAGTGATCGCGCTTCACGAAGCGGAAAGTTGAATGCGCGATATTCAGCTTGCAAGGTCACAGCCAAGCGTGCAGAAAGCCTCTGGCATCTTGCGTTGGTCCGCACACACCATGAGAAAATTCGTGAGAGGATGGCTTGGAAACTTGATGGTCGTCGTGATCTGCCGCCCGCCTGTCAGCTTGACTGTACGTACCCGCAACCAATTGGTAAGGCGGCGTCTTTGCTTCTTCACTCAGACTCGCGAGTCGTGAGTGGGTTGCAGGTAATGACGCATCGCCATGTCATGATTGGCGTCCATAGCGCTGCGGTCTCTAAATGGACAGGAGGTCGCTTCTCAGGGTCTAATTGACCACTTAGCGCATGTCGAGCGTGGACTTCTGTGGTTGCATCCGTCGGCGCGCGTAACACGGCGCGGTAAGGGCAGCAGAGCCGGAAGATCGGAGCGGAGTGATCGGACGCAGCAGCTACAGCAGCAGCAGCAGCAGCAGCAGCATCTGCATCTGCAAAGGGCTGAAGAGGGCGCTGCTGCTCCCTCGCTGCATGGGCCCGCGG